GCCTCCCGAGCCTTGTTCGGGGGCCGCCGCTGAGCATGCTGCCGAATGTTGCGCTCCTGCGCCGCCGTGATGTTAGCGTTAACGCGCTGTGCTAGTGACTCCAGCCCCTGCTGTCGCCGCTGCAGCGCCTCGTAGTCCGTAGGCCCAAAGCCCTCCTCCTCCGATTCCGCTGCTGTCGTCGCCGCCGCTAGTGGCGCGGCTGCGGGACGCTCCCCCAGAACTGCTAGCTCCCGGCCGAAGAGGCACATAGCCGGGCTAACCCGGGTGCTATCCTGCCGCGCAGCGCGATAGCTGTACGCCGCCTGGTAGATGTGCGTATCCCAGTCGTCCTCCTGGCCGTTAACCATCTTGCGAAGTGCCTCCGTCATGACGCCGACCAGCCGCTCCACCTGGCCGTTGCTCTGCGGGGTGTAGGCGGCGGTCTTGCGGTGAAGGATGCGCTGCCGTCCCAGCAGCGCCGCAAACTCGCCTCCCCACTCGTTGCCGCGGTCCGTGACGACGGCGTCCGGCGTCCCATAGCGCGTAATCCACTGCTCCCAGAACCAGGTAGCCGTGGTGGCGGCCATCTTGTCCGGGATGGCCCCAACCTCGGGCCACTTAGCCCACGCGTCGATGGCGAAGATAGCGTAGACGTTGCCGCGCACCGTCTTCTTCAGCGGCCCCATGAGGTCCAGGTGCACGCGCCCGAAGAGAGGCACGATGGGTAGCGGCCGCAAGTCATGCCGCCGCAACAGCTTGAACTTGCCTGCCCGGCACCGTTCGCACTGCTTGATGTAGCTGCTAACATCCCTCCGCATAGAAGTCCAAAAGCACCGCTGCCGCAGCAGGTCGCAGGTCTTGCCGACACCTGCATGGCCCAGCTCGTGCGTCGCCTTGATTGCTGCCTGCCGATCTGCGAGCGGCGGCACTCGGACCCAGCCTTGGCCCGTTGCCTTGTACAGCTGACCGTCCTCCCAGCGGTAGTTGCGAGCCCGCTTCCTCACTCGCCTCATCTCATTGAAGTAAGCATTGCCCGTCATGTTCGGGACAGGCCGCAAGTCCTTAGTCTGCAGAAGCTCCAGCAAACTAGCGTCCGCCCAAGCATCCGGTTGCGGGGTGCGATGAGCACCGCGCCCGCCTGTGGCTGCTGCCGCTGGGGCCTCACGGTCGCTGCTGCTAGATGCTGTACCCTCCTCACCGCTTAACCACGAGGGTTCGGTGTCCGAATTAGCCTCATGCTCCTCGCTGCTAGCCGCTGCTGACGCCGAAGAAGGAGAAGACTCCGACGTGCTGAGTGGCCGCTTCCGCATGGGGATACGTGGCGCCACCGCCGCATGCATGGGGCAGATCCACGGCCCCGCCGGTACTGCGGGTAACGGCGGGTCCAGGCAGTGCACATGCCACGCCAGCTGACAGTCCGGCTCATCACACAGCAGGAGTGTACTGGAGGGCTGACCGCTGCCGCAGACTACGCACACCAGCCCCGGATCAGGATCGGTACTGGGTGACGAAGAGGGTAGCGGCTCCACGTACTCCCGCAGCTGCGTGTTGACCTGCCGTAGGCGTGCAGGTCTTGGGTCGCTAGGGCCCGCTGCCGCCGGATCGTACACTGGCTCCGCTCGCGGCTGCTCCTCCTGTCGCCGAGGTTGCACAGGTGTTGTTGCAGCGGTGTATGGAACGGCGCCGCCGTTCCTCCGCCTAAGCTGTTGCTCCGCCGGCGATTGCTGTCCCCGCGCTGCCGGTGTAGCCTCCCACATGCCGTCAGTCATGAGTAACTGCAGCGATTCATCCGACCGTGCGTCAACCGTGGCCTGCGCCTCCTCCGGCTCCTGCTGCTCCGTGTTGCCTGCGGCGGCGGATTCCGCCGCCGGCAGAAGGTGCCCCAAGCGGCTGAGGCCGTCCACGTTGCCGTTGCGCCGCCCTGCTTTATGCACTACTTCAAAATCGTAGGCCTGGAGCTTGAGCGCGTACCGAGCGAACTTCCCATGGAGATCCCGGGCGCCTGCCGTGCGGATGAAACGTACGGCCGCCGAGTCAGTGAACAGCACGAAGTGCGTGCCGTACACGTAAGGGTGGAAGTGCTCGATGGCCCAAACCGCTGCGAACGCCTCGCCGTCCGCGCTGCTGTAGTTAAGCTGAGCTCCTGACATCGCCTTGCTAGCGAACTGCACAGCGTATTCCTGCCCCTGGTCGTCACGCTGCGCCAGGCAAGCCGCCACTGCCAGCTGACACCAATCCACTTGCACCAGGAACTGGCGGCCGAAGTCCGGGGCCCGTAGGATGGGCTCCGAAAGCAGCGCCGCTCGAAGCTCCTGCCATGCCGACTCCTCGCGCTCCGCCCACTGCCATGCCGCTCCCTGCTTCAGCAGCGCAAATAGGGGATGCGCTACCAGGCTGAAACCAGCCACCTGCGGCCGGTAGTAGCCGACGGCGCCCAGCCATGCTCGCACCTCCCGCACATTAGCGGGCGGAGGTAGCGCGGCTATCTTGGCCAGGTTGGGAGGGCTTGGGCTCAGGGTGCCGTGCTCGCCGTCCAGCAAGTAACCGAGAAAGATGACCCGCCGTTGACCAAAGGCACACTTCTTGACCGCGACCTTCAGTCCCGCCATGCGCAGCAGATCGAAGACCTGCTGTAGGTGCCGCGCATGGTCCGACAGGGTCGGGCTGAAGATGAGAATGTCGTCCAGATACACCACTGCGCAGCGCTGCCGGTAGGGACCTGAGCTGGGCCCTTCACCGCGCAGCGGCTCCTCCAGCACTGGCCCGAGCACCTTCCGCATAAGGGCTGCGAACACCGAGGCCGCCCCCTTAAGGCCCATGGCCATGCGAACGTACTGGTACTGCGCCGTTGGCGTGGCGAAGGCCGTACGCTCCTTGGAGGCCTCGTCCGCCATGGGCACTTGCCAGTAGCCCGACTTCAAATCCAGCGTCGTGTAGTACCGCTGTTGCCCGCCTGCCGGCGCCGCTGAGTCCAGGATGTCTTGGATATGACCCAGCGGATGCCGTACCGCCTTCGTCACGTCGTTGACGCGCCGCATATCCACGCAAACCCGCAGTTCCCCATTCTTCTTAGGCACCACCACGACCGGTGAGACCCAGGGGCTCTGCGACGGCTCGATGATGCCGTCCGTTAGCATGCGCGCCATCTCCTCGTCTACCGCAGCCTTCTCCGCTCGCGACAAGCGGTAGGGGTTCTGCGCAATGGGAGTGGCGTTGCCGGTATCTATCCTCATAGCCGCCCATGTGGTGAAACCCAGCTCGCGGTTGCTGACCGCAAACATGTCGAAGTTGTCCACCAGCACTGCGCTGAGCCGCAGCTCCTCTTGCCGTGAAAGCTCCGGGCTGACCTTGGAAAGGAGAAGCGCGCGCAGCTCCTCATCAGGCTGCGGCAGCCCTCGTAGCATGCGAGCCTGCATGCCACGGGCTGTGGCCTCCGCCAGGTGCCCGTCATGATCACGGCCGTCCGGCGGCCTCGCTGGCTGCATGTACTCATCGCCGTACGCTGCTGCCGCGGTTCCGCCGCTGTTGCCGACCTCCAGCGCAGAAGTTGAACCATTGGGACCCTCACAAGCAAACCCGTAAACTGACTGCATGCCCTCCGCGACTGTTGCCGCTGCTGCCTCTGACCTTGTCTCCAGCAGGCCCGTACGCCAAGGGATCGGTGGGCTGTCGGCGGCAGCTCCTGCCGCCGCCGCCTCAACCGGTGGCGCCCCAAGGTCGTAGCTGTCAGGAGTCGGTGGGATGTACGATGGCATGCTGTCACTTGCCATCAGGCTCCAGCTGTCGTTGCTGTCTGGAACCGGGGACGCCTCACTGCCCTCCTCATCCGTGACAAGGGCCGGCACGTCGTCGCCAGCCTCCCCCGCCGACCTGGCGCTGTCGCTGCCTGCAACTGAATCCGTACTGCCGCCACCAGTGGATGACTTCATGCTGCTGCCCACGGAAAGGACCCATGGGTCATCGCTGACCATCGCCCATGACGCTGCATCTCCCCCCTCCATATGCAACTGCTGCGCCAGCCACTGCTCAGTCCGCTCCGTCGCCAGCTCAATGCGCCGACGCTCCTCGTCCGTAAGCGCTCCCCAGACGGGCTGACCCAACTGCGCCGAGGTCGGCTCCTCCCCCATCGCCACAGGACCCTCGACCGCCTCAGCCGACACTGGCTGCGGCGTCGGCGCTGGCGCCTGCTGCGCCGCCGCGTCGGTACTGGGAGGAGCCGCCGAGTCGGTGTAGTACGTCTCGGAGTCCGCAGCATCAGGTGCCGTCAGGTGAGAGCAGTCCAGCCTGGCGACAGAGGCCTGGTCGCGCAGGAAGTGGATGGGGATGCTCGCCCGCTGGTTGGCGTCGTTGGTATACTCTAGGCAGTTGCTGCCGTACGAGATGCTAGCACGGATTGGATACAGGAAGTCGGTGCCCAGCAGAAGCTGATAATTGAGAGCGGTGCTGACGTAAGGGTCCAGCAGCATGGCCAGGTCGCCGGTAGCGATGTGGATGTCACGCGCCCTGCCTGCCGCACGGCCCCTCTTGCCGTCAGCGTTAAGGAAGGTGATGTCCGCCTCCTCCATCGTGTCCAGCAGGTCCAGGCGCCGCAGCGTATCACGAGTGACGACGCTATGCGAGGCGCCGGAGTCAATCACCGCTGACACCGGAACCAACTCGCCCTGCCCATTGGCCACGAGTATTGAAGCCTTGCAGACCTGCCATCGCGGTGCGGCCACAGGGATGCTGAAGGTCTCCTCCTGCGCCATCCCTGCGGTAGGTGCCGACAAGTTAGCCACTCCAGCGACGGCGCGGGTACCAGCGGCGGGCTGAGCATCCTGCCGCTGCGCTTGCGCCGGCTGATGCTGGCGGGCTATGCCCAGCACCTTGCTGCCGACCTTGGTGTAGATGCTGACTGGATTGCACCGTAGGGTAGTACCCAGCGGTACTGCATACTTGTTGACGCGGCTGACAATCTCCTCCGCGATGCGACGCTCCTCCTCATAGGGGTCAGCTGGAACGAGGTCCGTACGCCCCGTGGCCTCCGCTGCCGTACGACGAGGGCGAAAACCTGCTGAGGGACGCTCCGCTGCTGCCCTGGCTGGAGCCGAAGGCCTTGCCGCTGGCAGTACAGGTAAGGGAACAGCCGGGGCCGCCGCTGGCGGAGACGGAACCACGGGTGTAGGAGGTGCCGCCGCCGCTGGCGCAGACGCAAAGGGCATGCGCTTGCGGGGCAACGGCGTAGGCTCGAAGTCCGCCACTCGCTTGATGTAGGCCTCCGGGTCCGCTGCATAAGCCTCCGTTGCTGATGCTGCTGGCTCCACTTGAACCAGATGCGTAGGCTCCGTAGCTGGGGTGTAGTAATGCGCCTGATGTCGCCCCTCCACGAGCAGTGACAGACGAGCCATCTGCTTCGCCAGCTCATCCACCTTAGCCTCCACGGCTGGCGCCGCCCCTGCCGCAGGTGACGGCGACGGCCGAGGGCCGTCACGGGGTGACCGATCGCTGCCTTGACGCTGACCGTTGCCAGGATGCTCGAAGGGACGCCGCTGCCCAGGGGGCCCGCTGCCCGCAGGGCGGAACGGGCGGCGTTCCTCAAAGCGAGGCCTCGCCGGCTGCTGGCTGCCAGGCGCGTTGTCTCGTCCCGCTGGCTGGAAGTTGGAATCGCTGTCCCGCAGCACCTGTCGCTCCAGGCCCTCGCTGACGTAAATGGCATCCTTGATGGCCTGGTCCAGCGTTGACGGCCGCAGCAAATACACCTTGCTGTGGATACGTACAGCGAGCCCTTGGAGGAAGTTATACATGTGGATAGGGTCGGCGTTGAGGTCCATGTTGAGCTGAGCCGCCAGATCCCGGTAACGGTCGGCGTACGCCCGCACGGGCTCCCCACGCTCCTGGCGACAACGGGCGAGGCGGTTGTACAACTCCTCGCGGTCCACATCAAAGCGCTCTAAGAAAGCGTCTTTGAATGCTGCCCAGTCGTGCAGGTGGCGCTCAACACCGGCGAACCAGGACGCCCCCTCATCGCCAAGCCGGCAAGCTGCAACGTCCAGCTTGGAGGCGTCAGCCCAGCCATACATGCGGGCGTAACGCTCCAGCCGAGTAACCCATTGCAGAGCGTTGTCGGATGGGCGGTAGATAGGGATAGAGTTGACACTGGATGGATGTAGAGCACCCACTGCGTGATCCTGATGATCTGCCTCCATGCTAGAAGAGGATTAGGGTCTCAGGGGAAAAGGGGAGAGCGTTAAGCTGTCCAACAAAGAGAGAAGGGACTAGGGTGACAGATGCCACCTATTTGCCGTACTATAAACCTCGGTCTCGATACCACCCGCGGGACACGCGGGGAGGTGGGACACCCCAAAATTTTTCGCTTGTGTCAAGTGATGCCCACCCCCGGTGACCGTCTAATTGACCAGGACTAGTACAAGCAGCAGTGTGGCACGCGGCGCCCGTGTGAGGACGAGGCTACCGCGCTTCTGTCCCTTCCCTTATGGCTAGGGTGTATGCGACCGCAAGCTAGGGCTGTGACCTAATGCGGCGCCCTACCGTATGTGTACGGTATGGTTGTATCTATTTAAGATCGAGATGCGGAAGCGAGCGGAAGTAAACTATATGTCGAGATATAACGCAAGCGGAAGCGTGTATGGCGTAGGCTATGACCTACTTGTTCTGGGCTATGATGCCGGCTGGGACTGCAGCCTGACGGCACCACCCACCTGCTCCTCCTTAGAGGGTTGCTGACCCGCCAGGCCCTTGCCGAGGTGGACTGAGAAGGGTGTCAGACCTGGGCTGGAGAGGGTTTGTATAACCACTGGGGCATAGACTAGGCCAGGGGGTTAGCGTATAAGTCCGAGGGTAGGATAAGGGTGAGAGAGACCTATGCAAGTAAACCCTATCGTGTACGACTGACGAGTCGTACCAGGTGTACGGACCGTTATGGGTTGTTGACCGTTAGAGTAGCCGACTACCTAAAGACTTAGCAAACTGATACGGTTGTAGGCGTACAGTATAACAACCTAGCTGCTGTGTAAGAGTAAGCTGTAATGTACGGCTGACAGGTCGTATTGAGGCAAACCGCTGCAGTTGGGTAACTAACTAGCTAACCACCTAACCGCTGACGGTCTGCGTCTAAGTGCGCACCCAAACACGGTACGGTATTTCAGAGAAGGACTCAAGGCTAGACACAGGCTCAGGAATGCCAATGCGGACCCTATCTAAGGCTGGATTGGCAAAGCACGAGGCGGCAGGTAATAACCGTTGGTATTCAGGTATGTAACAGACAGTAACGAACCGTATAACTGCCCAGGCAGGGCAGTGCTTGACGTCCAGACACGAAAGGTCCTTCCAGTCTCCACGTGTGCCTCTTACACGGAGATAAGTCCGAGTCCAAAGTCCATTGGTTGGAAGCTTAGTCCAGAAAGAGGGTTAAGGCTGCCCTGACCGACCTAAAGACTTAGCAAACTGATACGGTTGTAGGCGTACAGTATAACAACCTAGCTGCTGTGTAAGAGTAAGCTGTAATGTACGGCTGACAGGTCGTATTGAGGCAAACCGCTGCAGTTGGGTAACTAACTAGCTAACCACCTAACCGCTGACGGTCTGCGTCTAAGTGCGCACCCAAACACGGTACGGTATTTCAGAGAAGGACTCAAGGCTAGACACAGGCTCAGGAATGCCAATGCGGACCCTATCTAAGGCTGGATTGGCAAAGCACGAGGCGGCAGGTAATAACCGTTGGTATTCAGGTATGTAACAGACAGTAACGAACCGTATAACTGCCCAGGCAGGGCAGTGCTTGACGTCCAGACACGAAAGGTCCTTCCAGTCTCCACGTGTGCCTCTTACACGGAGATAAGTCCGAGTCCAAAGTCCATTGGTTGGAAGCTTAGTCCAGAAAGAGGGTTAAGGCTGCCCTGACCGACCCCAGCCGGCACTTAGGCCACTTTCAGCTGTAAAAGGTCCAGAGACAAGAAAACTACGCCCTTTTATACTAATTCAAAACCCCGGTGAGCCAAAAACCGGCCACCGTTGACCACAACCGACCAACAAGCCGTTACCCCGCTGAGAAGCAGGAAAACACGCTCAGCGAGGCGCTACTCACTGGGACCAACGAATTCCCACTGACACTGGCCTCTCTGAGCCAATCGTCCCAACGGAAACCCCGCTGAGCCTCCGCTTCCTGGCCCGCTGACCCAAAACCGTCAACCGACCCATGGGACGACAGTGTCGAACTCGCCCCATGCCAGGTCGCCTGTTCAAGCCCTTCCCCAAGCAGCGCCGGCATGTTCAAAACCACGCCGCAACCAAACCCGTAGCCCCCAATAAGTGGGACTACAGCTACAAACTCATCCGCCGACAAATGGGTAAACACACAAAAGTGTAAACCCAACCTATCATGCCACAGGCGTGCGTCAGTAACACAGGAGCGGCGCAATCACCCACCACGCCCCAACATCCCGACATGCTCTCATCCTGTCACACCCACCCCACTTCCTATCAAACCAGCCGAAACGGCATACCTATTGATTCTAGATGCACTCGATTCATGCCATGCATGTCCCACCTAGTCCTAGTTGTGCAGCGCATGCTCTGGCCTCCCCTACCACGCACATGCTCCTAATCAACCCCCAATCCTATGCCCCAGAGCACATTGGGCTTTCCGATCTAGCTAAGGGCGCCCTTAGCTGAGGCTCCCAGCACAGGGACAAGGGGCGGGACACAACTATAGCCGATGACTCACCGGTACGCTTTTGCTTACTTGGTTGGAGCGTGACTATGCTGTTTCCAGGCGCCTAGGCGTGTCGTACGCACTGTACCATGTCCCCCGAGCGACAAGCAGGGTTCATGATGCTGTCATGGTTCTGCGGTACAAGGGGACAGGCGGCATACGCACAACCAGGACTTTGTAATTAATTAAAGACAAGTGACAGGAAGCCGCACAGAGCTCTTAGAACAACACACCAGAGGCATTAGCGCAGGCGAATAATGTCACTCAGCAAGCGCCTCGCGCGCCAGTAACAAACGTGCTACCTATGACATTGCTTTGTTTATAAGCAGCAGTTATCATAGTTATTGTTGAAAAGCGTCATGGCTGAAGCTAAAACTGCGGACGGCAAAAAGCGCCCAACGCACCGTAAATGTTCTTGATACTGGTTCATGTTCCTACGTGTAGAATACTGTCCGAAGACCTGCAAAAGATGAGCATAGCCGTTCAGTTTCTAAGAATGTCGCGGCGCTTAGCAATGCCAGCATACCTGGAACACATTTACAATTGTAAGCGCACCTGTTGCCAGTTCGCCGCCATTCTATTACGCGAGTTTTAGAAGACAGTCCAGGCCGTAAACCTGCTGACCGTTGTCGATGAGGCGGAACGACCCTCAGCGGAGTCATAATGTTGAAGCCAGTCCTAGCCTTGCAAAAGTATATTCGCCGCTTGTTTTGACGCCTAAACCTAGATGAACGCCAAGTTGTCGGAAACTTTCACATACGCCGTGTGCATTATGTATGTCAATTATGTAGCTGTCTAGGGCATAGGCTTATGGCTTATACAAGAAGCCGGACTTGTCATAGCATACCTGGGGAATTGCGATGGAGCATGACCTCGCGAGTATTTATTGTCTATCTCGTCGTACTGACGTACCCCCAGTAGCGCCGTAGGCCGAAAACCGCGAAGACTAATGGACGGTTAAGCTTGCGGAACTATGGCTGGAAGAAGAAGGTGTGCAATCAAGGATTCTCGATTCCTGAAGGCCATGTACGAGTGCCGGCCAGCTAGCTAGGTAAGCCGATGGCATGATTCGAGGATGTGCACAGCTCGGAAACACAAAAAGCAATATCCGAAATTTGTCGCCCCTGTATCAATGGGCACATGTTAACCCGGAGTTATGAAGTGTTACCGCGGGTGCGGACAGCATGTTCCCAAATGGCGCCATCTTAAAAGGGGGCCTTTCCTTCAGGCAAACACCACGAACCGCCTTACTAAAAAGTCTGATAAACTTTGTTGCTAGCCAACACGATGCAGCAAGAAAACAACTAGCAACTCATCTTGAGGTTCTATTGCACATTCAGCACCCAGTCCATGGCAGCCTCCCCAGCATGAGGACGCACCATGAGAGGCAGCCTCGCAAACACCAACTCCCCATGAGAACTTGTACCCATTTCTGGTAAAATGGGTGCAATGCATATACTTGCAATGCAACATTGCATACACCCCGCCATTTCCCCCAGCCCATCCGTCTCACACAGTTACTGGTCACGCCAGACCCCGTTACACCGCCCTCCATGTCCCCCCTGCGCGCTGCTACCCTCTCCCCACACCAACCCTCCTCGCCGTCCCTGAGACTGCCCCCACACGCCTGTTGACAGTGTGTCCCCATGTGCCATCTGTGGTGGATCTTGATGCCAGTTTTGTATACACTGCAATACGGATACACACACGGTGGTTGGGGCCCCTTGGCACTGCCCATGCAGTTGGTAGCATACAGCTGTGGAGCAATGGATTGCTGCACTGTAGGAGGGAGACCCAGTAGGTGGGTAGAGCGGTACACGCGCAGGCAAGCGAAGGAGGAGAAGCACAGCCAATGCAGTTGCACTGTCCAATGCTCGCCCCTACCTGGTCACGCTTCCTCCTCACCGTGTTCCTTACAGCACCCACCGGACCACCATCATCACCACCCCCACCAGACACACACACACACACCTCTTCACTGTACTACCTGAGATTGCACCCCAGTCGTACAAACACGCATGTTCCGTACAGTCCGTACCGGTGCACGGCGAGCCGGAGTTTGACTCCCACGCCCCGGAAGTCGCCTGCTCACCCCGCCTTCGCCTCCCCCACCCCCGTGCCATCCCTCGGTCCCCTCCCGCCTACTCTGCGCTTCTGCTGCTTAGATGTCCCCCTCCGCCCCCGCTGCTGCTGCTGTTGCCGCTGCTGACCACCGCTCCTCCTGCCTCCTTCCACCTTCACCGCCCCTCGCCCCACACCCACAGCGCCTCCGCTCTCTGCCCCATCGCCCCCTCTCCCTCCTCCCCCCTCTCCATCCACACCCTCCTCCCCATCCACACCTCCCTCCTCCCCCTCGTCCTCCTCCCCCTCCTCCAGATCATACTTGCGCCGCACCGCCTGCCTGACCCGTGGGTCGGCCTGCAGCTGCAACTTGGCTAGCGCACGCATCAGCGAGGCCTGCCACTGCTCCATCACCATCAGGTCGGAGATCTCGCCCTGCAGTATGCCAGCCTGCGGGGGAGGACGGGGCAGGGGGGGTATGATGGGGGAGATGTGAATGACACAGTGAAGGAAGGGAGGGGAACGGCTGGGGGGGCATCATTGCAACGAACGGGGGAGTTGCGCGGGGAGGGGGCAGGGAGGGAGGGCACACATGCGATCGAGGGGGCGAGGGAGGGAGGGGGCGAAAGGACGCCCCTGAACGCTGAACGCCCTGAACGCTGTGCACATATGCGCGTTTCCACTCAACCGTGCCGTGGCAGGGAACAAACCAATAAGGGTTATAACACGTCCTCATACCCTCCCATCCCTACCGTACTACACAACACAAACACTTCTGGGCATGGCGAGAACCCACCTAAAGCCGAACCCCTAAGCGTCCCCCTCCCCTTAGGCCTTGTCATACGGTTCGTTACCGGTAGTTTCTCCCACTTAACCCCCCCTCCCCTCCTTCCCCCCTCCCCCCCTCCCCTCCTTCCCCCCTCCCCCCCTCCCCTCCTTCCCCCCTCCCCCCCTCCCTACCTGCACCGCCGCCCCCAGCGCCACCGCCTCATCCGGGTCCACCCGCCCCCTGCTCGGTGCGATGCCCGTCATGTTGGCGAGGAAGGTGTCCAGGGAGGGCAGCCGCGTGGCGCCGCCCACCAGCAGCACCGCGCTGAGGGGCGGGCGGCGGAGGGGGCGGATCTGGGGCTGCATCTGGGGGGGGTGGGCGGAGGGGGGGAAGGGGTTGGTGTGCGGCGGTGTGGACAGGGCTGCTCACCATCCGTCCAGCTCGTCAACGCGGGGCCCCCTGCATGCGCCCTCTCACCGGCTGTCGGGCCCTCAAGCGGCGCAATGACGCCCCTCCCCTCCCCCCCCTCCCTCCCTTACCCCCCCTCCCTCCCTTACCCCCCCTCCCTCCCTCCCCTCCCCACCCCCCTGCTCCTCACCGCCTCCACCTTCCAGCCGGGCACCCCCCTGCTCCTCAGCTGCTGCTGCAGCGCCGCGTGCCCGCCCACCACCACGTCAAGGTCCACACCCGCACGCCAGCAGGCCTGGGGGGGCGGGAGAGGTGGGGGGGAGGGGGGGCCAGGGGGGGGCTTGGGTGGGTTTGGGATGAGGAAGGAGGGAGTCGGGACGAGGGGACTAAGCCGTGTCGCGAGTCGCTACCGTGTTGCAAGAAAGGAAGGGAGGTGGGGTCTTGGGGGGTGCTGCTAGCAGCGGAGCAGCACAGGCGGCAACCTGCTCCCCTGCTGGGCGGTGCTAGGTGGGGTGAGGTGGGGTGGGGTGAGGTGGGGTGGGGTGGGGTGTCTCCTCCTCCATGCACGTCACGCAGGCGGCCGGGGCAGTCCGCACTCCCCCCTCCTCCCCCCTCCTCCCTCCCCTCACACGCACACGCACACGCACCTGGTCCAGCGGCAGTCGGCAGCGGCGCCACAGGCCCTCACTCAGCAGGTCCAGCTGGGCGCGGGTGAGGCGGGCGGTCAGGGGGGAGCCGCCGGGACCACCCACCGGCATGCTGGATGGGGGGGTGGGGGGGACAGAGAGGGGGGTGACGTTCATGCATACCGGCACACCCGCAGACCAAGGAAATGCATTTCCTCGTAGGTATCACGTCGTAGGCAATGCCCCTCCTCCTCCCCTCCTCCCGCTTTGCCCTAACCTGTGTCTCCTATGGTTTGGTATGGTCTTTGACCCCCCTCCCGCCCCTCACCGCAGCGCCACCTCCTCGCTCTCGCTCAGCGCGTGTTTGGCCGCCTGCGCCAGCGCCCGCAGGTTGGCCCGCAGGCGGGGGTCGGAGCCGGGGTCGTGACCCGCGGGTCGCAGGTAGTGCTCCGCCAGCCAGTCCGCGATGACGGCGTCCCAGTCGTCACCGCCCAGATGCGCATCACCGCCTGCGAGGTGGGGGAGGGGGAGGGGGGGAGGGTGCCTCGGCTTCGTTCTACGATTATCGGTCGGCGCTTACTCATCCGCATACAGGTAAATCCGCCTTATCTTCGTTTATAGTTGGTCTTATGTTTGTGCTGGGAGACGGTTTGGGAGTTCGCCGGGTTGTCTTTGGACTCTGGGAATACTATGGACCGCCGGTGCGGACGACCACCCGCGATGCGCCGTTAACGCTACCTAGAGCTTTGCACTTGTTTGCTTCGGGCATGTCTCCTCGTCCCGGTATGTCCCTTTGCTGATTCAGCTTGACTCATTCGGGTGGGGCGGGGTGAGCCGGCTACCATGTGTGCACCCCATGGTGAAGCCTACATGCCTACAGCTCGTCATGCGGATCGTCAGTTACTCAGTTTCCTCCTTTTCGCCCCTCCCAACCCCTCCTCCTCCTCACCCGTCGCCAGCACCTCCACCGTGCCGCCCCCCACCTCCAGCAAGCTCACGTCGTACGTGCCTCCCCCCAGGTCAAACACAAGTACGGTGGCGTCCGTACGGAGATCCAGTCCGTACGACAGGGCGGCCGCCACCGGCTCCCGGAGCAGCCGTACGGTGCTGAGGCCGGCTAGCTTGCCTGACGGGGGGTGGAGGGAGGTTAGGATAGGGTAAGGGAGAGAAAGGTGGAGGGGAGGAGGGAAGGAAATGAGGATGGAGGGCCGGCAGGCGACGATCCCGCACGGTGGCTCCAACGTTCCCTGGACCTCCCAGCCCCAGCCCCTCCCTTCCCCGTCCCCTGCTCCCCCACCTGCTGCCACCGTCGCCTCCCGCTGCTGGTCATTGAAGTAGGCCGGCACCGCAATCACCGCCTTGTCCACCCGGGGACGAACCGGGGCGGCAGCAGCAGCAGCAGCTGCTGCCTTGGCACTGCTGCCCCCGCCCCCGCTGCTGCCCCCGCCCCCGCTGCTGCCCCCGCCCCCGCTGCTGCCCCCGCCCCCACTGGCCCCCCCGCTGCTGCTGCCCCCCGCCGGCCCCGCTGCTGCCACGTGGGCTGCCGCATCCGCCAGCAGCTGCGACAGCACCTGCGCACTCACCTGCGGGGGAAAAGGAAATTCCAAAGTGTGGTGTGATAATGATACTGGTTGCTGACGGGGGGCGGGGGTGAGGGGGTGTCCGAGGGGGGAGGGAAGCAGGTGTGCATGGGAGGCAGTGCAGGTTGAGGTATGGGGCTTGAGAACCCTACTGGTACCTACTCGCACACCCGGTGCACGCATGCATGCACGCATGCCTTGGGCGCCCTGCCTTCACCCTCCCTGTTGCTGCCCTCATGCCCCACCCCTGCCACCCTCTCCTCCCCCTCCCGCCCCCACCTCCTCCGGGTACAGGTAGCCCGGCTCCACGTGCGGGCACTCCAGCACCACACCGCCCTCCTCGTCGCGACACACCTGCAGGCGGAGGCGGGGCAGGTGGGCAGGTGGGGCAGGGGGGGCAGGTGGGAGGAGACAGGTGGGGCGGAGGCAGGTGGGCGGAGGCAGGTGGGCGGAGGCAGGAAAGGAGGGAAGGGGAGGGAAGGAACGTGGAACCGGTAGGAAGATAGGGATAGAGCGGCGCGCTGAAGCGGAGTGTTTGTGGACGAGGGATGTTTGCCCATGTTACACTGCAGGGCAGCAAGGGTCCTACCTTGTACGGCAGTCTGGCAGCTTCCTCCTGTACGGCAGGGTCGTCGTATGGCCGGCCTATGAGGCGCTTCACGCTGTAGTAGGTGGTGTGCGGGTGGGAGACGGCGAGGCGCTGGGCGGCACGGCCCACCACCACTTCACCTGCGGGGGGTCGGAAGGGAGGGAGTGGGGTTTGGGGCGTCAGTGTAGATAGGGAGATAGTGTGCAAGGGTTAGGGGGGCTGGGAATGGGAGACTGAGGAGAAGGGTGGTGCGGTGAGGAGGCATGGGTGGAAGGATGAGCTGTAGTGAACGGTTGGCAAACAAGGACATGAACCGTGGACTGCCTTGTTGCTGCGAAGAACCTTGTCGTGCGATGATTGATGGAAGTGTCGTGATGTGTAACAAGCCAACAGCAGCTGTACGGCGACTCGACTGCCGTACCGTCTTCGAGTACGCTGACGACAGAGGGCGTGATGGTCTCGCCGTCCGCATTTGGGATGCATTTGGGTCTGCCGTTTTCAATATATGCTACCGCGGAGTTGGTGGTGCCAAGATCGATGCCGACAACCAGCTCTCGCTGAAAGTCGCGCAGCTTGGCATGAACTGCAAGCTGACGCCTGCCTAAACTCCGACGCCCATGGTGACGGTAGAATCGATTGTAATTTTGTTGAAGCTTATTAAGTACGCAAGAACGAGGCTGCATGTCGCCTAAGTAGTTGACCGCAATTCTGGCCGCACGACGGCCTGCCAGTTACCGCGAGGCTAACGTGTAATTCTAAATTGCATTACAACGATATGTAAATCCAAGATAACGGGTCGTCGGCCGCAGTTAGGCACCTTCAGCCCTTCTACACTTGCCGCGCAGCATGACTGTACTGCAGAGCTGATTAAGCCGACGCGCTGTTCCTTCTAGTGCATAAGGTATCATACAAAGCAAGCTTCTCACGCAATACCTATACCACCAGTTTAACCGAAAATCTACGAGGTCGTGCAAACAGGTCACAGTGCAACATGGTGCGCAACGTGGTCCTCGCGGCAACTCAGTTCGCGTGCAGCGAGGACAAGGCCGCGAACGTGGTACGCAACGAACCGCCATAGCTTACAATATTATTTAAACCATTATAGCTCCGAAGCAAAGATCCGCCGTACACATGAGCTCCTCTTTGCAGGCCAAGGCTGAGCAGCTGGTCCGCCAGGCTGCTGCTGCAGGAGCCCAAATCATCCTGCTGCAGGCAAGATCATGCCAGCGCAGGAGAACCTAGGCTGTTGATGTGCATCCTTGGGACGCAAAGTTGGCTGCCGGGAACTGACAACTGCTTGGGTGTTGCAGTGGGAGGCTGGATAGTTTGGGGTCCTGACCCCCCTAGGTGCAACCAAGCAGGAAGGGCGTACCGACGTGTTAAAAAGGCATGCCAAACCTTCAATTGGAAAGTTCTTGGCATGCTTCCCATTTCGGTTGGTCCGCATCCCCGCATCCCTAGCTCCTGCGGCCCCGTGCCCATACAGGCGATACAGCTCAACCTTATCTCCCGTCCCCCCTTTCCAGCCCTCCTCATTGATTCCCCTGCACCTCCCTCCTCCCTCCTCAGGAACTGTTTGAGAGCCTGTACTGGTGCCAAGTGCAGGAAAAGGTACGACACAACAGCACCCTAAAGGAGGAGCGCAGGAGGCATGCTGCCGCATGCGACCCCTGGGTCAGCTGCGGCGCCCCCGAACCCGCCAACCGCCTTGGCATGCCGTTCACACCCACACCGGGGCGCCGCGTGCGCCTCCCTACATCCCTGCCCCGGCATGTACTGCAATACCCGCTGTACGGCAGCTGCTAGATTACAAATAGTGCACCGATCGTCGGCAGTCATGCAAGGCACGTCGGCCCCCAACCTAAGACCCAACCCCCGCGCCGCGTGCCGCCTCCTTGCTCCCCCCGCCCCCCTCTTCCCCCAGGAGTACTTCTCCTGGGCTGCTCCCTTCGAGGGCCACCCTCTCATCGCGCGCTTCGCCGCACTGGCGCGGGAGCTGCGGGTGGTGGTTGCGGGTGGGAGGCAGGGAGGCAGGGGGAAGGGGGGCCTGGTGCAGGCGTGGCTCGGAGGTCGGGGATGCAGCATGAGTCATGCGGCCCGGCGCGTGAGGAAAGCGAATGCGCCACCATACCAATACCATCACGCCCTCACGTCACCCGAGTCGGTGCTCCGACGCTACTGCTGCTGTTGCTGTTCCACACCCCATAGCCCTCCCTCCACCTCACCGCCCTACCTATCGCCCGCCCTACCCCCCTGCCCTCCACTCTGCGACTCACCCACCTCCTCCGCATGTGGCCCACCTCCTCCTCCCTCCACCGCCCTCTCTCCTCCCCCTCCCTCCCCCCCCTCCCTTCCTGCAGTTCCCTTCTTCGAGCGGGCCAACAACGCGCACTTCAACAGTGTGGCGCTGGTGGATGCGGACGGGGCGGTGCGGGGGCGCTACCGCAAGTCCCACATCCCGGATGGACCCGGGTGGGGGGGAGAGGGGGCGGGGTGGGGGGGAGAGGGGGTGGGGTGGGGGGGAGAGGGGGCGGGGTGGGGGGGAGAGGGGGCGGGGTGGGGGGGAGAGGGGGCGGGGTGGGGGGGAGAGGGGGGGGGGTGGGGGGGAGAGGGGGGGGGGTGGGGGGGAGAGGGGGGGGGGGTGGGGGGGAGAGGGGGTGGGGTGGGGGGGAGAGGGGGTGGGGTGGGGGGGAGAGGGGGTGGGGTGGGGGGGAGAGGGGGTGGGGTGGGGGGGAGAGGGGGTGGGGTGGGGCGAAAAGGTAGAAGTGAAGCGCTGAAGCCCAATCCAGTGGGGCGGGGCCGGGTGCGGCTAGGGTGCGGCTCGGGTGGGGTGTTGCTGCGGCTGGTCCCCATCCATATGCGGTGTGCGGACCAGTATGTGGCGGGTAGGGGGCCCATGGAGGCAATGCGGCTTCCCGGCTGCAATCCGCCACATGCTGATCGCTGCCTCCTGTTGCCCTCTCGGCTCATCACCCTGCGGTTCCCTATGGTTCGGTCTTTTGACCTCCCCCCCCCCCCGCAGCCTCCCGAGCCACGCCATGTGCCCCCGCATCCCTATATGTGCCCCTGACCAACCCAACTTCCCCCCCCTTCCCCCCTGTTTCCTCTCCCCTCCCCCCCCTCACAGCTACCAGGAGAAGTTCTACTTCAACCCGGGTGACACGGGCTTCCGAGTGTACGACACCGCGTACGGGCGGGTGGGGCTGGGCATCTGCTGGGACCAGTGGTTCCCGGAGGCGGCACGGGCGCTGGTGCTGCAGGGGGCGGAGGTGGGGGTGTAGAATAAACCAAACCACAATGTTAGGGCAAAAGCAATGGGTATTGTTGGCAGGGAGCCACAAAACATGGGAGGGTTAGCAGTCCTTACCGATACCGATGCTCCAGAGGAAGCGATTTTGCTGCATCCGGTGTGCTGTAAAGAGCCAACTATGGAGTAGTCTACTCGTCGCTGAGTGTTGAGCGTCGTCACCAAGGCCCCATGGGATGTCGCTCGGACATGGCAAAACAAGTAGGGTGAAACGTGTGTGACGTGGTGAGCAAACAACAACAACAACAAACGGATCACGAAGCTGATTTAGGTGGGGGTGGAGGGGAGGGAGATTGGGGTAGCGCGGGGCCCCCCGGGGGCAGAGGGGTGTAGGGAGCCAGCTGTCCTTGCGCGCTGCCCGCCCCCGTCTTGTTTGCCATCCTCATACAACACATTGGGTCTCCTTCTTTCCCTCTTCTTTCCCCCACCCCCCACCCCCACCCCCCAGGTGCTGCTGTACCCCACTGCCATCGGCGGGGAGCCCGAGCTGCCCGACTTCAACTCCTACCCGCACTGGATGCGCGTGCAGCAGGTGGGAGCTGGGGGGGCTGGGGGGGCTGGGGGGCGGAGAGGGAGGAAGTAGGCCTCCAACTCAACCGGACATGACATCGGGTCGCCCCGCTGCTGCTGAGCAGCCGGGAAGAAGCGCCGCAGCCGGGAGCTGGCTTGACCCCTACCTTACTACCACTGCAAACCACACCACTCCGCCCCCTTGGCCCTCCCCCCACCTGCCCCTCGCCCCACCTGCCCCTCGCCCCACCTGCCCCTCCCGCCCCCCTGTCAGGGCCACGCGGCCGCCAACCTGGTGCCCCTGGTCGCCTCCAACCGCATCGGCACGGAGCAGCTGCCGGGCGGCCGCCCCAACACCTACTACGGAGGCAGCTTCATCGCGGGGGCGCAGGGGCAGGTGCTGGCGCAGGTGGGCGCCGCAGCGCTGCCCGAGGGGCACCCCGCCGCCCGCCCCGACCCCGTGGAGGGCTTCGTGACGGCGCGTGTGGACCTGGACGCGGCAGCAGCGGAGCGGGCGGGCTGGGGCGTGTTCAGGGACAGGAGGCCGGACCTGTACGGCAGCCTGATGAGCCTGGGGGGCAGCAAGCCGTGAGGGAGGAGGGGGGGAGGGGAAAAATTATCTAATAAATGCAAACATCTAGGGAGGGAGGGGGGTAAGGAGGAAGAAACTGACGAGCTTTATGGAGGTGGAGGGTGGAGAGGAGTGCCGGTACTTGGTTGGTTGTTGGGCTGGACTATGGGTTGATTGGTTGGTGGCCATGATGGGTAGGCGGTGTAGGGTTGAGCTTGTGCATACGTGATGTAGGCGGCTGTGTATTGTTGGCATGGTGGTTGGTGGGTTGTCGGTTGGTTGTCTGTTGTGCGCATGACGCAGACGCTGAAAACGCTTCCTTTGCGTCAGGGATGTAAGGCAAGGGAGGCAGGGGGGACGCAAGCAGCTGGGAGCCCAGTTGTTGTAAAAATTAGGGATTGCAGGCGGATGAGTATGCTATAAGCCAGCCTGGTAGAGAAGTATGGAAAGTACGGAAAGCCCGTTGCTCACCGCCGGGCGGGGGGCCACGGCGTGGACTTTGCGATGCTGGCGGGTTTTTGCGGTTTCACGCCACAAATTTGCTTCGTCTTCTTTTGCGTATTATTTTTTGCCCAAAGATGTGTAAATGAAGTTAGCTTTGACCCCGCCAGTATGAGACACTAGTCCAAAGCTGTAGCCTCTGCATTTTTTAAATACAACAGCGGAGCTCCAGTCTATGACAAAAGACGTTTAGGTGGGTCGGTCCTCGGCGTTCAGCGTGCCCACCATATGCAGTCGACCACGTGGACATGTCAAACGCAGCTTTTAAATACCTTCCACTGTAGAAGGAAGGGCACATGCTACCCTCGAGTTTAAAAGGATTATGTGCTTGCTAGGTGGGGCATCACTTCAACAACAAGCTTCCGGAACAGGAAACAAGTATAGGGCTAGCATTATACAGTACAGGGCTACAGTAGCAGGGCAAATGCTGCGATGTATGTGGACGATTTGCTTTTGATACATTTTCTTGGGATATCGGCTGTTCGCTTACCTGTGGCAAACGAAGCCCAATCTTATCCAAGGAATGCCACATAGCTAGGTTGTAGTCAGCAACGCCAGAGTCAGCACGCTGGAGGTCATAGTACAAGAGGATACAGCAAGTATGCCACGCTACAACCGCACGGGGGAGCTGCCTTGACCCTCCTTGCCTTCAGCGGCACGGTTGGGAAGCTGCCAGCCGTACAGCAATACGAAGCTGTAGTATAAGAAGGCGGAGGCGCACACGTGTAAAACTTGTTATCACGATAAAGAACTGGAAACGTTATTACATGAAACCCGAGAAGATGCTTCGTCCAGTTTTTCTTGCCCTCGTGGCTCTCGCAGCCATAGTGGCTGCAGTTGAAGGCCAGTCAACCCCTCCAAGCGCCATTGGCAGCCCTGTTATGGCATACGCTAAGCTTACTAGGTCCCCTGGCGTGGTAAGGCGCTTGGGTATCCGTATTATATCGTCAACAAAGGCCGCTTCGCGCGACATTCTATGTACCGATTCTACCTTGTTCCCATTGCTTTGTATATGCCTGCACTGGATTGAACTCATTGTGATGTTTCCCTCGCCCCGTCAACCTTTGGCTTTGACAGAAGACGTCAGGTGGCACGGGCACCGCCACGCTTACCTTGCCGCGCCCAGACAAGGGTAATGCTACTCTAACTGTCAGCTTGTCAGGCTCCATGAAGAACGTCACAATGGTGCACTTGTACTCGGTGAGGTGACACTAAGGTTATATCCCAACGTTTGGGTCCTTGCGCTGTCCTTGTGCGGCTGCGACCATAAGCATTAAACGGGGTGCTTACTTGCTTTCTTGATGTCGGAAGCGCTCTCGACTAGTGTGTAGCCCAGCGAAGACCAGCATGCTATGCATGTACACGGCTCACAACGCACTCGCCTCACCAACGGACATTCGTCTATCAACTGCTTCAGTTTTCACCTCCCAAACTCTCTGCAGCGCACCTTCCGTGTCAGCAGAGCATACTTCCTGCTGCTTACCTCAGCTAACCAACTATCACATCCCAACCGCTGGCTGCTCCACATCTCACAGAAAAACTCCACTGCCAACCCAATCCTCTACGACGTCCTTCCCCGCACCACCTCTGGAAAGCCCGTCTCGCTCGACCCACCCGTGTCCTTTACCGGCGGCTTCTACTTCAGCGTTCCCATTACCCTGGACCACATCCAAATGTGGAGCAAGGACATGAACTGGCTCGGCTTCCTGTACCAGCTGCAGCTAGGAGAGATGTACATCAAAGTCCGCACCGTCGCTAACCCGGGTGGCGAAATCAGGGGCCAACTGCAGTGCGCCAGCAACCCCTGCGCCTGGCCCATGTGCGGTGTGACCCCCACCACCCACTGTTAAGCAGCTCGAGTCCAGGGAAGCCATCTGACGACATTGTGGCCGTAGGCTTCGCGCTGGGGGCCTGAACGGGCCTCCATCTCTTATAACTTGCTTTTAAACCGGTGTACTGCTCCGGCCGCGTTTAGGCGGTTTAGTTTGTTTGGTCAGGGAAAGAGGAGTCGGCGGTGGGATGGTTGTGTGCAATTGATGATGAAGCCCTGGGGCCATGGCTGGAAAGAGGCCATGCGAGCTGTCGCAAATGGGGTGTGGACACTGTTTTGCAAAGGGATATGCCAGAGGAGAGCGCTGTCGGGTATCGAAGATCACTGCAGGTGGTGTTGGTTGATGGGAGGAGGTTGCTGGTGTCTACACCGGTATGTTGTAGAGCGCGCCGAAGATGCATGTTGTGTATTGGCATACAAGCATTCGTTCACTTGTGTTCGTTCGTACGAGCTTCGGCAGCCGCACCAGGCATCAGCATACGCGGGCGACTGGAGGGTTGAAGAAAGCAGTTTGTTTGTGGTGGTGTCGCTCCCATCCCCCACATCTCGTATTGCAGCACACATCAGTACTATGGGCATGGCACACCGGTGAAGCGGGCGAGCGATGCGGTGGCTCTTGTGGGGTTTGTAATGGTAGGTGGTTTAAAGTCGTCAAAGCGTGATCAGTCGTCGGCATGTGTGTCCGTGCACATGTTGACTTGTACGACAATCGATTCAACTGCCAGCAGCAGTCTGTCTGGCTTGCTCCTACAGGTATTTATTCCTCCGTATCTGTCGTATGACTCTCGTTAAGTGTAGTGATCCCTGTGTGGGGATATACTTCATAAGTGTCTGGCATTTGGATTTGGCTGTGATAGCGAGCTGTACGGAGTTGTAGCAAGGAGGTACAGCCAATGGTGGCTGGCCGCATGAGGAGAATGTTAAGAAGGTAGTACATAGTACGTCCAACGTGCGAAGTTCTCACGAGGGTCACGACTTGTATTCGTTTTTGTAGCAGCACGTGAAACATAGCTCTAATATCTAGCCTAAAATTTGCCGGAATAGCGTATGTGGCATCACGAAGGCGTGACGGTGGTTGGGAGTGACGGTGGTTGGTGGTTGGGAGTACCTTTGTACCTCTTTTGGTCTTTGGCGCCAGAAAAGGCCCAAAGTAACCACTTGGCTCCTAAATAATTACCCAGCCTGAAAAGTTTTAAAAACACTGGCGCCAGTGTCAATTGGGTATTTGGCATGGTATGGCTAAGTAGTAGGGTACTTGCAGTGCGAAGCCGGAGCCGCAATGCACTTCCGTACGTACGGAGGAACAGTGTGCATATGAGCATGAGGCGCACCGATGGCTGTGGTCATTGGGGTTGGCTTGTTGGTGTTATGTTCGCCTGGCCTCCTGTCTTTAGTGTCACAATGCTGTAATGAAATGCTGTTACTGATGGGTTGTTTTGGTTGTGTGGGATGGTCTCCCGCCCCAATCAAGGGACGTGCGGGAGGCGCACGCCCTGTTGCACCCATGAAGGAGCCGAGCAATGGGCAGGCGTACGGGGCAACATGCAAGGCCCAGGGAATATGATCTCGACCTTTTTTTAACGGGTGCTGTGTCCGCGCATGCAGAGGGGGGGACCCTTGAGGCGTGGCACGTGGTTTGGTGTCAAATACAGGTAGGTGGCGTGGATGCTAGTAGCACGTAACAGCCAGCGTCTGATATACCGTATGCATGCGCGCAAACTATGACTCGGGCTGAGAGCTGCTTATTTCACACGCTCGGGGTTTTACAATCAATGCCGCAAGGCTTACAGTGTTGTACGCACCTAGAGATGCTTGGCCCACAGGCCCCATGACAGCGTGACCAGCTGAATTTTGCGCAAAATTCAGCTGGTCACGCGGTCATGAGGGATCTCCTTGGCCCGTCACTTCTACTCTTTTACCTCCCTGCCACGGCCACGAGGTCCCCCATTATCCCCCAACCCTCCCTTCCTAGCTTATAGTGCAAGTCAGCCCCCCACACACCCCTACCTGTACCACGCGCCCTTCCGTTTGGAAATAAATGCATGCGCCGCAACGACCTACAGGACGGCCACAAGTTCCTGCCTTGTCGCTGTGCATGACACCTCACATTGCCTGCGACATAATTGGCCCAGCTCGGTATGGCGAGCTTTGACAGCCAATTGCACGTGGTGTGTTCGCTATATGTGCTAGAGGTGTAGCCTAGCCGGCTTTACGTGTGTAAGATGCAGGCATGGTAAACAAGTCAAAAGGGGATTGCGAAGCCAGGTGCTGCACGGGTCCTGTCTACGAGCAGATCAACTCCAGCTGCAGGCCTGCAGCTGAGGAGCGCGACGGTGGACACTTTTAATAAGCGTGTCCGACCGCGTTTTCGTCGTCCAATAATCTTGCAAGCCATACTTGGAAAATTGGTAGCCAGGATAGCACAGCTGTCGCGACTCTACTTTGCTTAAATTCTTCTCCATCTCGCCCACGTCGTATAATACATAGTTATGCGCCAGATGCATGTAGCTTTGCGATGACAAGCGCTGGAACGGTTTCTGTGACCTTGCAGTTCATCGCCGGGCGTAGACATGTAGCGGAGCTACCAAACCAGTGCTCCGTAAGGCTTTAGACACTTTCGTATATTACTATCTTGTAATGAAATGTAAGGACTGTGCCATGCCCCGGAACAGGTCGAGGACATTGTGCGAGCGGTTGAGCATGCCTTCGGCGCTGTCACGTCCGGTGGCGTGAAGGTCGTGCTAAGGGGCGCGGCGCTTCCAGTGGATCGCCCGAGCCAAAAAGTAACATTGAAGGACGGAGGTAGGTGCGGTGGTGTGCCTCATGCCCCCGCCCTTAACCCCTACACTGCTGTCCTATGCCTAGGTATCCTCTTGAGGCGGCCTCCCCACTGCGTTGCCGGCAGCCTCGCGAACTGGTTGACTTCCTAGGCTCAACAACTGTCCGTTTGTGGTCCTCTGCGAAACGGAGCATGTGTCACAGACCTGAACGGAGTTGTCACCTGGGAGCTGGATGCCAGTTCGCTCGCACCTGCCATCTTCGCCTTCCTCTCCACCCAGCCAGGATACTGCTGAAAGCCAGTCTCCAACCCATGTCTTGTACATCGCTGCCCGTCCGCCACACCTGCTGCCTAGCTCTCTTCCATCCTCATGCTTCCACCCGCAAACCCGATATCCCGCCACCTCCCCACCCGCCCCCACACAGACCACCTACTAGTCGCCCCCCAGCGCAAAGCACCCTCGCCCGAACTCGTCGCAACCGTGACCCGCGGGTCAGTCGGCCGCCGCCACCCAGATGAGGACGACGACGAGGACCGCATCGCGCTCCCCCCGGGCACCCCCGCCTGGGAGGTGGCGGTGGTGGAGCTGCTCCGCACTCGCGCCCGCTGCCCGGACTGGCTGCTAGAGTGGGTGGTGCTGCTGCGGCCGCGGAGATTCGCGCTGCTGGCTGCCTTCCTAGTGGGCTGTCGCCTGGCCTGGGCGCTAGGACTGGGCCCGGTGTTTGTGATTGCGTGCCTCATTGCCAGCATCTTTGGCAACCTGGGGCGGCGGCGTGCGGGGGAGGTGTCGGCGTACTCGATCTTCAACCGCGGGGTGCAGCGGCTGCCGGGGCAGCTGGACGCGGATGAGATCGACAGGCAGATGCGGCAGGGGCAGCTGGGGTGAGGCAGGCGCGGAGGAGAGGCGGTGGTCGTGGCTGTTGGATTGTGGCAGTGCCACCGAGGTCTATGAGCGACTGGTGGGTTTGGTTGGTCGCCTACACGAGGTGTACGGCATGAGGTGTTGGCCGTGCTGGCCATGGGAGTCGATGACAGCTGATGACAGGGTGTCATGGCGTGACATCGCTGAGCCGTGGTGCTCGTGCAACGACATGCAGGTACGGTTGCGAGGCAAAGGAGCGATGTTGGTGCATGCATGCTGGGATGGTGGCCACATGCAGCGTGGAAGAGCACCAGCACGAGGCACCCGTATTGGGGTCCTTACCTTGCGTCCGTGGCGTACTTTAGAGTTTAGACAGTCAGTTAGGAGTTATGTTGTGAGGAGTTAGTGAAGCAGGCTATTGTGTGCTTCGGAGGGACCGGTGACGTTGGGGGCGACGAGTTTGGTGCGAGGTGGCGTGAGGGGCGCTGTGTCATCCCCGCACCTGCTCTAGGTGGTTGTCCGTCAGGGGGAATGCTGTTGATCGACAGGGGAGAATGCTGTTTAGAGCCGCACCCAATGGAGGAGGATAGCTGTGACCGCCGTTCACTCAAATATGCCAGGCTGTGGCGAGAACAAGTATGTTGCCGGCATTTCGCATCTTTTCCCGGAGCATTTTAGCGTGCGGCCTTTCCGCGTGAATGCCGTACCGGCGTGCTACCTTGCTTAAATGGAATGATTCAAGTCGGCGGGCAGAACGCTGTCCCCCGGAAGAAAGCCATACGAAACCCGCTTGCTAGCGTTCTTCTTCCGCGTCCTCCTGCCTACGCAAACATGCCTGGCTCTGCACTACAAGGGCCCAGATGCTGCCCCTCCACGCATACACAACCCACCCCACGCCAAGTCCCTCTACTGGCGGGCAGGGAATACCTGTACCGGTACTGTGATCCACTGCCGATTGTTTGGGACGACGCCGCCATCTCACATGGCACAAGAAGGACCAGCCATGTCCAACCCGACGCAAACTCCGCACCAGATAGCCTACCCAAACATCAAGCCCGCCATCAAACCGGCGGGGTCCTGATACGTGCCACCACACTCCACGAATGCATGCATCGTCATATGAGGGCAATGCACGAGCATCATCCAAACACACTCATGCAGGTCATACCTTAAAAAGAATGGACCAGGGCACACCACCAGAGAGAACCTACCGCACCAGAACCCAGCAAGCGCCATGTGCGATAACGGTATATGGACGGAATTGGACGGCATACCTGAAACCCACACCTGAAACAATAGCCTAACCAGGCAACAACACCTACACATCCATTCCTTGCAGTCAACAACAATTGCAGACATCCACGAAGACAACCACTTGACTAACACTAGATCAAGAGAGCAGTGTTCCTTAACGTTTCCAAACGAACACAGCACACAAGAGCCCATCCCAGCTCGTCACCCCTCACTCGGGGCCCTCTCCTCCCTCTCCCTCATCCAACTGCGCATACCAAGGGGGGGGAATACACACCACGCAAAGAAACGTCACACTGGGACACCTCCTCCTACGTCCTCCTCCTCTGCGACTAAACGCCCACACCTGTCATGTCATACCCCGACCTACACCCCCCACTCCGTCACAACAGCGCCGACCCCACATCGCCCTCATCCCCACACCTCACTGCTCCTCCACGCCATTGCTCTCCGCACCTCCTGCTGACACCACCCCGTTCTCCACCACCGCCGCAGGTGCCCCCTCCTTCCCCTGCTCCTCCTCCGCCTTCCCCTTCCCCTCCTCAACCACCACCTTCCCCTCCTTCGCACCGCCCTCCGCTTCCGCACCGCCCTTCGCAACCCCCTCCTTCTCCTCCTTCTCCGCCGCCCCTGCCCTGCTCAGCATCAGCCCCGCCCCATCCGGCCTCACGCTGGCGGTGATGGTGTCCCCCTCGCTGAACGCGTTCCGCAGCAGTGCCTGCGCCAGCAGCGTCTGGAGCTCGCGCTGCAGGGCGCGCTTGACGGGGCGGGCGCCGTAGGCTGGGTCGTAGCCGCGGGAGGCCAGGAACTCCACAGCGGGGTCCTGGGGGGGGGAGAGGGGCGGGAGAGGGAATGAGGGGGAGGGGAGGGGAGGGGATTAGACCAAGTTCTTGCAGGTGGGGGTAACCCGTGCGGGAAGGTGAGAGGTAACAGAGATCCTGAAAGGCATGTACACCAACAACGAAGCAGGAGTCCAGCAGCACGAACACCTCCCTCCCTCCCTCCCTCCCTCCCCCTCCCTCCCTCCCTCCCTCCCTCCCTCCCTCCCTCCCTCCCTCCCCCTCCCCACCGTCAGCTGCAGCCTCATGCGCCGCTCCGCCAGCCTCCCCACCAGCCGCTGCGCCCGCAGCGTGACGATCTGGCGGATCTGTGCGGGCTGCAGCGGGTCGAAAGTGATGAACTCGTCCACTCGGTTGATGAACTCTGGGGGCGAGGGGGGCCAGGGGTTAGGGGGAGATGGGTATTCCGAACAGGCTGGAAACCTAAGAATTGCGTGTAGCCTTACTTATAGCCCTATTTAGAGGGAATGGGGGAGGAAGGGAAGGGAAGGGAAGGGAGGAGTTGGGTAGAGGTACGGATAACTGGGTTTACTTAGGTTCGGGGAGCTCAGGCAGCGAACGAGCGAAGGTGAAAGCAAGGAGCGAGACCCACCCCCTCCCTCCTTCCCTCCCTCCTCTCACCCGGCCGGAAGTGACTCCTCACGTGCTCCATCACCTTCTCCTTCAGTGCCGCCCGGTCCGCCTGACCTCCGTTACCGTTACCGTTGCTGCTGGCGCCGTTACCGTTGCCCCCGTCTGCAACCGCCCCATCCTCTGCGGCCCCCGCCGCTGCTCCCGCGCCTCCTGCCACGTGCGAGAAGATCTCGGACGAGCCCAGGTTGGAGGTCATGATGATGACGGTGTTCTTGAACGACACGGTGCGCCCCTGCGCGTCCGTGATGCGGCCGTCGTCCAGGATCTGCAGCAGCACGTTGAACACGTCCACGTGGGCCTGATGGGGGGAAGAGAGGGGGAGGGAGGGGGGAAGAAATTATGAGTGAATGCATGTACCCCATGTACCGATTAACGGGGGAGGGAGGGGAGGAAAGGGTCAAGACGGAGGATGTTAAGGATACGGTAGGAACAGGAGCAGTAGGAGTTGAAGAAAGCAGCGATGAAAGCACCTCACGCACACAGTGTACTACACTGACTTGTCTCCCTCAATACCATCATCGCCCATCAACATCATCCCCACCTTTTCAATCTCATCAAACAGCACCACGCTGTACGGCCGGCGCCGTACGCTGTCCGTGAGCATGCCGCCCTCCTCGTACCCCACGTAGCCCGGCGGCGCGCCGATGAGCCTGCTGACCGCGTGCTTCTCCATGTACTCACTCATGTCCAGCCTCACCATGGCCTCCTCCGTGTTGAACAGGTAGGCGGCGAGCGCCTTGGCCAGCTCGGTCTTGCCAACACCTGCAGCAGGGGGGGGGAGGGGGAAGGGAAAGGGGGAGGAAAGGAGGGAGGGGAGGGGGGTGTTGAAGACGAAACCCCATGTGGCATGGACCATGTGACCACGGGTTGCACCTACTAAGGTGGCATGAAACACAGCGGGTGTGGAACCTAAGTGCGATTGCGGGTGCGGTGCGGTGCGCGTGCACGCAGGACCCCGCGACTGACCCGTGGGTCCCAGGAACATGAAGGAGGCGATGGGACCGTTGAGGTCCGCCACATCCGCCCTGCTGCGCTGCACCGCCTCCGCCACCGCGTCCACCGCCTCCTCCTGCCCGATGATGCGCCGGTGCAGCTCGTCCTGATGGGGGGGTGAGGGGGCGGGTGGGGGGGTTAGGGCGGTGTGGAGGGAATACACCAACGCTCCAAGCGGCAATTGGGAGTGCCTGCCTGTTTGCAACTGCCGCCCTGACAAGGTACATTAGCCCCTGGCCCTCCCTCCTCCTCCTCCTCCTCCTCACAATTCGCCCCCCCCTCTCCTCCCACCTGCAGTCCCAGCAGTCGCTCCCGCTCGCTGGCAACCAGCTTGGTCACCGGGATGCCTGCAGCAGCAGCAGCAGCAGCAGCGGGCGGGGGGGGGCGGGGGGGTTAAGAGGGAGGTGGAGGACTAGAGGAAGGTTGGAGTGGAGGGAGATGGGACGAGGAACGGAGTGTGCAGCCGGAGCAGTGTGAGCAGTGACTTGTGTACGCGAAAGGGAGGGAGGGCGAAACACAGAGAAAGGGTATTAACAAGCAGCATGTGCCTGTTTCGGTTTCCGTTATGCCCTAGCACACACATACACCATCAGGCGTTCCGCCAAACGCCCAAACGCCCTTGCAGCTTGCAACATCCTGACGCCTCCCCACCCCCACGCCCCCCACTCACCCGTCCAGCGGCTAATGACGGCGGCGATGTCCCCCTCCGTCACCGTGTTACGAACCAGCCGCCCGCCACCACCACCATTGCCGCCGCCGCCTCCTCCTCCTCCGTTCGCCGCCGCCGCCGCCGCCTGCTGCTGCCGTACCTTGGCCAACGACTTATCCACGTCAGCCAACTGCTCCTTCAAATGCGACAACATGGTGCGACCCATGCTACTGCCGCCGCCGCCACGAGCCCCCTCTCGCCCGCCGAGCCCGTTGCCGTACACACCACTCGACAGGGGCCCAGCCGCCTCCTCCTCCTCCGCTGCCTCCATCGCTGCAGCTGCTGCGGCGTCCTCGAAGCCCGTGTAATAGTCGTCCTCCCGCTCCCCATCGTCCTCCTCCTCCTCCTCCTGCTCGCCGCCGTCAGCAGTGTCGCCCTGCTCGACCGCCATGGAGCTCTCTAACCGCCCGATCTGCAGCACGGAAACGGCAGGGGGGAGGACGGTAAGATGCGGCGCGGTGCTGGAGGTAGGTCGCATTCGGGCAGTGTTCGCCAGTTGTTGTCGGTCACGTCTCAAGCGTCTTAGCTCTTGTTTCCTGCTTGGATGGCACGCCCCCAGTGGCTACGCGTTTCCGCCTTCCCCCTCTTCCCCCCGCACATATCAATATTTCTCCCCCCCCCGCCCTCCCCCCCCGCCCCCCTCACATCCATCTCCAGGTATTGTTTCCGCATGAGCAGCTCCTCCTCCCGCAGCCCCGCCTCCCGCTCCGCCTTCCAGGCGGCAGCCAGCTCGTCGCGCTGGGCGGACACGGAGGCGCGCTCGGCCTGGGGGGGGAGGGAGGGAGAGGTGGGGAGGGAGACGTGGGGATGGAGGGAGGGAAAGAGGAAGACCGGCTTGGTACCGATAGTGGCATAGCTTGTCATGGGGAGGAGGAGGGGTGCACAGGAGGGTCGGGGAGCGAGGTATGCCTCGGAAGGTGGCAGGAACAACCAGGAGAGGACCGTGTCGTACCCCGGGCCCCCCTTCCCCGCCCCGCCCCGCCTTGGCGGCTCTGTGATTACGGTTGCGACCCGGCGCGTCTTGTACGTGTGGCGCCATGCCCCCCGGCCCCGCTGGTTGTGCGCCTCACCTTCTGCTCCCCTTCTCGCCTTTACACCTCCCGCCCACGGACTCCTCCTCCTCTCCCTTGCCACCGGCTCCCCCAGCCCACCCGCCCCCCGCCTCCCCCCCTCACCCTCAGCTCCTCCAGGCACGCCGCCGCCGTCTTGTCCTGCCCGCTCGCCGCCTTGCCCGCCAGCTGCCCCACCTCGCTGTCAAGCTGCTTCAGCCGCCGATCCAGCGAGTCCAGCTGGCCGGGGCGCAGCGTCAGGTCCATCTTGACCTGGGGGGGGAGGGGTGGAGGAGGGAGGGGTTGGGCGGGAGAAGGAGGCGGAGAAGGAGGAGGCGAGGACGAGGGGTTGGAGAAAGGGGTATCGGTAGTGGGCAGGGGCGAGGTATAGCGGGTGTAGCAGGAAGGGGACGGAAGAGGGAGGCGGGCGGAAGCCTGGTATCCCCCACCTGCGCGGTCGCCTCGTCCATGAGGTCGATTGCCTTGTCCGGCAGGAAGCGCCCCGCGATGTAGCGAGCAGACAGCTGGGCGGCGGCCACCAGCGCGTCCTCGCCCACCTGCACCCACCACCACCACAGCGGCAGCGGCCGCAGGGGCAGCAGGGGCAGCAGCAGCGGTAACTCCTTGGGATGCGCTGGGATGCATTCTCATGCATGCATGCAGCACCAGATGCGGGAAGAGACCCTGCTGGGTTGCTGCCAGTCAGCATGTGCCCCCATGCGGGGGTTGCAGCCCTCTGCACACCTCACTTGCCCAACACTGGTGAAGGTACCTCACTGCTGCAGGAGGAGGGCTGCAACCGCCCCTCGGCGCGGGTGGGGGATCACATGCATCTGTGTGCACCTGTGTGCAGGTCTCCGTACAAGCGAACAAGCGACAGCATGTAAGTGTGCGCGAGCCAGCATGCACGCATGCATGCATGCATGCATGCGACCAGGTCAGGTCAGGCCAGGTCAGGTCAGGCCAGGTCGGGCCCCACCTGCACTCCGTGGTGCTTCTCGTAGTGGGGTCGCAGGCCTCTCAGGATGGAGATGGTGACGGGGACGCTGGGCTGGTCGACAAACACCTGTCGGGGGGGGGAGCCGGAGGGGGAGGGAGGGTTGGGGTTGAATGGGGGTGGGGGTGGATAAGTTCGGTAGTGGAGAGTTCGGGCTAGGGGTAAGTGCGGACTGGGGAGGGCCAGGGAAGTGGCACGTGTGGGGGAGGTGATGCTGAACAGAAGCCCCGCGCCAGTGGCAGGCCGGGGCCCAGCGGGCAGCGGCTGAGAGGAGCAGCGGGCGGCCTCCCTTGCCTCCTGCGCCATGCGCCCCAAGCTCCCTCACCCAGCCACTCCGAAACCCCGCGTAAGTTGGTTTAACACATGGTTGGTTCGTTCCTCCTCCCCCCCTCCCCTCCTCCCCCCCTCCCCACCCCCCCACCTGCTGGAATCTCCTCTCCAGCCCCGGGTCCTTCTCAATGGTCTTCTTGAACTTGTCAGTGGAGGAGGCGCCGATGCAGCGCAGCTCGCCGCGGCTGAGGAAGGGCTTCAGCAGCGAGCCGCCGTCAAGCATGGTGGCGCCCTGCAGGGGGGGAGGGTGCATGGGGGGCGTGGCAGTGCAGGGGGGGTTGAGAGGGGATACACGGTGGAGGGTTTCACGTACGGAGGCCTGAGGGCGACAGTTAGGAAGCAGTCCTGCACATCTTTCTACCCCTTTCACCCCACCTCCCCCCCCCCCTTCCCCTCCCCCCCACCTGCTGCCCCATCGCCGGCACCAGGTTGTGTATGTCGTCTATGAACAGCAGCACCCGCCCGCGCGAGGCCGCCACCTCGCTCAGCACCGCCTTCAGCCGCTCCTCGAACTCGCCCGGCATCATGGCGCCGGCGGTCAGGGAGCCTGGGTGGGGGGGGGAGGGGGAGATAAAAGTACCAGTAAGGAAGTTGATGAAAGGGTGGAAAGAGGAGTACCCAACGGGCTAGAGTGATGTGGCAACCAAGACGACAATGGGGAGGGCAAGGGACCAGGGGCAGGGGTGAGGCAGGGGTGAGGTTGCGCCGTCGCCCACCATAAGCTCCCCTCCACCTGCCTCTCCATGGGCTTGGTTTTCCTCTTCTCCCCCCTCCTCCATCCAACCTTTGGACCCCTGGGAACTCCAGGTCCCTCATTTCGGTACCTCCCCCAGCAGCGCCTCCCCTCCCCTGTTCCTCCCTCTCTCCCCCTCCTCTCCTCCCACCCGCACCCCCTCCCCTCCCCCCTCCCCCCCCCCCCCCTCCCTCCACTCACCCACATCCAGCTCCACGATGCGGCAGCCCATGAGGCTGTACGGCACATCCCCCGCCACCAGCCGCTGAGCCAGCCCCTCCACCAGCGCAGTCTTGCCCACACCCGTCTCACCCACCAGAACCTAGGGGGGGGGAAAGGGGGAGCAGGGAGGGGGAGAGGGCAAGGGAAGGGGAGAGGGCAAGCAGGCGGGTAAGGGGGCAGGAACCGACACGGGCAGGCCCAAGCACAACGCCGCTGGTTACTGCTGCTGCGGCGGCAGGGACTGTCCGGCTAGGCCTGCCGGGCGCTACCGGACCAACTTCCGTGTGCTGCCACATCCGCACTGTCCGTAGGGGGAGGAGGGTAGAGACCCAAGTCACGCGCTCCCGGTGCCAGATGCGTTCCGCCTGTCGCTCACACGGCGCCTCCCCACACTCCCTCCCCTCACTCCTGCCCTTCCCTCCACCTCCACCCCTGCCACGCTATCCCTCCACCCATGCACCTCCTCCTTCTCCCCCCCTCATGCCCCCCTCACGGGGTTGTTCTTGGTGCGGCGGCACAGGATGTGCATCACGCGGCGGATCTCCTCGTCCCGCCCGATCACCGGGTCCAGCTTGCCGGCGCGGGCGGCGGCGGTCAGGTCCTAAAGGAGGGGAGGGGGCGGGGGAGGGGCAGGGGAGAGTGCTTGGGTTGTTGGTGTGATGTGGGAAACGGAGCGGCCTCGAGCAACTCTAGTCCAGCGCCTAAACCCTCATCCTGCCATTCCGCGCACCCTCCGCGCCCATCCACAGCCGATACCGCTACCCGCACCTACCCCCCACCACTTTGGATATTTTTATTTCCCCAGGTCCCCCACCTGCGTGAACCTCTCCAGCGGCGTCTGGTCCGCATCCCCGCCCATCCCCATGCCCGGCGGCTGCAGCAGCGCCTTCATCGTGTCCTCCAGCTCCTTCTTGGTCAGCGCATCACTGCCCGCACCGCCCGCCCGTGCCGCGCCCGCTGACCCGTGGGTCACTGGGCCCGCAGCCGGCCCCATTGCTGCTCCGGTGGCGGTTCCTGCTGCTTGCATGGCTGCTGAGAGGTGCTCCAGGGTGACCACGCGGTCCCCAGCGGCCTGCTGCAGTGCGGCGGCGCGGGCCAGCAGGAACTGCACGTCGGGGGCCATGGAGGCCTGAGCGGAGGAGGGAGGAGGGGTGGTGGTCAGGAGGTGTGATGCACATGTGTAGGGAGGAGGAGGGTGGAGGGCAAGTAGCGATGGGTGGGAAGGGTAAGAGGAGTTGGATGGGTATGGAGCGGGAGGAGGTGTAGCGGGGTCGGGCGAGGGGGGTCGAAGTAGGGGCTGAGAAGAAGAGGTCCAGGGCAGGCGATCTGGGGTGATGAGAATTAAGAACGCCGTGGGATAGGCAGGTACTATCAAGGAAAAACCCTTAACTAACATACAAGCAGTCCTGACCAGAACGCAGGACGTGAACATATGGGCTAACAATTCGGCATGGCATTGCCCTTTGCCAAACGCCACACAGGCAATATTTGCACAACCCGGCTTTCCTTAGCACGAAAATAACCCATATCCAATATGGTTTCAAGGCATACAGAAAATGGCCACCTATCGTCTTATGTGCTTACCTAGCCAAGCCCAAGCGTTTCGGACATGACCCAGGGTCATTAAAGCGCCGCCAATAGAACGCGACGAATTCGACAGCGGATAGATGCTCACCTTTTCGCCGCTACCATGTTTTCCTTGAACAGCAACCGCAATTGCGCCCGCGGCCGCAGCCGCGACGGCGCCAACGAACGCCATCTGCGTTGCGCTTGAGCTCGAGGTCGCCGTTTTGACAGCTATCGAGGATACACCTTAGACAATTGTCTTTGTCGTGATTGACACTACTACAATTGTTAAGAAAAGCGAAGCCGCCAGAAGGAATGTGCCTGTTACAGTTCACAGTCTGGGTTGGAACCCTTAGTTGCAACTTATGTGTGTACAAATTGATGTCTCAAATAATGCATGAGAGGATAACAATAAACATACCGGCAGGGCTATCAACGACATGATGCGATTGAGCGTGTTGCACGGAATCTGTTCTTCCTCTCGCTCTTCTGCAGAAGAGTGTATAAGTATATACTCGCGTGAGATCTATACACACTAGAGCTAGCCAGTAACTATGAACCTGTAGGTTACACTTGTGCTACCTGTGTCTGGTTACTACATGCAACCCGGCCCTCGGGCCTCGCTTATCAACTAAGTCATCGCTCAGGAAGCTTGTAGAACATTACTTTTGCCTGCTTGCCAACAGCGTTGAAGCGTGCAGCGTTGGCGCACACGGTGGCCGCCGCGTTAAACGCGGCTGCCGGGCGGAGGAGGATTGCGCAAAGATGATGCATACGGTAGCCGAGTCCTATTTGATAAAGAAGTATGAGCAGTTTCGCCAGAAGAAAGAGGTGAGGAGTTGCCCAATCGTAGGGTGTAGTCGCTGGGCCGGGCCAGGATAGCGATCCGTCTCCTTAGCTAAACAATAAGCATCTCGACTACATGTTTTGGCTTCCTCTTGGCCCATATGCTTTATGTGCCGGATGTTACTACTCATGTTGTCGCCGCGTCTACGAGTTCTGCCCATTCCCGAGCGAAGAGGTCGTTTGTCACCTTGCTTTCCCGTTCTCACATCCATTTTTGCATAAATGTATCATGGTTTGCGCCCAAATCCCTCGCAGGAAGCGGCGGCCGCGCGACGGCAGGCCGCAGCCCAACAGCGTCAGAGCCTAGCCTCGAAGTTGCCCCCCTCCCTGGCACAAGCCCTCGGAGCCGGCGCCGCCAGCCTCTCACTACCCCCGCGAGGCAGCCTGGCGTACTCGGCGCCAAGCCAATCGCGCACTGCCGGCGGCGACACCCCCGCCTCGGCTGAAGCTGCCGCATCTGCGACTGCTGCTTCTGGGGATGCTGCGCCTTCGGGAGAGACTGCCAAGGATCGGGCCCTTCGGGTAAGTTGGCGTGATGGAGGCGGTCGATGTGTAGGGTACTTTCTAGTTGTGAGGATATGGGGAAAGTGAGAAGGGGAGGGGTTGGCTCCAGGCTTGAAATGGTTACCGTAGGCAAATTCAGCCGTCTACAGGGAGGGTTCGAGGTGTGTGAGGGCCTGCGGGCGCTAGGGAATGCGGATTGAAGGCTCGCGGGTGGTGGAGGGAACGCTGGATGTTCGTGGTGTTAAGGCTCCACGGCAACATGGGGGCTCTGGTATGTATGCTTATGTTGATATTGGAAGGGCTTACTCATGTCCACAAGGCAGCAACTGGGTGTCAACAGCTACCGTAAGGGCCTCGGGAACAGTCCGAAACAGAGCCATGAAAGGAACGGCTATGCAGGGATGGAGTAGGGAAACATGGCAACGCGGACAGTAGGGCTGCGGGTAAACAGACGGTTTGCGAGGACAAGACGCCCTCCCTTCTTGTCCTTTACAATCCTTTCTTGTTCTCGCAAAAAGGGAGGTCACACGGATGACAGCCTTTGGTGTGGGTGATCGACTGTGGACGGAGTGGATGTCCTAGTGGGCGGCCTCATGGCCTACAGAGGTGCGGCCACGGGTGCGCCCTTCCATGGGGACCGCGTTAACTCTGCACACGGCAGGGCGGGTCGGGTTGGGCGTGTCCGAGCCGGGCCCCGGAGACCACGGGTGTGAAGGAGCCGGTGGCACCCACCGCGGCCTTGCGAGCTTAAGGGCCCTTAGGGGTGCTCTTCGCATAGGCCGAGGCAAGGCATTCTTTCCTGTGGCGCTTCTTGTTTTGCCTGAAGGGGCTGAGGGACGAGGCTGAGGCCGCATGCGGGAGCTGAGCAGCAAGGGCGGCGCAAACTTTGACAGTGGAAGCCCTGCTGCCAATCCTCCATGTTTAAAAGGACGCATACGATGAATTGGGTTATGGGTATTGCCTTCTTGTTGCTGCCTTACCCCATGATTGATTCTTATTTCCTCCCAGACTTAGAAGCTCAGGTGCAGTAAGCCCACGGGCCAAGCATGCCGTCTCCCGGCGTCCCCGCCTCCCTGTGACCCCACTGCAGGCTCTTCGGATGCAGCGGCAGCGCGCCGAGTCAGGCGACGCAGCCGCAGCCGAGGCCCCTGCCGGGCCGCCCCCCAGCACCGCCCCAAGCGGCCGCAAGCTGCCTAGTGCCGCGCGGCGCAACATGGCGGCTGGCGGAGGCGGCTTCGGAGCACCGCCCACACCGTTGCATGCGCCCATGCAAGAGCCCCAAGAGCCGGCGGCGGCGGGGTACGTGCCACTGACACGTCCGCGTGGCAGCGGCGGCGGCGGCGGTGGTGGATCTGGAGCTGAAGCCGGCGCTGGCAGCGGCGGAGCAGGAGCTTCAGCCGGCGCTGAGGCGGCTGGTGGCGGCAAGGCGCCCGGCCCTCGGCCGGCGGGCTTCAAACCGCCCGTCCCGGCAGGTTTCAAGGCGCCTGTGCCGGCGGGTTTCAAGGCGCCTGTGCCGGCAGGATTCAAGGCACCGCTTCCAGCTGGGTTCAAGCCGCCGGGTCCGGCGGGGTTCAAGCCCCCGGTGCCCGCCGGATTCAAGCCGCCTGTGCCGGGAGGTGCGGGCGGCGGTGGCGGCAGCGACCGCGGAGGAGCTGGGGCGGCGTTGGTGGGCAACAAGCGCTCGACTCCGGAGCCGCCGTCAGGGTCTTCAGCTGGCGGGGCGGCGGCGGAGCCAACGACGTCGTCATACACGCTGCCGTCGTCAAGTATGTCGTGCCCCGGCGGACCATGCGGCGATGCTGCCTTCATCACACGGCATAGTCGCTGCCGCGGTGAAAGCGGCGACGACGGCGATGCCGGAGGTTGGGGCGTCGGCAGCAATCGCATGTCAATACGAGTTCGGTTTAGTGAAGTGTCTTGCGCCAGCGGCGGCGACGGTAGTGACGATAGCGACTGCGATGACGCTGACCGCACTCACACCGGCGGCGGCAGTGGCGGCGTTGGCGACGCATGTGGTACCATCCCCCAATACGACGGCGCTGACGATGACCTGTACGACATGGGCGACGGCGGCGGCAGCGGCGACGCTGCCGCAGCCAACGTCGTCATGGCTGGCGGTGGAAGTGCAGCCGCCGTTGACGTCAACATGACTAACGGCGGCAGCGCAGACGTTCCGGTTCCCATTATGCTACCAGGAGCGCCGGTCCAGGACGCATTAGCGCAGTTTCCAGACCTGCAGCAGCTAGTTGGCAGTGGGATTGGGATTGCCGTCGGCGGCGCCGAGGGTGCGGCGACGGCATGCTTGCCTGGGGAGCATGTCGTACCTCCGGAGGCCGTGTCGGCGGCGGAGGCGCATTCGGCGCTGGCGGAGGCGACGGCGGCGCTCGTACAAGCAACAGCGGCGTTGGCGGAGGCGACTGCCGTCCTAGCGGAGGTGACATCAACGAACCCTGTGCCGATGCCGTTGCCATGCATACCCGATACCGCCGATCCTTTCATGGGGACGGTGGCTGTAGACGGGGCGGCAGTTTGGGGCGTTATGCCGTACGCGCCGCTACCGATGGCCGTGGAGACGCCCGTGTTCGACCCCGCCGCCGCCGCAGCGGCAACCAGCGGCAGCGGCACAACCGCTGAGGGCGTTGTGGTGCCGCCTGGCGACTTTAACAACTTGCTTCCGCCGTTTGACATGCTGCAGCCGTTACAGCCTCTGCAGCTCATGCAGCCCATGGCAGCGCCCGCAGAGGCCGCTGCGTCTGCAACGGCCGCCGCCGCTGCCGTTGCACCCGGTTTCGGGGCCGGCGCCCCTTTCCTGGTGGGCCCAATGGGTGCACCTGCCTTTCCCATCCCCGAAGATGCAGGGGCCGCCGCCGGCCTAGCCCTCCCAGCCGTCCCTGCTGAGCTAGCAGCGGGGGTCGGTGATACCGTGGCAGTGACGGCGGGCTCCGTCGAGGCGAACAGTGCGGCAGCCAGCGGCGCCGTCAGCCCTGTGGCGGCGGACCCTGCTGCCGTCGCCGCCGCTGCTGCTACTGCCATGGAGGGAACCTGCTCTACAGATGGCCTGGTGGCGCCGTTTGACTCGCTTGGGGTGCACTTCGACGCAATCCTGGGCCCGTACGATGCGCTCATGATGGCCGAACGGCCGGGCGAATGGCTACCCGAGCAGGCACATGGGCACGGAGTGGAGCAGCAGGAGGGGAAGGGGGCGGTGCAGACGCATGGCGAGGAGGCCACGGTCGTTTATGGGGAGCATGCGCAGCTCCAGGAGTTGCAGGCAGGTACGTTTGGAGAGAGTCAGCGACAGCAGTATCGACAGCTACAGCAGCGGCCAGAGCTAGGAGAAGTGCTACAGCAGCAGCAGCAGGATCCCCAGCGGCAACAGTGGCATCAGGTAATGCAGGACGTTCCTCAGGAAGGACAGCAGCAGCAGCAGCAGCAGTGGACGTGGCAGGAGCACCCATCGACTGAGCTTCGGGCACCGCAACAGCAGCAGGAGCAGCAGCGAACGGTAGTATACAGGGTCGCGCGCGATCAGGCTTACCAGCAAGAGCAGGAACAGCAGGAGCGGAAAGAGCGACGGGCTGTAGTGAGAGTAACTGGCATAGGACGGGGCAAGCAGCTGCTATCCATGGCTCCAAGGAAGGCTGCGTCCGGGGCTGGGGCGTCCTCTCAGCACCCCAGCAGCGGCAGCAGAAGTGACAATGACCTGGCCTCCGCACCCACACCCGGGGGTGAGGTCGCCATGGAGGAGGCGGAGGCAGAGCCGCAGGCTAAGGAGCAGCCGCCGCCGCCACCGCCGCGGGCGCAGCAGCAGCAGCAGGTGACGCGGCCGATCTTGCGTGTGCGCCTACCCTGGCCGCTGTCAGCCCGCAACCAGCAGCAAAAACAGCAACAGCAGCAGCAGCAGCAGCAAAATCAGCCACACCAGCCACAGCAGCAGTCCAGTAAGCAGCAGCAGCAGCGACATGGTCCGTATCCGCATTCTCTTAGCAACCAGCAGAAACCAACAGGCAATGGCAGCAGCGGCAGCGGCCCCTCCTCGCACCCCATGCGCGCCACACACGGAGGCCCCACGCCCACCCCAACCCCAACCAAGCCCACCACCGCAGCACCCCCAACCGCCGCCGCTCCCTCCTCGCCCTCCCGCTCCTCCCTCGACGGGGAGGACCCGGGCTCGGCTTCCTCAGATGGCGGCACAGCCTCCTCCGAGTCCGAACTAGACCAGGCGGACTATCGGCCGCGCTCGCGTTCCCGCTCCAAGTCACCTGGCGGGCTCCGTGGGGGTGCCCTCCGCAGCGGCGAGCAGCGCCACCGTAACCATGGGCATCACCCCCAGCACCCGCAGCAACGGTCGCGGAGGCCAGGTGAATTCTATCGCTCACGGTCCCGCTCACGGTCGCGGTCGCGGTCTCGCTCGCCGCCCTACCACTTGAAACGTCGCAACTCGCGCTCTCGGGCGTCATCGCGTTCGCCCGGGCGGCGGGCTGCCGGCAGCGGCGGCCTCGGAGGCGGTCGTACGGCAGGGAGGTCAGCATCACGGTCGAGGTCGCGGTCACCGGCGCGGGGCGGTTCGCTGCTGAGCCGGCGGGGCCGAGGCCGCGAACGTGAGCGTGAGTACGATCGCGGTCGCTCGCGGTCGCCCCCGCTGCCGTCATTGGGGGCAGGGGTGCATGCGCACTACCGAGGTGGCAGCGGAGGTGGTGGCGGTAGTGCTGGCGGAGGTGCTGGCGGGGGTGGAGCAGTGGAAGGGGAGAAGGCCGGCGGCATGCGGCGGCGGCGGCGGCGCTGTCGTGGCGGGCGGAGGCGGGCGGCTGGGGGCCAGGCCGGGGCGGCGGCGGCAGTGATGCCGCCTCTGCCGGGGCCCGGGATGATGGATGGCTGCTGGCCGGTGCAACACGCGAATGGAAACATGGAGGGGTAAGGTTTCGGGCTTGACGGGGTTTGCACTTTAGCAGACAAAACACCGGGAGGGATGCCATGGCGGATTCGGAGGGGCCTGTCGCGGGGTGCCCTGCTTCCCCTTATGCAACTATGCATGGTGTCTAACATTCCGCGATGCGGTAATGCAGTTCCAGCGCTGCATCCGCTGCCTTGCTTCTCAACCCGTCCTTTGCTCTCCTGTCCCATCCTCTTACCTCAACAGGAGGCCTGGACTCCGCCCCATGCCGGGACACCCGCCGCACCTTCCACCTCACGGCCCCATGCACGGTGGCCCCATGCACATGGGCCCAGACCGAGAGCGACCCGCGGGTCACCGCAACTCCGCTGACCTCTCAGCCAGGCCCGCCCACCAGGGCCCCGGCCCCGCCAACGGCGCCGATCGGGAGCGCGAGTCGCGGCCGCCACCGCCACCGCCGCCTCCTCACCTGCCTCCTCCTCCCGGCAGCGGTAGCGGTGTTGGCGGCAGCGGTGGCGCTGGTCTGACGCAGCCAGTTGGCCGCGACCACGGCCGAGAGAAGAAACACACCAGCAATACTAGCAACGGTAACACTAACCTCAACAACAGCAGCAGCAACAATGCCAATATCAGCAGCAACAGTGCAGCAGCAGCAGCAGCAGCAAACGTGAACAGCAACAAAAATAACATGAACAACAGCCACCACAACAACAACAGCGTCCGCGAGGGCGGCAGTGGGGCTGCTGGCAGGGAGGCCAGTCGAGAGGCTGGCGCTGGGCCCCGCAGCGGCCCCGGCGCGGAGCCCGCTCGGGACCGGGAACGGGAGCGCGACAGGAGCCGGGATAGGAGCCGGGACAGGGAGCGAGACCGCGGCGAGCCGCACCCCCAGCAGCGCGAGTGGTCAGCAGCAGGAGACGCGGCAGGTGCCGGCGGCAGCGGCAGTGGTCGGGGAGGGGCTCGGGAGCGCCAACAGGGTGGTAGCGGCGGAGGCGGAGGCGGGGATGGTGCCGGCGGCGGTGGCGGCGGCAGGTCGCATGAGCTGGCCTGCACGCTGTTTGTGGGCGACCTGCCTCCGGGGATTAGCGTGCCCGAGCTCATGGCGGTGTTCCAGACCTACTCGCAGGTGGGGGAAAGGGGCTAAGGGGAAGAGCCTGGCGGTACCGTGTCATACCTTCGGGGGGATTTACGGAGTATGGCATACGGTTTGGAGCGTGCGCAAGAACTGGGGTAGTTGATGTTCACGACTGGTGGAATATACACTCTACAATCAGCCGTTGAGAGAGCAGCGCCTTGGGCTTCTTGGCATGGACTGTTTGTTCGTGCGGAAAACAACACCACGCGCCTTTCGCGACGTGCCCCGCAGGAGGTGGTCAACGCCCGGCTAGTCAGCGGTCAACTTTACGGCTTCGTGCGGTTCGCTCGTCCCGAGGCCGCCACCACGGTGCTGGAGCTGTCCCGCTCCATGGGCGTGGAGGCGGGCGGACACCGCCTCACGGTGGCGCGGGCGCAGGGAGCGCTGCCCGACTGGAAGGTGGGAGAGCGGGAGGGTTGGGGAGATGGAGGACTTGTAGTTAGCATGACGGCTGAAGTCGGGCTGGATCCCTATAAGAAGCTGCCAGGGCAGGGCAGGAGTTGCACTTGTTGGTACTCGTCCTGGGTTCCTCGGTAGCTTGCATGCCCTCGCTGATGCGCTGAGCTTTGGTTGCGGTGTTGCACTGAACCTTTAGTTGCCTCTCTTACTTGGCTGCTGCAGAAGACGGGCCCTTCCCAGCAGCGGCGCGAGTATGGCCGGTCGGATGGCTACGGTATGTCTTACGAGCTGCCGCCTATCGCCATTGCGCCGGCGCCGATGCGCATGCCGCGGATGCCGCCACCAATGTTTGGCATGTATGGCATGGGAGGGCCTATGCCATCTGGGCAGCGTGTCACGCGCCATGTCCTGGAATACGATGATCTCTAGCGGAGACAAATTTGGGATCTAGGTTCGCAGGAGTCGCAGCCTAAGAGCTAACGGTCAGAGAGGAGGTTCCGGAGCAAGTCAGGAGCAGTTTGATAGTGTTTGCTCAATGATTATACTAGGTGCTAAGCGTTAGCTGTGATATACGCAGGCCAGCGTGCAGTAGTTTAGTCGTTGATTGCGATGAATTCAGGTTTCGGTGCTGGAATGAACTGGCGACAGGCTAGTTAGTATTTCCTTGCTAGTTGTCGACGTGTCACCTTGTAGGCTTTAGGATTTAATTGATGCCAAGCAGGCTTCAGCTTGTCCCTTACAGGCTCCAATCATGGCATTTTCGTTACAACGGGCAGCGCTGTAATGTTGTGCTTATCTACTTCTTCCCATTGGGAATTTTGTAAAACGTGTGCGCATATTGATTCAACCGGTAGGGCTTACCGTTAAGCGGCATCGTTACTGAAGCACCAAGTACAGTCATTGATCAACGCATCACTGCGAGAGGTTATTTCCTTCGATGAATCAAGAGAGCACATCACCGCCCCCGGCCACGGGCTCTGCGACCAGCGTGCTGGACAACCATGCTAGATCGCAGTGCCTTGTATCGGGCCCAGCTGTGGGACTCGTGAACTTAGGGAACACCTGTTTCTTTAACTCAGCCTTACAGCTGCTGCTAGCCAGCCCACACCTCAACTGGGCTGCTGCAGCATCCCGCATGCCGTCTGCTGCAGGCAGCGGCGCAGCAGGCGATTCTCGAGCTGGCTTGCCAGCAGTAGCGCCAGCGGCGCTGGGGCGCGGCCCGCTTGGCTTTACCCTCCAGCAGGCGCTTCTCAACGTCAACGGTAGGAACCTTGCATGAATACTGTTACCCACCTTGCCGGGTTCGCGTTAGATACCGAGCCGCGCGCGTCATAGCCCATGCAAGCAGCGCCTTACCCCTCGTCCCTACCTCCCGTTCTCCCATGTTCCCCCACCTTCCACTGCTGGAAAGGCCTGCAGCCCCGCCATGCAGCTGCGCCGGGTGCTAGTACGGCAGGACTGGGTGGCGGAATCGGAGGCAAGGGGTCGTACAACCCGCAAGCGCTGCTGGCAGCGGTTTGCCGGGTGGCCCCTCAGTTCAAGGTGGGGCAGGGCGGACGCGTCTGTCGTACAGTTCGCCAGGGCCTTACAGCCTGGGAGCATGAGATGGAGACGACCTTGAAGTGCCATTCACCAGGGGCCCGTATTGGCGGGGCTGCCCATGCGCCTCTCCCAGGCGTGATCCAAAGGCTCGCTCCACGAGCCATACCGCTGAGCCTACCTGCAGAGAACTGAATCAAAGTGCGAGAGGCGAACTGCCCACAGCTGGACAGCGCTGCTGCACCCCGGCTGACAAACCAGCTCACCGTTGCATGCACCCATCTTGAACCCACCCCGCTGCAGTCCCTAAACCCGCTGCACCCCACCCCCTTTCCGCCCCCGGGGCTCGCAGGGCAAGCAGCAGCAGGACAGCCACGAGCTCATGCGGCTGTTGCTGGATGCGCTGCAGGTGTGCGGGGGGAGGCGTGAGAGGGGGGGGGGGCGGGAGTGGGAGGGGGGAGGAAGGATTTGACTGAGCGGGGGAAGGGAGGTAGTTGGGGAATATGGGTTGAGGGCCACGAGGGGAGACAGGCAGCATGCCGGCGCGTATATGAGCTACGGACGGGGTCACTCCTCGCCCGCCTTCCAACCCCCTGATGTCAAAAGTCTGACATCTATTCTGCCGAACTCCGCTACTTGCACCGCACACTTCACCACGACCGCTCCGTCGTCCTGCAGGAGGAGGAGAAGCGCGCAGCCCAGCTGATCCGCCGGGGAAGCAGCAGCCAGGAGACGGCTCCCACGCCGCCCGGCTCACCCCTCCCTGCAGCGCCTCATGCCGCACCTCCCGCCGCCAGCGCCGCATGCGGCGGCAGCGGCGGCGGGACCTCTGCCGCTGGCGGCGCTGACGGCGGCGGCGGAGGCTGTGGATCCCTGATTGCCCGCCTGTTCGGCGGGGAGCTGTGCAGCCGCATCCGCTGCGAGACGTGCGGCCACACCTCCGCCTCCTCGGAGACCTTCTTCGACCTGTCGCTGCCCATTCCGGAGGACCTGCCGGAGGCCGACCCACGGGTCAGAGGGGCGGCGGCGGCAGCAGCGGGTTCCGGTGCTCCTGCGGCGGCGGGTCAGGATGGTGGGGACGGGGATGATAAGGGCAGGGGCAAGAAGGTCGGGAAGAAGGCTGGCAAGAAGTCGGAAAAGCAGCGGGAGAAGGAGGAGAAGGCGGCGGCGAAAGCGGCGGCGAAGGCGGCGGCCAAGCAGGCGAAGGAGGAGAAGAAGGAGAAGGAGAAGGGCAAGCAGGGAAAGGGGAAGGCTGCCGGCGGCGGTAAGGGCAAGGCAGAGGATGTGGAAAAGGCAGTCCCCGCTACAGCTGCTGAGCAGCAACGACCGCCTGGTGCAGCAGCAGCAGCAGCAGCAGGGGCGGCGGCAGCAGCAGGTGACGGGACAGCCGACGGCGACGGCATCAGCGGCAAGAAGCTGTCTAAGAAGGTGCGGGGTCCTCTCCCTCCTCCCGTGCGGGGGTCCTCTCCCTCCTCCCGTGTGGGGTCCTCTCCCTTGTCGGGCACGTCTTGGCTGCACCTTGGTGCACCTTGCATGGAAGGGGGAAGGGGATGCTGGGAGTCCCCGGACACCCGGGGTGGGGTATTAGATAAACTGAGCCGCGGGGTGGGGTAGCGGGCACGTGCCTTGCAGTGCGCATGACTCTTGTTCGTAGCCTCACTGGTTCCTACATCAATGGCTCCATGGGCTCATCCTTCTCTTCATCCATGCCTTCTTCGCTCCTACCCCCTGGCCCCCTTCCCCTCGCCGCCCCCCCGTCCAGCAACTCGCCAAGCAGGCGAAGGAGCAGCGCAAGGTCAAGATAGCCGCGGTACGACAGGCCAAGAAGAACCACCCTGCGGAGTCGGTGAGGGGAGAGGATGAGCAGGAGGAGGGGCGGGTAGCAGGTGCCGAGGCCGTCACTGACGACCGAGCTGTTGCAGCGGCAGAGTCGGAAGCCGCGGCTGAGGCTGGGGCGGCTGCAGCAGCAGCATCTGCAGCAGCAGCTCAGGAGGGGGAGGAGGAGGAGCAACGGACGGCAGCGGCAGGGGATGTGCAGGAGGATGGTGGGGCGGGCGGGGACACCCAGCAGCGACTGGAAGTGGACGGAGGTGCGGCCGCAGGAAATAGCGTTGCGCGCCCGAACGGGGTGCATGTCGCTGATGCCCCTGGCACGTGCTCGAGAGGGGAGGATGAGGTGGCTGCGAAAGAGGCGTCGTCGGCAGAGCCGGAGGTTGAGGCCGAGGCGGAGGCTGGAAGGGAAGGCGAGGGGGGTGGTGGGGTTAATGGGGGTGTGCCGGAAGCGGCAGAGGGTGTCACGGAGGCGGTAGAGGCGGAGGCTGCGACGGGTCAGGAGCAGGCGGACATGCTACAGCGCCCTGCGGACGGTGAGGCAGCAGCTGCATCCGCCGCCGCCAGCCGCCATGCGGACACCGGCCCGAGCGCCACAACCACTTCCCAACAACCAGATGCCGGCAGTGCCAGTGAGGGGACGGCATCAGGTGGCGCAGTGACAGAGGGGGCGCCTCCAGCTCCCGTGGAGGGGGGGGCGCCGGAGGCGGCAGCTCCCTCACCCCCCTCACCTCCCTCACCCCCTCCCCCTCCTCCGCCTCCTCCTCCCCCGCCTCCTGTGTTGGATGTGCTGTCCTGCCTGCGCGCCTTCTTCGCCGCTGAGACGGTGCGGTGGGAGTGCCCCCGCGAGCGCGCCGAGGCGCAGGACGCAGCTGCTGCTGCTGCCGCCTCCGCCTCCGGCAGCCTGGCTGGCACCCCGCTGTCCACCCCGCTACGCAAGCAGGTAGGGTACTTGCCGCAGCTGTCAGCCCGCACTACAATTATCAATACTTTGACACCTGGGACGCCATCATCCTCCGGTATGCTGCGGTTAGGGTCAGTACTTCTCACGGCTCGGCCTACCTTATCATCCCCTCCTCCACCCCACTTACCTCCCCGCCTCCCTCCCCGCCCCCCCCCCCCCCAGGTGTCCTGGAGTCCGGGCGGCCCGCAGGTGTTCCTGGTTCCCGGCAGCCGGGAGCAACGGGGCACCGACCTGCAGGAGGCGCTGCGGGGCAGGGAGCCGTTCTTCAGGTGAGTGACTGGGGGGGGGTGCGGGGGGGGGGTGTAAGCTTACAGGTCTTGGTATGGGGTGGGGGCGGCGGGGGTTTGAGGGAGCATGGGTGGAGGGGCGCAGAAGTTGGGTCTGATGTCAACGAGGTGACCTCCTCTGTCCGCCCTGTGGCCCCTGCCCCTTCCTCCTCCCGCCCGCAGGCCCGCAAAGGCGCAAGGCGCGTCCTTCATCATCCAGGTGGGTGGGGACCAGCCAGCTGGGAGGGTGCCGGAGGTGATCCGGTGCTTGGAGGCATGCATGCATGCGGCAGTGCCCGCGACGCTCGTTCCGCTGCCCCCCCCAGCCTTACAGTTACAGGAAAGCACAGCAAGCAGTCCCCTTTCCTTTCTTGCCTCCCTCACCAAGGCACCTGCAATTTCCAACTGCCGCTCCAACCGCCCACAACCGCAGGCCCAACTGGACCCAACCGACTGCGATGCCATGCATCTGCAGCTCCTGCCCGCCTCCACCTGCAGCAGGGCCCCGCAGCTGCTGCTAGCAGCCGCCGCAGCCGCAGCCGCCAGCAGTGGTCCCGGAGCCGCATCTGGAGGCGCAGCAGCAGCAGGCACTCCGCCCCTGCTCATGAGCCCTGTCCCCATGAGCCCCGTGCTGGCCACCATCCTCAGCAGCAGCCCCAGAAGCAGCGGCAGCCCCCTCAGAGCCAGCGGCAGCGCGTTGGGTAGCGGCCGTGTTGGCGGCAGCAGTGGCGGCAGCAGTGGGCCAACTCGTTTGACGGGCAGTTCGAGCAGCGGAGGGGGAGCAGGAGGAGGAGGAGGCGGGGCGGCAGCAGTGGGGCCGTTTTTGGAGCGAGGGCTGTCGCTGGGGCGGCTGGATGTGGGGCTGGCCTGGCGCGGCGGCGCGGTGCGGGAGCAGGCGCGGCGAGTGAAGGCGGCGGCGCAGCTGGTGATGGATTGTACGGCAGATCTCATGACTGCGCCCGAAGGTACGGCAGGGTGGGGGGGCGGAGAGAGCGGAGGGCCTAACCATGCACGAACAGGGACTATGTGCGCCTCCACTTCGTTGGTGGTCATCGGCTGTCCTGTTGAAGAATCCTTAGGATCCTCAGGTATGCTTTATGGGTACCCGCTTTCTTGCTTACCCGGCGGCGGCATCGCCCGCCTCCGCAGGTGTACGACATGCGATGGACATGCTGGCGGGCGGCCTCGAGCTGGCGGAGGCGCCGCCGTCCAGTACGGCAAGCGGCGACGGCAAGGTCCGTTTGCTGCTGCGCGGCAGATACCCCGCTGGTGTGCTGTCGGTGGAGGCGGCGGCACGCCTGGTGAAAGCTGACGACGACCATGAACCGCCGGCGTCGGCGTCGGTCGCTGCTTCCGTCGCGACGACGGCGGCGGCATCCTCTCCGGTGCCTATCGGTGCAGCGGCACGGAGACGTGACGCCGCCGGCGCTTCCGAGGATGCGACTGAGCAGCAGCAGCCGCAGCGGCGCAGGTTCGAGGGCGCCTGGGAGTATCCCTCCGCGCTCAGACGACCCGCGGTGCACCCCGCCTTCGCGCACCTAGCGGGACGGGGTCACCGCAGCGGCGGCAGAAGCCGGGACTCCTCTGCTGGCGGGTGCTCCCTGCCGCCGCTGTCGCCGTCGTCGTCCTCCGGCTCCTCGGATTCCTCGTCTTCGTCCTCTGCTGCCTCGTCGCCCGGTTGTTCACCGCCGGGCTCCGCGCATGCTAGCGATGCGGAGGAGGAGGGCGAGGAGGTCAGCAGCAGCAGGAGCAGCCGTACAGCCCAGGAGGGCCGTGTCGTACATTCTTCAAGTATGGCAGCTGCAGGTTGCGGCGCTGCGGAGGGTACGCTGCCGTTGAAGACAGCCGGTGGAGATGCATCAGAGGCGATACGAAACTCTGCGGGGTTGAGATCTGCAGCGTCGGAAGATAAGGCCCATGCGAAGGCGGCGACAGCAGCTCCCTTTGCGTCTAGCAATGGCGGGTGCAACAGGTCTGTTGCTGAAGCGGGCGCGGAAGCGGACGTTCGTTTGCACGGCGTGAACTTGGACCCGGCGGTACATCATCACCTGTACAACCATAACCACCATAACCACCACCACCATCAAAAACACAACGGTAATAATCACGGCCTGATCGAGAACATCCTCGACAAAGTTAAAGAGACTGCAACAACCGGCGGCGGCGCCGCCGCCGCCCCCATGAGCCGCATCGCCGCTGACGTCGACGCGCTTTTCGACATGGACGACGTGGCGTCGCCGCGAGCTTCACTGTCATTGCGGTCACCGATGCCGACTGCGGCGGCGGCGGCGACCGCCGACACAGGCGCCAATCGCGGCGGCATCGCGTCACTCATTGCGGCCGCCGCCGCTGCTGCTACCGCGACCACAGGCTCGGCGACGGCACCGGGCGCTACCTCCGCGCCTGTCGCCACCGCCGTCGACGACGGCCGTAGCGGCGGTGGTGACCCGATCCGGTGCCTGTCGCCTGTGTTCGGTGTGTCTTCCTCTTCGGAGGCACGTAACGGCAACTGTTGTGCAGGAAGCTTGACGGACGTGAATGGTGCGGTTTCGGAGGCCTCTTCCGACGAGCCTGAGGATCCGCGACGGACCGATGTAGCAGGTACATCATCACCACCCGGTGCGTCACACAACGCCAAGACGGGCAAACAGCCCCCTGCCGTACAAACAGACGGCACCGCCGCCTTTTCCTCACCTCAGCCCATCAAGATTCCCCTTCCTGCGCTGGAGTCCTCGCCGCTGCCGCCGCCAGCCCTTGCCGCCGCCATAAGTGACGGCGTTGATGGCGCTAGCAGCCGCCAGCTGGCACCGCTGCCGCCGCCGCAGGCGTCGGACACCTCCGCGGCCTCCGTCGGCATGGAGATCCGTCGGCGCAGCAGCAGCGGCGGCCTCCGTCGCAGCGGCGGGGGCGGCGGCGGCGGCTTGCTGCGCTCCGCCGCCAAGCAGTACCTGCTGCGGCGGGCGCCTGAGCTGCTGGTGCTGCACCTGAAGCGCTTCGCCATGGACGGACGCGGGCGGGCGAGGAAGATCGACAAACACGTGAGGGCGGATGGGGTTCCTGGGGGGTGAGGGGTGCTGACTCGCAGGCCTATAGTGCACGTCCTGCCGCCAAGTCCTTCCTGTTTTCCAGTAGTGATGCAATGTAGCATGTCGGCTTGCAGGGCTTTGTACGGAACGGGCAAAGATAAGCAGCCATGAGCTGTTCCGGTATTATTGTACGCCAGCTGCATGCCATGTGTACGATATGCCGCCCCCCCACACACACAGGTTGCCTTCGACACGACGTTGGACCTGGCGCCCTTCCTCTCCCACGCTGCAACAGCGTACGGCGGTACAGCTGGGGGAGCAGGAGGCGCAGGCGGCAGCAGCGCTACAGGTGCCGTCCCTGCCGCCGATGCTGCGGCGGCTACTGCTCGGGCGGTGGCGACGTCTGGTGAGTCGACCGGCGGCATGACGAGTCCCTTCATCGGCACACTCTACGGCGCTCTAGCGAACGGCGGAGCTGCTAACGGCAGCGGTTGTGGCAACGGTTGTAACGGCAGCGAGGGCGGCATGCAACCGGCGGCGGCGCCTCCGCCGGCGTCACGGTCGGCCCTGGCGGCGGCGGTGGCGGAGCAGAGGAGCGGTGTCGTACAGCCACCGTGTGTGTACGACCTATTGGGCCTTGTGGAGCACTCCGGGGAGCTGCGATACGGGCATTACGTAAGTGTGTGCGTGCTCTTGCCTTCAGTCTGACTCCTAACCTCCCAGGTAACAATTGCAACATGCATCCCGGCAACGCTGCCATATTTCATCGTTTTCCGGGGCCTTTTCGCAAGCCTGCCATCATGCTTACAGTAACACACGCACCACCCACGCGTGCAGTCAAGAGGTCCTGCTGTTTGCCCCTCTCCTTCATCCCCATTCCGCACTCCTTCTCCATGCCCCCCCCTTTTCACCCTCCCCCCGCCCGCCCAGGTTGCCTACGTCAAGCGCGCCAACCCCGCTGCTGGCGGCGCCCCGCAGTGGTACTACGCCAGTGACAGCCAGGTGCGGCCGGTGGCGGAGGCGCAGGTGCTGCGAGCGCAGGCGTACATACTGCTGTACGAGCGGCGGGAGGGGTAGGTGGGTGGGAGGAGGAGAAGGAGGGCAGGAGGAGGAGAAGGAGTGAAGCACCCGAGTCCTATACGCAAGGGAGAGGAGGAGGAGGAGGGGGAGGAGGAGGAGGAGGCGGAAGGAAGGAAGGAGCAGGCGCAACTAGTCGAAGAGCAGCGGACGTAGGAGCCTTTTGTCCAGTACTGGAATGAGCAGAGGGCATGAGGAGCCAAGCGTAGGAATAGGTGTGGTGGAAGAGGGGGTAGCGGTGCAGATGCTGGGAGCCGTGGAGAGGCTGGTGGTGGATACTCCGCTGTTGTGCGGCTAAGATAGGTAGCATGGTCACGGTAAAGTATGGTCGAACTTAGCCGGCCGTGGCAGGGGTGAAGAAGATTAGCGCCGGAAAAGCAGGAAAGCAGCAGTAGTAGCAGGGGCAATGCGTCAGGCGGTTGCGTTTCTGCGCCACGCGTTGTTACACAAGAAAGTCTACAAGGAAGTTCAAGCAGGCGCTGCTGCTGCTGCTGCTGCTGGGCTGTGAAGCCACGGAGCAGCAGCAGCAGAGGCGGGGAAAGGCAGATAGGCCTGCTGAGCGCCTGCAGGGCGGCACAGGCGGATAGGCACTTTTCGTGCAGTGAAGGCACGCGGCTTGAAGTGAACCCCATGAAGGCACGGCATCGTACACCGTGCGGCGGCAGTACCGGGGCGGCAGCCAGGTGTCCTTTACTGCGGTGTTTAGCATTGGGAACCCTAGCCAAGTGTTAGAGAAAGCGTGTCCCGCACAGGGGTATGATGACACGATTGTTATGGTTGGTGAGCAGTTGTAAGGCATAGCCGCCATATGGGGTGTGCAACTGCGCACGCTGGTAGTTGCACGTAAGGTTTGCACGCAGGCGGTGCCGCTGTCATTGGTACCACTGCAGATGTACATGCTATATGCGGGGTAACACGCCGGTTGATGGGAAGAGGATTGAGTAAAAGAATTGGGTAATGGCGCTGTCATGGCTGCAGCGGGACGCGATGGGCGTGCCGATGTGGGCATGGTTCAGGCCGCCGAATCTAAACAAGAGGTGAGGGCTGACCCCGCACACATCAGTTATCAGGATTTCAGTTTGTGGGTGACAGAGACACATGTAGCCGGTTGCAAGGCTGTCATATTGATGGATACATCCTTTCCTGGTGTCCTTTTGGGAGACCACCAGCCGCGTAGCAGACGTGCCACGAACGCAGAGAAATGCAATCTGGCATGTCAATTTGTGGGGATGCTTGCGGGTACGGGGTACCGGCTCCTCAGTAGAAGCATACGTCTCACCCGGACTCAATCGCGTTGGAGTAGAGGACGACATCTTCTTAGCATGGAGGCCGGGGGGCTGCCATGTCGTACCAGCCAGCGGCTTGTACGGCGACGATTAGCAAACGAGACAACCGACAACCTGTAGACTTTGAAGTATTTGGTTAACGCCATAACGTTTTCACTCTGACGTTGCTTTTGTCGCTTGCATAATGGCCACGGGAACCACTGAGCTTTGGCATCAACGGCCGCAGCGACCAGAAAATCCAGTTGTCTTCTTTGGTACGTAAAGCAATTACATGATCATTACGTAGCTTCGTTAGATCCAACGACTGGTTGTCATTTGTTGCTCTGGCGCAGATGTTAACATTGGCGAGCAGCCTGCGGGCCGCATAAAAATGGAGCTGTTTGCTGATATATGCCCTAAAACAGCAGAGAACTTCCGCCAACTATGTACCGGCGAATACCGGTAAGCGTCAAACCGAAGCAGCCCGCCAAGCGCAGCTTCGGAGCTTGCAAAGAGTTAGCCTTATCACATGCTAATGACTGTCGCAGGAAAAATGGGCTACCAGTAGGGTATAAAAACTGCACGTTCCACCGCGTAATCAAGGTACGACCGTTTGCCTTCCCTGTCATTCCCCTGCTTGAACCTGAGCCCAGGCAATCGCCTTGTCGTGTCCACCGTATGGGGGCCCTCTTGCTCCTTACCCCCCTCCCTCCCTTCCCCATTTCTCCTTCCCTACCTTGACGTCACCATTTAAGGACTTCATGATCCAGGGAGGGGATTTCATCAAGGTGAGCCCCGCCTGCTGTACGCCCCCTCCTAGCCATGCCCATACCTACCTCATGTGATCTGCCACGCACTCGTGAACGCCTCCTATGCCAGCCAGCGGGGTGGACCGCAGCTAGCCCGCACGCCATGCATGCCCTCCTTACCGCTCACTCAACACACTCGCTGAGTGCGAGGTCACCCTGCAACGGCCCTTGGCGCTGTGTGATCGCCAACATCACCGACCCTCCCGCTCACCCGCGCCACCCCCCCCTCCCTCACCCTCACCCCCACTGCACCAGGGTGACGGCACGGGCTGTGTGAGCATCTACGGCAGCCGCTTCCCGGATGAGAACTTCATCGCCAAGCACACGGGGCCGGGGCTGCTGTCCATGGTGGGTGGGTGGGAGCAGGCGGGGGGAAGGGAGAGAGTGAGTGGTGAGATGTAGCAAGAGGAAAGCAACTACAAGACTGGGGGCAAACCCACCCACCGAACCCGCCGAACCCGACCCATATCAGCGGACCAAGGAGGGTGTAGGGATGGGGTGGCGGAAGCTGAGCGAGTCACCCGGGGGAGGAGTTAGGCGGGTTGTACGTGTAGTCAACGAAGTAGGGGCTGGGCTGGGAGAGAGGGTAGGGCTTGCGGGTAGGGCGCAGGTGGGCAGGTAGGGCACATGTTGGGGGGCCTCAGGGCCGCACCCTGCCCTGGGTGGGACGCACAGGGTGTAGGCGAGGGGGCGGGTAGAATAAACCAAACCACAAAGTTAGGGCAAAACAATGGGTATTGTTGGCAGGGAGCCACAAAACATGGGAGGGTTAGCAGGCGAGGGGGCGGGAGGGGGGGGCCGGGACCGCTGTAGCCGTGTGGCTTGGGCCCTGGCAACGGTGGCATGAAAGGCGCTTGTCCACACCCCATCCGCAACCCATCTCACTGCCCAATCTTTGACGCCTCTCCCTCTCCCTTGCCCCTCTCTCACCAATCCCCTCCCCGCCCCCCGCTTCCCCCCTCAGGCCAACAGCGGACCCAACAGCAACGGCTGCCAGGTGAGGTCGGGTCGGGTGCATGCCGGGGTGCATGCCGGGGAATCAGGTCGCCCCTCGCGTTTCCCTCACCCACCTGCCCCCCCACTGTTGCACTTATTTATAATTTCCCCCACACCTCTCCCTCCCTCCTTTCTCCTCCTCACCCTCCTCCTCCTGCCCCGATGCCCTGCCTCCCCCACCCCCTCTCCCCCCTGCAGTTCTTCATCACCTGCTCCAAGACCGAGTGGCTGGACAACAAGCACGTGGTGTTCGGGCGGGTGCTGGACGAGGGTCTGCTGGTGGTGCGCAAGCTGGAGAACGTGCTGACCGACAAGCAGAGCAACCGGCCGCGACTGCCCTGCGTGATCAAGGAGTGCGGGGAGATGTGAGGGTGGAGGGAGAAGGAGGAGGAGGAGGAGGATGTGGGGAAAAAATATATATATGATGAGAAATATATATGTGGGGAGGGGGGGGAGCGGCGTGCATGGGAAGGAGGAAAAGGGGTAAGGGGGTGCAGGCCGGGAAGAGAGGAAGGTTCGGGGATGGGGATGTGGGGAAGGGGTTGTGAGGGTGTTTGGGTGGGCGTGAAGATGAGGTGATGGTGGGGACATGAGTGCGGAAAAAATAGGTTGTGTAAAAGCAGAACGGCGGCGGCTGGTTGGATGCATCCATGAGGCGTTGTTTAGCGGACGACTGGCCATACTGGTATTGCCAGGAGGCGGCTGAAGGCCAGCAAGAGCGAAGCGGGGCTTTGGAAGCAAGGGCCGGCACGCCTCCATGCTTGTATGCCTAAGATGGCACCGTTCGAAAACATACTGTCCAAGCCCGCAATGACACTTCATAACTTCTGAAATAACATATACCCATTGGTACACGGGCAGCAAATTCCGGATATTTCTTTTCGTGTGTCCGACATGTGCGCCTCCTCGTCATTTGATGCCGACTTACCCTGACTTACCTTGCTCCGGGCCAGCCGGGAATTCCAATGTGGCCTTCAAAAAAGCCATGGTTGCATACCTCCTTCAGTAGTGAATCCGTTAGCATAACCGTTCATAAGGCCTCCCGGTTTTCAGCCTACTGCGCTACTGGGAGTACGTCAGCACGACGCGTACAGTTCGACAATAAGTACTTGCGAGGCCTTTGGTACTCTGAGGCACTTAGTCAGATCTTTGCGGGACCCAATGGTGCAGTTACAAAGGGGATTCCTTCGGGGGGTTGCGGGTGTGAAAGTCGCGCCGGATAAGTTGTAGGAGTTTAACCAGCGCCCTCTGCATGTTTCTGGTTGGAACTGTTTCTGCGGTTTTGGAATGACCTGGCCAAGCAGAAGGACACGGTCTACCATCAAGCGTTGCGCGGTGAGATTCGTTAGGGGGGCATGACCGCATGAGCAGCAGCAGCCTAACCGGGACATTAGGTGGCAGCAAGAGCAGCACCAGGCCGCGACATGTACTCTGCTGCCCGCAGCACAGCGCCCCTGAAGAGGTGGACCTCCTGGTAATTCAGGGCACGGTAGCGCACCTACGGAGCGCACAGGGCTGCTTGCGCGGCTGTGGTAAGCTGCTCTCCTTTTCCATCTCTGCTGTACTGTAACTGGCACTGTACGGCTGCTTAGGAACAAGCAAGCCAGGAGGCGGGGGCTTACATAGGTGTTGCGCGTTGCCGGTAACACGGACGTGGAGGGGGGGTCCAGGTCAGCAAACCTCACGGACAAGCAAACCATCTTGCCCCGACCGCCCTGCGCCACCTATCAAGGAGTGCGCTTGCTAGTGGTGTGTCTCTGCACGAGCCACACCACCCCTCCTTATGCCCTTCACACCGCCGTTGCCGCCCGCCCCTCCCCCGCCGCTCGTTGCACGCATTTAACCACCCGCTGGACCACCACCGCAGCCTCCTCCGGCCGCCGGAAGAAGTGATCCGCCCCCTCCACCAACACCAACTCATGCCACCCATCCTGCTCCTCCCCCTGCTCCCTCCGCCCCTCCCTCATCGCCCCCAGCAGCAGCTGCGCGTCCCCCACCGGTATGACGGTGTCTGCCGTACCGTGCAGTGTGAGCACCCGGGAGTGCCGGATGCGGCGGGCGGCGGCCAGCATGTCGAGGGACATGCGCTCGGATACGGCCTGGGTGGGGGGAGGGTGAGGGAGGGGGATTAATAGAGATGAATCCGCATTACGCTGGGTTTTAGGATTGCGCATAGTCGAATTTGAATTCGAGGGAGGGGGAGGGGAGGGATGTTCCGCACAGGGGTTGCGTGGGGGGAGGAAGCAGGGCTTTGGGGAGGGGAGGGAGGAGGATGGGGACGCTGGCAAGGCAGGCAGGGAGGTGAGGTTGGGAGGCACACCGAGGTTTCGAGGATGGGGTATGCAGCATGGGCTTGCCCCTTCCCCTCCCAAACTGCCTCTCACCTCCTGAGTGAGTGTGAAGGTGAGGGTGCGCGCCCCTCCCCGCTCCACCCGCTGCTGCAGCTGCACCGACCCCTCGCGCTGCACTCGGGCCAGGGTTTCGGAGCCGAACCGCTCCTGCGAGGGGCGGAGGGAGCGGTTGGGGTGGTGGGGGTGGAACGAGAGAAACAACAAACCATGAAACGAGGCTGCATCAAGGCTCCATACCACCTCCCGGCACCTCAGCCCCGCCCCCAGGAGGGCGCCCCCCTACCTGTATCCCGCCCGACATCACGCCCCGCCCCGCCACGTTGACCACGTACGGCACATCGTCGTACTTTGATGCGTACAGCAGCACCACGTTGCCGCCCTTGCTGTGGCCTGAAGGGGATGTGCGGCAGAGCGAGCGCAGGTGCCGCCGGAGCATGACCCATGGGACAGTTGGGAGGCGGATGAGGTAAGGAACGGCAAAGACCCCCAATAGCAACCTAGAAGCGGCAGTACCGGTACACAATCCGGACCCATTCAGAGGTTGCACCGCAATCGGGTTAGGGAACAGACCGGCTCCTGTCCCTTCCCTCCAGGACCCACCCCACGGAGCCCGCACCATTCCACAACCGGGTGGCCCACTGGCACCTCCCACCCAGGGTCAGGTTCAGTGTTTCCGCAGCTCAGTTTACCTAATCCCATCCCCCACCTTCCATTGTACCTACCTACCTTCCTTCCGCTGCCTCCTATCCATTGTGGTTTCCTATGGTTTGGTATGGTCTTTGACCCACCTACAATCGCCAGCACCCGCCTGCCGCCCTGCTCCCGCAGCCAGGCCACCACGGCACGCAGGTCCTCAACCTCCCGCATGTAGCCGCCGAAGCTGAAGGTACCCTACTGGGGGAGGGAAGAGGTAAACAGTCCCGGCGAGCTCACCCCAGATGCCACTACTCGGGCTGCCACGTAAGAGGCCAACACTGAGAATCCTTGCCAGTGAGGAAGCGGGAAGGCAACTGGGAGGACGAAAGAGGCGGGAAGGGTGCATGGGCCAGGCATAGGTAGCGATGGTAGTCGGGTTACGGTTCCGGGATAGAGAGTGGCGGCAGGAGGCAGAGTGTGAACCACCCCCGGCAGCCAGTGAAGGGGGCGGGTCTTCGGTCTGCTGAGCTGAGCCGCGTGTACGTCCCGTGTCAATGTGTGTCAATGTGTGTGACGACATGCCTCCGAGTGCCTACCTCCCCTTACTCCTGCCCTGCCTCAACGTCAACCCACCTCGGACTCTCCGTTCCCCGCAAAGTCGAATCGCAGGCTGCTGCGGCCGACAGCAGCCAGCGCAGAAGCCAGCTCAGGAAAGCAAAAGCCGTCCTGAGTACATACGGCATAGGTACGAGAAGAACGTTTTGGATGGCCATTGTCATTCAACACGCATTCACATGCATGTGTGCGAGCTGAGAGCACAAGACATGACGTGTATGTTAGGAAAAAGGGCAAAGACAGGACGCGTGTGTGTGTGTGTGTGTGTGTGTGTGTGTCTCACGTGGGAGCAGGCGGGAGCAGGCGGGGTGCGGGAATCTTAAGATAGGGATGCAAGGCGTGAGGCTTGAAGAAGGTCTGCCTATGCTGTGTATGATTGATGTTTAGAGACGAAAACGTGGGAGGGAGGGGTCCAGACTCAAGGCTTATGCAAAGTAGACATTAGGATGACGACTACACTACTTGCCTTGCCGGAAGCGTAGCCATGACAGAGAACGGTGACGTCATCAGAACCAGTGTCCACAAACTTCGCAGCTAGGCGCTCGCCGAATGAATTGGTAATTGATAGCGTCCGTTCCTCATGCTGGGCCATTGCTTTAACTATGACGCGGCTACCGATGGACGCCTCAAATCCAATAGTAGGGCTAAGTCTTAGGTTAAAGAAAGGGCAATGAGAGTAAATGAATGGTTGCGTGCTGGGGTGCTTGCTTGCGCGATGCCGATGATGCCCTTCCAAACCACGAGGCCGCTGCAGCATACTGGTGTACCAGCGTGCTAACGTTTAAATATGCGAATGATACAAGTTTTATTACAGTATATCTGTCGCTTTGCTAGGACGAAGCTCGACCGTTGGTTACTGGTGCTGCCGTGCGCTTTCGGTAGAGAACTAGAGTTAGGCATACAGCAGCGTGACTGCTGGATAGAGCTGGCAATAGAAGTCTAACCACGCATGCACTCAATTACACACAGGGGCCCGTGCAAGTAAGTTCCTAAACTAGCCGCGATTGCAACATACGAGGTTGTGCAAGCGAAGGAAATGTACCCTCGCTGGATCGCTGGAGGGCCGCGCCTTGGCCAGAAATCGTCACAGAGCACATATCTAGCCAGAGCCTGCTTGTTGCAGCAGAACACGCGGTCACGGACGCGGCGTGCCTGTCCCTGTCAGGCATGGCAAAGCAATGTCTCGCACGACAACCTTTCCTACTACGAGCTGCTTGGAATCAACGAGTCCGCAACTGAGGAAGACATCAAAGCTGCATTTCGATCCAAGTCAAAGCTGCTGCATCCAGATGTCAACAAGGAGGTCGGTTGGGCATCATGTTCTGCGGCATCTTGCTCGACAGTCGTTGCCAGCCGCAACCACCCGCTGAGTCCAAACATAACTTTACAGCTATTTGTTACTAGGCCAGAACCTGCACGCAGCCATTCATTAATGATTATTTCCTCACGACTTTTGCTCCTGAGTCCATCTGCCCCATGCTTCCAATCCTACCAACCCCGGGCAGCCCACAGCCGGCCAAGACTTCATGTTACTGCGCCGCGCCTACACCACCCTCAGTCGCTCGGAGCTAAGGGCCGAGTACGACGCGAGAATGGGGCTGGTAAGGGACCCTGCATGCTTACTAAGGGACTATCGGTACGGCAAACGGGAAGAGGAGACCACCGCCGCCGCCTGACGGGAGAAACTGGGCCCTCCGCACTGGCCTGCTATGGATTGCTGGTTTCACTGCAATAGTCCGTACTTCCGTGTTTGTGACTTTATCACGGTACACGTCTTGTTGCCTCGCCCTTCCTCGCCTTGCTCCCAGGTGTCGTCCGCAAGCCGGGCAAGTGACCCACGGTTCGCTCGCTTCGAACGTTGGCGACGAGAAGTCATCCCAGGTGGGGTATGAGCGTCATGATGCCACCATCCCACCATGCAACACGTATTCTGTTGTCGGTAACACTTCCACCTTCTCCCCTGTCGTACATCCAATCCGGCCAATTCCCAGATCTCCGAATGCAACTGGAGTTTTGGTCTCGGGGCGTGGAGGGCCATTTGGGCGCCTGCAGGGCTTCCCTGGAGCAGGTGTGGACAGGGAATATATGGGTAGGGGTTAAGAGGGGGTTAGCCAACTTGGGGGTTTCTAGTATTTCGGTAGAAATACCGAAAAGCTGAGGCGAATGCCAGGCAAGGCATGTTATGTATACTCGCTAGCCGCCAAAGTACGGTTTGCCCAAAACTTTCAGTTTACCGTTATAACAAGCTTCCAACATGGACTCCCCTACCATGCTTGATGCCCGTACTCCAGCTCACCCCTACGGTACCTGAAGCACTGCATTCCCCTGTCAGTCACTGCTCCCGTGCACGCTCCTGCCCCGGTCCGGCCCCGGTCACAGCGCGAGCGCAGCTTAGCCCGCCTGTACGCCGCATGTACCCGCTCCCTGGGGCAGCTGCGCCGGCGCGTGCGGCGCCGGAAGGAGGCTGAGGCGCAGGAGGACGGGAGCAGGGCGGCCGTCGGCTGGTGTGCACAGGGGCCTGATGGGGTGCAGCCAGCGACCCATGGGCCAGCGGCGGCAGCGGTGGCGGCATGGGAAGCGGAAGCCGGGGGCGGTTGGGCGCGCGAGGGGGAGCAAGAGGAGGAGATGGAGGAGCAAGGAGGGGAGCAAGACGTGGGGGCACTCGACGGGGCTTGCCAGGAGGCACTGCGACACATGGCGGCAGAGGTGACAGGGTTGTCGTCAGATGCGGCTGACCTGGCAGCGCTTGTACGACGAGAGGTGGATAAACGGTTCGAGCAGGTACGGATGTAGAACGAATCGTAACGTCGTACGTCGGCCACAATGTGCACTGATGGCGTGTTTTTCTGCCAATATATGTATGTTGTATGCTTGTTGTGTTTTCTCCAAGCTTGTTTGATTTGCCATCCTTGACCCCATCACCGCTGATGTCATCCTCTCACACACACCCGCAGCTGTCCAGCCGCTACCCTGCCTACCCGGACATCGTATGGCTGGACGTGTGGGAGGAGACGGAGGGTGGGTGACGGGCGGTTGCGGGAAGCAATAAGCCATTGGCTGCGGCGGGAAGGAGGGTTTGTAACGGAATGGGATGGGGGATGATGTCTATTCTATTCAGTAACTAGAAATAGACACAGGGAGCGTGCGACGTCGTGTTTGTTTGCGTTTGCTTGATCAGCGTTACGACAGTATGGGCGGGAAGGGAGGGCGTGCAAAAAGAAGGAATATGAAGCTGTGGAGTAGGTGCAGACATCCCTTGGTGCCTTGTACTACAATGCTACCGGGCGACCGGGCGACCCGCATACCCCAATGGGGCCGATCCAAGTAGTCCTGCGGCTTAACACATGTATGTAGGGCGGTGGTTGGCCCAGAGCCTCAAGGAGGAGCTGTTGTGCAAGGCAGCGGCTGAGCGGTGGTCTACAGTGGTGGTTCAGCTGAAGAGGGAGCTGTGGGAGGTTATGCGCGGGGACATTCCAGCAGTCGACATGCGCGCTGTGTCGGTAGCAGGTGCCTGTACAGGCCATTTTGGTGATGGGTAACGCATCGATTCATGGAAAGCGGGCGCTTTCGCGCTCTCGTATTGTATAGCGTTGTGGTCATCACGTCAAGCTCTTGGGGAGCCGTACATACGGTGGTTAGCACGGTTGGCAGTATGAGGCTTGCAAGGTCTGGCAAGGAAATAAAGACACTCGCTTCAACAACATACATTTTAATTACATCGCTTGGAATCCGCCGCGATCGTGCAATACGCTATTGTAAACCAAGGACTGTGACTGCGAAGGGTATCTAGAAACCAACACCAACGTAAAGGGATGGATCTAAGCACGGTGGACCTGGAGTCGAGCAGGGAACGCGCTGCAGGGGCCAAGGAGGCCGAAGCGCGCGCTGAGCAAGGCGCGGACGTTGCACTCTCATTTTCACTGCCAGGCGGCGAGAAAGTTGTCCACAGGTTAGAACAACCGCATATTACTGCATCTGTTTGTGGTCGATGGGTGTAAGCGGAGGATTGGGGACCATGGTACCGGTTATCGAACTGACGCCAGGAGTGCATGTCCTTCCTGTTGCCTTGTCTACGTGTGTCGGTATTTCAAAGTTATCGTGTATCAAAATGTACTTGCGTGTCGAGTATGTGCGGGTTATGACCATCGTTGCTAGACCATCCTCAGCTGTCATGCAATCTAAAGCACCTCCAGTGTGTTACCATATCAGTACTTCCTTTACTCGAAACCTTGCTTGCGCCTTTGGCTGCCACAATCAACAGCTGCGCCGAAGACGCGCGACCACGCGTTGCACACTTGCCTGCCATCCAGCCACCACCAGGACCGACCCAATGCATACCGGTACAACTCCGCTCCTATCCCGCCACCTAGCCAGCTTTTTCTGCACTTCTCGATCTCCGCCTGCCTGCAGGTTTAAAATGGGCGTCACGGTTGCGTACGTGAAGGCTCAGGTGGCTGCGCAGCAGGGGCTGGAGTTCTCGCGCGTGCGGCTGCTGCTGGGCGGGCGCGCGTTGCTGGACCCGCTATCGCTCTCGGACTGCCCGGGCATCACACCGGGGCAGGAGGTGGCGGTGGAGGTGGCGCTGGCGTGAGCGGCGGGTGGGGGTGTTGGGTTTGATGGTTGCCCCGATGCAACCTGATGAGCGGGGGTTTGGGCCGCATGTGCCGCAGTGGACGAGAGTACGCAGGGAAAGTCGGGGGAGAGGGAAGTTGTCGACAGTAGTGGCATGGATCGTGCAAACTGGGTGGCGATGGTGCGAAATGGTGCTGTACATGGGGGTTACCGGTAGGATATGGAGAATGGTGTGCTATGGATGGGGAGGCAAACTCACAGTGTTTGTAGCTGGGCTAATGGGTTTGCAATTCCCTGGGAAATGAGCGTCGTATGCTTCCCCCCTGTGGTTGGCGACGGCTGGACTTCCACGCGTCGTATCGGTAAGGAGGGGCGCGCGTGTACACTGGTTATCGTTGTTAATGCAGTGCATAGAAGGACGGACTGGATGGCAAAGCGAAGCCGCTGCTTTGTGAGTCGTGTTAATTGGGAGGAGAGAACGATACTAAGGGACACCAGATCCTCTTTTCCTGGGGTTTTGGCAGGCCGGATAGCGTGTTACCGCAACTGTTTATGCGTTTACAATGGTTTGTTGCCGCGGTTCTTTCACTCTTACGAGTAGTGCTCATACACTGGTGCGATTGCAGGTGCGCGCGCGCGTTATCCACGAATAGGTTGGAGGGGCCGGGCCTCAGCTGCCCTCAGCCAAGGAGGTCCAGTAGGTACAGGTCTGTAAGAGGCGATTGTAGAAATGGCTTCCCCCTTGTTGCGTTCCTCCCACAACTCGTGAGACAGTTGGACAATTGGTCCTCGTATCACGACTTGCGCACAACAAAAGCGGTTGGCTTGGCCACGTTCCTGTGGTGGGCTGCATGGGTACGTGTGCCTGTCGGGAGAGACTGCTTGTCAGGCCATGTCTGCCGGTATCGGTAGTTATCAGGTATATGGTGTACTATGTGGTACGATGAGGTAGCCATGCCGACTAGAGTAAGGTATATGGCGATACCGACGTTTTCACTGTGCTCCGCGAGAAGTATCTGGAATCCGTGTAGATAGTACAAGGCAAGACACTTGATTTGAAGGCGACCGGCACCACCCCCATGCCAGCTGGATACGAACGCACTCGAGTGCTGTGCCCCATACCCGTTACCCAGACGTAAACGTCAGCCTCATTATTGCCACGGCTGGCTCGAGTCCAGCTGTGCACTAGTTCCTAACAACCGTGGTGCAGTCCACTTACAGGGTGTTTACACTCGATGTTATGTTAGCGGCTCCACTAAGGAATAAATAATTGGGCAAGACTTGTCTTCGTCAGAGGGGCTCGGGATCAGCGGGGCCGTAGGGTCCATGTGTAAACGTACCCTTGTTAAATGCCTGTTAGTCTAGACCCTGCCCTTGACCACCCCCCATAATCGAGCGCTACTGTGTTCACGCGTCTGCATCCCGCACGGAATGTCGGACGGCATTCTACCCGTTCGGCACTTTTTCCAATCCGACAACTTTGCGGTTTTGACCCTGAGACGTTCGCCTGCCGGATAAAGTGTTGCCGTTCAGGTGCGAAAGTCTAACGTTTCGTAGCAATGACACCTAACATATATGGTTGGTATGTAGAGTTCTAGCTGCATGGCTGTACCTAATCGCTGACCTTGCGCAATCGACTTAGGATGCCCCAGCCCCGGTGCAGATACCTTAATAACCGTTGTAGAAGCTTGTGTTCGTGAAGCTAGAAGTTCTTGTCACTTTTGACATGCTAGTATAGGCCTTGTTTGCCAGCACGTTTTGAGCAAGGCTAGAAGATCCCTCTTACGGTTAAGAAGTCTTCTTGGTGTCCGCAGTCCCACGCTTGAAACATAAGGCTCTGCAAGATAAACATGTGTTGAATTGCAACTTAGCTCAACAAGTTAGCCCTCGGCAGCTCCATTTAAAAGGTGTACGGGAGCAGACTTTACATGTGTGTATAGTGCGCGTTAGGTGTATGTTTACTGCCTGTGCTTTACCTTATGGCACACAGAAACACGCAAATTGCATATTTGCTGTTGATCGTGGTAGTTGTATCTTAAGTGTCGTGTGTCGTTTTCCCGAACAACCATAGGCGGGCGGGTGTCCGCCTGGCTTAGTATACCCACTGCTCACATGCAATTCCCATTCCAGAACTCTACTTTCCTATATCTATGATAACAAGAAGGGTTACACGGATTTCATATACCGTCGTAGTCGTCTTAGCCCTTGGTCTTGCGCAACGTGTTTTTTGGCGCCTTGGTCCGCCTGTTAGACCGTAACACCCCTAACGCAAGGTTAATATAGCCACCATTTTTTGCTAGGGGCTCTGGCTTGGGCGTTTTTCTCTAGGAAAATGGCTGCAGACCCTGGGCTTTCCGGAGAGCCTAGGACCGCGCACCACCACTTATTTATTAGTGGCATACCTCCTCGTCTGCCCAAAGAGGAGGTGGAGGCGGCCCTGGCAGCAGCCCTGGCAGAGAAGGGCTTGCAGTCTCCGCTCATAAGTGTTGTCCCTCAGTCAGCTTGGAAAAACAAAGGGTTTGGATTTGTGGACCTCGCTGGTTCTCCTTCTGCCGAGCAGATAGCAGCGGCCGCGGCCGCGCTTGACAACTCGGTGAAAGTGGGTGGCAAGGCCATCTTGGTCCAGGTTTGCCGTCCTTCCGCGTCGGGAGCCAAGCCCATTGCTCGAGTTCCCCTTCAATGGGATCAGCCTGCTGAAAACGTGTGTCGGCTTTGCGCTCAAGTTCTTCACATGTTCTTCGCACGGCGGTTGGAGCATTCCAGTTTCAAGGCGGAGAAACTTCTCTATCGGCTCAGCATCACTATCGCACCTTCCTGTGGCCAGAAACCTATGCAAATCTCAGCATGGGGTCGGGACGTCTTCGGCAGCCTTGAGCAAATGCTACTCGCTATCGGCGACATGCACTTTGGGGGCGGCTGGACATTAACAGGAACCGTCGCAGACAGGAACGCGGTGCTGGAGGTTGGCAAAGCCCGATACATGCATGGCTGGGACCCGCAGGGCGACCCTACCGTGACCGCAGTTATCCGTCTCGCGGCCTGCAAGCAGCGTCTGGACGACCTCCACACGCCTGAAGCCAGCACCGGCTTTTCTACTCCAAGCATGTGCTGCCGCCGCTGCAGCGACTGCGGCAGCGATAGCCCTGTCCAGAGCACGGACCAGCCCAGCTGCAGCCAGTCTGAGGCCTCATGGTCGCCCTACACGGCCACCAGAGGCGGCGGCTCTGTCCTGCCTGCGTCCAGTTGCACCTCACAGCTCCTGACGACTGTCAATTCCTCCGTCACTTTGGCGGGAGCCTGCAGTGGTGGTAGCTGCGGGGAGGGCAGCAGCGCGCAACCTCGAGACCGAGACCCTCGAGTTTCGGAGCCAGACCCGCCTGAAACACCCAACGTGATCGACCCTGAGAGGGCGTGTCGCAGCTCTGCGAGCACCGCCAGTTTGAGCAGCAGTGTGGCTACTATCCCCACGGCCGCGGCAAGCACACCCAGCGACACTGGGCGGTCGTCTTGCGGAGGCTGCTGCTGCAGAGGGCAGCAAGCAGGACGGCATCGGTCGGCAGGGCAGGAGGCGCTGCGCAGCAATGCCCAGCACGCAAAGCACGGCAAGTCCTCACCCGTTGCGTCGCTGCATGGGCGGTGCCAAGCGTCGCTGCAGACGCCTCAGCATTACGGACCTTGTCAACCTGTGCCATCGGCAGCTGCAAACCCCCAGTCGCGCGGCCACCCCGGCGTTGGTGCTGCGGCGTCGCCGCCCTCTCGCAGAGGTGCGTCCCGCGATCTTCTTGCTGCTCTTTTTCTGCCTTCTTGTATACCAGAGGATGCCGCCTTCTTGGCGCAAGGGTGTCGTTTCCTAAAAGCATAGCTGTGTTCTGTAGGCGCGTGAGACTATGCCTCTCTGTACAACGCCAGTCGTTTTATACTTCCCCGTCTCACTACAATCTCCGATGTGTTGTCTAATGCACTTTCCTCAAATCCATGACCCGCCTGCAACCCCCCAACAGGTATTCTCGAGCGCTGCGCTCGCTGCCTGCAGCAGCTCTTCGCCTCGCGGCCGTACCAGCACACCTACACGCTGTCCTTCCTGGTGGAGGCACTCGCGGCGTCAGACGAGGTGGTGGCCTGGGGCAAGCACGCCGCGTTCTTCAGCCTTGTCGGTTACGCGGAGGCGGTGTACGGCAGCTTTGAAGGACTGCTGCTGGAAGTGGAGCGCCTTTACTTTGGCGGTTCCTGGCGTTTCGGAGGCGGCATGAGGTCGGGAGAGCCACGGGTGATCTGCATCGCCGCACCACCGATGGGCGCTCCGCAGCCTTGCGGCGGTGGAGGCGGCGGCGGAGGAGGCCCCAAGACGCTGCGGAGTGGCGGCAGGTCGGCGTCGGGTGGCGGCGGTGCCAGGCGGCGTGCAGGCGTGATGCTAGGTGCGGGTGCGGGCCCGGCGTTGTGGTAGGGCGGCAGCAGGCGCCATTTTGCGCGCCTGGGGTTTCGGGGTTTGGATTTGGGTCGGTTGTTTGTCCACAGGCATGCATGCATTATCGACGCATGCCGCGTAAGGCATTGGGTTATTTCCATAGGCTTAGGCTTTCCTTTTGTTGTGTTGCATACAATGAATAGCTATTCCGCACTGCATCTTGCTGGGTTGACGGCGACTCACTGAGGGCGTTATGTAGGTGAGCGGGTAAGGATCCCCCGATTTCCCCTGTAGCGGGGATGCGTATGTCGAAGTTTTGGAACGCTCTAGAGGTGTACCAGGTGTGTGCGCTCTGCTGCGACGGTTAAATAAACATTGCGGATAGGGCGTGATCCCACGATACCTGGCCTTGGGGTGCAATGGGTTCCGATGTTCCCTCCTGCTGTCCATGAGCCTTGTTGCTCTGCGAGCGCACTGTGATCCGAGTTCGGCGGCGGAAGCCAGCCAGCGCAGAGTAAGCGACTGCTGAGCCACGCGGGGCAACAGCGTAACTTGAGTTCGGTCGTTGTGACTGTGGATAAGGTTTAAACACGCCAAGTGCGCGACCCGACCAAGTGGCGTCTTTTTGATGCCGCTGCGATTGCATTGCGTTACGTGCCACTCTTAATAAACTCAATGTTGCCCGTTTAAGTTCCCGCGCGATATCATTTGTACTGTGTTCGCCATTGCGTTGTTCAGCTGCGTTGTTGGGGTCTATGTTCAGCTGCGTTGTTGGGGTCGTGTGCCATTGATGGCGCACCCTCGGGATCCGAAAAGGGTCTTTGGTTGGCGTCTTTGAGCCCCTTGGTTCATTAGAGGTTTGTACTTCCGGGGGCAACGGTTTTTGCGGGCTGTGTCGAAATGGCAGACCTAGGTAGATGGAAGGTCTGGGCAGCGCTGTTGCGGCGGTGGTTTTAGGCATGGGATACGTGCTAAGAAGGACCCCGGTTAGCGTCCAACTGATGTGTGTCGTTCGGCTGCTGCCAGGGGAGCTGTTTGGAAAGGCACGGTATCTGGTGAAGTGGTAGGAGGGGTTGTGACTGTGTAGGCAGGGGTGGCTGTTGTTGTTTACGCATCGCGAACTAGCAGTGATGTTGCAGTTGTGCCAGAGGCATGTGGCGAGCGCTGCTGTATGGCGCTTTGGCAAGCAGTTTCGTTTAGGTGGCGTAGATTGCTGCCTCTGTACTGCACGTTGTGTGGCAGGAGTTCCCATCTTTGCAATCGCACTGTTATGCATGACGAACGCATCCTTCATCTTTATCGTTATCTACCAGGCCCGTGCGAAAGAGATGAGTCATTCCAAGATGTATTTGTTGGGTATTAGTTGGTTTGCAGTTTCCGAACAGTCTGCTTTGCACGCAGACATTTGCACGCAGGAATTCTGTACAAAACAAGAAACGAACTGTTGTTGATGTCATGGGGCCCCTTTGTGCCTACATGACTGTGCTGATGCACACTAGAACTGCTTGGGTTACATGGACTGCATCTTCTCCGGAAGCAATGCAATTTGACATGCTTTGGCTACTTGTGTACTATGTAATGCCGTGTCCCCACAGCTACAGAAGGCCTTGGGCCGCCTTGGTATGCAGTTGGTTGCCATCCATGCAGTGGCGCAGAGTGCCAAACCATTGGTACGAACGCACCTACGAAGCGAAGTTCTGCCCGGCAGTACTGTGCGTTGGGAGAGAGCCTGCACCCGCCACCTTTGTAAAGGCAGAGCCGCGCGTAGCTCGGCTGTGACCTCTGGGGGTTGGAAAGTAGTGCACGTCAGGTAACTGTGCAACGTTTGACTGTGTGATGGGGTATTAAGGGTAGCGGAGCCGCAGCAACAGCATGGAAGCGTTTGTTCACGACAAAGGTGCCGTACAAGTTTTGAAACCCCAACCGCCATGTCTGTCACCCTGTCCGACTAAACAACCAGGATGGGCACACTTGCAGACCAGTCGAACACCGTTCCTCAAGGCATAATGCTGAAGTACTAGTTCCCTGTCAAACACACCGTCTCTTCCTCCTCTTCGCTCCCAAGCACAAAGAACAGTACCAGATGCTGCAATTCAGTGGCCCAAGCAACATTCCCCAAGCTGGATACTGCTAACAGACAACGGCATAATCGCCATACTCCTGCAGCGTGCTGCCCCAACGCGTGCTCTTGATGCACTCCTGCAGGCCTAGAGCCATACACCGCCACCGCCTGCACTGCTTCCTCTGCACCCCTCCAACATGTCTTGTTCAGGACCGCACCCGCCCACAGAGCCCAACGTCGCGTCTGCAGCTGCCACCGGCTCTACAGCACACCCAGCGTCCAAACCTGCACCCAGCACTGGCCCGCAACCGTCTTGGCTTGGCCCCAGCGCTGCTGACCCTGGACCACACCCACCATCGGTTCCCACGGATCCTCCACCCACAGAAGCTGCTGCGTCACAATCCATCCATGCAACGTTGCTCACAGCGCCATTAGTTATATGCGGGGACGCGTCGGCAGTTGATGCTTCAGCTGGGGCTGCAACATCGCCAGACGGCTGGGTGACATCCATGGCATCGGAGGCGGAGGCGTAAGCTGGGGCTGTCGAGGCGGCCGGCCGTTCACTGCTGGTATCCTCGTTGCCAACAGGTACTGAGACGGGCTCTGAGACGTACTGTTCGCCAGTAATGCGCCGAAGCTCCTCCTCTAGTGCAGCAACCCGCGCCCGTTTCCGCGCTAGCGTCGCGATGTTGTCGCCTATCGCTATCCGGTATTCCGGGTCGGGATCTGTCTTAAGTAGCTCTTTGAGCTCCTTGTTGCTCCGCTCGAGGTGAGCGATGGAGTTTCGCAGCTCATCGATCTCTATCTTAAGCACAGGTGCAGACATCTGAATCTATTATGGGCAAGGCGGGTGATTTAATTATTACGTTAAACGACAAGAAACAGAAAAGGTATAGTCAGACGTTGACTGGCCTGAGTGTTCGTTGGCGAAGTTGTACGGCCGGAGTTCTACAAGCACCGGTAAGCGAAGCGTAAAAGCACATCGACCCAATCGCATAACTGTACAATTGCTTAGTGCTTAATATCTTTTTGCTATACTAGTCCAATCACTTTAATCAACGCCGCGCACAGCGAAGGCACGCGTCACGCACAGCATCAGCGGCACTAGCCGGGGTCAACGTGGAATGACAGTGCCCAGCCTACTGGAACTCTGCATTGAGGTAGAGTTTACTGCTGGACCTGGCTGGACTGCATCTTTCCTTCCATGCGGCGAGGTCCATGACTCGCAGAGTGACCTGGCCATTTCACAACCCTCTCTCCGAATCCCTTTGCCTTCTTCCCTTTTCCGTGCAACCTAGGCCGCGTCTCAAACACGCCACTGGACTGTGCAGCGCCGTAACTTAGAGGTGCGGCAGCCGGGCAGCCAACTGGGGCTTATGTAGGACATGAGTGACAGGGCAGAGCGGTACAATAGATGGGCTGTTCGGGCCACAGGAGGCCGCTCAGTAAGTGACTACAGCACCCCTACGCCGCACTCTCTGCCTCTTACTTATCGCCTTGAGGCTCTAGCACGACGGAGGAGGAGAGCAAGATGAAAACACGGAGGACGGAGGGAACGACGCGGGAGGGAGGCATGCAAGCAACTGGTCTCCTTGCGCCTTTCCATTCCCCGTTTTCGCCCCAAGATGCCCTCATCTTCCTCCTCCCTTCCCCCCATCTCCTCATCTTCCTCCTCCCCCTCGCCTCCCCAGCGGCTACCCGACCACGCCGCTAACGACCTCCTCGCGCGCCTCATTGCCCGCCAGTCCGGCCACCACACCGGCGGCACCACCACGGCCCGCAGCGGCAGCAGCAGCGATAGTACTGCCCTCCTCCGTAAGAAGAGCAGCACCAACCTAGCTAGGAGCAACCTAGCCAGGAGCAGCAGCAGCGGTGCCAATCATGCCAGCGTGCACGCCAGCGGTGGCAGCGCTGGTGGTGGTGGCGGTGGAGGTGTCGGTGCGTTGCGGCCCGCCACTCTGGAGCTGTTCCGTCACGCTGTGACGCGAGTGGAGCTGCGGGGGCCCAGCTGGGGGCCGGAGTGGCTGGCGGTGCTAGCGGGCTTCAGGTGGGGGGAGGGGGAGATCCCCTGCTGCCTAGACAGCTGAGCCAGCAGGGCGTTCCCTCCTGGGCTCCCCCCCGGGGCAGACACCTGCCTTCCCATGCGCTCCACAATTCCTGAGAGTGATGCCACCACCCACCCCACTCCTCAACCACTCCACCACCCAACCCAACCAACCTGTGTCCCCATCCGCTGCTGGGCCCTGCTCCCAGCAGCCCTCACATCCCCATGGTCCTGCCCTAACGTGTGCTTTCCTTCGGTTCGGGTTATCTCTGACCCCCCTGGGTCCCGGCGACACCCCGGCTCCACCCGCTCCTCCACTCCTCCCCTCTTCCCCTCACCCCACCCCACCCGCTCCTCCACTCCTCCCCTCTTCCCCTCACCCCACCCCACCCGCTCCCCCCCCAGCCACCTGCATGAGCTGCGTCTCGCGAGCTGCAGCCGCATCACATCCGCCGCAATTGCCCAGTTGGCTGGGGGAGGAGGTGGAGGGGCAGCAACAGCAACAACAGCGGCGGCAGCGGCGCCACCACCACCACAGCAGCAGCAGCAGACAACCGTTGCGTCCCCCGCCTCCGCCGCCTCCTCCTGGCGCCGCAGCGGCAGGCTCCCCCCTTCCACACCCGCCCTCGCCGCCTCCGCCTCATCCCGACAGCCGTCCCAATCACCCACTGCCGTCATCTCCACCTCTCCTCTCTTCCACGGCTCCCGCTCTCCTCCTGCGGCCGCCCCTCCCGCTCCCACCGTTCCTCTCATCCCTACCACTCCTGCCCCCGCTGCTGCTGCCCCCGCGCTGTCCCCCGCCGCTGCCTCACTGTGCCATCTGGACCTGGGCGGCTGCGGGCGGGTGGGGGATGCGGCACTCGGGGCGGTGGGGCGCATGGGGCAGCTGATGTCGCTCAGCATCACAGGTGTGGGTGGGTGGGGTGGGGTGGGTGGGTGGGTACAAGGTGGGCATGCCATGACGGTGCAGTAACGGTGTGCCCAGCGGTGCCATTTGTGTGTGTATCATCGTCGTCAGAGCCGCGTTTCACGTTCGCGTCAGCAAGAAGGGCTACTCATGGGCCACGTAGCCAACCCTACGCCTGCAGCCCCACCCTGCCTGCCTGCCTGCACCCCCCTGTCTGGTCCCCTGCATGGCCATGCCCTTGCTATCCCCTCCATCCTGCTCCAAGCAAACACACTGAAATCACACCCGACCCTCCCTGCTGCTGCATCACGCCGCTGGGTCCACCGGTGTCCGCGGCGGCGCCTGCGGCTGCTGCAATGTGGTGGTCGCATGGGAGCAGAGACGGGTGTGGGCGGTGAGGGGCTGGCGGCTCTGACTGGCCTCTCCCGCCTCACGAGGCTGGAGGCGGGCGGCATCCAGGTAGGTGGTGGTGGTGGCGGAGGTGGTGCAGCGGACATGCGCTGTGCTGTGCTGTGTTGTGCAAGGGACCCTAGGGCGGTCAGGCTTCACACCGCCCCTGCCCATGCATACTTCCTTGCTCCTTACGCCTTGCTTCCATACAATGACGCAACGGGCACTGGTCCGCCGCTGCTTTCCTGTCCCATGCGACCGGCGTGCGCTACCTCCTCGCTTTCCCTGCTGCAGTTCTCCCCCATCTTGCCGTTCCACACCTCACGCCTCACGTCCCATTGTCCTTGTTTGCCCCTAGTTTATTCCACAACGTACCCGCCTGCTCCTCCTCCTGCGCCTCCCACTGCAGTCCGCGGGTAATGCGGCCTGGTGCGGCCTGCTGCCGCACTTGCCCCGCCTGCGCCACCTGGACATATGGGGCAGCAACGCGGGAGCGGCCGACGCCTTTTCCTCCTCCTCCTCCGCCGCCAGCAACAACAGTACAAAGCATGGCATTGTCAGCAGTAGCAGCAGCAGCGGTGGTAGCGGTAGCGGTACGGAGCAGTTCCTGCTGCTGCTGGCGACGTGTCTTCCGCAGCTGGAGCAGTTGGGGCTGGCGTGGACGCAGTTGCGCGCGCTACCGGCTCTTCCGCAGCTCAAGGTGAGGGGGTGGGGCGCCTGATGAGGGAGCGGCTGGTGTGATTGGGCAAAACCTCTGAAGGGGTGCAGGCGGCGGCAGCCGTCAACGAGTGAGGTACTGGGCAGGCTGATTGAAGGATCCCTTCTACGGCGCTCCTTACTACTTGTACTGTGTCGCCGCCGCGGCTGCTGCAAACCCAACACGTTTGGTTGCATGCATTAACTCCTTTTTACCTCCTATCCCGTGTCTACGCCTTCCTTACTCCCTGCCTTCCTTACTCCCTGCTTTGTCGTTTTCGCCTGCCGCATACATGCAGGTACTAGACATGCGGCACTGTCAGCTGCGGGAGGTGTGGTGGCCCACGGGTCGGCCGGGCGGCCCGCTGGCGCTGCGGCAGCTGCTGCTGGCTGGGGTGGAGCTGGGCGGCGGTGCGGTGGTGGCGGGAGAGACGTCCGAGTGGGGCCTGGCGGGAGTCATCAGGTGCGGGGTGGGGCGGAAAGTAACGACAGGCGGACAATAGGTGCGGGGCGGGGGCCTCCCGCACTACCCCTCTACCGGTGCAGACCTGAAGAGGGTGGTGTGTGAGGACCTGAGGAGCCCGGCCAGGCTGCTTGCGCTTGGCCCTCGTGTAGGTAGAGGGGCGGTGGGAGGGTAACCAAGAAGGCCACCCAGCGGCCAAGCTGCTAGGCGCCCACTCAGACAACCACTGAGCCAGCCTTCTAGGTCTGCACCCCAGGTGCCACGTCACACCCCGTTTCACACCCCCCCACGTAGCGCCATGTCCAACCCTAACCTCTTCAGCACATGCCAGCCATGTTAACCGCATTGCCCCATCCCCTGCAGGCACGCCGCCCCCTCCCTGGAGCTGCTGAACCTGGCTGACATGAGCTGCGCCGAGCAGCCTGCCTGGGGCCCACCGCTGGCGGCACTGGGGACAGCAGCAGGGGCAAGGGAGGTGGAGAGGGCGGTCGCCAGTACGGGAGCTCCCAGCTTGACTCATTTGGACATCAGTCGTACGGCGGTACGACCTGAAGATCTATCGTATCTTCAGGTGGGTGCGCGTGTTTGTATGTGTATGTACCGGTGAATAACCCGGCCACTGCTTGTGTCTGCCGTGAGGAGCAAGACACCTCGCACAGCGCCCATCTCTCTATCCCACGGCTTGCTTTAGAGGAATCGCTGCGCATGCGCTGCCGTACTCATGCGCCCCTTAACCTCCCGTCCCCATTCCAACTGGCCTTTATGCTATATACGCGCTCAAACCACCTAACCCATGGTTCCCACCTCCCTACCCTCACATCTCTTCTGTCCCCATGGGATTTTATACTCCCCTCCCCTCTGCACTTCTCATTTCTTGTTTCTCCTCCCCTCTCCGCCCCCTTCTTCCCCAGTCTGCCCCATCGCTGCGGCGTCTGGTGGCCAGCGGCACCCGCTGCGGCTGCCCGGCGGGGGCGGCGGAGCTGGCTGCAGCTGGGCTAGCGGAGCTGCAGGTGGGGGTTAGATAAACTGAGCCGCGGAAACACTGACCCTGACCGTGGGGTGGGGGTCAGAGAGGGTCTAAAGGGGTCAGAGAGGAAATACCGTTTGGATAGCTGGCTCTGGGGTGCTTGGGGTGTTGGGTAGGAAAGGACACTGAAAAGGTTAAAAGCCGGGAATGGGAAAGGAGCTGCACCTCGCCTTCGCTGCTCTAATTTGTAACGTTGCAAGCATGCGAGCTTGGCCTTCTGTTGTGTGGATTCATCCTACTAACCGTATCTCCTCCTTACCCCTCGTCTTCATGATTGCCTTCTGCTCTGCGCCAAAACAGGACTTGGACTTGTCGCGCAGCGGCGTGATAGATGAAAGCGTTTCCTGGCTCCAACAGCTAACGGCCTTAACCAACCTCAACCTCGCGCATAACGACCAACTAACCATGGCGCCGCCCCGGCGGCCGGCACCCCGGCTGGAACAGCCGCAGGAGCAGCAGCAGCAGCAGCAGCAGCAGCAGGCGCCCCAGCACCTGGTAGCCTTCGACCCATGGGCCCCGGATGTCCCTGACCGACCGGGTGCTGCGGGTGAGGCCGGCAACCGGAGCCGTGCCAGCAGCGGCAGCAGCGGCAGCAGCAGCGATGACGAGGCTTCCGCTGGCAGCGGCAGCAGCAGCAGTTGGCCTGGAGGGCTACGAAGACTGAACCTGTTAGGCACTCGGGTGGGGGAGGCGGGGCTGCGTGCCTGGCTGCTGCCTCCCACCGGCAGACCCGGCAGGGGTGGAGGGGCCGCACGCCGCATGCGGGGTGCAGGCGGGCGGGTCGCGGAGGGAGCAGGCGGAGATGGGAGGGACGGAGGCGAAGTGGGGCTAGCGCTGGAGCAGCTGAAGCTTGGCGGGGCGGGCGTTACGGACGCAGCGGTTGCGGTGCTGGCGGCGGCGGGGGAGGCGGCGAGGCTGCCGCGGCTGCACAGCCTGCTGCTGAGGGTGAGCTTGCGCATGCGATTGTGGAGGGGGTTGCGGATAGCGGTTGGGCTGTGGCCTGTGGGAGTAGGTTTGGGCTACAGCTTGATGTTTTGAAGTATCTGGAATGTAACAGCGAGGAATTGCTCAGGGTTTGCAGAGTTAGGACAGGGGAAAGGGGCTTTTGTGAGGGAATGTGTCCGTATTTGTAGCCACTCCTCGTTTCACTCAAACCTCTTTCTAATTGCATGTGCAAACACCCCCTTTCTCCCCTCCCTCATCCCAGGATGCCCCCCTGTCGGGTCATGGCGCGCTGCAGCTGTCCGCCCTCGCGCCCTCCCCCGGCCACCCGCCTGCTGCCCTGCGCCGGCTGGAGCTACAGGGCTGCTGGCTGGTTTCGGAGCAGGAGGCTGCGAGATTGGCGGCAGCATGCGGGCCGCAAACGCTGGTAGTGGTCAACGGTAAGGCGGCGGCTGCAGTGGCGACGAGCGGCGGGGGGCAGCGGCGTGGCGAAGGAGGGAGGAGGGGTAAGGGTAATGCAGGGGGGGCGGGATCGACGGAAGCAGGGGAGGATTTGGAGATGTATGATCAGAGGTTGCGGTACGACACGGAAATGTTGATGGCGCTGGCGTCATCGCCGCTGGCTGGAGGCCGGGATCAGGGAGGCAGATCTGACGGCGTGGGAGGGGGAGGCGATGGTAATGGTGGTAGAAGGGAAAGCAAGTTGGGCGACATGGGCGATGGGTCCGGACAGGGGGCTGCAAATGGACTGTGGTTGAGCTTACCGGCTGAGCTCAGGCGGTCGGAGGTATGAGCTGTGCGCAAGCGGTAGGGGTGCTAAGGTGTGTCATACAGAATTTACTTGCTGAGACCCTGGGCCAATCGGACTGCAACTAGCACAGGTCGTGAAGGGGCGTGCAACAGTTGTGAACGCGTGCATTGCGTTAGTAAGGCAGACCACATGTGTACACACGGCACTGTTGGCACCAAGACGACTGCGACAGCTCTAGACAATGGCGCATGACAGGGATAGAGCAGTGCACACGTGTACAACATATACACACAGAAGCTTGGCTCTCGACTGACCTGGGAACATTTCCAGATTGATTGTCATGGAAACATTCCCAGGTCAATTAAGGCCTGATAACAAGCAAGACAAGTCACCTGCAAGTACATGGACCAATGACAACCACAATTGCCCGGATACCGGCAATGCAGATATGGTATATGGTGGGGCATTACCCATGTAAGTTCTGGCAAGGGGCAGTGTAGGGTGGTTAGGTAAGCAGGCAGTGATAACGGCTCAGATGCAGGCAGTGATAAGGGCTGGCAAGGGGCAGTGTAGCGTAAGATGAGTAAGATGCAGGCAATGTTAGAACTATCACCTGCCGCATGTATGAGCATGCAATATGCATTGTTTCCTTGTGGTCGTTACCAGTGCACATGCCTGTCCTACTATAGGCAAGGGCAAAAGTAGGACAGGCATTTAGGATAACGGGATTGAACGGGGGCGCGCCCAATACCACCAATTGATGTAGCTCCCAGACGCCGCCGGACATTCATCGCGCCGCCGCCAGCTGTAAGGAGTTGGGAGTCCCACGACCAAGGGAACCAGCAGCTACTAGTGATTCCAATGACTGCGGCGGAACTTCAAGCCTTGAAATCACATGTGAAGACCTGCGAGGTGGTAAGAGACAGAAGAAAGTAGAGCGTCAGTGCGGGAGTAAGCCCCGTTGTGTTGGTGGATTGCATCTCCACTGGCCACATAACTGTTGCTATGGCGAGCTGCCCTTCGGCCGTAAAAACGACACGTAGGGGTCCTGCCCTTTCGGACTGGCACTCTCTGCCCCATCGCCCGGGGACTTTCGCCCGGTGTTCATAGTAAAGGGATGCAGCGCACAGTCACGCCGCGCTCAAAGCTGCAGCGGACTTCTGCCATAAGAGACACCGAAGTGGCCCTCCGCACTGCGCCTACCTGTCGAGACGTGACGACCGGCATCAAGGGTGGAAGACAAAGCTTGCCTCCAGCGCCTCAGGACCTGCATAGGACATAGCAGAGAAAGCCATCAGATAGTGGTGCATGTAAGTAATCCGTCATAGGAGGACGGACAAAATTTGGTGTGGTTGTTGATCATCTTCGGCTTGTGACTCTACTATTCCGCTAGGCATATGGGGGTCGGAGTGGTGCATGATAGTTTATCACCATCTGAGCATAAGCCCAGTCAGAACAGGTCTGTGTGGTGTATCGTTTCTCGTCATTCCCCCGCCTGCCATGCGTTCGGAACTGGCCAGGGACTTAGTATGATGAGAGCGCTCACCTGAGCATCAAGACATCCAGCCTTGATGACGACCACTGCGAAATGCCGAATTATTGATATCGACACAAGTCCGCTGCCGAATTTATATTCGGCAATTGGCGGCTGCACGAGGTTCCCTGGAGTCGTTCGTGTACGCCACGGAGCTTGGCAACCGGCTTTCCAGAACTATTGCAGCCTGCAAGTGTGTCTTTTACTAAGAAATTTTCCTGGCGGCCCCCGGCGTAGACCATGGTGAAGTAGATCTCGAGGGCCACTTTGTCGCCGTTGCTGTCATCTTGTTAGAACCACTGTGGTAGGCTTATGGACGATATTTACAGTGTGTTGTCACGCATTTGCCTTACTGGTCGTTGTGTTAGGAGTTTGTTTCCACTGCTTGCCTGTTACCAGGGAACATCGGACTAAATGGGTTCTGCGATCTCATGGCAAGGAAAAGGAATTATGACACGACAACCTCGCATGCTGCCATATTTCTGACATTGTGCCATACCCCTTAGTCCCTCCGCTTCCACAGCCCCAAATGTCCTACGGCACGTGCATTGCTCGGATTAGATTTCGACGTCCCAACGTGCATTTCCACTCTTCAATCGCATGGTATTGTACACTGTACCGGTAGTCACTAGTTACCAGATAAAAGGGGAAGTTGGGGATTTGGGTCGCTCGAGTAGCCCTGGAAGTGGGTAGAAACGCGACGAGGCGCATTGACCCGCTGAGGTATACATGTTGAAATGGTGGGCCGAGTGCCCGTTCAGGCGCGTCGCTGAGGTAAGGCCCTTTATGCTGAGGTAAGGCCCTTTATACAATGCGACGTCCTTCCCCGCCTATGGGTCCTTTCCCGCCTATGGCATAGAGCGACAGTAACGCACAAACCCCCGGGAAGTGTACTGTCGCGCCAAAGAGTGCAAAGACTACCTCCAACTATAAGCTGGATCAGGGCCCGCGCTGCAGGAATGTATCTCTTTGCGCAGGACGTACAACCCCATACCCTACTACGCGTGTGCTGTTGCAAACACAGGGTACCTCTGTGACCACGACCAACGCGAACACCCGTCCTTCCCAGGAAGGCTGCATTTATGATGAGGAGTAAGACGGACCCGTGGACCATGAGGGAGAGTTCCGTCGAGTTCCCTTTCGGATACCTTGGACCTGCCTCCGCAGCTTCCAGTTCTGGGTCCACATCTGGATTGGCAGACATCCACCCCGCGGCCTCGCCGTCCTTGGCGGAATGGGTTCCACTTGCAACGAAATCCCGCCACCCTCCAAAATCACCTAAGGAACATACGCTCTATCGAAGTGTAAAGTGGAAACATCACATGTAATCGTCATGTTGCGAGCACAAGGACACAAATCAGGGTATCAAGAGCAGTGCCATTGTACCAGCTCTCCTCTGACACGCCATTCGGTAATATAAACCAGTTGAATGTGCTCTTATTTGGTAGCATATACCTCACAGGAAATTAAATGAAAGCAAAGGCGGCCATGTCTATTACTATGTACGGCATTCGGACAAAGGGACGACAACCTCCCCCGGCTGCGCTCTCGTTGCACTGGTTAGGCAGGAACTATCGTTGCCCTTGTGGCTGTGCGCTAGGCAATAGGCGGTTAGAGGTGTTCTCTTGTTGTGGGACAGCGTCCTACTTTTCCTAAGCCGAACTTTACCGAAAAGTGCCTATTATCAGCATGGTCCTTACGGGCTTGTCCCGGCGGGCGGCCGTGTCCCTAGGCCAGCTGTGGCCAGGTGCGCAGGAGCTTTCCCGCACCATCACTACCAGCGCTGGAGCTCTGCAGCAGGCAGCACCGCCAAGCGATCAGATTGAGGTGTTTGTAAACGACCAGCCCGTGAAGATTCCGAAGAACTCCTCGGTCTTGCAGGCCTGCGATGCGGCCGGTATCGACGTCCCTCGGTGAGAAAGGGCAGGCTCCCCTTCGCTTTATGCGGGATATTTTATGTAGTAGGCTTAACGTTTTGCCATAAAACTTGCAGGTTCTGCTATCACCAGCGCCTCTCTATTGCTGGGAACTGTCGGATGTGCTTGGTGGAGGTACGCACTGCTACTCTGGCAGCGCGTAACGGGAGGGGTTGGCACTTAAAAGTACGTGTGTGGCCGACGCGCAGGTCGAGAAGGTTCCTAAGCCGGTTGCGTCCTGCGCCATGCCGGCTGGACCGGGGATGAAGATTAAGACTGAGACGCCCATGGTCAAGAAGGCTCGGGAGGGTGTCATGGAGTTCCTCCTGGTGAGTAACTGGTGCTGCGTGATCAGAGCTGAACATTTATGGCAAAGATTCTGCTTGGTTTCCCCCACACTCCCCATCCCCCTTACCCTCGTCCGCCTACTGAATCTCAGAGTTCCCCTCTCATTGTCTGCCCGTTAATTTGCGAACAGCTGTGCCAGACCAAATAGATAGCATGGTGGCTCCTACTGTACTCCGGAGTGGATCTACTTGCTTGAACCATGAGGATGAAACCTCCCGAACCGAACACGTACCTTTCCCCCACCGCGTGGAGGGCTGCATGTCACGCGCATTCCTGAACCCTCTTTCCACGCCGTACTGCGGCGCTTCCTTTCCCAGAGCCACAGTTACATGCTCCATCTTCCATCTCACCCCTAATCTCACCCCCTCCCGGCTTTCCTCCTCCGCCTCTGCCCTTGCAGATCAACCACCCGCTGGACTGCCCCATCTGCGATCAGGGTGGCGAGTGCGACCTGCAGGACCAGGCCATGATCTACGGCAGCGACCGCAGCCGCTTCTCGGAGACGAAGCGCGCCGTGGAGGACAAGAACCTGGGCCCGCTGGTGAAGACGGTCATGAACCGCTGCATCCACTGCACCCGGTAGGCAAAGCCGCACGGAGAGGTTATGGGGGGAACACGTGTGGGGTTGTTCATGATGGGCTGTAAATGGTGGATAACTAGAAGACCACGAATTGTTTAGTATGGCACGAGCTAATCCAGGCCAGCAACGAACCGAATAGGCGCCAGGGGGGATTGGAAACAATTGCAGCAGGGGGTAAAATAAGGGGGGGAAGGAGTGCAAACGAGAGGGTTTAGACTAAAAGCTGGGCGCGGTTAGACGCTGCAGCGACTCCTCCTGCGTGCATGCATCATCCATTCGCGCCTCTTACCACGTAACAACACCCTGTGCAACAACCATTTATTTTCACCAACCGCCGTGTGCGTGTGCAGTTGCGTGCGCTTCGCCTCCCAGGTTGCGGGCACTGAGGAGCTGGGTGTGACTGGCCGCGGCCGCGACAGCGAGGTCGGCACCTACGTGGAGAAGCTGATGACCAGCGAGCTGAGCGGCAACGTGGTGGACCTCTGCCCCGTGGGAGCGCTCACGTCGAAGCCGTACGCCTTCACGGCGCGCAGCTGGGAGCTCAAGGTGGGACCGGGAAGGGCGGAGCGGCAGGAGAGAGAACAAGGAAAACCTAAATCCCAATGCCTTGAACCCGGCACAAACTTGAGGAAGAGTGGTTGTGCTGGGTAAAGGGTGTTGCGTTTAGGAGGCTTTGGGCATGGGGGAAAGGGGAAACAGCCGAAAAGTGCGCTTCAAATGGAAAAGATATGACTCTTCCATGGGATTAGCCTTTGAGTTGCGGCCGTAGCTGTTGCAGAAGCACACGAGGGCCGGTTTGGCCATGACGGAAAAGGTTTGGGGCAGCACTGGGCATTACTGCAGCGCAGATGCCCCATCGAACCTTAAAACCTACCAGCAAGGAACGAACATATGCATTTCACGATTGCAACCCCGTCCGAAAGGCGGCGCGGTGGGCCCTTGCCAGCAGCGATATAATTGCACGGACGAGCCTTTCACTCTTCCTGTGCTAGCGTACGACCATGGTCCACCATGCCGCCGCACAGGTGCCCGCTGGGACCCCCTTTTGACATCATTTTGGCTAAACCCCCACTCGCACGGTTAGTTGGCTTCATCCACTAAACCCTTCCTCCCCCACCTTGTAACCCTCATTTTCAGGGCACTGAGTCCATTGACGTGTCTGACGCCCTGGGCGCCAACATCCGCGTGGACAGCCGCGGCACTGAGGTGATGCGCATCCTGCCGCGCCTCAACGAGGCGGTCAACGAGGAGTGGCTGTCCGACAAGGGGCGCTACCAGTACGACGGCCTCAAGCGCCAGCGCCTGGACCAGCCCATGGTGAAGGTGCGGGGGAGGGGGAAGCGTGATTGGTTTGGAAGTTGTGTGAACTGTGTGATGAGGATGAGAGCTGGGATGCTGGTGTCTTGCTTGCCGCCTCAGTTCCCGCAATCCACTGTTTGTCGCTAGTTAGCCACCCAGGCCCAGCATTGCTAAACGTACTTACCCCCCCTACACCTGTCCCCTGCGTACCCCTCCCTCCCTCCTCCAGGGCGCCAACGGCCTGGAGACGGCTACCTGGTCGGACGCGCTGTCCGCCGCCGCCGCTGCGCTGAGCTCGGTGCCTGCCGCCCAGGTGAAGGCCATCGCGGGCAAGCTGGCTGACGCGGAGAGCATGGTGGCGCTGATGGACCTGATGCGGCGCCTTGGGGTGGGCAACCTGGTGCACGAGGGCGGCTTCGCGGATATGCCGTCGGACGTGCGCTCCACCTACACCGCCAACACCACTGTGGCTGGGCTGGAGCAGGTGGGGGCGGGGGCGGGGGAGGAGGGCGGTGGTGTTGTGTTCCACGGCGTGTTAAAAGGGCAGTGGAAAAGACATTAAGAGAGGCCTTCGAATGGGCTGTGCGCAGCCTGCTCGAGTGAAAGGATATAACTGACGTTTGCGGTTGTATGCTCCCTGCGTTCTTCATTGCCAGGCCGACATGATCCTGCTGATCGGCACCAACCCGCGGTGGGAGAGCCCCGTCTTCAACGCGCGCATCCGCAAGATCTTCCTGGACGGCACCAAGGTGGGCTGCGGGCCAGGAGGGGTGTGGCGTGCGGTTGGGGGCGACTCTATGGACGCTGCCATACAGGAGGTCTGAAACCTCATCCTTATTAACCAGGAGCGTTCTGGAATCGTTCACAAAGCGGCATTTTCGGCTGGCTGCTAAACCGCAATACTATTGAATCTCCCGTTGTTAACGAACCCTCCTCGACACTCCATGCAGGTGGGTCTGGTTGGCGCCCCCGTGGACCTGACCTACAAGTACGAGCACGTGGGCTCCGACCCCGCCGCTTTGGCCGCCCTGGCTGCCGGCCAGCACCCCTTCCTGGAGAGCCTGAAGAAGGCCGTCCGCCCCGCAGTGGTGGTGGGCCCCGGCGTGCTGCGCCGCGGCGACCGCGAGGCCGTTATGAAGGCTGTGCACGACCTGTGCGCCAAGGCGGGTGTGGTGAAGGAGGGCTGGAACGGCTTCAACGTCATCCACGACACCGCCTCGCGTGTGGCCGCCCTGGACATGGGCTTCGCGCCCTCGGTGGCCGCGCGCGCCAGCAAGGCCCCCGCCAAGGTGGTCTACCTGCTGGGCGCTGACGACTGGGAGGAGGCGGAGGTGCCCGCGGACGCCTTTGTCATCTACCAGGGCCACCACGGCGACCGCGGCGCCTCTCGCGCCAACGTCATCCTGCCGGGCGCTGCCTACACGGAGAAGTCCGGGCTGTACGTCAACTTTGAGGGCCGCGTGCAGCAGACTCGCACCGCGGTGCCAGTGCTGGGCAACGCTCGTGAGGACTGGCGCATCGTGCGCGCGCTGTCGGAGGTGGTGGGCAAGCGCCTGCCGTACGACGACCACGCCGCCGTGCGGGCTCGCCTGGCGGAGGTGGCGCCGCACTTTGCCAACATCAACTCGGTCGAGGTAAGCGCTTCTGTACGTTTCACTGTGCTTGGGTTGGGCAAATTTGGAATGCCCCATCTTGCTCATGGGTGGGGCGTTCGGCCGCTGTACGGCTGTGGCAGCTGAGAGACGGCCTGGCGCGTGTTTGAGTGTTTCCCTTCTTTTTGCTACTATCCCCGCGACCACGCAGACGCCTGTGTGGCTCAACGGCGAGTACGTCAAGGGTGTGGAGCAGCTGGCCAAGGAGGCGCCAGTGCAGGTGGGCAGGCCCGTTGGTGGGGTTGCAGTGACCCACTGCACCGGCGCCCTCGCTGACGAGCTTGGATTGCACCGCCTGCTTCTGTTGCTCCTGAAGCATTTGTACGCAACCACACCACTGTAGCAGAACGCATCCCCGTCTGGTTACCGGCATGCTCACAGCGTTGGCTTATGAGTTGATGGCTGTTCACTTCGCGCTGCTCACTCCCTCTGCTGCTGCTGCTGCAGGCCTCCGTCCCGCTGGCGAGCACCATTGAGAACTTCTACATGACGGACGCCATCAGCCGCGCATCCCGTACCATGGCCAAGTGCGTGCTGGCCAAGCAGCAGACCCAGGCTAAGAGCGCGTAAGAGCGCAGAAAGCCTGGTGGAGGAGGTTGTTGTTTTGATTGGGAATGTCGGGCGCGGTGCATGTGTCGGATTGAGGCCTACGATAGCTGCGCGGGTGGCGGCTGGTTAGACGTTAGTTGACGGGGAAATCTACTCGTTTTGACGGTGTCCAAGAGGAGCGAGCGTGCTTTAGGCCGGGCTTTGGCCTGTCTTGTAGGAAAGGAAGGCGCTTCTAGCCCCTTGTTGCATGGGTGCGGGGATCTCTATAACAAAGCTCGGGTTAGTCCAGTCGTCGTCCTGGAGCTGGTCTCCCGTTATTCACCCCTGGCGGAACCAGCCTTTCGGACGACAGGGGCCTTGTTACTGATGTAGCTGGAGGAGGCCCTGCAGTTTCAGGGAAATGGCCATGTGATGACAGCAGTCAGTGTTCGCAAAGGCGGCAGTCCTGGAAAGGCGGTGGGGCGGAGGTTTCAATGCTAGATGGTAATGGGGTGTAGTGTACAGACATCTCTCGTGAGTCCCTCGTGTCACGGTGTGTCGTTTGTCCCATCTCTGGGCGCAATGAAGGAAATGGCGGTGAGGAAAGGTGAAGCGGAGATCCAACTGTAACGGAGAGAGGGAACTCGCTATGACCCAGCGGGTCACCACTTGTGAGTTCGGTCTATTATAACGCGGCCAAAAGTGCCTCCCCATCTCAACGGACGAAGATACCGCCATGGGCTTACCAGGGAAATTTTACGGGCGGCCTTCCACAACGTAAGCGTGGCTTAGCAAAGCTTCAGGTTATGCGCGCAGTCACGGTATAGATGTGGGTATTATTACAAGTCGCATCAGCGGGGTCGATAGCAACAAAGAAGCCCGCTGGCAACGGACCCATAAATGTCGTACACTTCTGTTTCCACAGAGGGATGTGAAACGCAAACTAGGACTTTACTTTTCTCCAGACTGGCTTCCTTTAATTCATACGATCATTTTGCGCTGAAAACTCGTTCATTCACAGTCACAACTACATAAACCCGCAACATTTATGCTATCAACATTCTGTTGAACCGCACATGTAAGAAGGGAAGGCTTAGGGAAAGTTGTCGGACGTGATTCAGGGCGCACGGACGTAGCCTGGTACTGGCCAGAAGGTGTCTAGCTAGGCGACGATGGGGCTCTGGATCAGTAAGCTTTGGTCCCTTTTTGGCGACCAGGAAGCTCGTATCCTGGTGCTTGGGCTGGACAACGCAGGCAAGTGGTCCACCTGAGCATGATCATGTCGCAAACCAATCTGGTTTCTAAGCTTTTGATTGGTAATTTTGCTCACGTGGTTTGAACTGCAGGGAAAACAACAATCCTGTACCGTCTCCAAGTCGGGGAGGTAGTTTCCACCATCCCGACGATTGGATTCAACGTAGAGACGGTGACATATAAAAACATAAAGTTCCAAGTGTGGGACTTGGGAGGGCAGACCTCCATTCGGCCTTACTGGCGCTGCTACTTCCCATGCACACAGGTAGGCCGACCCGTTGGTCCAGAGCCACATGTTACATGCGCCAGAGCCACTTGTTGTCAATCAAGTTATTAGGTCTCAGGGAACGGGGCAGCGGAACAGAGTCCCTTGGTTTGCGGGCGATAAACTAGCACCTACACTGCTGGGCCAGAAGTTGGGAATCGCTTGCATATGAAATGCACCCCTTCACTCGTACGAGTTCCCCCGTTCCGAATTTATGCCACTCGTTAACAGGCCATCATCTACGTCGTGGATTCGACGGACACGGACCGCATCGGGATCTCGCGGGACGAGTTTAAGGCGCTGCTGGACGAGGAGGAGCTGCGGGACTCGCTGATCCTGGTCTTCGCCAATAAGCAGGTACAATTGTGACTACGGGGCCGGTCGATGTGGTGTGTAGGGAGCTGGCTGCTAGGCGCGGGGCAGTGCTGTAGCTAGGTTGGGCGCAGCATAGGCAGTCGTGCTGTCTGTTCGATGGGTAAGAACGCTCGTGCGCTTATCAGGAGCCATAGGAGAGCTAGGCATCCCGTGCTACACAGAGACATATTTCGCCACCGGCACCGTTTACCTTAGCTTACGCTGCTGACTGCATCTCTCTTTGTCCGTTACCGTCCGTCCCAGTCGTTGACGCGCTGCCCTCCCTGGTCCTCACCATATGCCACCCGCCCCAGGACCTGCCAAACGCTTTGAGCGATGCCCAGATAGCCGAGGGGCTAGGGCTGCATGACATCAAGAGCCGTGACTGGGCTATCTTCAAGACAAGCGCGGTGAAGGGCGAAGGGTTGTTCGAGGGACTGGACTGGCTCGCCAACATGCTCAAGACGCGACGAAAATAAGTCACAACGGCGTGGGCTTGAGTGAACGAGAGTGCAGCTGTTAATAGTATTCTGTGTAGTCTGCACCCGTGATTGGGGATCCTTATTCTACTGACGATCTGCATTTGGCGGGGCGCCGGGACTGCATGGCACATGGTTGTAAGACTGCACAGCAGGGAGGTCAGGACTAAAACTTTCATAATGCATGGGCATGGCAGTTGGCGTTTCTGCGAGGGAAATTCTTGAGGTTAGGGTGTGGCGGCAATCATTCTGCGTTGTCGGCCATGGCTTTCCATGTTGATGGGTATGCAAAAATACTGGCGGTTAAACTCCTGTGTCCCGTGAGATCTGAGCCGTCGGGTTGGGACAGGATGGCTGGCGGGGACTTGCCCATGATGTTGTAACTATACACAGGCTTAGTACACCATGTCAACTGTGAACGGCTGAAACCAAAGGTCTCTGCCCACAACAAGGCTGAAGCAGTAGTAGGCTGGGTCAAAGCCGGAGGTCAAGAATTTATGCCTTTGCTAATCCAACTATAGTTCATTGGGTAGGCTTGAGGAAGTATTGCGAGAGACACGTCACGGCGTTACAAAGCCACATTCCGCCGCTTGCTGAACCAGCCGCACCCAGCCAGCCAGCCAGCAGAGGCAACACGACCCAAACACTTTGGACGGCGAAGATGCCCTCCCCGCTGCCAATTAGAGCCGCACCCGACGCGATAAACGGCAATACAAACAACGAGTATTGTCCTTGCTGCACGTTTACTCGTTCTGGGCAGCCGCCTTGATGACGTTGGTGCCGCGGAGGCGACCAGTGCGGCGGGCAGCAATGAGACCGACCTTTTGGCCGGGGGGAGCCGACCGGCGGACGGTCGAGGCGTGACCAATGTGCTGGTGGTTACCACCACCGTGGGGATGCTCCACGGGGTTCATAGCCACACCACGCACCTGCACGAAAACGAGAGGGATCCCAAAGTCAGTATCCATAATCGGCAAAGCTACACAGGGCGAGCATCAAATCCGTGCGGAGCTTTACGGATTCTCGGTGCATCTGAACGCAAGCCCGGTAATCCAACCTCGATCCAGGAGAAACCCCCGGGAAATGCCAATAGAACCAATGAGATCAAGGCACAACGCACCTTAGGCCAGCTGTTGCGCTTGGCCTTGTACTTGAAGTAGCTGCGGCCGGCCTTCAGCATGGGCTTCTCCGTGCGGCCACCGCCGGACACCTGGCCCACGGTCGCGCGGCATGCGCTCGACACCACCTACATAGGCAAGGTTGGGAGTTATGTCCTGTCTTCGCGGTAGTGACCATTTCGATGGCCTGGTGTGCGAGCGTGTGCTATACGACGTTGTGTGCGACAGCCGACCCACAGCATAGCTGATGACGGTGAAGAGACAAGGCTGCGACAGCACACTTGCTGCTGGGGCAGCTACATATCCATGTAACCTCCAAGCCAGCAGCCATGCTATCCGCTGCTGCATCACCTCCCGACTGCGACAGCAATGCCTCGCATCATAGCTGCTGCGACCTACAACGCCACGTAAACGGCTCGAGTCCGCTGGGACACCAGGAGCTACTGACTGGGACCAGTAAGCTCCGGATGCTCGCCAGCTCCTAAAGCACTGAGTAATGCTGCTGCGTCCACGCCAGCACTCCAGCAAGGGAACGATGCTGCTGTCCGCATATTAGCTGCTGAATGTGATTCCATGCAGATGAGCCCGGTCACCGCATGGCAGCTAACCTTTCGACGCCATGTCACTGTAGGACAGCCCACTAGTTTAGGCCTATCTAGACGACCCAACAACGTGTGCTTCCCCCAGGCACACCTTCTTGGCGCCAGAGGGCAGCTTAATGCGGGTAATGCCGGCATCGGGGTTGTGCGCCACAACGATGGCGTAGTCACCCGAGCAGCGGGCCAGGGCACCGCGGTCGCCCGCTTTCTGCAATCCAAAGAGCAATTTTCTTCAAGCACGGAGAAACTCATACTACCTCAGCCTTGCATGCAAGGGTATCACGGCAACCTGGCCGTGCGAATGCAGTCGGATTGCCTTTCCCACATCCGGCTTGAACCCAGGGTTTCGTGTCCGTGACAGCACCCGGATGCAAACCCCATTTAGGCACTGCACTGACCTCCTCCACGTTGCAAACGATGGTACCCTCAGGCATGTCGCCCAGGGGCTTCACGTTGCCGATGGACAGCGCCGCCTTCCGGCCGCAGTAGATGAACTGGGGGGTTGGGGCAGGGCACGCAAAGTCAGAACAAAAGCCCGACCAACTACTGCAACAAGATTCCCAAAACCAAGTTAATCTCACCTGGCCGGTGTAGACGCCCTCAGCGGCAATGAACAGCGACTTCTGGTGCTTGTAGCGGATCGGGTCACGGAAAGTCACCTGCGAAGCGATGCATGGGCATTGCCGCTCAGTAAGCGAATCATATATGCTATAAAGCTATCACCATGTACACTTTGTAACGAGTTCTTCCACAATAATGCTGGAAGGGCAAATATAACACGCCGACCGTCGCAGCCGCCAAGGAAAGGACCAGTACAGCTCCAAGTTGCCAGAGCTGCTGTAAACTGCTATAAGCAACGTTTAGATGACTGCTGCTGAAAGCTCACCCGAGCCAGAGGCGCGCCACGGCCGGGGTCGTGCAGGACCTCGGAGACGACGCCCTTGATGTAGTGGTTCCGCTCAGCCGCGTCCATGACGCGGTGCTGAGCAGCACCCTTGCGGTGGGTGTTGTGGGACTTGAAAATCCCACCCCGACCCTTGCGCTGCGACCTAATAACGCGACCCATCTGCGCAGAACAGTTCGGGCAACGGCAGGCAAGCCAGAGGCTCTGTAAATGTACAGTGACGGGCCTAACTATATATCTAAAGTCGCTTAACAACTAAAGCAAGTTGAGCAACGGAAGCAATCTATGCTGCAGCGCAATGTAAGGAGGCGGCCGCCAATACTACCGCCGTCTGCGCTAAAGTTCAGCAAGCTAAGGGGCCCCACCTTGAACGTACGGGTCCCACCGTTGCGGGAAAGAGAAAGACAGGAGCGGCGCGGTCCCTCATTTCGCGCATTGCGCAGTGCTCCTCCTGGAGCAGTGGTGCCGTACTACTAAAGTCTCCCTTGTTGCTTTGCTCCCAACTCACATGCTGCGAAGAATGCAAGAGTGGCTTTTCAGGAGGTAAACTGATTTGCATATTCATACCAAGGCTGCCAAACCGTCGTTGAACCGTAATGTCGCTTGCCTCCCCACGGTTCTTCCCCATGTTCTGGATTGCGGAAGCTTGAAGAGGGGTTTTCATTTGCCCCATAATTAATGTTGCGTCTGAGTTGCAATCAGTCGCTTCCAAGCTATGGCCCCGGTTGCCCTCCTTTGCTGTGTCATTGGGCATTTGCCGGTGAACCAACTACCCGGACTGAATACTCGGGTAGACATGAACACCCTATGGACGGAAACTTAGTTACTGTTGCATGAACAGAGCCCCGCCAAGTCACCCTCCTTTCTGTGCAGAACGGCCGGCTTCCTGTGCAGCTTGCTGCAGCTGCCCTTCCGTGCTCTTAGGGCATACAGGCGGGCAATTAACTCACTCTCTGACACAGGGCTCCGTTGGCAGCACGGCCTAGCTTCGTCAAAAGAGGATAACTGCTAACTGGAGCATTCGGTGCTTACTGGTACACAGGCACGGTGTAGGGCCTGCAGGACTGGTGGCGTAAAGGCCTTCCGGTGCAGGGCCTCTCAATACCCATATTGTGCAAAGCCGCTGCTATGTATCGTTTGCAGGGCAATCCTTCAGATGGTTAGGCCAACGTCTCTGCAATACTAGTACCAGCAGGTACTGTGCGCGGATTACCCTTCCAAGTTACACGAACTGCCGCACAAAGCTTTGTCCACGCATGCGGCAAAAACATAAGCAACGCCTCTGGCATCCTACCTTAAGGACATATGGCCCTACACATGGAACAGTTTTCCTGCATCCATACCTGTCGAGCACACGAGAAGACCCCTTCCACGAAAAAACCACGAGACACACCGAAAAGGCCCACAGTGATCGTGGTGCTGCCCTTACTGTCACGCTCCTCTGCAAAGTAGCTTTCATCATTTTGGTACCCTTAAGCCCGCAAATGCGTTCTCCCCAGAGTCCTAAGTGTTCACGTCCTGCGACATGTATTTACGTGGTTGGCAAAGTACGTCAAGCGTGGCTAGTACCACCCTGTGTTAAGAGTCTCTACAGAGCACACGGCAAAAGCAGCTCCCTCTCGACACTTGACGCAGGAATGTAATTATAAACACCCATCAGCAGCTCAGCATGAGAGCAGGAGCACATCATGCATAAAATTCCTTGACTGTGCATGTAGCTGTGTCAATCTGAATCTGTATCAGGGTGGGTAACTGTCACACCCCATAATACACATACGCTCACGATTAGCTCAGATGCTCAAATTCCAGGCCATGATGGAGATGCAGAATGTCTGCATTCATGCGGTCACGATGACTACTCAAGCACTAATACGTCAAGCCTAGGTTGCACGCATGCTCCAGCCGAACTTGCGTAACTATCAGGAAAGAATACTGTGACCCAGGCTGACCAGGACGAGCGACAGACACGCCATCTCAGCGCTGCAGGGCGGAGGCACGCGGGGACAAGAGCTCCCGCTCTTGTTGGGCAACAACAGAGGGGCTCGCCGAAGGGCCGTTGCCCGGGCTGCCAATGGCTCCAGGAGCTCCAGCCGCCGCCATGCTGCTAGGGCTGTGGTTCAGCGGCGGCAACTTCGAGCGAGGCGGTACTGGCGAGAGCGCTGCTTTCGGCATCGGCGGCAGGGGGACGCTGCTATGCGCTGGTGCGTCGCTGCTTGCGCTCGTGTTCGATGGCATGGCGTCCGCACTTGTGAGCCCTGCAGGCGGGGTGCCCATGGGCGGCAGGCGCGCTGGCGCGCGTGAAGCACCGGCCCCAAGGCCCAAGCCGTTTTCCGGTGGGGCCAGCAAAGCGGGCGGCGGCGGTGTGCAGCTCTTTGCCGGTGACGCCGCTGAAGGCGGCACGGTCACCGGCGCGACTGATACCCCCGCTGCCGTCGGTGAACCTCCCGCCATCGTCGGGAAGTTTGCCAGCTTCGAAGGCATATCTGCTTGCACGGCCTCCGCCACAGGCAAATAGTTGGTGAAACTCGTCATGGGGGGCGCCGCCACCTTGGGTGATCGCACCCTGCGCAGGCAGGGGTGTAAAGGCAAGTAACGAAATGCACAACGCATGCGGCGCGGAAAGCGCAGAGAACCGCAGAAAGTGTAACGAGAAGGACTGTGCTAACGTTGCATCTCTCAGGGCTGCATTCATGGGCTTGCAATAAGCAACATTGTTAGACGTTATGCGTGCTTTGGTGCAATGCATTTTATGAAACATACGCTGACTACGCATCCCAGACTTACTTCAGCGGCCACCCACCCACTCAGCCATTGTATACACGCTAAATACCTGCCCCATCAACCCCTGCCAGGGCCCCTTCACATCACTCAGGGCCGATTCGCGGAGACTGCACATACTTGGGCCCAATCCCCGGTAGCGTAGCCTTCTTCTTGCTCCGGTAGGGGTTGTCCGTAAGCTCCTGGTCCAGGTGCTGCAACACGGGGCTTCGTGCCCCGGTGTCTATGCGGCCAGAGTTGCGCGCACCAGAGCTGACAAGGCCGTAAAACCTACAGGCAAGCGAAATTGCAAAACATTAGGTCGCATTAGGGCGTCTGGCTTGGCGCGCGATACTGTCAGCCAACAAGGTAGTGTACGAGACGAAAAGGGCCACGACATGTTCCACGCCTCATGGTAAGATCCTCAAGTACTGTCTTACTTTGAACGCGGATCGTACGGCGGAACGAAACCCATGTTCCTATTGGGCTTGCCACTGAAGATGCTCCCCAGGATGGTAGGCGGCTCCTGGCCGCGCTCATCCGCCAGCGATCGCCCCTCCATCACCAGCTTCTTCTGAATCTCTTGCACGACCTGGTGGTCCTCAGGGGACACCAACCTGCAAAATTGCGGTCGTTGCTTTTAACCAGTAGGACCGCCATACATGGTAATTTGGAGGAGCCACGTGGGGGTAAAAGAAAACGAACAACAAGTGAGGGCAAAACAAGGGGGGGCACGTGGGGTGCTGACATAGGTGCTCTCGGCATACGCATGGGCAATATGCCAATCTATATGAGACATAAGGTCCATTGCTTCAGCCGCGACAGGTGACATGGCAAGCCGTGCTTACTTCTTGGCCATGCGGAGGAAGAAGTCTGGGAGCTGGCAGGCCATCGGCACCAGCAGCACGTACAACCAGTATTGTGCTGAGGGTGCCACGACGCCTATGAACAAGTCGTACAGGTCCGTGCTGAAGTAGAGAGGAAAGCCGCCGTAGGCCAAAAGATACAGCCACCAAACGGCTGCAAAAAGTGTGGAAGCGAGCGAGGGAGAGGCAGGGGTCAAGGTCCAGAAGCATGTCGAGGCAAGGGGTCTCCTAAGCGCAGGACAGAACTTTGTCGCCAATGCTTACCCTGGCTGAGCCAAATGGAAACGTGGTGCGCCCAAGTCCATTGGTCCGTAATCTGCACGACCTGGAAGTGCACCGTCACCACGACGCACGAAAACATCAGGACGCCCGTCTGCCACATGGTGTACGGGTTGCCGTTTGCACGGTCTGCATAGATGGACCGGCAGCCCAGTAGGACGAAGGCCATAATGACCGCGCATTGATACATCGACGACAGGAGCCACAGTGCGATGGCGCGGAAATTGAAGTATTGATTGCGCTGACCTGCGGAGATTAATGCGGGAAGTAAGACTGAATTCGGTGCAGCGTTGTAATCTTGACGTACATGCATTGAAAAGGCCCGGGGTGCACTCCCCGAGTGACATATGAGTAGTTCGTTGCCGCCGTAAAACCCACCCTGCATGTACAGCCCCGGGTACTTGAGCGCCATGGCCTTGTCGACGTCGCGGTCGAAGATGCCGATGACCACCGGCGTCAGAGCCGTGAACACGACGTTAAAGAGGGTCATATAGAAGTCATTGTAGATGAACTGGCCCGAGAACACGTTAAATGCGTTAAAGGTGAAGATGGTCACACCGAAGAGCATGTTCTTGTAGAAGAAGAACAGCACCATGCGCGTGATGCGCTTGTAGCTGTAGCGGCCGTGCACAAGCAGCAGGGGCACCAGGTAGCGGAACTGCGCGATGGCAAAGTCCGAAGACATGACGGCCTGCATGCCCTCCTGTCCGCTGATGCCGACGCCTGGGGAAGGGAAAACCCAGCAGGGGCTTGGTACCAGAGCACGACGCAACGAAGCCTACCACCAACTGATGGAATCTCAATGCAGCCATGTGCCAACCCTCGCCTAAAGCAAGCTAACAGGGTATTACATGCTCTGCAATCTCAAGCACTTACCGATGTGCGCGCTTTGGATCATGCCCACGTCGTTGGCCCCGTCGCCGATGGCAAGCGTTGTGTCACCGTGACTGCGGACTAGCTTCGTCACTTGGGCCTTCTGCAGCGGCGACACGCGGCAGCACACCACCGCCTTGCAGCGCAGCCCAACGCGCAGAAAGGCGGGGGCAAGGTCCTTGGACAGAGCGTAGGCTAGGGCCTTGCCGTCAATGATGATAGCAAACTGCGTGCCAGCTGGCTTGTCCGCCATGGTCTTCTCTATCTGCAAGGGCAAGGAGCGTGGACTGGGGACATCGTTGGGGAATTCTAGTCACACAGCCAGGGAACCGGGAATGCAGGCATCTATAATACAGGTAACAGGAAGAGGCCAAGAATAGCTGTCGTACAAGCTGGTTATGTAGGTGCCTTTGTCAAATGCTTACCGTTGCTAACGACTTTGCAACTGCAGCGTGCGCCAACCGGTCGGCCGCCTCCTTGTCACCCCGTTGCTCCGCCTGTTCAACCTCCTCCACACCGTAGACGCTGATGGTGGACTGCGACATTTGCACGACAACGGGAATGGGAATTAAGAAAACAGCCAGTGCATCGCAAGCAAACACGTTGCCATATGAAAACGTCCACTAGAACTACCCGCACCGATGCTGGCCCCGCCCCTAGGCGCCGTACCTGCAGCATGTCCTCGCGCAGCAGCGAGCAGGCGAAGCCGATGTTGATGGCCGTCTCCATCTTGTCACCCGTCAGCACCCAGATCCGGATTCCCGCTAGCGCCAGCTGCCGAATGCACTCCGGCACGCCCTCTTGCAGCTTGTCCTCGATCGCAGTGCAACCCAGCAGCCGCAGGTTGCGCTCAATCTTCTCGCTCACGTCCATCACCTTCTCATCGCGCTTGTCCAGGGAAGTCTTGGCCGCCACCCACTCGGGCAGCCACTCCCTGTTGTACCATTCGGGATCCACCTCAGCATACGACAGGCACAGCGTGCGCAGCCCGGCCGATCCGAACTCCTCCATGTGGCGCGTGGTGGACTCCTTCATGGCCTCATTGGGCCCATACCCCGGGTCCAGCCGCTCGTAGATCACCGTGTCGGCACCCTAAGGAGCGGGGAGAGGAGGGTGACCCATGGGTCGAGCGAGGATGGAACATGCAGGGACCGCTATGACAAGGAAGACAGGCACAAGCGGTGTGCGTGAGCGACACCGCAGCAGTGAAGTGGTGTCGCAATGCGGCCAGGTGACCCCTTGTTCCTTTTTGCGCCCCGCGGCACACCTTGGTGAAGATCAGGATCTTGTCCGTCGCCTTGTCCTTGATGACCACGCTCATGCGCTTGCGGGTAGAGTTGAATTCGAGGATGTTGAGCACCTCGTACTCCACATCCGCTTCGCCCCGCGCCGTGCGCTCACGTACCGTCACGGTGGTGTTGGTGCGCTTGAAGAAGAAGAAGCCAAACGCCTTGGCAGCTACCACCAGCGCAGCCTCGTCAGGTGACTCAGCCTGCGGCATGGTTTGGTTCGGGTGGAGGAGGGTCATGAGGACCGCTGCTGACTACATATGAGCCCTGCGCTACGGCATACCAAGCAACCATCATGCGGGTGCTTGCTCGCCCGCTGCCAGTTGGTGCAGGGTGGTGCAGCCTGCCCCGCCGGACCTACACATCGCACAGCGCCTACCTCGTACTTGATGGTGGCCGGTTCCGGAGGGCCATCTGGGATGACGGTGTGGCACACGGCCAGCAGCCGGAAGAACATCTCGACGGTGGCAGGGTCATGCGCGCTGTACCACGCGTCTCCCATCAGGCGGTCGTCATAGAAGTTGAAGAAGCGCTCGCGGCACTTGGTAGCCTCGGGGCGCTCGCGCTCGTCCAGCACCACACCCTTCCTGCGGTTTTGAGGTTAACAGCGGAGGCCACAAGGTGAGATACCGGTAGCCCCCATACAGCCATGCCCCATGCTCCCATCGCCACACCCTTCGGTATGCATGCCCATGCCGTCGCTGCCTACACCCTACGGAAACAACCATCATGCATGCACGCATTCCAAGAGCCCCTTAACCCCATGTCTCGGCCCAAGTACCACCCTGGTCCCCATTCCACAGTACCTTAGCGCGTTGGCTTTTTCAATCTCCGTGATACCGGCGCCGTAGGCCACGCCCGCGATGGAGCACTTGAAGAACTCCATTACATTGCGCGTTAGAGTTCCGGTCTTATCGGACAGGATCGTGTTCACCATGCCGAGCTCCTCGTTCAGGTTGGAGGTGCGGGCCAGCGCGGGCGTGTCCGTCTCAGCGTGGTACATGTCGCGGTCATTGTTAATGAAGCCCATGGACTGCGCAATCTTAACGAGCTCCATGGACACGTAAAGGGAGATTGGGATGAGGTAGCCTGCGCATGCAACAGGAAGAAAGTATAACAGAGGCGTACCACAAGGGATTGCTTAAGAACAGTGCAATATTATGAAGTCCTATCCTCTTGCAAGCGGTCAGCGGCATGTTATGAAGCCCCTCAGGTGCCTACCGTAGAGGATGAAGGACGTGATGAAGGAGGCAAAGCCCACAAACGAGGGCTTCACCGGGTTATACTGGTCCTTGGGTTGGTTGGGCGCCAGGTACCAGTGCTTAGGGGACTTGTCCCGCGTCCAGATTGCGAAGTAAACCGCGCCGCAAATGCAGAACGAGAAGAGCAGGAAGAACATGAAGAAAATGATCTTGTCCACCATGCGCTCCACGTGGCTGCGCTTGGAGGGCGCCGGCGCCGAGTTCTTAAAGATCTTCGTCTCGTGGCCTAAGCGAAGGCAAATGGAAGGTGGGTCGAGTCATGGAAGCCCTTGAGGCACCAAGTATGCGGTTTCGAGCCAACCCATGCACTGTTGCAGCGGTGATTCCGAACGCAACATTCTAAGATGGTATGGTGCATTCAGCCAGCATGTTACTGCTGACAAGCACTCGTCCTAAGCGACACTGCCGGTTGCCACGGCATTACCAACCCATGTGCTAAAAAAACTGGCCGCGAGTCGGAACGTACTGTAATTACGGTGCATGCGCATTGCAGTACATTTTTCACCCAATCCGCAAGCCAACCGCAGTGCTCCAGGTAGCGCGGAAAACCGTGCCCCGTGCAGGCTGCATCCTACATCCTCTTCAGCATGGCCACATCTGAAGCCTAGCCCTTCCCATATGCAAAACCCAAACCCAAACCCTGCCAGCAGACTGGAACAACTCACCCGCATAGATCACGGCCCCCACGACCTTATCCGTGTTGCGCAAGTTGCATCCGCGCAGCAGGATAGCGGCTGGGCTGATGGGCAGTGTTTTGCCATCCAGCAGGAGGTTCCCAGTGAACTGGTACAGACGTGCATTAGGGCCCTCGCATTCTATCGCCGCTGTCCGGAACTGCGCAAAATCCTGCTGGCCCAGATCCTTAGTCTCGTCGGGGGCCTTCTTTATCTTCAAATTCGTCTCGCCGTCCAGGTTCATGGTCTCAATGTAACATGTGCCCTCCTCCGTCTCCGAGGTGAGGAAGAGCAGGTCCGCCGGGAACTGTTGATCCTTCGTAACGGCGACGATGTCCCCCACGCGAACATCTTTCCACGTGCGAGTCACGTACTGGCCCTGCTGCGGGTCCAACACCTGAACCGGGCGGTTGTTGATTTCCTTGTCCAGTTTGTGCCGCTTGTAGTCTTCGACGGCCTCTTTGATCATAGCGACACCAAGGACAATGACAAGGGGCGTCCATGTCGTCCAGGCCCTGCACAGAACCGAGAACAAAGTCCTTGCTGACTGCTGCTGGCATCCCTCCTTAGCGCAGCGGAATGCTCACCGCACAGGTGTGTATGGAGTCAGCGACAGAGCAGCCACAATTGTGAAGTAGATGTTCGCCACGCGCCTGCATCGAAAGGGACGGTTTGGGCCTCCGTTCCACCTGACATGGGGCTGCCACAGTCCTGCCTACCTGTACTGTTCGAACAAGGCCTTTGGCAGGAAAGTCCATATATTGTATTTTGTCGTGGTGGTAGCGTTGCCGGCATAACTTCTATCATGTTGGCCGGTGTTGATGTTTACAACACGCTTCTCCTGTTCCTCCGTAGACTTTCCAAGGCAACTGCAATGCATTTTTGTGCAGTCAAAGGTGCTGTAGGCAGCAGCCCTGGTTCTAAAGTGTCATTTTTAGAGTTGAGCAAAGTTATTTCAAGTACCAAGAACTGTCAGCTTTGCCTACGTGGAGTTTGCACATGAGACATTGTGTCCAATCCTGAAGCTTAGCTGCCCTAGCTAGAGCCCGCAAACGTGTTGCCGTACACCAGAGACCGTATGCCGTTTTTCATTACGATTTCGTTAGGATCGTCCTGAGATGCAGCCGGTGATCTTTAGCTTTATATGATGCCCTCGTTCAAGCTTTAGTCGCCCCCTTAGGAGCTGCCAGTTTGCAGCAAAGCAGCAACAGCTGCGGCCGTATCCAAGCCTGTCTAGGGTAGGGAGTATTGCACAACAAAGGAACTTGGAAAAGCAGCTGCAGGAGTAATAGGATGTACAAACGCAGCTTGGTCAGACGGTTCGCTTGTTCCAACCGTTGCCTGCCGTTGAAGGATTTTTGCGGTGCACCGAAGGCCCTACGCTTCGATAACCGCAAGTGTGCGGTGATGGCCCCCCTAAAGGTTTGGCAGAAACCTTGCGCTGTAACCCTGTGATTTGGTTGACAGCTCTTGCACCTAGCAGCACCAGTACGGTGTGTTTGCTGCTGAGCTTTCATGCTCAACGACGCTTCCTGTTGGTAGTCGCCCCGTTTGCAAATTGTTAAAGCCGTGCGGAACCGCCTCGTCAGGCAATCCGGGCTAAACCCGGGCACATGTTCGCATGTTCGGCAATGTCACAACACGCTACCATAGGCGCTTCCGTTCAGACCGAAGTGCCACTGTTTAGCTCCGTTAAGGCAAACGTAGTGGTTTAAAGCCGTTGCTGATCTCCTCGGCAGAGTAGCACCGACGTCATTGAGAAACAAGAGCATACACCAATACACAGTCGACGACCTTGCCGTTTGTTGTCGACCACATATTGCACCCCGACTGGCCACGCCACCACACTGTTTACAGCACGGTTACTTGCCTAGTTGCGAGACGTGATGTCAATGGCATCGTTTGAGGCACGCTTGATGGGCTTGGATAACGTAGCTTTGGACCCCGAAAGACCGGTAACAGTTGCCGAGCAAACTTTAACTGCTGCGAGTTGCACCCAGCCTTCTTACGTGAAGTGGCAAAGCTCTGCTGGAGATTAGCACGACCTTTCAACTTCCATCCGTCCACCAAACGCGCCCGAATGTCATTATTTCTTTGGCTGTGAAACGTTTATACTTGTTACCTTCGGCTGTGTATCAGCTTTGCGATATCGATTAAACATTGCTTTTGTCCATTTTTCGGCACAAGGCCCACTGGCAGTTCGCCAATGGCCTTTGTGATAGCAGAGTCATACGCGATATGCCTATGTTCATATAAACGGCGTGCATGTGGGGAGGTTTACCCCGCGTAGCATTTTCCCTGCGGCGTGCCTTGACGTTAAGCACGCCTGATCGCAAACTACTGCTTAGGCGTTTGTCCACACATATCAGCTGTCCATCCACGATGGCGGCTACGCTTTCGTTTTGGGACCGCAACCCGCCCTATGCAGCGCTTGCCCTGGCGCGGCTGGGCGGTGTGCCTGTTACCGCATCACCAGACCCGAAAGCCACGAAGGATACTGTGCCCACGCTTACCGTTTCAGGGTAAGGAATGAGCTGCAATACCGCATGTTCGGTTATGGTTTGACAAGCCTGAAGTTATGGGCGCCGGCGGCTGCCACGGAAGTGAACCGTTGCGACTTGGTCAAGGACGCATAAGCTATCCTTAATCGAGTGCATGGTAACGGACTAAAGGGGAAACGTAACTCCTTGCCGTGCAGGGAAAGCTTTACCGGGACTATGATACTCAAGTACATCGCCCGTGCTAGCAGCCAACGCGATGAGCTCTACGGTTCTGACGCTCTTTCGTCGTGCCAGGTGGGCTCGGGCTCATGAGTGGACACGCCGCTTGCATGTGGCCGGATGGCTGATAGCAGCTCCGTGTAGGGCAAAGAGCAAGAAGCAGTGTATGGGGGTCCCCACCGCCATAGCACAGCCCCTTGCCCTAGTAGTCCCCAGATTACTGGTTGCCTAAAGCTTGTTGCGCAGCTGCATCCGAATTTTACTCGCCGTCTCACACTCTCCGTCTCACACAGCGATTTTGTGCCTGCCTGCCTGATGATATTGTAGGTGGACCAGTGGCTTGAGACCGCTACCGGTATCGTGTCGGGTGCTACCCTGGAGGCCCAATGCGTTGCCCTAAACGACTATCTGGCGCTGCGCACGTTCCTTGTTGGCTACAGCCTGACACTCGCGGATCTCGCCGTATGGGGTCAGCTGCAAGGTGGGGTGGGCCAAACGCCTTGCGAAGTAGGGCCTGTTTGGATGTACACAATAGGGCCGTCTGCTGAGATCTAGCATGGCAGCCGTTAGCTCCAGCCCCTTGACCACAATCTCTGTTGCACGCACGCGCACTCCTTGACACTCTTTAACATGACTTCTTTCTCAGTTCACACCTCTCTGCCAACCCTCCTTCACCAGGTTCTCCGCTGTGGAAGAAGATCCGCACGGGTGGCAAGGTGCCGCACCTGGCCCGCTGGTTCAGCTTCTGCTCCGAGGTGCCTCAGGTGCGAGCCGCAGTGGAGGAGCTGGAGTCGCTCGGCAAGAAGGGAGGCCCAGGCGCGGCTGGCGGCAAGGCCGCCGCCGCCGGCAATGCTGCGGGCGACGCTAAGAAGGGTGCTGCAGCAGGCGGCGACAGCGCGGCTGCGGCAAATGGTGGCGGCGATTCCGGCGGCTCGTTCGATATCGGGTTGCCGGGTGCGGTGGAGGGCAAGGTGGTGACGCGCTTCCCGCCGGAGCCGTCGGGCTACCTGCACATCGGCCACGCCAAGGCGGCGCTGCTGAACCAGTACTTTGCTGACATGTACAAGGGCAAGCTGCTGGTGCGCTTCGATGACACGAATCCCTCCAAGGAGAAGGATGAGTTCGTGGAGAACATCATGAAGGACATTGCCGATCTGGGTCTGCGGTACGACCGCCTGACGTACACCTCGGACTACTTCCCGCAGCTGCTGGAGCTGGGCGAGAAGCTCATTCGCGCCGGCATCATGTACGCGGATGACACGCCGGTTGAGCAAATGCGCGAGCAGCGTATGAAGAGCATTGAGAGCGCTTGCCGCGGACGCAGCGTTGAGGAGAACCTGCGCATTTGGGAGGAGATGAAGGCGGGTAGCGAGGTCGGGCTGGCCAACGCCATGCGCTTCAAGATGGACATGAAGGTAAGCATCGTATGCGGGTCCGTTGGGATCCTAATTGTTTGCAGCCAAGGACGATTGGGTGCTTTTGGAAGATGGCTGATAAGAAGCCGCGGGGAATTGCATTTGAGCTGCAGCCTGCTTCTAACCCCTCACCGAGCCCACGCGGGCTGTGAGTTGAGCGGTGTCTTCCGCAGGAATAACACCATGTGCATGCTTGGGTGAGCGTTGCGACGGGCCTTCGGGCCCCCAGGGGCGGCAGCTCAAAAGCTGCAAAACAAACACTAAACGCGTTGTGCATCCATTAGGTTTGTTTGTATGACGGTTGTTGAGGAGGCGGCATGGTTTGCATGGGTATAATGGCATGGGGCATTTGAGCTGCAGCCTGCTTCTAACCCCTCACCGAGCCCACGCGGGCTGTGAGGTGAGCGGTGTCTTCCGCAGGAATAACACCATGTGCATGCTTGGGTGAGCGTTGCGACGGGCCTTCGGGCCCCCAGGGGCGGCAGCTCAAAAGCTGCAAAACAAACACTAAACGCGTTGTGCATCCATTAGGTTTGTTTGTATGACGGTTGTTGAGGAGGCGGCATGGTTTGCATGGGTATAATGGCATGGGGCATTAAAGCTGCAGCCTGCTTCTAACCCCTCACCGAGCCCACGCGGGCTGTGAGGTGAGCGGTGTCTTCCGCAGGAATAACACCATGTGCATGCTTGGGTGAGCGTTGCGACGGGCCTTCGGGCCCCCAGGGGCGGCAGCTCAAAAGCTGCAAAACAAACACTAAACGCGTTGTGCATCCATTATGTTTGTTTGTATGACGGCTGTCGAGGAGGCGGCATGGTCTGCATGGGTATAATGGCATGGGGCATTAAAGCTGCAGCCTGCTTCTAACCCCTCACCGAGCCCACGCGGGCTGTGAGGTGAGCGGTGTCTTCCGCAGGAATAACACCATGTGCATGCTTGGGTGAGCGTTGCGACGGGTCTTCGGACCCCCAGGGGCGGCAGCTCAAAAGCTGCCCGACAGCTTCATGTGCCATGGCACACGCCTTCGCCTTGCTCTATTCAACCGCCTTTCCTGTTATGCGTCCTGCGCTTGCCGGCACTGCTGGCGTTGTCTGGTCTATGCTAACTGCATTTTCTTCTTCTCCTCAGAGCGTCAACGGCACCATGCGCGATCCCGTGGCCTTCCGATGCAACCTCTCGCACCACTGGCGCACCGGCAACAAGTACAAGGTCAGTGTACCAGCGGGCTGTTGCAGTCAGTTGCAGTAGGATTCATGCTTTTTGCCGCCCATGATACCCTGAGTTCCTCTGCACCAGCGCTACCTGACGAGGAAAGAGGCTGTCTAGCGGCTCTGTCGCAATGAGGCGTGCCTCTTGTATTTTAACGTCTAGGCAAACCGCACACCAGGATCCAACTGGGTAGGCTCGGATAGGCCCAAGAGGGTCCGCTGATCTGAAGCTCAATCTGAGGTTCCACATCATCTCTTGTTCGAACAATGTCAACATAAGCCCACCGTAGTACACAGTAGCTACATACGCGTATCCAATGACCGCGTCAGCACCATGTAACCAGCTCTAAGTCCTAATCCGGTGACCTTTATTAATGTTTGCGCCTTCCTACTGCTGCAGGTGTACCCGACCTACGACTGCGCCTGCCCCTTCGTGGACGCGGTCGAGGGAGTGACGCACGCGCTGCGCACGTCGGAGTACCGCGACCGCGAGGAGCAGTACTACTGGATCCTGAGCGCCTACCAGAAGATCTGGCCTGGTCTGCCCAACGTGCACATCTGGGACTACAGCAGGTGGGTTGGGGCGCCAGGGTTGCAGCTGCCAAGGTTGCATGCATGTCGCGGAAGGGGCGGCTGGTCATAAGCGATGGCTGTGAGGAAACCTTTCTCTGAATACCTTGATGAGACCAATCAACCTCCTACTCATTCTGAGCCATGCCATGTGACTACCGGAAGCCTATGCCCCTGACGGCCCGGCATTGCTGCATGCTAATCAAAGCTACCTGACTGGCCTGCTCCTACAAGCGGTTAGATGCATACTGGCACTCGAAGGGAACAGCATGAACGCATCGTCAGCACCCGGCGCGTCGCTCAAGGACTTGTCCCGACCCGGTACCCTCATTACCCTCCTTCCGCAGGCTCAACTTCGTCAACACCGTGCTCAGCAAGCGCAAGCTGACCTGGTTTGTGGAGACGGGCCGCGTGGAGGGCTGGAACGACCCGCGCATGCCCACCGTGCAGGGCATCCTGCGTCGCGGCATGCGCATTGAGGCGCTCAAGGAGTTCATCATCAGCCAGGGCGCCTCCAAAAACATCACCTTCCAGGAGTGGGACAAGATCTGGACCATTAACAAGAAGCTGATTGACCCCGTGTGCCCGCGCCACACGGCGGTGGAGGAGGAGGGCAAGGTGCTGCTGACGCTTGAGGATGGGCCGGCTGAGTCGGAGGTGGTGGTGGTCCCGCGCCACAAGAAGTACCCCCCTGCGGGTAAGGGGCCCTCCGCACAGCATATGTTTTTGGCGCTTCTTCCTTCGCTGTCACCAACCCTTTAGAGTGTTCCAAACCAGTTATTATCTGCCTGCTGCTTACCGTAACCTCCCTGCCCTGCGTACCGCCTGCCTTTGCTCTCCACAGGCAAGAAGGCGGTGACCCGTGCCCGGCAGCTGTGGATTGAGCAGGTGGATGCGGCCACCCTGAAGGAGGGCGAGGAGGTGACGCTCATGGAGTGGGGCAACGCAATCATCAAGGTGCGCTCCGGCTTGCGGGCCTCTGTGTTTTGGGGAGGCTGCGTCCCGGTCTGCGCTGCAGTTTGTCGTACTGCTCCAGTGCCTCCAGTGCAGAGTCGGGTCTGCTTGTTGCCATGCTTAAAGCGAGTCCTTACGCTGGCACTGTCCGTGCCTATTCCCTTGTCCTCCTCTCCTCAACCGACTTCCTCCGCACTTCGTTCCTTGGCTTTCCTTGCCACAGACCATCACCCGCGACCCCGCCACGGGTGCCGTGACCGCTCTGAGCGGCTCGCTCAACCTGGACGGCGACGTCAAGAAGACCCGCCTCAAGCTCACCTGGCTGGCTGCGGTGCCCCAGTGCGAGGTGGTGCAGCTGCAGCTGGTGGACTTTGACTACCTCATCAACAAGAAGAAGGTGAGCGGGCGGCATGGGCGCATGGGCACGGGTAGGGCCGTATGGGTTCTGGAAACAGGGCGCCTGGTGGCTAGTACGGTACCTTCTGCTTGTGCAGCCGCATGGGAACCTCAGGCCTACCGCCGCCTCTGGGCTAAAGCATGTTCCAGTACATCCTACTAATCGGCTGGCTAACAACCGTCACCACTGCGCGCTTGCTGCACCACGCGCAGGTTGAGGAGGACGACAACTTTATGGACTTGGTGAACAACGCCACGCGCTTCGAGAAGCTGGCCATCGGCGACCCCAACATGCGCACGCTGCAGAAGGGCGACATCCTGCAGCTGGAGCGCAAGGGTTACTACATTGTGGACGAGCCGTATGGCGTGAAGGGCGCCGGCCGCCCTATCGTTTTGTTCTGCATCCCCGACGGCCGCACTAAGAACATGACCAAGGGCAACGCTGCCCAGTGAGCGAAGGAAGCCGGTGCGGTACGGTCTCCACGCTGTACAAACTAAGTGATTAAGGAACGAGTCGGCCGTAAACAGGATGATGCCACTTCTGTAAGGAAGTATGACTGAAGAAGTAGGTTTCTTGCTAGCTGCCGTGGTGCGTGGAAGCAGATGGCGCGCTTGCATGGGTGTACGACAGCGATAGCAAATCGACCCAGCCTATCAGGGCTGTCCACGCGTTTGTGCTTTTAACTGCCGTTGTGATTGATAGTATCGGGTGGCCATCCCTCTGCCGGGATTGTGGCCGCCTAGGTCCCACCCACCCGCCCGAGGTCGCGCCTAGCGAGTGGGGGTTCGCTTGCGTTTCGTCTTTAGTAGGACAACCAGTTTGGGGAGCTTCTTGGACGCCGGTCTCTCAATTAAGGGGGTCAATCGGCAATCGAGGTGCAACACTGGGTGCTGTCAGCACAACCGGCCACTAGTGCATCTTAAACATGAGTTGGGGCGTCGGGATGTGTGGGTTAGGGTAGGGTTCTTGGCGTGGAGGCGACGTACGGCTGGTTGGCTTCGGCTTACATTATCTGCTGTAACGCATCACGGCAGCTAAAGCAAGAAAGCAACGTGTGTCTGGAAGCTGCATGCTCTGCGCTGGTACTGTGCAAAGGCGAGCGAGCATTATGTGAACCTTTTGGTGCCCGTTTGGGCAGGGGTCGTTAAGGCGTGGCCGTGGTTGGTTTGCGTTCTATCATGCAGCGATGTAGGTATGGCTGAGGTTGCTGCGACATCTGTGCGTACATAGCTGTAGAAGGAACCTTGAGCGCGAATGCTGGACGCATGCTGGATCAGGTGGGCCCGCAACTTGTTACACGGGTGGTTAAGGAGTTTCCTCTCTCCTAGAGAAGTGTAAATTGTTTCGCTTGACTTCAATAAGCTCCCTACAGGCTTGCCTATGGACACTTGAAACCTCAACTGGTACAAAACTGCACCCTGCACCGTCGTGTACACTTCGCAATCCTTAATAACGTGCGTCAAGCGACCATATTCAAGGCAACCCACTTGCAACAACCAACTGGACTGCGGCTATAGGCACCAGCTGTACACATGCACATGTAACATGCACATGAAAGGGCTAGACAGAGCAAGGTTAGCACTATCTATAAGCACATCTGGTCTTCTGTGGCACTTGGATGAGCAGTGCCTGACACGGCCTGGCTCAACCAGCTTCGTGAGCAGCTGGGAACAGCACTATCTATAAGCACATTTGGTCTTCTGTGGCACTTGGATGAGCAGTGCCTGACACGGCCTGGCTTAACCAGCATCGTGAGCAGCTGGGAACCAAATCATTCCGGTCTCTGCACATGTGGCTTCTGTTCACCATGCACCACCACTACAGCTGCTCCTAGGAAACCCTTAGTCCTCCTTTGTTTCTGCTCCCTCGTCCTCCTCCTCCTCCTCCTCTTCCTCCTCTCCAGCAGTTGTGGTTTCATCAGCACTTTCCCTGGCCTTCCTGGACGCCCGTGACACCTGTATCCGCAGCAAGTAGCGAGACAGTTGCAGGTTTAGGTGAAGTGGCCCCTGGTTCGCGACACAGCCATCACAGAGAGCGGTATCTGTATGTTGCATTGCCAGCTTTTGCAATGCTCTCGGCCGATGCATCATAGCCCAACGCCGAGGGCCTCAGCAAGGCCCTTTCAAAGGCAAACGCGCAACCCTTGCTGCGCACCTTCATGCCAGAGCTCGAGAACTTTCCAATGTTCCGGATAAGGAAAAAAAGCATGACACCCAGGAGAATCACAATAAGTATCACGTCTTGGCTGGCTCCCGGAGCCGCGCCTTCATTCGTTGGAAAGGGAGTTGGCGCCATTGTAAAGGTTTCAAAGATAGCAAGAAGCCACAATGAGGAAACAAGGTGTGCACTATCCGATCCTATGCAATCCCAGCTGATCGTGACATGTTTGCGTCGTACAGCCCCCCGTACAACTGTATTGGACTTGCGCTCCATAGCAACTCCCATGTCAAAATTCATTAACAAAGTGGCGTTACGTTGGCGTGCTTTGTAGCGTTAGCTGGGGACGCTCCGGGTTATCTTACAAACGCGGTGCGACATCTACTATACACTACCTGCTTTCTGTGGCTTTACTACCGCTTCTGCGCTTAGCTTACTGGTCTTGAGATGCATCCGTGGCATTAGGTCATAGTTCGACGAGTCTGACGACGTGACGAGTCCCTGTACGAGGCGTCACTTGGCTCGCAAACATGAGTACACTGCCATACGCCAAGCTAATGCGTTTCCTGGAGTAAGGCGCAACCAAGGTGGCAACTTGCTCTCCGCATGCCACCGATGTCTCAAACGGTACTTAGGGGCCATTGCTGATGGTTGTACTGTAGTGGTTGACAAAGGTAAAAGCTTTGCCTGCCAAAACATCACCAGCCAGCTTCGATCGAATGACAGGAGCAGTGTCTGTTGTCGATGAGGTTATTCGGCCCAGCCACGCCAACCATATGACGGCATCCAGGTAGGGCAGGTACCCAACGTTGACTTTGGTATCCTACCTTGCTGGCACACCTGGAATATGTAGTGCAGTTCAATTGCAGTTCCATATGTCAAAGCGTATTTACCAGCTTTCGTTTCCGGGCTGAATGTATTGGCGTGCGCTGCTAAATGGACGCTGTTTTGCGCAAGCTACCTAGGGCTCTTCACGAAGCTGGCGCAGCTACAGGGAAACGAGCTAGCTAACACTACAGTAATTCGATAGTTCTTCCAAGTCGATCTGGTTTTGTAAGAGTCAAAGCCGCCTTTCCAACTCCCTTTTTCCATCCAATGTAGCGCAAGCGATCAACCGGGAGGTAGGCCGTCCCGGAATAGTAGCTTTTTTTACTATGGGCAGGAATTTTCGAGGCAGGGATTGCATCTGGGGTTTGCATGGCGGCGAACTGCATGTGCCTTCAGTTTGGGGTTAAAGGCTGTCGGGCAAAAGGAGCTGGTTTGCGTTACAGTTGCAATCACTTTAGTGACTTGTCGCCTACTGTGCTTGTATGTATCGCTTGGGTGGGAAACCGGTATTGCAGGAGGAGTCTGACGGACGTTTGTACAACACCCTACCCCTCTATCGAACGCCATCCCTTGTTTTCCTTCGTGACTTGCTCGTTTTCCTGAATTTAGTTGCATTCGTTATCTGCAGGGAATCATAGAATACCACCAGCGTAGACACTGCCAGACGTTCAATTGGGTGCTGGTTCGTCTTCCCCTTGCCATTCAGCTACATACATAGCGCATGCACTTGCCGCTTGAACCGTCAACTTAGAAGCTCCCGTCTAGCAGGCGAGCAGCACTTAAACTAGACCGTGTTGACCTTGACGGTCATCTCGAAGTCGACGCGTTCGAGCATAGACGCCTTTGCACACGTAACTGATTCCAACCAATAGCCCTACCTTAATCGTTTGCTACCTTTCCACTTGTCACTTGGCAAGGGAGAACCGGTCGCTATGAACCGAGCGCCGCATGGCTCGCATGAGGAGCGAGCTGTTGCGGAATCGAAGCTAGTTATACTATTATAATTCATAATTACGAGCATTCACATGGGTAGACAATGGCTACGCTTCTTGGGGGGACGCAGCAGCGGTAGCGTCGCTACGGAGTCGCGGGTCGTGCCGTTATGTGGTTGCACAAGGCTGCCTTACAGGGGCAACTATGCATCCACGACAAAGTACACTCTGATAACCTACCTTCCAAAGGCGCTGTTCGAGCAATTTAGGTAAGAACGGCGCCGGTGCAAAAGGGCGGCGCCCTGCCTAGAGGCACCCGTACTGAGTGCCAACCGGTGCCGTACTGACATGGGGTGATGCCGTAATCATCCTCCTTTCTGCAGGCGTGTTGCCAACATTTTCTTCACGCTCATGGCGGCTCTGTCGCTCACACCCTGGAGTCCCCTAAGGTGGGACCGCGTCGCGGGCAGGTTTGGGGCCGTGGTATCATGATGTCGCCTGGAGAGCGTGAAGCCGGTGAAGGCGTGTGGAAACGCTTTCGGAAGGTGTGCTTCCGTGCCCTGTAGTGGCTGACACGCCTGACAACCAGGTGTTCTGGTTATGAAGTGACACATAGTGTGGTATTAGAGACTGGAGGAAAGGTCTTGGGACAACCTCGACCACACCAAAGTCTTAGCCGTGCACGGTCTGGGGTTGTGGCACGGCAGGAGAGGGGTTCCATAATAGGAGGCGTGGAGGACTACTAGATCAGGAGCACGCCATTGCATTGCACGAGTCGGCTGAAGGCTGCTGGTAAAGCTCTCCCAGTGGCGCCTGATGCCTAGCATTGTACACAGAAAACAAAGTCAGCCGCGCTCGTTTTACCCACGAGACCCTCGTCTTTCCGTGTAAGGGGGGCTAAGACCGTACGTCCGTAACCCTAGACGGCAGGCCTGGGGATGGCTGCCAGGACATGGGAGCCATACGTTGGTTGTACGAGGGGATGAGAAGATCGTAGGGCAACGTCTAAGGTCATGAGGTGCTTCCCGCGTCAGTCCTACGTCCTGGTGCGGAGTGTCATCTGGCCACATTCCGCGTCGGCATAAGTCCTCATTCTCAGGCAGCCGACTAATCCCTGGTGCTCATGCCAGCACCGGCCACTCCTCAACCTTCGCATCGGGTTGTCGAGTGGGTATACGGGCTTACCACTCGACAACCCGATGCGAAGGTTGAGGAGTGGCCGGTGCTGGCATGAGCACCAGGGATTAGTCGGCTGCCTGAGAATGAGGACTTATGCCGACGCGGAATGTGGCCAGATGACACTCCGCACCAGGTTGTGGTAGCCAAAGGCGCCGCCCGGTAACCCCTATAAACGCTGGCGATTCCATAAGCGATACGACGCGCCGCGACGTCGCAGAGGCCCGGCTAGGCAGGCGGCTGTGACCATGCTTTCCCGAATGCCGGCGCTGAAACGGCTACTAGATAGCAGGCTGGTGTACTAACTAGGTGCTACACGATAGGGCTGGCCAAGCCGGCTATTGCGGTGCAGCGGTGATGGCGCTATGCATAACGATACTCAATGCTCAGTACATGCTTAATAGGCTTTGTGGAACTCTGCGGCGATTACATGGTTGTAATCCCACCATGCGGTAAAGCATCATGGAGGCCACGAAAAGCCGACCAGGCGCAATCCGAAGGCAAAGACTGCGGCACAAGATCTGTCGCTCCAGGGAAGCAACAACGAACAGATACACGAACGCGGCAACTCAACCACTGGTATCACTCAACCGCTGGTATAAAAAGAAACATAAAGATAACTGCAAGTGCCTACGAGTTGGACATGCTTGGGCGATGCAAGCAACCAACCGACCTGCTCTGAAACCACGGACCATGATTTCGCATACGCATGGTTAGGACACGACAGCTGTCAAGCCCCAGGACTGAAATGAGCAAAACAATGGCATGGGGTATGACACTCCCCCCCACGCCCGAGGGAAGAAGTCACAAGGGCGGAACACAAAAAAGGAGTACCCCAGATCACACTGATGACCGGCAAGGTCAAACAGGCAACGGCATGAGAGTACGGTCAACGGAACATTAACGTAGGTACGAGCAAGCAATACGCTATCCGCTAGTACGGCAGAAACTGAGCACGCACCGACCCGTGGGCCAGCAGGCAAGCACTAGCCATGGCAACACCAATCCGGCAAGGGAAAGGCACGCGGCTACAAACCAAGAACACAGACCAGCTGATGCACAACTAAGCAGACATGGCAAGATGCTCTGTCCTAAGTGCAGATCCCCTCATCACCACATCCTAGACTGTAACTGCAAACTGACTTCTCCTCGCGCCAGTCAGGAGAAGCAAGCACGCTGACCAACGTCAATCCTATCCTGAACAAACATGACGGCCACGCGGCGCGGCGTGCCTTTTCCGACCTCAAGCGACCTACAACCAATCTACCCTGAACGACTCAAGACCACGCGGCTTGGCATGGCTTTCAGCAAACACTAGTCACAAAGAAGCCCCTACAGGCAAGCATACAAGCACCATGAACAGGTCACTGCTGCGGCAAGGCAGTCTGTGAGCAGCTGTATGGCATGAACATTCACCGTCGGTGACGGCCCAGCAAGGCTTAATGTACAAGGCAGCAGCCCTCCTGTCCTACATGTAAGCGCAGTACGCCCCCCCAGACGGAGAGCATGAACTGAGGTATGTACGCAACCCCTCTCGCACGACACTATAACCAGCACACAGTCCGCAGCTAGTACCCCAAAGCGCCAGTACCAACATCCTAACGACTGCATCTACGACAAACCAGGGTTCAGAAGGCCTCGGAGGTCGTGGTGTCTCAATCGCCAAGCAGCTCCATCGACAGAACCGTAATGCCCAGGCAGGCCACCGCCACAAGAGCAGCACCCGCAATGCTGCGCCAAAGTGCAACGGTGTGACCGGCTGGTGGGTAAAACCGTGGTGCACTCGACGACCGTACAGCATAGAGGTCGTGGCTATGGCGGCTTGCGGGTTGGCCAGGACCCTTGGGTGCTGCAGGACTGAACGCTGCCGGTTGTAGAAGATGTAGAATCAGGCAATGATCAACGACGGGCTGGGCTTCGAACGAAGCTGGCTGTGCGGACGGGCTGATTGGAACTCGGATTGGGACAAGGAAGGGGACTGCAGAGGAGAAGGCAGCGCTGGGACACCAAGAGATGCCAAGAAGCCAGGACGCCCCCAACCTGCCGGGCTGCCTAATCGGCTGCGCTGTATGCAGACGCGACCAGGCATGTAGACGCGTCAACTCAGCAATAAAGCACATGGCGCCCAGGAAGAGCAGGGCTGCCAAGCGCCCCCCCCAGATAGCCGCCATGAAGCTGGAACAAGTGAAACAGTCAACACAGTCGGCGAAGGACCATATTGCAGCTCCAACTGAAGTAAACCCAATCAATGCACCCATGGCAGGCAAGCCGAAGCGTCCCGACAAAGCTTGTCGCTGACGATGTCGCTCGCCATCCCAGCAAGAAGCCGCACAGGACGAGAGCGGGGCTTTTCGTGGCAATACGGGCTTACCACTCGACAACCCGATGCGAAGGTTGAGGAGTGGCCGGTGCTGGCATGAGCACCAGGGATTAGTCGGCTGCCTGAGAATGAGGACTTATGCCGACGCGGAATGTGGCCAGATGACACTCCGCACCAGGTTGTGGTAGCCAAAGGCGCCGCCCGGTAACCCCTATAAACGCTGGCGATTCCATAAGCGATACGACGCGCCGCGACGTCGCAGAGGCCCGGCTAGGCAGGCGGCTGTGACCATGCTTTCCCGAATGCCGGCGCTGAAACGGCTACTAGATAGCAGGCTGGTGTACTAACTAGGTGCTACACGATAGGGCTGGCCAAGCCGGCTATTGCGGTGCAGCGGTGATGGCGCTATGCATAACGATACTCAATGCTCAGTACATGCTTAATAGGCTTTGTGGAACTCTGCGGCGATTACATGGTTGTAATCCCACCATGCGGTAAAGCATCATGGAGGCCACGAAAAGCCGACCAGGCGCAATCCGAAGGCAAATGTGGGGTTCCCTGCCGCAGGCGTTTGTCCGGGCTAGACCAGACCTTATCAAACAATTTTAAAGACATGAATCTGCGAAGGACGCCCGGGGAGCAGTGGGAGCGAGGAACAACAGTCCATGTGAGCATGCCGCTTATGTGTGCCAACCATTCCTCTTCCACCTTCCTCGCCAAAACCACCGACCTAGCACTCGCCGACCTAGCACCCGCCGACCTAGCACCCGCCGACCTAGCACCCGCCGACCTAGCATTCACCGACCTAGCACCGCTCGCCCCTAACAATCCCCTCCCCCGCCCGCCCGCTCTCCCCTAACAATCCCCTCCCCCAGGGCCTTATATAATTTTCCCCCCAGGGCCTGTCACCTAGCTTGCCATTATCATGTAACATCCTTCTTTCCACCCCCCTCCAGAGCCTGGACCACTTGGACCCCGCTGGTGCTGGTGGTGGGTGTGTCCATGATCAAGGAGGCGCAGGAGGACTACCGACGGCACAAGCAGGACCGGGAGGTCAACATGCGCCTCACGCGAGTGCTGGACAGGGAAACGGGTGCGCGGGCCGGGCTGGGAGGAGGAATGCCATAAGACCGGAGAGGCGGACTTGGTTGGGTTGGATTGGGCTGGGTTGGGTGGGTTGGCGTGTGCGTAGGGGTACAAAAGGCGGTGAGAGGAAGGAAGCAGGAAAGCGGCAGGACAGGAGGGCGCAGGAGAGCCGGACGCGGCGCGGGACGGGGGCCGGATCGGGCCGGTGCAGCGCTGTGGCTTTATCGCTTGTACAACTCTTCCCCTGTTCTCCTTACTTACCTGCAGCCGTGAGGCCTTGAACTACCCGTCCTGTGCTCCTGTCCCTTGCTCACTCCCCTCTCTCCCTCCCGCTTGCAGGCGTGCTCACAGCCACCCGCTGGCAAGACGTGCGAGTGGGCGACGTGGTGCAGGTGCGGCCCCCAGCGCCCAGCCCCAGCCCCAACCCCGAGCCCCACCTTCCTTGTCCCTGAGCCACCCGTCCTTTGAGTTATCATCCCTTTGTGTGCCACTCATTCTAACTGGTGATGGGTACACCAATACCTTTTGGGTTCTCGAGGCCGGCTTCTTCCTACAGCTGACCCGCGGGTCAGGCTCATTGACAGCCTCTCTTCAGCGCTGCACTCGGCTTTGCCGTCACCATGCATGCGCCAGCAATCCACCCATCTTACGCCCTATGCCCATCACTTATCACTTACCCAGGCCCCCACCTGCGCCCCTTTGCTTCTTACCACCAACCTTCGTTCCTCGCCTTTGCATCCTCCCCACCTCTCCTACTTTCTCCTCCTCCCCACCTCCCAATAACCGCAGGTGCGCCGAGACGAGTACACCCCAGCCGACCTGGTGCTTTTGGGCTCTTCCCATTCCGAGGGCAGCTGCTACGTGGAGACCGTCAATCTGGATGGGGAAACCAACCTCAAGCTCCGAACCGCACCCTCCGAAACCCGGGCTCTAGGGCTACACGAGCTGTGTCTCCTCGAGGCAACCGTAGAGTGTGAGGCGCCCAATGCCCGCTTGTATCAGTTCACGGGAAACCTGCGGATGTGGCCGGCCATGCCCCTGACCATGCCGTCGTCGGCAGCTGCGTCGCCGGCGTCTGCGGGGGTTGGGTCGCTGGGGTTGGGGATGGGCGGCAGCGGGTGGGGACGCACGGCGGAGGCGGTGAAGGGGCTGGTACTGGGGGATGCTGCAGCAGAGGCGGGAAATGCCCGGAGATTGAAGGAGAAGGAGGAAGGGAAAGGGACGCGTGCAAGCAGCAGCAGCGGCGGCAGCAGCAGCATCATGTCTGGGCACCGAAGCGTGGCGGGCAGCGGGGGGAGTGGTGGCGGCGGCGGCGGCAGCGGCGGCAGTCGTGTTGGAGCGAGGGGGCGAGGCAGGGGGGCGGTTGTGGTGCCGCTGTCGGCTGCTGCTGTGATGCTGCGCGGGTGCAGCCTGCGCAACACGGAGTACGTGTTCGGAGTGGTGGTGTACGCGGGTGAGAGGGGAGAGGGGAGGGGGGGGAGAGCGGCGGTTGTGCATTGGGCGAACTGTGGTGTAACTGTTTGGAGACGGATGAGTGGACCGTGTTGCTAAAAGAGGACGAGACAGGAGATTACCCGGGCCATCAGTGCGGTCGCTGCGGTGATGGCCCCGCGGTTACAAACCCTTGACGCACTCCAATACATTCTCCTTCCCAACCCGCCAACCCGCTCAGCGCCCCACCATCCCATTCTCCCTACCTCTGCCCCTCTCCCCCATCCCTCCACTCGCAAACTCCCTTCGCCAGCTCCCTTTCCCAACCATTGGGACTACAGTGCTTTACATTTTTTTCTATACCCCCCACCCGCCTATCTGCACTGCTCCGCCCTAACCTATTCCTTGGCACCGGTATCTCTTCTACGGGACTTCGACCCCCGCCCGCCCCCCTTCACAGGCCACGACACCAAGGTCTTCATGAACTCCACGCAGCCGCCCTCCAAGCGCTCCCACGTGGAGCGCCTGGTGGACCGCATCATCGTGGCGGCCTTCGCACTGCTGTTCGCCTGGTGCGCCTGCTCCGCGGTCTACCACGCCAGCTGGACGGTACGGCAGTACCCGCAGCACTGGTACATGCGGCCGGACATGGTGGGCGCGGATTCGGACCCCGGGCGGCCGGTGCAAACGGGCACCATCAGCTTCTTCGCCGGGCTGCTGCTGTACAGTGAGTGGTGGGGATGTGTGGGAAGAGGGGAGAGAGAGGGACTGGGGAAGGTGGGAGAGGGGAAGGAAGAGGAAAGGAAGAGGGGAAATTTTAAATAAGTGCAACAACACAGTCCCAAAGGAAGAAGGAGGGTGAGGAGGTGTCCGAAAGGGTGCAGGGTTGCGACGGCCAGTGCCTCATGCCTCAGACAACCTCCGCTGCCTGGACCGCCTTCTCCACCACGTCCGCGACGCAGGCCCCCTCATCAGCCCTCACGGGATACCACCTGGCAAACTTGCAACTTCCTGCCATCCATCCTCCTATGGCTCCCACCCACCCACCCGCTAACGGTTAACCGCGGCCCATTGCCATCACTATCGTTCAGAACATGCTGATTATTCTGCTTCTTCTTCTCCTACCCGCCCGCCACCCACAGGCTTCCTCATCCCCATCTCCCTCTACGTCTCCATGGAGCTGGTGAAGCTCTTCCAGTCCCGCATCCTCATCGCAAACGACCGCGACATGTACCACGCTGAGACGGACACGCCCGCGCTGGCCCGCACCTCCAACCTGAACGAGGAGCTCGGCATGGTGAACACGATCCTGTCCGATAAGACCGGGACTCTAACGCGCAATGTAATGGAGTTCTTCAAGTGCTCCATCGCGGGCGTGGCCTACGGCGCTGGTATCACGGAGATTGAGAAAGCCAACGCGCTAAGGTACTGTGGAGCGGGGACCAGGGTGGTACTTGGGCCGAGACATGGGGTTAAGGGGCTCTTGGAATGCGTGCATGCATGATGGTTGTTCCCGTAGGGTGTAGGCAGCGAGGTCATGGGCATGCATACCGAAGGGTGTGGCGATGGGAGCATGGGGCATGGCTGTAGGGGGCTACCGGTATCTCACCTTGTGGCCTCCGCTGTTAACCTCGAAACCGCAGGAAGGGTGTGGTGCTGGACGAGCGCGAGCGCCCCGAGGCTACCAAGTGCCGCGAGCGCTTCTTTAACTTCTATGACGACCGCCTGATGGGAGACGCGTGGTACAGCGCGCATGACCCTGCCACCGTCGAGATGTTCTTCCGGCTGCTGGCCGTGTGCCACACCGTCATCCCAGATGGCCCTCCGGAACCGGCCACCATCAAGTACGAGGTAGGCGCTGTGCGATGTGTAGGTCCGGCGGGGCAGCCTGCCCCGCCCTGCGGGCGAGCAAGCATCCGCATGATGGGTGGTTGCTTGGTATGCCGTAGCGCAGGGCTCATATGTAGTCAGCAGCGGTCCTCATGTCCCTCCTCCACCCGAACCAAACCATGCCGCAGGCTGAGTCACCTGATGAGGCTGCGCTGGTGGTAGCTGCCAAGGCGTTTGGCTTCTTCTTCTTCAAGCGCACCAACACCACCGTGACGGTACGTGAGCGCACGGCGCGGGGCGAAGCGGATGTGGAGTACGAGGTGCTCAACATCCTCGAATTCAACTCTACCCGCAAGCGCATGAGCGTGGTCATCAAGGACAAGGCGACGGACAAGATCCTGATCTTCACCAAGGTGTGTTAAGAAAACTGGCCGCGAGTAGGAACGTACTGGGATGTGCCGCGGCGCGCAAAAAGGAACAAGGGGTCACCTGGCCGCATTGCGACACCACTTCACTGCTGCGTTGTCGCTCATGCACACCGCTTGTGCCTGTCTCCCTTGCCATAGCGGTCCCTGCATGTTCCATCCTCGCTCGACCCGTGGGTCACCCTCCTCCCCCCGCTCCTTAGGGTGCCGACACGGTGATCTACGAGCGGCTGGACCCGGGGTATGGGCCCAATGAGGCCATGAAGGAATCCACCACGCGCCACATGGAGGAGTTCGGATCGGCCGGGCTGCGCACGCTGTGCCTGTCGTATGCTGAGGTGGATCCCGAATGGTACAACAGGGAGTGGCTGCCCGAGTGGGTGGCGGCCAAGACGTCCCTGGACAAGCGCGATGAGAAGGTGATGGACGTGAGCGAGAAGATTGAGCGCAACCTGCGGCTGCTGGGTTGCACTGCGATCGAGGACAAGCTGCAGGAGGGCGTGCCGGAGTGCATTCGGCAGCTGGCGCTAGCGGGAATCCGGATCTGGGTGCTGACGGGTGACAAGATGGAGACGGCCATCAACATCGGCTTCGCCTGTTCGCTGCTGCGCGAGGACATGCTGCAGGTACGGCGCCTAGGGGTGGGGTGGGGCATGCGGGTGAGGCAAACCACGTCGTTAGCTTCGGGTGGTCCCGGTGACTGTCTTCAATTTGTATGGAAAAAATCCATGTGCCCCTCCCAATGCAATACCGGTATGCTACGTAGCGTTGGTTTCTTTGTGTCTTCGGCTCCCGTCCTCAGCTCCTCACCTTCCGCACCCGCCTCCCACACACCCTGCGGGCCCCCTTCTCCGCAGTACACTCTGTCCGCCTCCTCCCCGCGTATCGAGGAGCTGGAGCGGGCGGGAGAGAAGGAGCAGGCGGACGTGTTGGCGGCGGAGCAGGTGGCCAAGCAGCTGCTCAAGGTGGGGCTGAGGGGGGGCATGGCATGGATAGGGAAGGCAGGGGGGGGCATGGCATGGATAGAGAAGGCAGGGGGGGGGGCACGGCATGAATAGGGCAGGCAGGCAGAGAGGGGCAATGGGTATGAACAAGGAGGAGGGCCAGCGAGGGCCCATCGCTGGCATGCAGCCGGGTACGGCTGGTGACCGGGAAATTAGGGCAGACCTTTGGTTGTGATACTTGTAGAGGAGGGCGCACCGCTGTGCCGGCAGCCTCATCTGCCCCTGCTGCTCCCCTCTAAGCAGCCGCCCGCCTGCCGGCCCCCGCCGCCCCATGCAGATGGAAGCCAGCCTGTACATGTCCGGCAAGCTAGGCGGCTCCTCCAAGGCAGCTACCAACACCACCCCCGTGGGCCGCGCCGCATCAGGAGCCTCCTCCACCCCTCCCAAGACCGCCACCACCACCACCACCTCCTCACCCACCTCATCTCCGCTCCCGCCTCCTGACCCTCCTCCTCCTCCTCCTCCGGGTCCGCCCGAGGCCGCCCTCATTGTGGACGGCAAGGCCCTAGCCTACGCTCTGTCCAAGGACCTTGCCCCCGCCTTTCTGCGCGTGGGGCTGCGCTGCAAGGCGGTGCTGTGCTGCCGCGTGTCGCCGCTGCAGAAGGCCCAAGTGACCAGCCTGGTGCGCTCAGACGGGCGGATCACGCTGGCGGTGGGGGACGGAGCCAACGACGTGGGCATGATACAGCGGGCGCACATCGGTGGGTCGGTGCGGGTGGTGGGTTGGTGGGTCGGTGGGTCGGTGCGGGTGGTGGGTCGGTGGGTCGGTGCGGGTGGTGGGTCGGTGGGTCGGTGCGGGTGGTGTTGGTGATCAAAGAAGCACCACACCACAAGTTGGAGGTGTTGGTGATGTGGGAGATGTGGGAGACAGGGGATAGGTGGAGTGGAAGAGTTTGAGGGTGAGGGGAGGCGGCGTGCGCGCAAGGTAAACGCTTTGGAAGGAGCGGTCAGAGGAAACGGGAAGGAAGGCTGGTTGGGCAAGGGTTAGAGCCGGCTGGTAGTAAAGGCCATGGCTGCTACTCAGCATGCGTTGCGCTTTCGTTGTTCCCTTAGGCCATGCCCTCACCCTCCTCCCATCCTCCGGCCCCTCCCCAGGCGTCGGCATCAGCGGCCAGGAGGGCATGCAGGCCGTCATGTCTTCGGACTTTGCCATCGCGCAGTTCCGCTACCTGGTGCCCCTGCTGCTTGTGCACGGCCGCTACAGCTACAAGCGCATCACGCGCATGGTGCTGTTCTTCTTCTACAAGAACATGCTCTTCTCAATCACGCTCTTCACCTACTCGGCGTTCACCACCTTTTCTGGCTCCTACATCTACAATGGTGGGTGGGTCGGAGACTGGGAGGAGGACGGGTCTAATGCTCGGGAGTGAGCGCTTGCACGACAAATGCGTCGGTTGGCATCCAAGTGGCATATCGAGCCATGTCGATTGTGCCGTTCCACACACTCCATTCACTCCCAGCTGAGCTGCCTGTTCCGTAACTCCGTTCGCCATTTCGTTACCTTTGCGAGTATCGCAATTCGCCAACCACAATCCCCACCCAACGTACCGTACCGTACACCTCCCTCCCCCACCTCGACCCTCCCGCACAGATACCTCCATGACCCTCTTCAACGTGGTCTTCACCTCCGCCACCCCGCTGCTGGTGGGCATGTTCGACCGCCCGCTCTGCAAGTGCCTGCTCACTGGCTACCCGCAGCTCTACCGCCGGGGGATCGCCAACGGCGACTTCAACGGCCGCGCCATCCTGGCCTGGATGCTGACCGCAGCGGTGCAGTCGGCCATCCTGCTGGTGGTGGCGCTCATGGGGACCAGCGGTACGACAGCGGCGGGGGCGCATGGCATGCCGTACGGCATGGCTGAGGTGCGTGTGTCGGCGGCCTGAGGCACGGTGTGGGTTTGGCGTGGTTGGAGAGGGTGGGAGAAGTTGTGTGGGGTGGAGCCACGGTGGCGAATGGAATTCTGTTGGGTCGCGCATACGCGGACAGCATTGTCAACGGTACCCTAAGAAAGGGTTTACGCTTTCCCTGTCCTTGCCTCCATCCATATCACGGGTTGCCACACGCGTTATCGCTACCAACGCAGTTCCCCTCTTTCCCCTCCCGGTGACAGATCGGCGTGGTGTTGTTCACCGCAGTCATCCTCACAGTGCACCTGCAGCTGGCGCTGGTGGTGGAGGCGTGGACGTGGGTTCACTTCGCGGCGGTGTGGGGCAGCGTAGGTGCGTGGGGGCGCCGGCGTGTGACGTGTGCGGGATGTGACTTGCGACGAGGCAAGTGTGGGGCCGCGTAAGGCCACGGACCAGCGCTGTCGACCGAGGAGAGATGCATGGGGTGGCTGGTGTTGTTGGCGTGTAGTGTGCTCTGCTTCTGCGGGCGGGATTGTTACCGGTACCGGTAACATGGGCGGGCAGCGACAGAGGAGACGGAAGTCTGGTACGTTATAGGGCGCCCAGCATGCAGCCCCTCTGTATCCCTGTCCCGTTCACGCCCACCCAATCCTAATCCGTTGCTTACGATAGTCCCCTACACCCCGCCCCGCACCCCACTCGCCTCCCCCAGCCAGCTGGTACATATACCTGCTGGGCTTCGGCTGCTTCCCAGTCAGCTGGTCCCTGGAGCTGTGGAACCTCTTCAGCGGCGTGGTGGCGCCCTCGCCGCAGTTCTGGCTGTTCAGCCTGCTAGCCACCGCGGCGGCGGTGTTGCCTGTGGCGGGAGCAATGTCTCTGAAGCGGTGAGCTCGTGAAATTGCATTGCCGGCTTATGATCGCTGGCCCGTTCCCAGCCGTCTTTGGACTAGAATCAGCTCCTGAAAGCTCCATTTGTCCGCGGCGGTTTACCGGTATCCATTTTACCCGTGCCCTCAGGTTGCTGTGGCCCTCGGATGAAGACTTACTGCGGGAGATAGGAAGCGTGCGGCAGCAGCAGCAGCAACAGCAGCAAAAGCAGCAGCAACAACAACAGGAGAGACCAAAGAAGCTCTTCATTCCACTGCGGAAACACCCACGAGAAGCAGCCAACCCAGCTGTTGACGCCGCTGGCACCATCAAACCAACCCAGCACGACACCTCGCTCCTGCAACAACCCGCCCCAGCTGCTGCTGCTGCTGCAGCCAAGCTGCCGCCCATCTCCAAGCATCCCCAAGGTGCCAAAAGAACATCATCACCAACCATCCAACTCCAACAGCTACCGCAGCCCAACTACCCGCAACTCCGACACCAAGCCAGCTCTCACCGCCCCTCCAGCGCCGGCTCTTCCAACCGTGTCGCACCGGAACCCTCCTCGGCGCCCACCACCTCCTCCTCCACACCCGCCACCTCGCCCTCCTCAATCGCCATGTCGGGCCTACCGGCGCCCTATACCTCCTCCGCCACGCATGTTTCCTCCAACCAGAACCCTTCTAACCATCTGAGAACTGCCACAAGCGATGCCATCAGCCTCAGCGCTGTGGCCTACACGCAGTCCCCAGCCACCACCGTGAGCTCCCTAGCCGCCGACAGTCTGCTAGCCACGAGCTCCTTCACGCCCTCAGCAGCCGCCGTGGCGGAGGCGGAGGCGCTGGGTCCTGCAGGGAATTCCACGGGAGGAAGCCGCAGAGGGCACACGCTGCAGGCGCTGCCAGCGTCCCACAGTCGGTCTATGCTGGGCGGGGGACCTCCTCCCACATGCGCGACCGGGAATCAGCGCGGGCATACCGCAGGGACGACGGCGGTGGCGGCGGCGGGAGCGGTTTCTGAGCGAGCATCTGGAGTGCCTGGCGGCCGGGTGTCATCACCGAAAATCGGATACTCCCTTCCTTTCGCCCTCCCCTACACCCTTCCGACGGCGGCGGCACTGATAGAGCCGATGGCTGCAGGGTCCGCGTTGGAAGCCCACCCGCCCTCTGAACCGGGTGGGGTGCTGTCGGAAGCGCCGAGCCTCTCACATCAGGGGGAAGATTCTCACCACCTCTTCGCCACCGTCGGCAGCATCAGCACCAAACGCGGCGGCCTGACTGCCGGCAGGGGCAGCAGTCTGTTCCTCTCGTTCGGCTCGAAACGGAACTCCGGCATTGAAACCACGCGCGCAGCGCTTGCCCTGCCGCACCCTCACAGACTGAGCCGGGAAGGCACGCCGCCTGCATCACATCATGGCGGCTTGGGAGCTACCGCCACCGCCTCGGGACCGCCCCCGGGGCCGCAAGTCACGGCGTCAGTCGCCTGGGGCCGGGCGGTAACGCCGCCAGCAACCTCGGGTACGGCAGCCCCACAGCTGCAGCTGCAGCTACATCCCTTTCCTCCACCGTCGCAACTACACCCATCCGCTTCATCCCTGGGTTCGCCCCGGCAGCTGCCGCAACCATCGCAGACGCCGACGCCGATGCCGCCAACTGCCATGGCATCGCGGCCGATCTCGGCGGCGAGGACCCACAGCGCCTTCGCCGCCACGCTTCCTCCGCTAGACGAAACTGAGGTAGCGATTTCCTCTTGCGGCGGCGCCGCCAGCGCAACCACCCCTGCAAACAACAAGGTCATGCGGCTGCGGCCTTGTGCCGACGGCCGCTTCACATGTTCCGGGCCGCAGCTGTTCGGTGGTGAGTTTATGCGTGAGGAGCTGAGGCTTGAGGTTTCGGAGCTCGGGAGCTGGCAAGGCGGAACGCCGTGCAGATCGTCAGGAGGGGCAGGTGGCGGTGAGGGGTCGTGTCCGGGCGCAGTGGAGTGTCCTAAACAGGAGCCGCCAGAGCTGTTGGAGGTGGTTTCGGCAACCCCCACGCATCCGACGCGCCGTAGCTTTCCTGGGCAGCCCCTTCCGCTGGAGGACATGGGCTAGGCGCCTGGCTGGCGGGGTATGCCGAGCGGTTGTTTTCGTATAGGCATGTGGCATACGGAGGCACTTAATGGCATACGGAGGCACTTACTTTGGGTCGGGGCATATGCGAGAAAGAGAGTGGGAGTGAGGTGCGATAGTGAGAAAGGTGTTGAACCCTGGTGGGTATGGGCTTTCGGTTAGCGATGTGGCCGCTGGGGATGGTTGATTGAGTAGGTAGGGAAGGGGAGTGGTCTTGGAGTGTTGAGTGCTAAAATAGATTTGAGAATGTAATTGCAGTGATGGAGGATGTCGGGCTAAGGACACAGAAATGCTGACACTGACGCATGCAGCAGGGACGCATGCAGCGCTTCAGAGTCTGCACTTCAATCCGAGTGGCTAAACTGCAGTGGAGCAGGGTGCCTCTTGACGCAGAGTGCTGAGGTGGCATTACTTGGGGCATCTCGGCAAGGGTGTCCTGTTTTGCATGCTGCGTACTATTGATACCATGATGGCAGGGTAGGGGTTGGGCTGCTTGAGCACAGTACTCATCAGATGTTGGTTCCAGCAACACTGCGGCACGTTTTCTGATACACGTGATACCGGTACGCATGCGTTGGCCAGCCCGCTGGGAATGCGTGCAGCATTACATGCCCGAGGGCAGTGCTTGAATGGTCTTTTCAGGAGGGCGCGTGGAAGTGATAACTAGGTTGCAGGATGCAGCCGGTTGCGTTCGTGTCACTTGGGCTGCTGGCGTGGTGGTCACGCACACTGAACGTCTCAAACTGGTGTACTACGATGCGACGTGTGACAGTGCATGTCTAGCATGGCTACCAGTAGGAGTCACACTTGTTGGTCAATAGACCTACCTGTTTTTGGTACGTTGCGCGTAACTGCCGAAACCATGGCATATATTGGCGCAGGAATGCGCACATGTGCACTGATGTTGCAAGCGCATTTGCGATTCGCTTGCAATGCGGTACAAGGTTAGGGTGACCATGTAGGGTTGCGGTACCCGCCTTGGGTCATGCAAACCCTGCCAGTTGTGGGGAATGCGAAGAAGGCAGGGTGCCGCATTACGTGACTTGTTGTACTTATGCAGTGGAGTCAAGTAGGTCAAGTAGTGCTAAGAACCTTCATATGGGCTATGCCGGCCGTCGTAAGTGCTGTCCGTATGGCGCTGCGACAAGCAGCCGTGGCTGCTGAAGACGTGCCACACGTGACCATTACATCCGTCCTTTTTTGCCGTCCATATTGCGTTAGTCACTTTAGGTTTGCGGCGCGGCAAGTAGATCTGCCGTTCTGCAGGTTTACCACATCCTGCATCGCCTTATTAACGTCAAGTGTCGCGTGCAGTCAGTACGGCACATCTCCTAATAAATATGTAGTAACGCACACCTGTCACCCGTCTTGTGGCAGTAGCCATCACTAAGCTCTGCACCTTCAGCGTACACTCGGCATCTGCCACATTTTCACATTACCAGCGCAGGAATAACAAGGGATACCACAAGTGCCCCATGAATCCACCATGACACCTTCGTCTCTTCAATGCATCACATGAATCAGAAACTACCCTCTCGTCAACCTAATGCAAAACCCTACATGAATTACAGGAACTATATCTGGGTATCATCAGTAATGCCGCCACTAAGACGCTTTGAAGCGTGTACAACGCTTCCAAACTCCTGGACGCACCAGTCAAGCTGTCATCAGCGCCGTGTGGATCACGGGCACAGTTAGCTGAAGTTGAAGTTCCGTTCCTTGGTTCCCTTTACGTCGACCGCTTTGAGGGTCACGGTTGAGGCCGGCAGGTAGTCCGTGGGGATGCCCTTGTAGCCCTGTTGCGGGTTGTGCGGCGGAGGGCAGGTGGACGGGCGCGTTTTAACAGGGAAATTGGATGTCGTGCATTGATCGAGCAGTCTTACACACACCATTGCTAGTCCATTCGCACGACTTCAGTGATCCGTGTGTCACACCAATAGTCACAAGTCTTACCATGGTTGGTTTCTGGTTCTTAGGCCATGTGGGGTTCTCCGTGGGCCAGCGAGGCGAGGAGTTCATGAACACGGGCGTGTCAGGTGGATGGTTGAAGGCGTTGCTGACCTTTGATACGCCTGCAAATAACGCAACAGAGTTCGCAGCAAGCCGTTGTCTAGGATGAAAACGTCTTGGATCAAAGTTCCAGCAAGGTGGTGACTTATGCCATGCCAAGGCAGGCTAGACAAACACAAAGAAGTATCGCTCCCTCCCTAGTGTACTGCACGAGTAAATAGCTTAGTTTTCCAGATGATTTCCGTGCCGGAATTATATACCTGACTTGAGGTGTCCGTTGCCATCGGCGATGAAATCCGTTTTGCCCTTGCGAGCGTTAAGGGTCCCAAACCGGGTGCCGGTCGAGGTCGTCACCGCCTGAAGACCGCGAGGAATAAAAATTAATTAATAAGGGGTGGTAAGGCTACCGTCCTCGTCACGCATGCCATGTAAAGCTTCGCACCTCTCCTTTGTCAACTGCTGGGACCTCCCAGTTCTGAAGCCGTTTAGCATTATAAGCGTGCTCTACTTGCTCTCCAGGGTAAGAACGCGACATCTTCTGTTACTGGTATCGTCAGGTCTAAATTAACAGGACCTCCTAGCAAAAGACTTTGTCTGCTTGGATGTAAGCGAATTGAAGGTAATAACAGGCGAAATAACAGGTATTGCACCAGAGCTTCGAAGATACGGCATATACGGCGTAGGTTGCGGTGCTGTCTATCCAAAACAAACTTGTTGAGGTGTTTTTATCGAAGACGGACAATCCAGTAACCCTAGTTTAAGCGGTAGTAGGAAGATGCGTGGCCAATCGGAAGGCGGGGCCCTGGGGGTTGCCGAACCAGCCCAGCTGGTTGTTCGCTTGGAGGATCTGCTTCTTCTTTCACGTTATGAGGAGGCAGCGCGTGCATCGTCTGAGCTGCTGTCACAATGGTCCGAGGGGCCGAAGGCTCCGGATGCGCTGCTGCAACGAGCCCTGGTGGCAGCGCTTCAAGCACACTTCTTTAGCGGAAGGCAAGCTTAGGTCGCCGTACGCCGTGTCTTATCAAGGAATATGCCAAACTGACCGAGGGTGTGCACTCTGCCTGCAAGCAGGCAAGGAGAAGTAGAGCTCCTACTAGAGGCGCTGGGAGTGCGACGCTTGCCAGTTCCGACGTTCCTAGCATGGTGAGTAGAAAGCCATGTGTTTGGAAATTAAAGTAAGCGTCTAACCGCTCCTGGTACGGTGGCTTCGTTGCCCCAAGCCTTGACGCCATCCCTTGCTCTGCGTAGTCCCTGCCTATCTGGCTAACCGCTCCTTTAGAGCGGCGGGCTCCCATGCAACCTCCTCGTTGCTTACCTGCCCAGCTACCTGCCTCTCGTTCTTGCTTCAGGATGCTCCTGCTGTTGGAGTCGCAGCAGGCCTCAGCCGCGCGGCGGCGTGTAGAGAGCTACATGGCGGAGCTCGTGGCGCAGCTGCGGCAGCAGCAGCAGCCCCAGGAGCATCTATCAGCGGGGTGTGCAGCCGCAGCAGCAGCCTCGGACCTCCAAGCTACTTCCCCGGGAGCTGCAGAAGCTGGCGGGGACAACCAGGAACGATCAATGCAGTCAGAGGCAAGCGCTACATCAAGGGCAGCAGCAGAAGCTGCAGCTGCTTCGCCTGCGCCTGCCGTCTCCTTACAGGACCGCGCTGCTCTCGCCCGCCTGTACAGCCAAGACGTTCTCACACAGGGTCTCCGGCTGCCGGAGGAGGCGCTGAGGTGGCTGCAACCGCAGAGCCACCGCGCCTGCGGCGAGGCATCTCACACACGACCCACTGCGACGGCATTAGCAGCAAAGACCGGGACAGGGGCAGCGGCGCCGCAGGGAACGGGGACGGTGGGGGTGGTGGACGCGGTGGAGTTGCTGGGCGGTGAGGCGGCGGTGGCGGGGCTGCGCAGCGAGCTTGAGGAGCTGCTGACAGCAGCAGGGTTCAAGGTACCCGCCCTGGGCCCGCCTGAGGCGACAGCAGGACAGCAAATTGAGCAGCAGCAGTGGGAACAGCAGCAGCAAAGCTGTGGCTGCGATAGTCTCAGTAAGGTAGAGGGGAGGGCAATGGCACAGACGCAGTCGGCCTGCAGTGGGAACAGGGCGCTGCACGGCAGCGGTAGCAGTAGCCAGGCTAGGGCGGCAAGGGCCGAGGACGCTGTCGCCGTAGGGCTTCCCGCCACCCGCCGTCACACGCTGTCAAGTCACATCCTCTCCCTGCTGTCCGCGCTGAAAGCATGCTGGATGGCCGTACAAGCAGCTGTACGACGTCTCGCGTCGGGCACATCAGCGCAGCTCTCACGCGCACAGGCCTGGGCGGTGTGCGCGGCTTCGAGCGCGGCTGCTCGTCTTCGCACCTCCATCGCTTCGCATGGCCACAATGGCCTCAAACTACTGCTGGGTCTCGAGTGCTCTTCCTCAACATCCGCTAGGGCCGCACAGGTCGCGGTGGTTGCAGTGGGGTTTGCGCTGCTGCTGGTGGCGGTGCAGGCGGAGGCGCCGCACCTGCGGGCAGCGCTGGGGGACCGCTGGGCGGCGCTGGCAGGGCTGGTTCGGGAGGCGTTGCAGATGGGGCTGGCGCTGCACCCCAGCCCCGTGGCTGCAGCCGAGGCACCAGCGCTGCGGTAGAGGAGGCGGGGCGCAGAGTGAAGGTTCCGGACTGATTGTCGCTATGGGATGCTGCCCCCCGCATAGGAACGGGTAGCTGAGCGGCAGAACGCAGAAGGCACTGGTGGCATAGGTTGCGCTGTGGTATGCGGCATGGGCATGGATGCAGGTTAGGATAGAAACCTAGGAGGATTATACTGGCTAGGCGTGGCCGGGGGCGTAGCTCTGGCCCCGAAACATGTTATCAGACACGCGGTATTGGTAGGTTAGGCATACCAACACCAATACGGCGCTTCATTCTGAGCCAATGAAGTGCCGTAGTTGATGCTCGGAGAGGCTTATTGCTTGTGCAATTAGGGACCCTGCAGCAAGTTGTATTGGCACGAAGGTCCCACTCAGGACCCCTCTGGTCCAAAGGCCTTGCTGGCAGCGGATGCCGGCCATATGTAGTACTGAAGTGGCATGCCACGGTGGATGATATGTGTTGGGAGTGGGCTTTACGTTGCTACTGATATCCTTGCTGTCGCTGCTTTGCTATCAGCAGCGTTGCTCAAGGATCGACACCGTAAAGTCCATGTTGTTGTGTTTCATGTTGGTGGAAGGCAATGTATTGGTAGGTGTTGCGGGTCGGCATCCCAGCTTCAGTGCGTTCATGAGTATGCATTGTTCCCCAGATGACAATTGCACTCCATTTCACTACCTTACGGTTGCAGTTGGACGAGTGTAATAGGCAGGGACAAAAGGCTGAGTTACCAGCCATGGGTACAATATCATCGTGGAGCTGAAGAACGGAGGGAACGCTTCTAGCTCCGTTGCATGGCCGTCTGTGTATCCCCCTCAATGATAGCGTACCGGTACTGGACATTGGAAAGCGGTGTAAACACAACCAAGGTAAACTGTTAACAACGGGTCAGCATTGGGCTTTGGGAACTATGAGTCACGTCCATCCACGTAAATTTATACCCGGTCGATGTTGCATAGCTATACACCCTTTATCAAGAGGTACCATGGCTGCTAAATTGGCTCCCTCCAGAACTGAAACCATGCCCTACCGCACCAGCCGCACCAATGTAGTGCAAACCAAGGTGATATGACGGGCGTCTTCCCATTGGATAAATAATCTCCATGCTCTCTGATTCGTTCATATTGTGCGATCGCTGCATTGTTGTACATTGGCATGCCGCGCTGCTTGCGCTACAGGGCATAGTTGCCGATGCGCACCCCAGCTATGAGCCAGCAATCCTGCGCGGGAACAAAGTTTCCTCGTCGCGGTTTGTTACGGTGAACACGTGCTGGCCTAGTTCTAAGACGGCCCCATGCGTCGCTGTGCGAGGCCGGCATGCGGTACATGTCCGCAAGCATCTGTGAGCTTCGTCCCCTTTTCAGCCCCTACCTTGAATGCGCCGCTGTCTTGCCGCTCCAGGCAAAATGTATACGTATACGGCCGCAACGCCTCAGCTCCGCCCTGATCCATGGCCGCCTCCTCCTCCATCTGCTGCCCCCCGTGCCTGTGCTGCTGCGGAGTCCGGGGCCGGGCACGCACCTCCACCGCTTGCACGGCCCTGTTATCATGGCGGGAGCTGGGGAAGACGCAGGGCGATACCGCGCGCCAGGAGTCGCAGCCCAGCAGCGGGCGGTAGGCGGTGTGCAGCAGCGCGTGGAAGCGAGGCCACGGCAACCACTCCTCGCCCGCGTGCCAGCTGCGCACGGAGCCCGCATCCTGGGGCCAGGGGTGGGAGCGGAAGCAAGCGGGGTCATGGGGGTTCCAAGGGGCGGCCCAAATGTAAGGGGCTGGCAACAGAGCCTAGAAGCGATTTGGGTTTGGTAAGTCGTTGTCGGGCAGCGAGGCAGCGAGGGGAAACAGGGTCTGAGTGCTAACCGAACGGCTGTAAGAGCGGTGTTGCTGCCTAGATCTAGAAAACCCAAACGGGACCCGTAATAATTGCAGGCACCTTCAGGTTTGCGGAGCTTCCCCAAAACCCGGGCATGCCCACACGAGTCCCTGCTCACCGGGCCGTCTTGCCCCGCCGGCTGTGTAAAGTGGAATGCGGTCATGATACCGGTGTCGGGCTCCGGCCAGTCGTTGCGCTGCAACAGGTAGACGAGCATTGGGCAGGTAATGATGGAGCGCAGGCCACAGAGCCAGAGCCTACCAGGAAAGGCAAAAGCTGTCCGCATGTACTCTTGCGAAATTCCTTTCACCAGCGCAACGCCCCGTGCTCGCTTAGCAAAACACCGACACACACGGCGGTTCTGTGGGGACTTCATCTTCCGGCAATCACAGTACGTTCCTACTCGCGGCCGGTTTTCGTAACACACGTGCTGAACCCGTTTCCTCCCACCCGCCAGGGCCAGCAATTCCCATGGCTCAGTTTACCTAATCCATCTTGCCAACTTAACCACCTGACCCTCGCCAATCCAGTGCAGTGACCCACATCGAGTACCCCTCGGCTCCCGACGCCCCCACCTGCAGCACCTCCATCGTCTGCTCCACCACGCCTGTGGGCGGCAGCAGCGGCGCTACACGGCAAGCCATCCGGGTCACACATGGGGACGATAAAGGAGCCAACATGGCAAGCTGGTGACTAGCATGGAGGGAAAAAGCGGACGAATGGATATGGCCGTGCTCTCTTACTGGGGGGCCCATGCCAAGCATGCAACATCGCTAGCGGGTTTGCCTTGATTAAGCGTATTCTGGCTCGCGCTAACGACTTTGACCCACATGGATGGCTGCGTTGCGCCACAGCTGCCGGTGAGGGAATGCCCTGAAACGCACAAGAGAAAAGGATGCCCAGAGCTGCCGATAAGGAGGAAACGCTGGCGGCAGGGGACTAAATAGGGCAGCACCAGCAAGGCACAAGGCTGTTTGCAAGGACTAAACACGTACATGAGTCCTTCGAGAAATGGGTGCTGGTAGGCAATCCTTCCGGTAATGGGTGCTGGTAGGCTAAGGAGATTGGCGCTGAAGCCCTGAAACAATGTCGCAAGCCCACCCCACCTTGACGAGAACAAACTGGTTGAACACGCTGCTAAGTCCGCCGTCGCCGCCTGTGCCATGCAGTACGTAAGCAACTTGCTTTCTAACGACCTTCGCCCAGCTCAAGGTGGATGCCAGACGCGCCTTTTAAGTCGTCGTCGTCGGCAGTGGCTCGGGTTGGTTTAGGCGCTTGGCGATTTCGCCTCTGTTTGCAGCTGGATACCGTGAACGGCTTTGGAGATCGAGATGGGACGTTAGGGATCCTTATATGCAGCTGCGGTAGGGTGACGTGCGCCATTGTGGCAAGGAGATAACCGCGACAGCTGCAGGGTTTGCGCCCTTACCCTCACTAATTCTTTACTGGAATAAATTGCATTGACACGCGTTTGTAGATCGGACAGGAAAAGTCATACAAAGTACAGCGGATAGAGATGTCCATGAACGTACGTGATGACTGTCGTGACAGCATGAGACGTGCGCAGAACACGGCCAACCAAAGCGTAGTAGTAATCGTGTCAACTTTCTTAGATCATAAACACCAGTTTTACCTTTCCATAGCGCTCGTTGTGGCGGACGTCTTAGGTTATTCACTAGCGAAAGCACTTCTGGGGCCTTGCCCGACGAGATCTATAGTCTTCATAAAGCTTGCCTACAGCACATGCACCCCTGCTCCTTGCCACAGCAGTCTGTCCAGCAGGCCAGGGCGAGCTTGAAGGGCGTCCCGGCGCGGCCTATGTCCAGCTCCAACTACTCTGCAGGTCAGCCTGAAACTGTTACGTAGACGTGCCTTAAGTATTGCTTTGATGATAGCGATTAGCCGGTTTCACCTACGGCCCTTGGGCCAGCGTCCATGGGCTAGCTGGTTACACAGCAGAAGTTGGCGGAGGCGAAAGTCCTTTAGGACATCATCAGCAACTAGCTCACTATGCGACAACATGGGTTGTTGAATATTGTGACGGTTTGTAATGTCTGGGTTGTGGCGTGCTGCACCATCGCAGGGCGTCCGAAGAGCAGCAATAAGCGCAGTGTTGCAGAGCTTGAGCGTCCGGGTTCGGCGCAGGCGACTGCTCACCATTCGCAGATGCAGCCAGAGCCGATACCGCTGAAGTATGTAGTCCAGGAGGCGGTGAAGCGGTGGTTTGAGGACACGCTCCAGGAAGCTCAAAGGGGGGATGTGAAGCAGCAAGCGCTGCTGGGTGAGATGTACAAGGTAGGTGGCGCTTGTAATTTGGAGTTGCGTACACCATCGTGCACCATCCGGCGTACCCTCGACTCTGGAGGGACACGCGTCTTGTCGCATCCGCATATGAATGTACCCCTGCTCCTTGCATCAACTCACCGTACTACCTTAACGTGCGTACGCAGGAGGGCTACGGCTGCCAAAAGGACGCCCGGGCTGCCAAGGAGTGGGCAGAGAAGGCTGCGGCGCGGGGTTACAAGATGCAGGGTGTGTACTGCGAGCTATAAACCTGTTGAATGCAACTGCGCCGTCGTTGTACTGCGCTGCTCGTCTCGCAGTAGGTTTGCTGGGTAGCACGGCGGGGCAGACATTCTCAAACCCGCGCGGTGGGGCCTGGTAGGGTGTATCCGTGGGAGGCGAGCGTGTAGGCTTCTTCAGGTTGCGTAGATAGGGGACGATCCACGGCATAAATGTTAACGCTTGTAGGAAGAAAAGGTGTGACCGTATGTTTTGCAGCGCTGAAGCCGATTGCTTTTGGTCACCAGCTTCATTCGCACATTGTATGTTTGCTTAAGTCCGGAGTGGGGTAAAAAGCCCTAATGTAGGCATGTTATGTTGGGGAGGTTATGCACTGAAATGACATTCATGTACGGATACAATTCACTTCGAAGGAAGTTTACATACATAACATTGTTTTGGAGTTCGTTATCATTCGGACTTCAGGCGATAGCTGGGGCTAAGGGGCCCTGTCGAACGGTGTTTTGTTGTTACTGCTAGAGTGTGTTACGCGGTACCACGGCATCGACAATTATACCCGCACCTTTCTTCAGCCCTATCCTGTTGTAATCATGGCATGGGCTGGCTTTGGTAGATGTTGGTCAGCGCAAGCAGAAAGCAGTTTCATCCTTGCTATTGAGGAACATGGCGTTTACACGTAGCCCCTCGCGGGGTCACACACTGGTGGCGGAAAACACCAGCACCCGGCCCTTTTCGTAAGAGCCACATGCCAGGTAATTGCGGTCTACATTAAGTCCCCCTAAAGCACATGTCTGCATCAGTGCCTAATCAAATTTTCCAACGGCGTCGACAAGTGGTCACTCAAAACGTTTGCCGTACAGTCAGGTGTGCATGGTATGTATTGAAAGCCTTCCAAAAGCTATCCCTGTGCCAGCACCAGCTTGGTATGTATTGAAAGCTGACCGGTAAGAGAACACACCGGTCAGCATTTAAGCTGGCACGCTCATTCCCATCTCCACCCACGCATGTAACCACGCCGATAGCTCTGATGTAACACATCAAAGAGCTCGGCCGAGTACAAACCGGCTCACGCTGACCATTGTAAGCCCACCGCTGCGCTATGCTGATCCCATGCAGCTGTATCAAAAGGCCTTGATGCAGAATAAACATTACACCCGTCTCTCACCGCTCGCCTGATGCGTAACTGAGAGGATCCCCGAAACCCACGTCGCCCGCATATACCCCTGGAGTACCCGACCCGGAACCGGACGGGATTCACGGCTTAAGCGTTCTTCCCCAGGTCGGCATCGCTCTTGCGTGCAATCTCCACAACAGCGTCCAGCTTCGCGATTTCCAGGTCGTCAAACTTCTGCCCCTTCTCCGGCTTTGACGTTATCCGCAGGTTCGGGCTGAGCTTGAGTGAGGTGACGGCGCCCTTATCGTCGCCTACCAGTACAATTGGTTGCTTAGGGTTGAACACCAGCTTCGTGAGCTTGGCCTTCTTGACGATCTGCTCAGGGAACGTAACGAGACAGATAGGCGTGAGTGCAGCATAGTGCAGGATAGACAGAAGACACAGTTAGGTATTGCGCTTGAAGTGAAACCAAGTGCAGCCCCCTAGTTTGCCGCCTCAGCTACCGCTTGTACCCGTGTGACACGCCCCGACAGAGCATGCCTTGCGCGCACCTTCTGGCTGCACAGCGGCAGCAGCTTGTTCTGCGCAAGGTCAAACACATGCACGCGGCCGTCGTCCGTCACAGCAGAAAACACGGTGGCGGAGTACGGCGCCCACGCCACGTCGCCGATGGAGTCGTTGAGGTCGAAGGTCATGACGGGATGCTTGGAGTCGTGCACGTCCCACAGCTTGATGCTCCAGTCAGCGGACGAGGAGAGGAACATGTTGGGGTGGATGTGGTTCCAGTGCACCGCGTACACCGCCAGGTGGTGCGCCACGTAGGTGGAGAGGTACTGCGAACTGTAGGCCTTGGAGCAGCGGTGGATGGCGCCCTCCTCCGTGCCCACCAGGTAGATGGACTCCTGGCCGGGCATCTGGGGACGGAGATGGGTGCAGAGGGGCGCAGGGCCCATATGCCATTAGATCATCCTGGAAGGCAGCACTTCGTTACACAGTTCTGGACCCACCGTAACAGAGTTTCCTCCAGGCACAGGCAAACGTTCCTATTTATGGACTGTGCTTGCAAGCCGCTATTGCAACCAAATGCCCACAATCCTGTACCCTATTCCACAACGAGGAGCTTGTAGCGTCCGTGACCACACCGACCAGGTCCCGTCCAACCCGTTGCTCCTTGTACCCACCTTGCAAAAGTCCATGCAGCATCCCCCAGCCGGCCCGGACGCCATGGGGTCCTCGTCGCTGGTTTCGCCCGCTTTGACGACCCGCAGCTTCATGAGGCACTCGGGTATAAGCTCTGACTTGGTGAGTGTCCACAGGTTGACGTTGCCGTCGCTCGAGATGGACACAAACTGCAGCGCCTTGGAAGCCTCGTCCACCTGAGCGGGTGGGCCATGGGTAGGGCAAAAGTCACGGATGCGGAGTATGGGATGTAGTGTTGCAGTGTTCCTTTGTTGGGCTTGATGGGCTCCAACGCATAACAGGCTGAAATATAGAGCTGTTGCTAGGCGTGTGGAACCGCGGACAAACACGTGAGGTGTGGCTTCTTGTATGTAACAATAACTACTAAGCGCAACCCGACCCGCGCGGCTTGATGTTTACATGCTTTGTCGTGCAACCCCTTGTGACAATGAGCAAAGATACGAGAACCCTTCACCACGTATTGAGGCTGTGCTGGTTAGCCCCAGCACTAATGCAGTAATGCAGGCCGCCTCACCTGCCAAACGACCTGCCAGACGGGGTCGTTGTGCTTGCCCGTCCGTACGGAAGCCTGGTAGATGGGTTCATCCTTCTTTAGCCGTACATCGTACACCAGTACGGTACCGTCGTAGCAGCCCACCGCCAGCAGGTTCGCAAACTCCGGGTGGAAGTGGACCGACATCACGCCCGATTCCGTGTGGAACGTGTACTCGGGGTGCGACGGGTTTTTGAGGGAGTAGATGTTAATGAGGCCGCTGGCCTGCTTCAGGAACTCATAGCTGCCGTACCCCACGGCGAACATGTCGTCATACATGGGGTTCCAGCAGATGCTGGTGACCTGTCGCCGCTTGGACTTGTCTGAGACAAACCTCCACAGCGGCAGCAAGGAGCCCTCCCCAGGCCTAGATGTCGGGTTTGGGTTGGAATGGAGACAGGGCAGTTTAATTATGCTGACGAGGCCAGCTTCGACATGGTGTGGGACGGCCACAGCAAGTGCGTTTCAGGTGCCGCCAAAACCGTAAATTTGGTGGCCTAAAACTTGAAGACCTCGCTAGAGCCAACACGAACTGAGGACAGACATGCCTCGTGCCTATACTATCCTTAGCTAGCTATCATGCAAATGGCCCCTTGCCGTATGCCGAGTCAGACCGGAACAGCGTTGGCATGACACTGAACCCGAATCCCAACTACACCGCACCCAACCCGTAACAACCCACCTGAACGCGTCTGACGCGTCGTCCCAGTACTTGAAGTCCATGGCCACCTCCTCGAACATGTTTTGGTTGACCATCCGGTCTAACGTGCCCAAGCAGTGCATCAGCACGGGGCTCTGCAGCGTGGGCACGTGTTCATTGCTTTTGGATGCGTTCGCCCCGCCGTGCTGGCCCCCTGATGCGTGCTTCTTCCCTCCTTTTGATTTCGACGCTTCGTCCAGGCGCTGCCGCTCCAGGTCCTTAATGTACTCGTCGTAGATCTCCCACTGCGTGCAAACCCCTGTTGGACAGGTTTCGGGGGGTGGTAGGGGTACAGGTTACTAACCTTACTAGTACTGCTCAGGGGCTGATAGTGGTGATGGTGCGCGTCTTGATGCACATGGGCACATGGGTGTATGCGGGTAAGATGTCCATGACGTGATGCGCTTTCAAAGTTTTACTCCTAGCAGTGCCCCTTGTGCTCACCTGACACCGTGGCGGTTGGGGGCGGCTCCGTGAACGTCTCACGCTCACGCAGTGGGTAGTTCAGCGTCTGGGCTGCACGCTCACTGAAGTTGAACTGGTTGCGCAGCTGCCTGGAGTCATCCGGCGGCTCCACGTCACCATGCTCTTTATGCTCATGGCTGGCACGATCGAGATCTGCCTGGAAGCGTGCGCTGGCCTCCTGCTCCATCTTCTCCATGTCCATCTGCCGCTTCGCCTCATCTGAGCTTTTATGCAGGAGCCAGCCGTCTGTGGCGTAATGCACCACTGTTTGCTCAACCATGGGTTCCAACTTGAACACCTTATCCTTCATGTTGAAGCGGACGATGTTCTTAGGAGCGGCCGGGTTATTGGCCGTCAGCATTTTGGCCACCTCCTCAGTCAGCTCTATGTCACTGAGCCTGAGCTGGTTGTCCGGCTTGACGACCTCCCGGATCGGCTGCGGTGTGCATACAAAGTCCCGTCAGTCCCCCTGCGCGTAGTTAGCTCATGCGCCCTTGGCCACGTACCATGGCGAATGCCTCATCGCCCGGCATAGGGGGCGGGGGCGGCACATAGTCCTGCGATTGGGACTGGTCCTGGGCCTTCTTTTTGCCCTTGACCTGCATTGCAAGGCCATAACCCGTTAGACGTCATGCTCCAACGCAACGCTTCGTCGCGCGGCTTGCGGACCTTATCCTTCTTCGTCGGGCTGGTCGGCATGGCTGCTAGCTTGGCTAATACGTTTAGAAGTGCTCCCTAAGAAGCTTTAGGGCCGGGCGTCAGCCCTAAAATTTTGGGGGTACATGCAGAAGTGCAAAGTAAGCAGAGGCGAAAGTTCAGGTCAAGGTATGTTTTAACGTTTAAGGGAAGCATAACTTGGCACGCGTGTCCGGGGCAGGTGGCTAGCTTGGAACCGGCGATTCTTAGCGCCCGTACGACGTTAGTAGGATCCAGCAGCACGCTTCCTGTGCTGTATTTGCTTTTTTAAGCACTTATGATAATATGTACATTTCCTGTCAGTGGCTTGGGAGGTAGCGGGGCTTTACCTTACCTGCAGGTTACCTGAGGCATCGTTTGCATGGGCCAGGTCGCGCTATGCAAATCCGCGTACAAGACTGCCGAGGCATGGTTTGTGACGTGTAAATGGAAAGCCCGTGCCCTGCGCCTGTGTTAAGGTCGCAAGCAGGAGGAACTCGTGGGCCTCCGTGCTGTGGGTGTGGCACACACACACGACGCCAAGCCCTGCAGGAAGGCTGTTGTCCCGAGAAAGACCTGTGCTGCCGCACAATTCTAGCAACGCTTAGATGTCTCTTCCACAACATTTCTTGTATCCATACAGCAGACTCGCTTTGGGGAAACACACACCGGTGCCATCCGCACCCTTCTACAATTTAGTCGGACCAGACGGTGCAGCATTGTACTCCGGTTCTTAATGCAGCATTACATTACATTGCAAGTCGCACTTGAGTCGTTCGGACCCCCCTTGTAAAAATCGCATTCAGCATTACATGACACGTCGTGCACACAGCTGTTCATAACCACCATCCACTGCCAACCTGTCATCCTTTGTTTGTCATACAAAGGCACACATACGTGCGCTGCTACAAGCAAACTCATCAGCCCGGTCAGGCCATCTGCACGCAAGGCATTGAAGCTGTGATTCTCAGCTGCACCATGCCCCAATGCGTTCATGCCAGCGCCCCGCCAAAAACAGCAGTAGATCAGTGCGCAGGTACTTTTGCGCCTCCGTACAGGTTTACCCTACGTCCTAAACCTCCTGCTCGGAGGCCCCAAGGGCTGCCCACACGCCACAGACGATCTCGTGTGAGCCGCAGGTCACGTCATAGGCAGATATAGCCTGGTATCTCCGCATTCGTTATTAGCTACAGTCCTACCAGACGGAAATACTTAGAAGTTTACGTCAAACTCAATGGAAAATGAGACGCTCATTTGTTCCAGCTACCCCCAGCAGTGCAGCACACTATGCCCCGAGGGCTGGTATGCAGTGTGTCCATGGTCACGAGTTCTCCAGCACCAAAAGCCGCCCGGGCCTGTTGCCAAGTGAACTAGTTTATCCATCCGACCCAATGTATTTACTCAGCATCTGACAGCGCGTGCTGGCCCTCCGGCTCCAGGCAGGCCAGTGACTGGCATCGTTCAAACCCGTCTCCACCTGCATCACTGCATGCCCATGCCTGCCGTAACAAACAATCAGCCATCCAACCATGAATACATGTAACAAGAGAGGCGTTCCAAACAAGTAACCACATACATGCAGCATAGTCCACGACAGTGTGACAGAACGAGGTAGAACCCCTTAAGGCCCGAGGTCCTTGTCAATCTTCTTGACAAGCTTCAGCAAGCCGTCGTAGTTGAAGGGAACCTCCGGCTGCGACGGGTCCCAGTACAGCCTCCGGAACATCAGGTCCAGGAACATCTCCAACTTCACATGCAGCGGCCGCGTCTTGGGCGTGTTGAAGCCCGCGGATCCGCGCGGCCGGAAGATGTCCAACGATGTGACTGGTGCATTACCGCCATCACCGGCGCCGTCCCCGCCTCCGCCGCCGCCAGGGTTCTTGCTGTCCATAGTGCCGCCCTCCATGCGCTCCTTGTCCAGCGCCCACTCCAGGACGCTGGTGTACCCAGCAACCTCCAGGTCTGCGGAGGAGGGAAGCGCCTTAATGTCCGCTACACGGCCGATAGCCTCCAGGAAGTCCGTGAAGGAGAGGCAGGTATAGCGCGCAAAGTCCTTGATCTCGTCGATGACGAACATACGAGCCCACAGGAAAGCCAGCGCCGCGTCCTGCGAGGTGAAAGGCGAGGTGAGGGACGAAGTGTCAGTAAGGCGCATCTCATGCAAGTGTGGGGTCCGCTTGACGGGCAAAACAACACTAGGACTGCAAGTTCGGCAACCATTACCGACGTTACGACTTCAGTCTGTACTCTACACCTACGTTATACTCTACACCTACGTAACCGCATGTGGGTATGGGTCAGACGATGCTCGCGCACGCTGTTTGCTCTTCTTTTCTTTCCACCCTCCTTCTGTGCTCACCTGCAGCGTGAACTGTCCGTCCACCAGGTGCGCGTCCTGCATGAACTGCAGCCAGCCGTCCAGCTTGAGCACCTTGGGGCGCAGGCCGCCGCCCACCGGCTTGAGGCGGTAGCGGCTGTAGAGCGCCTTGAGCATGACGCTGTGCTTCTTGAACACCAGGTCCACCTAAGGTAGGGCACGGGTGGCGAGAGGATAATATTGCGTGAGGATTCCGAAGCTACATGGGAGTTTGGGACAGAATTTTAGCTGGATTGCGACAATTGAATGCTGGAGTATACTGGGCATCTGCATCTGCGTATGCTAGTGGCCGGAGCTAACAGACAGATGCCGCACCCACCTCCTCGTTGTAGAGGCGATCCGTACGGAAGGTATTGGAGTTGAGCACCGCGCCGGGTACCAGGTTGGGGATAATGTTCTTCTCGATCAGCATGCCCACAGCGGTTGCCAGGTCGTCCGTGGCCTGGCCCTTGCCGTACTTGGCAATGGCTGTATTGGTTGCCGTACATGCATGCGCGCAGCGAGAAAAGCGGGGAGAAAAGGCGAGACGAAGGTTAGAAGCAAGCGGAAGGAGGAGGTGCAAAGAGGCAGGGCCACAGCTGAATCGGTGAGCTTTGACGTGTGAAAGCGGCTTGACACCGCCAACTATCCAACGTTATTGTGCTATATAGATCCCCCTCGGTCTGCTGCTGACTGTGTAGTAGGTCTAGCCTGCCCCCCAAAGGTAAAACACATACATACCTAATACCCTTCTACTTACCCAGACGCACGATGGCCTCCAGGAACTCGTAGCGCATCATGGCGTTCTCCATGTTGACCGCAGCCTCGGCGCTCTTCTTGTCCGGCTGTCAGGAAGCAAAGGCACACGAATAGAGCACTGGGGCATCTCAGCACCGTACAATCAATGATACCGGTACAACTAGTGCGCACTAGCTAGCTACTATACCAGGCCAAGCGACGCATGGAGTTTAATCTCTTAGCAAGCACGAGGCGCGGCCTCACTGTCGCCTGGAGTCCGTACGTGTAACATTCATGAAAGCATAAGCGCACCTGGAAGTTGCAAACGATGAAGATGGTATCGCAATCTGAGCGCTTGCAGTACTGCGACTCTGGGTCAGCAATCTGACAGTCATCCAGGAAGGTGGTGAAGGCGTTGAGCGACATGTGGTAGGGGTCGCCGGTGCCGCCCGCCGCGTAGTACACGTAGGCCCCGAACACCTGCGCCCAGTAGCGCAGCAGCACTTCGTGCACCTCCTTGATGGCCACCTTCTCGTCCTTGCCCTCCTTGTTGCTCTTGTTCTCGCGCGACATCATGCTCGTGAACTTCTCCTTCGAGCAGGCGCGCTGCCAGTCGCGCTCGAACATGCGCTCCTCAACCTGCGAGCATCCAGAGCGGCAGTAGCGGAAAGCAGGGCAAGGCGTGTCTAGATTGAGCTTAAAGGCCTGGAAACGGAGGACCAGGGGTGTTTTAATTGAGGTATCAAAGCACAGTGTCAGCTAAGTTGCTTAGAGACCGCTTGTATTGTACCCCACACCTCAGGCAACCCCACCTGGTGCGAGTCGTAGAAGGCGCGCGCATCGCACTCCTTGACACGGTTCTTGAAGATGGATGACGGCAACGTCCACGGCTCGCGCTCCTCTTGCGGCTTGATCTCAATGTTCTCCACGCGTGTCGTGGTTTGTGTCTTGATGATCTTCTTGGCCTGGATCACAAGCTGCAGGTTGTCCTCGCGCAGGTCACCAAAGGCCTCCGCTATGAGCTGGTCGGGCCGCTTGACGGTGAGGGTGTGCATGGTGGGCAAGGGCACCAGCCGCGGCACGGGCTTGTAAGGGATGAAGGGCGGAGCGCTTCCGGGCGGCTTGGCGATGAGGTTGAGCACGTTGGCGAGCGGCATGGTTTGCTGCAGGGCCTGAGGCACTGTGGAAGGCCGCGGCGGCGGGATGACCGCCTCCACGCTGACCTCATCCAGCAGCGCGCCGCCGCTGTAGTACATGTGCGCGCGCTTGCCGTTTGGAAGTATGTACGACGGGAAGAGGCCCTCCGAGACCTTGGAGCCTTCCACGTGCTCGAACAGTGTAAGCGTGGGTCGCGCTGAGTCGTTATCCACAATGATCCGGTCTTCGAAGGTGATTACCTGACGTGGCCGCTTGGGCCCCAGGCACACCTTAAGCGGCACTGTTTGGCGGCCGGGACTGTTGCCGTCGCCACCAGCACCGTCGCCGTCAGTGTTAATGTCCATGCCCACACCGCCAAAGTGCGGCGAGTTCGCTGCCGCAATCTCAGCCGCTTTCCGCGCCGCCGTCGCCTGCAGAGCCTCTGGCGTCGCTTGCAGCACCGTCAGGCCAACGCGACCGTTGTCACGCTCCCGTGTCGAAGGCCGGTGCGGCGGTCCATCTGTCCAGGACACCGCAGACGGCGTCGGCTTGCCAAGGTCCGCGCTAAAGTCCCCTGCGAGGATGCTGGCCATGTTCGGCGGCGGCGGCGGCCCACGCCTACTGCCGGTCCTCCCCCCACCGCCGCTGCTGGTGCGTACCGGTACCTCGCCGTACGCGCCGCCGCTGGAGCTCGGCGGCTCTTCAATGACGCCGATGGACCCTGCCCGCAAGCTGCCCTCCTCATCCTCCAGGATAGACCCGGGCCCAGAGCCCATGCCGTCCTCTGGCGTAAGGCCCACGAGCTGCGTCGCTGCCACCAGCAGATCCTCCTGGTCTCGGGGCGGTAACGTGGACAGCAGCTTGGCAGCTGGCCGCGTGAGTGGCTTGTCCGATACAAGTTCCCGGTACTCTGAAACCACCGGCTCCCAGCGCTGCTTGCCCTGCCGCGCACGGTGCTCGGGCATTTCCTGCCAGAGGTGGCTGAGTGGCCGTGCCAAGAGTTTGTTCAAAGCCTTAAAGGATTCAGGCTCGTTGGGCAGCCAATCGCCGTTTTCGTCCCATAGCGGCTTGCGGTAGGTGTTGCGGGAGGAGGCGACGGTGCGGTCGTCGCCAGACGTGCCCGCGGCGGCGGCAGCGGCGGCTAAGGCGGTCGGACTGTTGGTTGAGGTGGCGACGGTGGACTTGCGGGCGAAGGGCACGTTGTTGCCCGCCTTTGGGAAGGAAGCACGCAAAAGGGAAGAGGAGCGTCGCTTATGGGGTAGGGTGGAAATTCCAGGGCATGCCATATGGCACGCGAAGGGTATGGGGCTTCGCTTGACAACAATTGAGCAGCGGTCTAGGCGGATGTTTGCGGGATTATGCAAGCACCTCGCGGCCAGTTATTTTAACACACCAAGAGCAATGCTGTATCTGACATGTAAGGATCCGAGTTTGGTGACAGCCACACTAACCTCAAGGTCGTGGAAGGTGTTGTCTATCCAGGTGAGGAAGCGGTACCGCGAGTCTGTAACCTGCACGTGCCGGATGCCCGACCCGCCGTCGCTATACTCCACACCCTCGCTAGCGTCGTCAGCGCCGGCACCGCCTGCAAGTCATAAGGGCAACCAGCAGCAGATCATCAATTAAACTGCAAGTTACGGTCCGCATCATTGGTCACGCACGGTGCTCCTGGTCAAAGCACCTGCGGGTGAACCCTGATGCCGCACACCCAGCACTCAGCTTGTCCACTTTTCGACAGGTTGATATCGCGCCCCCAGGGAACGTCCCATCGTTACGCCGACCCAGCCTTACTTCTCGTGCTATGTACGCTGCCAGCCCGCGTCAGCGTGGTGCCGCTCGTCCCAGCCGTGCCGTAGCGCTGCTGTGCTGCGTTTGCCTCAGGGCCACGCTCGCAGATGGGAGGGAACACCACCTTTGGCCGCACGCAGCCAGCGAGCACCGTGTCTACACCGTTGTTGATCACCTACAGAGATAGGCATGAGTGGTGACGAAAACGCAACCGCAGGCAACCAAGCGGCAGGAGTAGTTAATCCCTAAAACAAACATACGTACTGCATGCACCCAGCACTGCAGCCAGGATTCTTGCAGAGACACTTTACCCACCTGTCCGTTTGAGGTCATTTTGGCGCCTGGCGCTATCCGCCCGTTGCAGCTAATCGTGCTCCTCGCGGGAGCAGCGCCGCCGCCAGTCACACGCGAGGAGCTCGGCCCGGAGCCCAGCCCAGTGCCCCTGGCTGCGCTCCTGGGGGCGCCGCCGCCAGAGCTTGTTGCGGACACCGCGGGACCAATGGACATGGCACTCGGCGAGGGCGATACGGAGCGTGCACTGGGTATGGACGGCAGGAACGACGCCGCAGTGCGCGTCTCCTCATCCACATCAACCGCTGCCTCAATCACCTTATCCAGCGCGACGCTGCCCTTGAGCTCCGCCTTGTACATTCGCGTGCGGTTGTGCGGATGCTGCGAGATGTTCTGCAGGATTGCTGAGCAGAGGAACAGCAGCTGCTCCTCGCGCGCTAGCGAGTCTGCACTGGCTGCCGCAACCGGTGCACCGGGCCGTGTCGCGTTGATCTGAGCACGTAGCGCCACGACCCGGTTGTAGAACACGGTGTTGGTGCCCAGCAGCACCAGCAGGCCGCGCTTGGCAATGGGCACCTGGTTCGACCGCAACACGGACTGGTTCAGCAGCGCTGCCATCGCCACGAAGTAGATGTCCTGCACGGCTTCCAGGTTGTGCATGTCGCGTTCAAAAATTGCTGGATTCTCCTCGCCGTTCGGCATTGTTGCAGGAGGGGGGGCGGCGCCGTTGTTGCTTGCACGCAGGCTGGACGTGATGACACCCGGCGCGCCGAGCTCCTGGTACCGCCGATTGAGGCGCTTCATCAGCGAAATGAGCGCCTCCACAGCGCCCAGCGCGGATGCCACTGCCTTGGCCTCCCGCAGGAAGCCCTTTGGATCCGAGCAACCGTACGGCGCGGTGTACGTGATCCGCGCCAGGCCATGACAGCCACGGTACTCCATGAGCGGTACCTGCGTGTTCACAAGGCCCACCATCGCCGCAATGTATGGCACCACGCCGTCCGTGGGCTGGCCTCCCATTGTGAGGCCGGACACCTCAGCCGGCAGCCCATGCGGCATGAGGTGCGGCTCGCCGGGGCCAAAGGTAGGCAGGTTGGACCAGCGCTCCTGGAAGAACTCCAAGCAGCCAGCCGCGATCTCCCGCAGCGAGGGCGGCCACGAGGGGTTGTTGACCACAAGCAGCAGCTTCATGGCCACGCCGCGCTCCACCACGTGCCGCTCCATGTTGGGGTGCCGGCAGCAGGCGTTCCACAGGGTCAGCACGCCTGCATGGGCGATTGGTGAGGAGGGCACATGGTAACAATAATGGTCTGGAAGTAAAGGAGGCCGGCGCGGTGTACAGATGGGGCATGGGAGACCAGGGGGCTGCACCGCAAAACGGCAAAAGGATTCGGTGCGGGCAGCACGAACACTAGAGACTGACAGGTACGCGGTACCCAGCATGCGGTAGTCTACTGGTAGGCAAACCATTCCAGTTCAGAGCCAACCCATTCTCGTGGACTCACCTAGCTGCATGGACTTCCATGCTGCGCCCAGATGCATGCCCAGAATCTGCAGGAGGATGCGCAACGCGCGCTCCGTGTCAAGGTCCACGGTGCCGTCGGCCTCCGGAGCCCGCACATCCACCGTCCACCACGTCTTGCTGCGAGGGCGGGCCATAAGAGGAAGACGTAAGGGGTATGACAGCAAAGCGAGCAACAGCCAGGGAGCATGCGCATGGCACATGGCGCCCCCTGTAATCCCTACCGGCCCGCTCTCCTGGGCCTCAATAACACGTCCCACGCGCCAGCGCAGATGCCTTGATACGCCTTAGCACGTCTGGTAAGCATCAGCACAGAACGGGAACTCACTTGCGCGCGCCCTCCGGTGCTGATAGCCGGAAGACGTCCAGCTCACGGCGCTCGGGCATCCCGTCGTCATCCACCATGAACATGCAGATGGACGCCACCAGGAATTCAAACAGCTTGAGGACCGGCACGTCCGTGGCCTCGCCCACCTGTTAGGGAACAAGCAGCAAGCGTGCACGGAGTATCGTGAGAGGATTGGAGCAACCATCCCAACTGACTAGCAGCTCTGGGTTGAGAGTAATCCTAAGTACAATGTTGATTATGGTGTATATGACACCCCTGCCATCCAGTCCACATAACCCTAGCCTAGCAAATGGCCCCCAAATCTCAGTCCGTGCTGGTGCGTCAAGCTCGCCGACTTACATCATCTTGGTCTAGCATAGCCGGCAGCCAGGACTCGCCCACCGACACGAGCGTTTCCAGGCCCCAGTTGTCCTTGAGCTGCTTGTCGAACCGCTTCTCGAGCTGCGAGGCATATGCGCGGAGAGGACGGTCGTGACACACGATGACAACACATGTAACGCGTCAACTCGATGCGAGGATCGCCCAATGCCTTGATAGTGCACGCTGTTTGCTGGCTCACTAAGACAGGTTGTACCCAAGGCATGCATGAGGCATAAGAGCCTGGTTGGAACTTTATTGCCGGAGAGCCCTTGATAGACAGTTTCTTCCAACATGGTCAGCGCTCACCTGCTGCATGCGGCCCTTCATGGCCTCCGCCTTGCGCCGCACCCGGTCCGCCGACTCAGCACGTTTCAGCATCAGCGACGAGGGGAACGGCTTGTCGCGATTCTCGTAGAACCCGTCGGCGTCCGGCATGGCAGGCTGCCCCTTCGGGATGTACCGCAATTCTGAAGGTTCTTCTGCCACCGCGGGCTGTCCCGTACCATCCGGGTCCGGAGTTACCATGGGCGGTGTCGGCTCCGGGACCAACTGTGCACTGGCCTCCTGCGGCAAGGCACCGCCGGTCTCTGACGCGCCCCTTGCCGGAGGTTGCGAGCCCTCCCCAGCCGGTCCGTCCACGCCTTCCGCTCCTTCCGCCCCTGCTTCAGCTCCAGGCCCCGCTCCCGCCTCCGCAAGCTGGTCCAGCTGCTCGGTGTCTTCCATCGCCGCCGCGGCGGCGGCGTCAGCACCGTCAGCGCCGACGTCGCGACCTGAGTCGCCGCCTGCCGCCGTCGGTGAGGCGCCGCTGCCTGCCTGGCTCGCTTCCAGGTTCATGGAGGATTCCTCCTCGGGGGGAGGGGAGTCGCCTCCGCCTGTGGCCACCTGCCGAAGCTTGGCGGTCTTGGCGGCCACCTCATCGTTGATTTCGTGCAGCGTTATGGCATCGTTGAGCTTGTTGATCATGTTCTTGGCGAGCTGGTTGGCAGGCGAGGGGTTGAAGGAGGTGCCCAGAACCTGCGGCAGAAAGGAATTCCACATGATTTTTATACTACTTATGAGGGGCGTCTACACCTGCAAGGGTCCTGAAAAGCGTGCCGCAGTCTTCTCATTGCCTGTAACATCCTCCGATATATGCTTAGCCCCAGCGCGCTGCCATTTCCGCACACCAAGCGCATTAGCAACTGCAGCCGCAGCAGCGACTTCTATTCAGCAACATGCCGTACCTTGCGGTTGTTTCCGTTGCGCAGCAAGATCCACATGCCCGCCATGAGGAACTCAATCATCTCGCTGTTGTCGCTGTCCGTCAGCAGCGCCGCGTACATGGCCAGCTCCGCGGCGTCCACCGCGCCAGCCATAGTGGACAGGTACATGAGACCGATGGCGGCAGCCTGCAGTGCAGCATGCCAGCCGAGTGTTTAGCGCAATGCCAGGGGGTAGACATGTGAGGGCGCGCCTTGCTGCACGACCTGGAAGGGATCTCACACCGATCGGTATGTCAATCATATCAATCCGTAGCCCGCATTCAGCAAGTGTGGGGTCGCATCTCCCCCGCACCGCAACGACGAGTCCGCAACCCATTCACCTGCTGAATGATGCGGTCGCAGTCCGAATCCAGCACACTGCTCAGAGCAGCACGCAGCAGCGCTCCAAACGCGCCGAGGCCCAGCAGCTTTGCACGGAAAGGACCCGTCATGCAGTCATCCCCCTCCGCGCCGATGGGGTGGCATGCTAGGAACGCCACGCCCGCGCAAGCTGAGGCCTTGACATGCCCAGCCTGCTCAAAGTTCTGGGTTTCAATTGCGTCTAGCATGGCCATGAGGAAATTCAGGACGACATCGTCGGGGGAGTTCATGATGAGCATGGCGGCGTCGGGGTTGGCGGCCAGCGTGGCGAGGGAGGCTGTGATGCAGTGCGCAACGCGGGAGAGCGGCAGTGCCACGGTGTTGTAGCAGTCCATGCCCATGATGCCTGGCGATACGCAGGGAGCATTAGGAGGCAGAACACGTGGAGAGGTTAGGTTAAGAGCAAACAAGTTCCTTAAAGAAACGTGAAAAGACCCGACCCGCGCTGGCATGCCTGATCACCAACCATGGGTTTTTTTTATACTGCCGCCTTCCGTTCCCCTCCCTACGCACCCAGCTGCGCAATGTGTTCCATCTTCACTTGGATGGGGTCCATCATGACGCAGTAGTGCGCGCTGCCCCACATGGCCTGTGACGCTGCCTCCGCCAGCCGCACCCCAAGCTCCACATCAAAGTGAGGCGTGGCGGCGTCCTCCTCCCTGCGCATAGTGGTAACACGCGCGCAGATCCAAGGTGTTCTGGTAACAACACGCGTGCATCAGCTACCGGAACCTGGATTGTGCTTAACATTGCGGAGGAAGCAAGGCTTTTGACGCCGGCAGCTAGCAGTCGTGCTCTTGGCGTCCATTTAGTCAGGAATCCCCCGAAGCCAACTCTCGCCCATCCGCCAATCACAACTCCCATACCGGTACCACCCACGGTTTCTCTCCCTGACCAGGGTTACACCTCCCACGGTTTCTTTTCCCGATAACACGCAAGGGTTACACTCACGGTGAGAGGCGTCCGTAGAAGCGCTCCACTTCGTGCTTCAGCTTCTGCAGGGTGCTGCGTAGCAGCACAATGCAAGCTTCAAACATGAGCGGCGCCTCCCCGCGATCGCGAATGAGCTCCATGGCGTCATCGTCCAGCACCAGCGTCGCCAGCAGCGAGGCGGAGCAGAACTGGATCATGGCCTCGCCGGGGCCCTACGAGGGGAGAAAGGGAGAAGGTGAAGCGAAGCTTTATGTAAAGCAGGAGGCGAGGCTCCGGCCCCACTTCATGGGATCATGGGCATCTTAGCTCCTGAACGTACCTTGGGATTGAGCAGCATAATTACGTTCCGCAACGCGCCGCTGGCAATCAGGCTGCGCCGCGCCTCCGCGTCGCGCTGTACCATCGTGGTAAGCAGCTTGGACGCCGTCTCCCGCCGCGCTGCTGCCGCGTCGGGCGCATAGCCCTCCAAGTTCCTCGCCAGCGCAAACAGTGTGGCAAACTCCGGCTCCTGCGTCAGGTATGCTCGGCGGCAGTTGCGGTCGATCATCAACACGCTAAGCGCGCCCAGCAAAAAGGACTGGTAGCGGTTGCGCTGCGCCTCCGGCACCGCACCCGAGTGCTGCTTCCCGCTGCTGATGGATGAGGAGTCGTTATCCATGGCTGAGGACATGCCGGGGACCGGTGAGGCGCCGGAGACATTCGCCGTGGAGGATTCCTCCAGGATCACGGGCATCTTAAGCGATCGTTTGAGGTTGGACAACAGCAGCGAAACAATGTCCAGCTCCGCAAGCGCGCGACGGCTAAGGGCAGTGGTTGCGAGGCCCCATACGGCTGCTGCGGTGGTGGTGGCCACCTCTAGGTTGGGTGAGGACAGGCGGTTGAGCAGCGCTGCCAGGCGGTCCAGTCGAAAGTCCGCGTGGTGGTCTTTGTTTATGGAGAGCTCCCAGAACCCGTGAGCGCCCTCCGCCGCCAGCAGCGGGTCCTCTGCCTCGACCTGCGCAGGTATAAGCGGAGGAATGAGGTTGAAGTGGGTAGCACTGCTATCAGTGGCAACCTAACCGCTCCTGTGCGCAAGCTTCCCTGCAAGCGTTTGGCCTGTGACGTGCCTGCCCTTTAAATCGCAGCTTCTTGGAGGCCATGCGTCATGACATTGGCACACCAAGCCCGCAGCAGAGTAGCCATGCACGTCCTTTGGGCCCCATCCCAAGCCGCATATACGCACCTTGGCGTGGAGGTACGCTGTAAGCAGCTGCCTCCGCTTGCTAGCGGTCCATGGCTGCTCCGAGATCAACTGTCGAGGAAGGCCACGGAGGATTCCGGTACATGCGATGGCGTCACATTGCAGGAAAGGGCACGTACTCATCCAGGTTGTAGGGGTCTTTATGATGAACTGGGTAGCACGACGCCCCTCTGCATCCGTGCACACAAGGAGCCCCACCCTTCTCAGACACCGTATCTGCGCACCTCTTGCCACGCCTCGTCTGTGTTTATGATTGTGCGCTTCTGGCTGAAGTTGAGCTCCGGTTTGTCCTCACGGGCTGGGAGACGCTCGTCATAGTACGGGTTTTCTACCATGAGCGACAGATCCGTACCAGTGAACACGCCCGTTAGCTTGGTCGTGCGCTTGCCCGCCTCCTCCGTAACATCCACCTTGGTTTCGCCTGTACAGCGTATCCAAGCGCATACCATAATAAAAACCTTGTTGAAAGCCGTAACAACATTGACAGGGTTCATGCGCAACGGATCAGCTAAGCATGCGACCAAGGAGCTGTTGGCAGCGAGTACAATGGTGGGCATATAACGCAGAGGGCAACCTGTGTGCATGTCGTGGACAACGGAAGAAAACGTCGCTCACGTCCGCTGACGTGCGTCATTCCTGGTGTGCATCCGTCTCTCTGACGTACTGTTCACCCGAAATGCACACGCCCCCCCCCCCTTCCACGTCCTCAGGCGAGTCCCCTGCGCTTTAACTCGGTCTATGGTCGCAGCCAGTCTGCTCCCCATGCCCTGCCATGGGGATGCCGGTGCCCGGCTGGGCGTCGACAACTCTTTTGCACTATTATGTGCTTGATTCTAGTCTTCAAGCCACTACCACACAAGAATAGCCCGCCCGGTACGTTGATTCGCCTGGCGAAGGGTAACGAGCATGCAACTCACCAACTTGATCCCATTTCTGTGGGTCCTTTCCGAAGAAGCGTCCAGCTGAGTTCAGGAATTGGTTCAAGGTGTCATCACTGGACGGAATCACCGGCGCCCCAAGAAGAGCAATCTTCTTTACGGCCCCTTGGAGAAGCTTTTTAACCCGGCTTTTAACGATCGGCAGCTGAAGGACCTACAATAGCCAATTAGATGATACGACGTCGGCTAACAACGTCAGCTCGTCGCAATAAGGATGGCGAAACGGTCTTCATATATACGCACCTCATCGGAATCGTCCAGCCGCACATCAGCAATAAAATTGCCATCCATACTTGGTATAGCTTTGTGCAGGGCCTGACAGCCCTACAAGGGACTAGTATCCATTTGGGACACTCTTAAAGGCCTTAGAGAACATCCTTTCCTTTTAGGCAACCATATGCAATGTATATACAGCACAATCCTTAGCGATATAAACTGCTTAGAACAAACGGATTGCTCAAAGGCATACACTTACTCGCATGCGTCGTACCTGTACGCATGGATGTGAACAACTGTTTCAGACAGCTGACCCTGTCCTAAGCAGATGCTGGCAATACGCGCGCCAGGGGAAACCCAAATAACCATGCTACATTTGCTAGGAGCGCCCTTAAGGTTTGTAACATCCATTCACCTCCTGTCAACGCGAACACAGCAGTACGTTAACCTGAAGGTTGCATAGTTCGTCTTGTTTACCAGGGCATCTGTGACGTTGCGTTCAGCCTTTTACCCAGGGCAGTTCATGCTTGTCGGGGCTCGCGCATGCAGCTACTACGTTTGTCGTCACTGCGCAAAATGGGCCAGTTAGTGAATGCGGGAGTATTTTGATCACACGTCTAACACGCGAACTAACGGGTTCAACTCTCGCGTGCGAAGCGTAGCTGACAGTGCCAAGAGCATTGGGTAAGCCTGGCTGTCTCAGGCCTGGCTTTTAAACCTTAGCCGCGCCCCACACTGCTCCATAGCCTGCTCGTATGACCTCATACGCACGTTTATGCACGAAGGCGTCGTGAACCATGAAGTAACCCCAAGTGCCCCAAAGTTCCTCAACGGGGCTAGGTACCTGAGAAGTCTGAGCACGTCCACATGGTCCACGGGGCTCCCTATCGGCATAACACTCATGTGCCATTTGCCGTACAAAACGTGTTTTCCCTAATTATGTATGCATTTTTACTCTTGCCATGGCCCGACATGAGCACCCGCACGTGAAGAGCCTGGCGCATGGTGGCTGTCCCTACCTAAAACCTTCTTAGGGTTACCATTACCCTTATATGCTCTGTGACAAGGGTTGTGACCGTCCTGAACGCATAGACCCCTGGCGGTGGTTATCGGTACTAGGGCGTGCAACATCCAGAAGGCACAGAACCCCTGGCGGTGGTTATAGGTGCTAGGGCGTGCAACAGCCTCCAGAAACAGATACACAACCAGACTTATGCGCAGTTTGCCTAGCAATGCATCGGACAGACAGCCGGGGAGGCAAGACCTGGTAAGATGTGCCAAATTAGTGTCATCTTGCCCCATCCAGCACGAAGCCGTACATGGTGTAAAGGTAGCCGCAGTAGCCAACATGGAAATCCTCGTCGACCTACTTGTTTAACTTTTCTATAAAGGTCAACCCGACGCAGCTGCATGCGCAGCGTAGGCCACCGTGTAGAAAGTTAACAAGAGAGCAGTTGAGTGAAGCCCGTTACGGTGGAAAAGACACTTCCTAAAGGAAACCTAGGATTATACGTATAAACAATGATCTAGCACTGAGGCCGGACGAGCTTAGCAGACGAGGCGCGGAGAACACGAATGGCAATGTTATCGCTCAAGGTCTTTCACCCGGCTTCCGATAAGGCAGGTGGTTGACAAATCTTTCAATCAGTTCACTATTATTACTCGCCTTGTGAAAGTTGGCTTTCTGTCTTCTCGTATGCCACATCCCAGGTCCGGCAGGTGGAGTTCCACCCGGTGCTTCCGTGGATTGTGTCAGCAACCAAAAGCGATCATGTATGCGTATGGGATTGGCGCACCAAGCAGGTAGGAGGCTTGTGGAGTTCTTCCCTCCTGGTCGCGCTCCTCGCTGGTTAGGGCCTTGCAGGGCCCTGACCATCCGGGCCAGGGGCACCGTTAGTTCCTTTCCGTCACCGATCCTCATGTCGTCAGTTGGAGTTGACATACGCTCCTTTCGGCCCTCGGGTCTTGGCAACCATGTATACCAGCTCCCCGTCCGCTCAGCCTCTCTAGCCCCTCGTGCCCAGTCACTGCGTCTGCCCGCCCTTTGAGCCCATCACACTCGTTGTCTGGGCCGACAAGTCTTTGTCATCTACCCTGCCATTGAGCACGCCACCTTCCATTGCATTGGCTCAGAACTAGCCGAACCGCCATGCAACAACTGCATGCCGCCTACATTCCTTGTCCCTTACCAGGTGGTCTGGGAGGCCCAACTGGGCGGGTCGGATGACGACACCTGTGCAGACGCGGAGCTGGCACGCCTGCACCTGCGCGACCCAGCCTTCGCCCCCAATCCCTCGCTGCTGCACCCCATCCCCACGGGGTCCAAGCGCGAGCCCAGCGGCCATGTGCGCGATGTGCGCTTCCTGGACACGGACGTGGCGCAGGTGGGATGCGGGCTAATAGATGGGTCGGTGAGCCAGTGGGTCCCGGCCAGGGATACTTGTGAAGCCCGCGCCGTATGGGTGGCACGGCTTGTAAGTGGTAGCATGATGCTGTCATCTGCATGGGGGTCGGCTCAATCTTGGTTGTCATTGTTGCCTTCACCAGGCCATGACCGGCATTGCCCGGCGCGAACGTTACCCCCGTGTTCCATGCGTTTCCGGAGCAGGTGCATCTGGCATGGCAGCACGCCATGTCCGCAGGGTGTGGCAGCCCGCCGCCTCGTGCAGAGGAGATCCGGACGCTGCTCGGGCAAAGGTGCGGTGGGGCGGCCCCACATGAACGGGACCAGTCAAAGCGCATGGTCACCAACCATTAAACGCAATGCTAGACCAGTCCCTTAGCCGCTTAATGGCACGTACATAGCTTGTGGCCCTTTCTCCTCCTCCCGAACACGCCTCATCAGGCTGCTCGTGATCGCCTGTGAGGCGCGTGTGCTGGTGGTGAACCTGGCCAACCGCCGGGTGACGGAGCTGGGTCGCGCGCTGCTGGAGGGCAAGGCGCCCACCTCTTTGGCCTTCTTGCTCAGGTCAGGAGCGCCGGTGGGGCTTAACGGTGCGCACAACGGTCATGGCAATGGATTCAGCGGCGGCCCGGGCTACCATGGCCCGACGCACCAGGGAGGGCTGCTGGAGAGCCCGGTGCTGGCAGTGGGGTGCGCAGATGGCGTGGTGCGATGCTTGCAGCTGTACCCGGTAAAGGTGAGCATGGAGAAGGGGAGGGGGCGGGTGCTTGTTGGGGCCCGCTAGGGCTTGACGGCGGGCATCAGCGGCACCTTGTGGAAGCGCTTGCCTATCCTATGCGTATCGGAGGGATGCGTACTGGAAGTGCTTAGGGTCTTCCCTGTGGGTTTCTCTGTCAAATACTGAGTATGAATTCGACACTGTTTCCGCTGCCCCTGTTGCTTGGTTCAGCCGGTGGGTCGGCTGGTTTCGGCGCACAAGACCCCGGTGGTGGCGATGGCGGCGGTGGGACACCGGGGGCAGCGACTGGAGTCGCTGGTGGTGGGGCACCAGGTGGGGCCCGGGGAACGGGAGGCGGCGTGTTTGGGGTCGGCTGACAATGTTAAAGAAGGGAAAGGTTGTGGTGGAGGGTATAGTTAGAACGGCCCATGTCGCACCTCCACCCTTGGAGTGCAGTCCTGGCATCACAGCGATGCCTGCTGCACGCTGTGTGCATCTCCGGCAATCTAACGCCGCCTATCCTACCGATCTGTTACGTTCTGACAGGACTCGCGGTACTACATCTACTCGCTAAATTCGCTGTAACCCCTTCCCGCCTGCTCCTTCCCTCTCCTTGGCGCCGCCTTCCTCTCCCCACCCGTCCCTCCCCAGGGCGGCAGCGTAGCGCTGTACGAGCCGCTGTTCACAGGCGGCCGGTCCCCCGTCATGGTTGGCCCGGGCGAGTCCTCCGCGCCCCGTGCCGACGTAAAGGCACACGACCGGGAGCTGCTGCCCGGCTCGCTAGTGGCGGGGCCGCTGGCGGAGGACCCCGAGGAAACCAGGTGCCTGCTCTATACGGCAGGTACGGAGAGGGGGCGCGCGCAAGCGGCTAGGGGCTAGGAGGGCGGCAGGGTGCGTGGGACGGGTGTTCCGGCGTTCGTAGGGTAGGGTGGGGTATGAAAGCCTTGGCGTTTAATGCATCAATGAGGCTCCCGGTCGCGTGGCGTCTCTGTGTCAGCATGCTTGCTGGCTGGCTAACTTTGGCCGAATCGTCACGCTCCTGGGTACATACTCTTGGTTGCTCATCCACAGGTAGCGACCACCGCGTATGCGGCCTGGACCCCGCCTCCCTCAAGGTGCGCGATACGCAAGCAAGCACCACGCTGCTCCGCAAACTAGCCACCGCCTGTCCGATTGGCAAACCACCACACGACACCACAAACCGCGCTGTCTGGGTCCAGCAGTCCTTCTTCGAGTCCTCCCAACCAACACACCGCAACCCTACCACTAAAAACTCGCTAACCCACGAACTCCTTGCCGCTCTGTGCCGCTTGCAGGAGATCGCCAAGGTGAAGGTGGAGCGCGCCCCGCTGACCTGCATGGCCGCCTGGCCCCGCGGCTATGCTGCCAGCGGCGTGCACTGCATGCTGCTGGGCACGGAGGGCGGGCACCTGCTGCTGGCGCACCCGCCCAGCGGCTCCGTGAGGCTGGCGATGGAGCTGGAGGGAATTGTGCCGGCGGGTGAGAGGGTGGGGGCGGGGCTGCTGAAGGGAGCGGGGAGGCGCTTAGGATTGGGTAGCCTTTGAAAGGATGTAGGAGAGGCTCGGGAAGGTGGGGATAGGGTTTTCCCTGCTTCTGGCGGGTCGCAAGACGTGCGCGATTGGGGACCACTACTGAAGTCACAGGCGTCTATTTGGACATGTCTTGACAACACCCATGTGTCTTCCAGCGACATGCGTCTTTCACCCTGCACTGCAGGTCACAAGCGGGTCCCCAAGGTGTACGGCCTGCACGTGCACCCCACCATGCCCGGGCTGGTGGCTGTGGCCTCCAACACCGGAACTGCGGTGCTCACGCTGGCAGCCCCGCAGCCGCCACTGCCGGTGGCACCGCTGCCGCTGATGTCACCGGCGCAGGCGCTGCATGACGGCAGCAGCGGCGGCGCCGCGGCCTTCTTTGGCGGTGGCGGCGGCGGCGGTGGAGGGGGTGCGACGTATGTGACGGCAATGGGGCCCAAGGTGTTTTGCGTCACGGCGGAGGCATTGCCTAACCAGGTGGGCGGAGAATCTGTTGTGAGCGATGTACACGTGGCTGTGCGGGATGGCCAGAGGGAGACGATGAGGTTCAGGCGCATGAAGGGCTCGTGGCCAGGATGCGCGAACATTGTGTTCGAGTGGCATGCTCCCCCTCCCGTGTTCCTTACCTGCAACCCGCCACAGGCGCACGCGGAGTTTGCACCCAACCAGGTCGTCGGTAAACTGCAGGTAGGGCAGGGTACGTAGGTCGCAATCAATCATAGCTCGGTTTCCCGGCAATCCCAACCACAGCACCTCCTCGCTATCGCTGCCACCTCACAGCCGCATTGTGCCACGCCATTGCGCTCATCTGCCTCGCCTTGCGCTGCCATTCAACCCTAGGTAGCCACGGACACGCCGCCCGGCCGGGCGCTGCTGAGTGTGAGTGCGGACGGCAGCCATGTGGCGGTGTCCTGGCCTGGCGCCAGGCAGTACGCGGTGTACCGGCAGGGGGCCTCGGCGTGGAGCGAGTGAGTAGTGGGACGAGGGATGGGGGCGAGGATCGGATGAGGAGGCGGTGGAGGTTACAAGGATGACGAGTCATGCGAACGGGGTGAGGGCAGGAATTGCTAAAGGGCGGTTGTACCGGTGGTGGGTAAGGCAGAAAGTAATGTCCATTGTTCGCCAGTGGTCTCTCTCAGCTGTTATACCCATTCCTCCGCACCGCTGTTGGGTGCTTGCATGCAGAGTGGTACGCGGTCATGGAACCTCCGTCGCGTGGCACTGCTCTCGCTCCGTCTTCGCGGCCCTGGAGGAGGAGCCCCCGGCCGCACCCGCTCTCCCCGTCCTCGGTGGCAAGTCATTTAAGGACCAGAAGAAGGCGGAGAAGCAGGCGGAGGCGGCGCGCGCGGCAATGGAGGCTGCCGCTAAGGCCGCCGCCGCCACCGCCGCCGTACGGATAAGGGAGCTGCGTGGTGCTGACGGGGTTGGCGGCGGGCCGCTGGGCCCACCGGGTGGTACGCTAGATCTGCATGGCGACATGCCTTCGTTCGTACAAGGAGGGCCCCTGCTGGCGGTGACTGTACGGCGCTCTATCAAGTCGGAGTCTTTGGAGCTGTCGGCAGGAGGGCGGTGAGTACCATAGAGAGCCGCAGGCGTCGTAAAACGATGGCCCCGCGGTCCTAGGACTAGCCCTTGCGAGAACGGCCACCTGCCAAGCATCCTCTCTCAATGCCCCATAGCCTCTGTTCCTCAACCGTAGCTCCACTTCGCCCCGTCGCGCCTGTTCCCTCCGCCCACAGCCAGCCCCTGCTCTAAGCCCCGCCTCGCACCTACCCCCTTTCCGTACAGCGGCGGCGACGGCGCTCCTCACGCGCTGCACCTGTATGACTGGCTCAGCGGACGCCGAGTGGGTCCCGAGCTGCCGGAGCCGCTGCACATGGCGTGGGACCCCTCGCGAACCATGCTGGCGCTCGCATACCCCAGCCAGCTGCTGGTGCTCAGGTGGGAACGAACGGCGGTAATGACGGCTGCGGAAAACGATGGCGGTCAAGGGGTTAGCAGTAGGCAGGACAGTGATATGTACGAGTCTACTTGCTTGGTGCGCGTTAACGGATTGCTCACCCCGTCGCTGTGTTTGCAGGGTGCAACCGGATTTCCAGGTGGTCACCACCCTGCCCGTCTCCGCCACCCAGTCCCTGGAATGGGCAGCGCGTCAGCTCTACATCGCCACGCCCACCCACATCCTCTGTGCGCTGCTGGCACCCGCGGCGCCGCACGTGCCCACCCTCACCGCGACTAGCCTGGCGGCAGCGCCACCTTTAGCAGCGTCTGCCGCTGCTGCTGCCGCCGCTAATGCTGCCCCAGCACGGCTAATCGTGCTCGCGGGCCCGGGCGTGCAGACCGCCTGCACCTCCGGCGCTGCCGTACAGGAGGGGCTGCTGCCACCGCCGGCGGTTCGCCCACCGGGTCCGCTGACGCTGTTGGGCCCGCGTGACGCCTGCCTGTGGATGGTGGGGGTGATGGGGCAGCCGCTGGCGCTGGCGCTGGCACACCCCGGGCTGAGGTGCTGCTGCCTGGTGGCCTCGGGAGACCTGCAGGGTGGGTGGGGGCAGGGGGGCAAGGCGGGCGGGATGGGCAGACACAGGCTCTGTGGTCAACTGCGCACCGAGCTGCAGGAACCTCCAACACGGACTGCACAATCCCTGTCGTGTCAAAATCAACATCCTTTTCCCCACCTATATCTGCACGAAATCACACCGGCCCGCACCTTTTCTCCGGATGCTCGCTTCTCTGTAGGTGCGGTGACGCTGGCGGCTCGTGCGCTGGCTCCGGAGCTGCACGACCAGCTGGCGGCCCTCATGACCGACATGGACGGCCTGCGGGGCGCCGCCGCCGCCGCCACCCTGCCGGGCATCTCCCTCGCCACCGAGCTGCGGCTGCGCACGCTGATGCGGCACTGGCAGCAGGCGGTGGAGGCGGCGGAGGCGATGCTGCTGGGGTACAGCCGCCGGCCGCCGCCCGGGGGGTTTGCAAGCGCCGTGGCGGCGGCGGCGTTTGGCAGCGGCGCGGGGCGGGGAGTGGGCGGGGCGATGCTGGGAGACGAGTTCGTTGATGTGGGCGCGGCGGCTGGAGGCATGCCTGCGAGCGGTAAGAAAAATGGCGATAGGTCCCTTCACGGACGCTAGCCCTCACATGCGTGTGTGGCTCGTACTCAGATATTTTGCATCTCTGGCTTTCCTTGGATGCCTTGACACGCCTTCTGGTTCTCACCATCTCACGCACGCTTCCGCTCCGTGTCCCTGCCCGTCCACCGCAGCCCCAGCGCACCCTGAGGACCTAGACTGGACTCAGCCCCTGCGGGAAGCCAGCAGCAGCGCCAAGGCAGCCGCAGCAGCAACCGTGGCGGCGCGGGGCCCGGGGCACACGGCCGCCATAACCGTGGCGGCGCCCTGTGGGGGCGGCGGCGGTGCGCCGACTGCTGTCACGATCCAGCTTGTGCTCGGGCTGCTTGAGGACCTAATAGGGGCCGCGATGTACGACGTTGCGCGGCATCTGGCAAAGGCGTTGGTCGTTCATGCTGTGAACATGCCCGGGGAGCAGCTGCTGCGAGTGGCGGCGGTGATGGCACAGGTGGGTGGTTGCTGTAGGTGTGCAGGCAGGCCCCCAGACCTTGCTTTACATGTGTTCTGCATCTGCCGGTGCACCATTTTTTCGTTTCCGTCTTTACCAGCCACGCCAAGCAATGCTTCCTGCAGGCCTAACCGCTTAGGCTGGAACCTCTCTCTGTTGAGTCTTAGTTGAATGCGTGAGCCAGATGTCAACGTGACGGCTTTGGATCCGCTTTCACCAACCTCGCAGGCTGGCATGAAGACCGACCTACCAGCCCTCGCGCACTCTGTTTCCGCCGGCGGGGACAGCAGCAGCCGGGAGAGTGCAGCGTTGATGGCAGCGATGCTGTCGGGCCACACCGCGCTTGTGCAAGACAGCCTGCGGGAGGGCGGCGCGCAGCCGCTGGCGGCTCTGCAGGCGCGCGTGTACGGCCTGTCGGCGGCGGCGGAGAGCATGGCGGTGTGGCGGCGGCAGCTAGCGGCGGCGGCGCCGGGAGGCTCGTCGGCGGCGTTGGGCCGGCTTGACGTGGGAGTGGCAGGATAGATTGTATGGCAAGGAGAGCGTATGTAAGCAAGTTATAGGTTGAGCACAGGAGAGAGATTATGGGGAAGTGCTGGGAATGACATTCGTGCAGCACATGCGATTAAAGGGATGAGTTGCGGTAAGGTGGTGGAGGTACTTGTACAAGAGGAGCATACTTGGTGCCTATGGTCTAACGGGTGGAAAAAGAGGAAGACATTAACCGTTTGGCAATGCTGGTTGCTGTTTGCAAAATTTGGCGTGCAGCGTGGTTGCCGACCCGTGGGGTATTGCGTACAGGATTACTCGCATTTAATGACTTGTCCGCCTTTGCCAGTTGTGGCACGCCTACCCTTGGCTATTAAGCAGCAAATAATGTGGTCCGTGCGTTGCGCTCGCATCATGCTACAATGCGAGTGCCAGTCCTCCCATGGGTCCAAGGCCTTTCAGGGCAGCAGGTGTATCCATACCGGTAACAGCTGCAGCCCTCCAAACCGGAGGTCACCGAGACGTTAGACAGCTCCTATTGTGCAATTATCAGCAGCGGGTGCTATGCAGTCCCGTTTTTATGTCGGCATTCTATATGGGGTTCCTCGGTTTCGCATACTCCTGGATACACGGCCTGGCTGCCGTAGAAGATGTTTAGGCAGTACATGCATTGTAGAAACTTGAGACCTAGCTATTCGTTTTCTGGAGGGCAGCAGGAGCCTGTGGGCCGAGACCCAGCCAGCCTTGTGTCATCGTGTGTGGTATCCACAAGCGACCCCGTGGGACGCTCACCTGACTTCTGTCATGCAAGGAGTAAAACAGTTCTAAATAATGTAGTTCCTGTTATCCAACTACCAGGGTGCGCTTTTTGCTCTCTTTCGGCGTTTCTCTAGGGTGGCGTTGACCAAAGTCAACGGAGCGTTCTTCGGATAAAAGTAATGACTGCAACTGCAGGCCTTTATATGACTCAATATGAAGCGCCCTTTACAAGTCTGAGGTGAGTGGTCGTGGTATTCCGGTCCCTACGGGGATACTGGCATCCAACCTCTCTTCCTGTGCCTCAGGGTTGAGCTCCTTGAGCATAAATATGTTAGTGACATGCATTGGGCCTAAAGGCACTGTCAACGTTGGCTGACAAGGCTTGATTATGGGCGTCCAGTAACTGGACGAGCATCGTGCAAACGCAAGGCATGGCATTGTGCTTGCGCCACCATAGCCCGACTTTGCATAATATACATATAGACAATTTAAGGGAAATAGCTTAAGCATTGACAAATGACTATCGACTCTGCTAGGACCATTACCTGAGCGAACGTCAGCTAGCGCCCGGAGCGTAAATTGCCACCGTGGCGCACCTTCAAGAACTATCCGGCCTGGTCGCTTTGAATTGTCCTGAAGGTTGCACTTCCTTTACGCTGGTGGGAATGGGTGTAGCGTGGTCGTCAAGACCATGGACTGCGAAACTATAGCTTCTTAGCGAAATGCCCCGTTAGAGCAGAAAACGTATGTTACGGCTTATCTGGTTCTACTTTGTCGCAGGATAAAGGTAGACCGAAAGCCTGTAGCCGGGCTTCTGGCGCCACATGGGCGGCCGGAAGAAAAGCGACGATGGCGACGATGGACTGCCTAAGATCAAGAAGCCAAACAACTTCTGGGCCCCCTTCAACACTTGGTGGCGTGAGCACCATGAGCGCACTGGAAACAGGGCAACTGTCCTCGAAATGCGCCAGTAAGACTTTGGTACAAAGCAGCTTAGGTCTTTTAGACCCCAGCCGACAACTTGCCGAGCATGCCAAAGACACGCAAGCTAGTAATTGGGGTTGCCGTTAACCGCTCGCAGGTGGTATGCCCAAAACGCGCATACCGTCTGGCCACCGGATATGATGCCTTCTGTGGAAGATATGCTCAAGATTGCAAAGGGCCTGCGCACCATTAAACAGGTCCAAGCCTACTTCAGGTCATACAGGCGGAACCTCAAGACACGCAAGGTGAGGGACGGATGTTCTGTTTCGGGGAATCATTGCTACAAGGCAGGCACAGCTGACGCAATCCTTGCTCCCTCAACCCTCTATCCATTGCCTGCCCTTAGGAAGGGGACCCTCTCAGCCCGGACGGCGGCATCCGCAAAGCAGCTCCTCGTCGCCACCCTGGGACCTCCCGGGGCGTGGGAGGCATGCCGCCCGGCAGCTTCCTCGCTGCCGTGCACCAGGCGGCCCAGCTGCAGCAGCACCTGCAGTATCAGCCAGGAAGCGCAGGCCGACCGGGCTGCTCGGGAGCCACAACTCTTGGAACTCAGGACGCCCAGGATTCCCAAATGAGCTTGGACCAACAATCACAGCTGCAGTTCATGGAATGGGGCTTCGCCAGCGAAGCTGCCGCCGCAGCGGCAATGGAAGCGGTGGAGGCGGGAAGCGATGATGATGAAGCGCTTGCTGACAGCGACGGGGAGGGCGGGGTGCACACCAGCGTGCCGGGCGCCGAAATGGATACGCTTGGTGGCACAGGAGCCGCAGCCACTAGTGCTATGGGTGGCAGCCATGGAATTTCAGGCGGCAGCGGCCGGTTGGGTTCGTTGAGCCTTGCAGGTGTTACGCACGCTGGTAACGGTGGCGATGATGCAGCTGGAGGGCAGCTGCCGGCAGCGCAGCAGCCTTACTTCGACCAATGGGTGGCACCGCATGCACAACCGCACATGACGTTCTTGCCGCAAGCCATTGCTCATCGGATCGTCAAGTCGGTTCGGACGTCGGTTGGCGGCAGCCTATCCACTGCGCCAGTACGACAGTCTGAGAGCAGCGGCGGCGCAGCAGCGGCGGCGGCCGCCGCTGCGGTTTTCAACTCGGTCGGCGGTGGTGCTGCTGGCCCTGGAATGCAGGCTGTGACGTGCCGTCGTACACGCGTCGCACGCACGTCTGCCGGTGGTGTGTGGCAGCAGGAGGTGGTCGAGCAGCTAGAAGTGGGTGTGACGCCTACATCGCCCTTGCCGTACGGGCTGGCCCCGCTTGCTCCTTATCCAGGCATGCCACTACCAGGGCATGAGGATGCAGGCTTCCCAGGTGCGCCTCACATGCCTTCAACGGATGCGATCGCCTGGTCTGGGCGCAGCTGCATGAGCGCTGGCTGCGCGGATGGCGCTAACTGTGCAGGTGGCTCTGTCGCTAGTGGTAGTGCTGCACCCATGGCTGACAGTGTGGCCGGCGCAATGCAACATGTCCCAGCGCAACGCAAGCAGCTGCGTTGCATTGATCGTGGCTTGGTAAGCGTGGACGGCGGCGAGTTGCCAGAGCAAGCGCTGCCCACAGGCGTACATGGCACCGGAAGCGGCGGCGGCAGTGGGCCTCAGCTAATGTTATCGCAGCAGCAGCCGGACAGTCCTCCAGCAGCGGCAGCAGGAGCTTCCGAGCCCGGTCCATTGATGGCCAACGGAGCCAGACGACTGGTGCAATCTTACGGCGGCCATTACCCTGGCTACCCAGCAAGTGGACTGCGGCCTAAGGTGCCGTACAGTGCATCAGGGATGGCGTACAGCGACGGTGGCGGCTCGGCATACGGCGCGCCTTTGCCGCCGCACCCTCATGCGCACATGGCGGCGGGCTACCGTGGTCCCGCTGGAGCATACGGCGGCATGCCCGTCGCATGGCCGCACCACCACCCGCATGCCGCGCCACCCCCGCATCACCATCCTGCCTACATGCCGTACCACATGTATGGCGGCTACCGCCACCCGCACATGGCCTACTCGCACGTGCCGCCGTACGGATACGCGCCGCACCCAGCACCGGCCGGCTACTCCTCCATGCCGCCATCCTACCATGTGCCCATGCCGTACCATCCGTACGGCATGCCCATGCATGCATACGGGCAATATTACCCCGCCGAGGTGGCCGCTGCGGGTGCTGACCCTGCTGGACCTGTTATGGCGGCGACGGCTCCTGCTGCGGCCAACCAATTGCCCGAAAGGCCCGTGGCCTCCATGCCTCGTCCGCAAGAGCAACAACCCATGCGGCCGCAGCAGCAACAGCATCCTCAGCAGACCCAGCAACCGCGACCAGCTCAGGTGCCGCAGTCGCAGGCCCAGAATACTCAACCGGCAGCTGCCGCCGCAGCCGGCGGTGGAATCGGCAGCGGCTCGGGTCCCGTTGCAAGCATGGGCGCTCCCTCAAACTTCGTCCGCCCCGCACCACAGCCGCTGCAGCTGTCGGAGTTGCCTCCCGAAGGATGCGGCATGCTGCTGGGAGGCACCCTGGACTCGCTGAGCCCGTCCACCCTGAACGGCCTATCAGGACTGTCTGGATTGGTGCTGGCGGAGAGCGATGCCGAGGGAGAGGAAGCGGCCAGCGCTGCGGGTGAGGTGCCAAAACCAGCGCAGCACCAACAGCTCCAGGATGAGGGGCATGCGGTCGGCGCTGTTGCCGACGCCAGTCGTGCAGGCCACTCGCCTGCTGGGGAGGCACGCTTGGAAGCTCAGACATGCGGTCCGGAGGAGCAGGTGACGGGGCTGTGCCGCAGTGCACATGGTGCGGAGAGCTTGCAAGACGTCCATATGGATGAGCCCCGAGGAGCTGTGGTAGCAGGGATTACGGCGGCAGCAGTTACTCAGCGGCAAGAGCAAGCGGAGGCCCCGTCGTCGCACGTACCAATTTCCGCATGCGTACCCCAAGTAGCAATGGAGGTGAAGGAGGATGCAAACATGGAAGATAAGCCTCGTGTGGGGCCGGTGCTACATCCGCAGCCGAGCAACACTGAAGGTCCTGCTGCCATGGAGGCGGCCTTCGGTGGCCCTTTCATGCCCCCCTCGCCTGCTGAGGATGCCACCGTCATTATCACCACCACCTCCCGGCATGCCGGCGCCTTCAGGGGCACCGGAGCGGCGGCCACAGCAGATGCGCCCGGCCAGCTCCTCGCTTCCTTCTCAGCCACTGGCTCCTTTGACGTCTCTGATCTTGCGTCCCTACCAACACCCCGCAGCAGCTGTGGCGGGGTTGCCTGCCCCGGTGGTGGCGGTGGCGGCGACAGCTGCACCATTTCCTTTCCAGGCAGCACCACAGTCAGCGAAGGCGGAGGCGCGGAAGGCACTGCCAACGTGTACTTCAAGACGCCCAAAGTCGCTGCCGTGGTCAAACTCGAGTGCGACCAGGCAACCTACGGCAACCCAGCCACCTCTTCCGATGCAACCCTTCCGCACCCCTACCAGTCTGCTCAGCACCAGGCACTTTACGCCCAGCAGCAAGGCCTTCAGCAGTCGCAGCAGCCACGGCTCCGTCACGACCTAGGAGCCTCAGATGGGGCGGCTGCGGCAGCTGCAGCGGCAGCAGAGGTGCAGGCAGAAGGGCCTCACAAGCCCCGGTACCGCAAGAGTGGTGGCGGCGGCGGTGCCCCGGTTCCCGTGACAGTTCACGTGCTGCAGGAGGAGGTACTGCTGATGCCGCATCTGGCGTCCCTTGGCTCGCTCGGGGACATTGCGGCGCTGCACAGCCCCTCGGGTAGCTTGAGCCTGGGTCTGCTGGAGCAGCAGGTGGAGGATGGCGGGGTGGACTTGGGTATGTGGGGCTCCTGTGCGCAATGAGGGAAGGGTGGAGGAAAGGTGGGGGCAAGGCGGTAGACGGCAGCGCGATTGGCGTGAGGACTGAGTGAAGGCTGGCTTTGAGGGTGTGTCATAGGTGGTGACACTATGTAGTCTGACGCGCTGGCAAGCGCAATCGAATCTTCCTTGTATGCGCCCATTTGTTTGCTTGAGTTCAAGTGTTACATGCCGGGATCGCCTTTTCGTCTTGAATCTATGTCGCCATTGTGCTCGTGAATAAGGGGCAATTAAGGCGGTTCTATGTACGTGTTGCGCCTTTCTCTAGAGATTTGTCGTACTGGGCGCTTGCGACAGGCGCAAACTTGGCGTTGCGTTTGCACTACCGTTCTCTGTTTTTCACATTCTTGCTTAGTCGCCATTCTCCTACCCTACTTATCTTTACCTACCGAGGTTTCACGTTTACCGAACGCGTCAATCTCAGTATTCATGCCCCATGCTGCTGATTTCGCCATGGGCTGATTGATCTGGTGACCTACCTACCACGTCAACTGATGATAGTTGCATGTAGCCGTTAGCCTAAGTATGTATCACTTGCCAAGCACCGCAGATGAGACTGGGCCCTGATTGATCGTATTAGGTCTGCCGGTGCGGGTGATATCAATTGGTCATGGAGGGTGGCTTGTGGGTTGTGCGGTGATTAACGGACATGCGCAAAACCACGTTCCATGTGTTGGCCCTGTATGATGTGGTTGAAGTTTGGTTCAGGCGTGTGGATGTGGCCATTGAGCCGTGAGACAAACAACAGCATACATCGGCATGGGCGGGTCTGGTAGGGTTTGGACGAATCCGTGGTCACGCCATGGCAGGAGGGTAAAGGGCAATCGGGGGTTTTCAAACAAGGAGGATGCCAATGGGTTGCTCGTCCCTGCGTATTCTCAGCTGGAGGGTGCATGTGGTTTGGACTGAACTTGGAAGACCGACCGGAGACAGCACGTTCTATGTCTAGTGGGGAGGGGAAGATGGCCGTTAAAGGAGCTTTGATGCGTGTTAACTCATTTCGGTGCTTTGCAGCGTCATCCGCCACATTGTCTGTGATTGTCCATAGTTGCTGGCGGTGTTGCATACTCTCGTGATCCCATCCACGACACATTACGAACAATGACGTACCAACTGTACCACACTTTGCGTGTCAGGATCTTGTGACTGGCGGTTTGGCTGTCCGTTGACGAGGCTAGGCTTCGTGTGTAAAGCGACGATATCGTGTTAGTTGGGTGAGCTTAGTGTTTCATTACTGCCATTGCTAGGCATGATCGAGGATAGGGTTCATGACGACATGACTAATATTTGTCGTTCGACTGGCTTCACGCCTAAAGGCTAAGCAGCTTAATTTTGCGGCAAATACTTACTAAATTGTACATACTGTTCTTGTAAGTTACAACCTTCTATGCCTCGCAGCTGCTATAGATGTAGTGCAGCACGTTCACGTTTATTCGCTTCGCCCCGTCAAGGTGAAAACAACCGCCAGATAAATTAGGTATTCAGCGACTTCCTAGCTATAGGGCGAAGGTCACGCCAGACACCGGCTGGACGCGACTTGGGAGCGAGCACAATGTCCGCCGAGTCGGGCGGTTTGCCGCAGCAGCAGCGAGGCGCGCTTTTGGACTCGCCGGCCTCATTAAATTCTATCAAGCTGCACACTTCTCCATGCAGCGATGTGCTGCGGTGCAGCCTCGATTCGCCGAATTCGTTGCAGGTTGGTGTAAGTTGCTTGAGGCGCTTGCTACGAGGCACGCCCGCAAGCCTGGTCGAAAGGCGCGTATTGATATGCATATTCTTTAAGTACCTTTGCGCCGTTAGCGGGAATGGTCGGCTGAATGCGATGTGACCCCACCAACCGCCAAGACACCCAATATGTATCACACGTGCGAACGGTCGAATCTGCCGCGCGAAACCTCTCTAACGCCTCGCCCCTTCAATCCGAATCCACAGCATTTGCTAATTCCGGCGACTACAATCAAAGGAAGGCCAGCCCAATTTCAAGACCTCATAACTGCCTGGGCGTCTTATACGATGAAGGACTCACCTCTCTTGGCGAACAAAACCAGTCCCCAAGATGGCGCATCTAAGGACGCATCCTCTCTCCTGGCTACCTCAATCGTTCCCCTTTACGGTCCCGATCGCATGCGGGCAGTCAAACTGCCCCCGCTGCAGGTCCCCAGCATCAGTGGCGGCATCGCCCATAGGGCGTTCGGCATCTCTGCAGCCGACGTTGCTGCAGGCAGTGACCCATGGGGCGGTGCCACAGGCTATCAGGATCACGACGATAACCAGCAGCCGGACTCAGTGACCGTGAGCTCCAACCGAGCGGCGAGTTACCTCCTGCCTGGCAGGCTTATGGTGCGGACTGAGTCCTCCCTGACCGGCCGAGTGCTGTCGTACACAGCTTCTGTGCGCTTCGGGGGCGTGGATGTTCCTGATTTGGAGCTCTACGTTGAGCGCAAGACCTGGAAGCGTGGCGATGTCAAGGCGGTGAGTGGGATGAAGGCATAGATGTGCGGTTCCGGGGCACGGTTATGGAAGTTCCTCTAGGGACCCATGCAGACGCACAGCTACCATGCCAAACCTGGTGACGCACCATACCAATAGCGCTAGTCGGACTTGCCCTAAGGAGCACTGCACCTTCCATCACCTGCCTGAGCGAATGCAACCTAGCCCCTACCGTAACACTAACCTCACGCACGTCTCCTGACCCGCCCGCCCTCTCACCACGCAGAAGTCCATCCTAAAGCGGCGGTCCCGCTCCCGCAACCGCTTCCGCACGCCTTCCTTTACCAGTATCACCACCGCCAGCCCCACCTCTACCATCAACCCAACGCGCCGGTCGCTCCTCCTTCGCTCCACGCCCACCGGAGAGACCCCCACGTCCCGCCTCTCCAGAAGCAGCAGCGGCCTCAAGCGCTCCTCCGCAGTGCGGCTCAGAGGCTATCAGCCGCCTTCTGACGACGAGGGAGGAGGTAGCGAACATGACGACGAGGAGCATGGCAGTAGCGGCGGCCGTAGCCGCGTCAGCCCCGATTCGCGCCCTTCGTCCGCCGAACAGCGTTTACAAGCCGTGCAGAAGGTCTATCGGGACAGGCTGCGTCAGCGGCAGTCCGCTCTCCGACAGCTGCACAAGCGTACCGGCAGTGAAACCGGTCGGCGCATCTCATTCTCCCCATCAGTGAAGAAACGCTGCAGCGATGCGGAGCGGGGCAAGGATGCCGCTGCTGCTGCCCTAACAGCCCCGGGAGCCGCAGACGCAGCAGTACATGTCATTGAGGCGACCGGCGCTGCGGCTGGCGGTGGAAGGGCTCAGCAGCGGTCGGGACATGGCTTACCGCCCGCAGCACCACACCTGCAGCTCCAGCAGCAGCAGGAGCACCGGCTGCCAGCGCTTCCCGACGCTGTTCCTGAGCATGGCAGGCCGGGGGCATGCGGGTTGTTGAGCGCCCTCATGGCCCTGTTTGGCAAGAGCTCCACAGCAACCTCAGCAGGGTCGACTTCCCCGGGGTCGTCGGCCCCATGCAGCCCCACTAACGCTCCGTCCACAGCCGGGCCTAACCAGGCAAGGAGCCACCGGGCGAGTGTGGACTCGGCCTTGTCCGCAGGTTCACCCACCACAGCCACAATGCGGCTGCGTGTCGTGGACAGCCATGTGGTCAACAAGCGGCGATTGATGCGCGTTAAGCCGTTCCTGTCGCCGCTGTCGCCGAAGGCGGCACATGACAGACCCATGGGTCAGCATCGCGGCGGGGCCTCCGATCCGGCCAGGATTCATGGAGCAAAGGCGGCAGCTGGGGATGGAAAACGGCTGGTTGAGGGGCTTCAAGCTGCAGCATCAGGGCAGGAGAGTCCGCTGGCAGCACGGTACTCAGCCCGGGCGGTTGGGGAAGCTGGGGAAGAGAGTGCTGCGACCTCGTCTCCATGCGTGCTGGGCGGCGAAAGGCGTGTACCTGTGGCTAGTGGCATGGGCAGTGACAGCAACAGCAGCAGTAGGCGTACGGCGGGGGGCGATGCGCAGTCGTACAACTCATCGCAGGCCCCAGCCATGGCCTCGCCTTCTCAGCAGTCCTTGGCATTGCATGGAAACTGTCCTGATGACAAGCGGTCTTCTGGAAAGGGAGATAAGCCCAGCCTTGGCGAGAAGATCGCGGCGTTCTTCACGCTTGACTTCCAACTAGCTGGGAGCAAGTCCCGGGGGGCTGCTGCTTCGAAGGAGCGTGGCGATGTCGGGACGAATGTCACAGCGTCTGCTAGCGATGTGACGGCGGCGGTGAATGCGCGGGATGGGGGCAACACTGGCGACGACAAGAGCAACAGCGGCGGTGGAGGCAGCGGCGGCGCAAGTCCTTCAGGAGCAGGGCCCGTTGTGGAAGGGACGCTGTTGCCTGCGGGTCGGAGGCTGACCCCCTCAGGCTCATGGCGGCTTACTCCGGCCGACATGGCGTGATGCATTGCTAGCGTTAATGGAGATGGGCCGAATGCTACGTGTAGGGGGGAGGGCAAAAGTTGGACGCAGTTTGTCGGTTGTTTGGCTTTCCTACCGCAAGGTTAGCGGGTGTCTGGGTTTCCTGTTTACTTGCCGTTAGCGGTTGCTTGGGTTGTGTTCCTGGTCGTTAGCGGTTACCCGAGAGTCCGAGAGCAAACAGTCCGCAATACCACTCGTTTCTCGGAGATATAGGGCATGTGGCAGGGAGCCCGGCATGTTTAGGCAGTTGCATCGTCTTAGAAACCTACAGTTTGTGTGTTTCGGATGATCGTGTCCTGCTGTGCTGAAGTATTCAACTGAATGTTTGGTTCCATCTTGCATTTGCGGGTCTCTGAAACCTCAGAAAGGGAGGGTTTGCCTTGCCACGTCCTGCCTAATAAATCAACTGGGCTGCTGGGGCCATGCTGTGGCATGTCATAGCGGTTCTCTGCTGCGACTTGGCTACTCGTAATGTATTGAGGACAAAAATAAATATTCCGCTCTCAATTAGAGCATGGCGCAAGAAGGAAAAGTGCTTGCTACGTCTCTTGTTTTCGTTTCTAAGATTATGGTGTACGTACGTCTTTTCCGTGAACTCTTAGGTTGTAGTGCGTATTCGAGCAGTTACACGGTGTATACAGAACCCTTCTGTTGGAACGAGTTGCAGTGATCGCGTGGTCTAGTTGTGCATGTTAACCCTCTCTCTCTATGCATGAAGTTACACTCCCCTTTTGGTGTGTCGGTTAGTGGGCCTAGTTGGGAGCAAGTTCATCCTTCAACGGATGAGGGCCCCTCTCTTTTGCATGAAGTCCTAATCCCTTTTTGGTGGGCCGGCTTGTACACCCGGCTTGTACATGGGCCCAGTTGTGAATGAGTCCTTGCTTTAGCGGGTGAAGGACCCCCGGTTATGCCTGGAGTTTTTAATATTCCCTTTTTGGCGAGCCGCTTTATGAACATGTCATCCTTTGGGCCTAGTGAATCTTCGGCGGATGAGGGTTTGGTTGCCCTAGGTTGCGAGAGTTGCGGAAGGTTGTCTCAAGGCAGCTAGGATCATCATGAGGAAGAGACCCCTGTGACGTGAGGGGCATACCGTGACGTGAGGGGCATAACGTGGCTTTGGTTACCTGATACCTGACAGATGGCAATGTAGACGGGACACGGGAGCCTACCTAGTTCCCTCTTCGACGTGGAAGGTGCGGCTGCCTAGCTGGTGATATCATTGATGCATACCGGTGCGCGCCTTATTGCCACTGGGTGCATGCAAGACGTAGGTCGTGTTCGATGCAAGGGTTACCGTGTGTACGGTTTAGGCTTGGTTGGGTGCGTGGAAGTAAACGTTTGTGTTGGATAGGTTGTTGGGCGCTGGTTCTGAGGTCGCAGGCGGTGCCCCGGGTGTAGGCTGCGTTGGGTGTGCCTGCACGCGCAGGAAGTGTGGGTTGGGCCATCTGTACGGAGCTCACGCGAGCCGTGTTGACGCGCCTTGCTGGTTCTGTGCATGCCTTTGGCCTACCGGTATTACTGACTGGAGGGTAAGCACTAGTCGTGCCTCAGGTCGCCAGACGCGGCACCAAGTAGCGGTGCCTCAGGAGGCAGCTATACTGCTGCTGTTTCGCTGGTGTGGCTCGAGTTGCGCTGTTATGTACCGTAGGTTGTTGCAATGCTTCATACCATCAGACGTCTCCAGTGAAATAAAGAGGCGTTGCGAGTCGTCACCATCATGATACCCCGACAATGAGAATGCTCGGAGCAGCCCGAGGGTTCACTTCTGTATTCCCTGCAACAAGGAGGGAGCTAGGTCCTGTAATATCGGCACCATTTAGCATCCAGACACGTCACAACACCTTTCCCTAAAAGTTCCAACCAATACCTTAAACCAGCACGCCTAAGCCCCTAAATCAGATTAAGCACCCTGACTGAGATGTCACACTCTTGCCTTACATCTTCACTCCTGCTTACGGAGGCAGCATCGTCACCTCTACGCTCACGTCCGCGTCAAGGCCGTCAAACTGGGCCGATACGTGAAGGCGTGACCCAGGGGTCAGCTCCACAGGCTTCCGCAGCAGGTACACTCCCTGAACGCTGGCACCCGGGCCACCGTCCGCCGCGGGAGCGGTGCTAACGCTCAGATTGCTGCTGCCAGAGGAGCCCTCCACACTCGCACCTCCATCGAGGTCGTAATCCATCCACAGCACAACGGCATGGCACACCGACCCATGGGTCGTAGTCAGCACCGCAGAGCCCTCCACATCGTCCAAATGCCCTCCGCAGTCCAAGCTCAGCAACTCCTGGCGGCCGCTCAGCTCCTCATACCCTCCTCCAGCCTGCCATACGCTGTACGGCAGGATTGGCAGCGGCTGCCGCTGGCTGCTGCCGCCGCCGGTACCATCCTCCTCGTCCTCCCCATCGTCGCCCCAGATGTCATCGTCATCGTCCTTGCCAGCTGCCGCGCTTCCTGATTTACCATCGCCTCCCTTGACTGAGCCGTCACCGCCGCTGGGCACCTCATCTGCTCCCACGACTCCCAGGACGGTGTTGGCCTCTGACAAGTCCAGCCCCTCAATGCGACCTGCGAGCACCAGCAAGGCCAGGACAAGAAGAAACGCCTCAGATGCCGGTACTGTTACCCAGCCCTGAATGCAGTCATAACGCTACCGGTATGTTAAGAACCGGACGACCCACCAGCAACGGATCCCAACCCACGCAAACCACGCAGACCCATGGGACCCCACCTACCCAGGGCACGGCGTGTCCGCCACAGCTCCGGCAACGCCGCTGCCACCGCCACCAGCCTCGCTCGCCGCGGGAAGGAAACCAGCTGCCGCCCACCTCCACCCACCCCGGCCACCGAGCCGCGGATCACGTCGTAGTCGCGCCAGAACTTGAGGTGCGCCCAGGGGACCAGCTGCTCGAACTCCGAAAAGTACGGCTCTGAAACCAGGACTAGAGGCCCTGGAGCGGATGACGTAGATGGCTCGGAGGCGGCGGCGGTGGAGGCGACGGTGGAAGGCCGTGTCGCAGCCAAGCGTTTAAAATAGCTGTCGGAGCGGATGGAGCGGATCTTGCCAGACACTCCGAGGCGGGAGGCCGCTGCCTTGAGCCAGTGGCCGGCTGCCACGTTGCTTTCCTGCGGAGTGACCCATGGGTCACGTTGGGGCGTAGCGTGTGGAGGCGCGGTTTGAGCACGCTTCCCCGTGCATGCAAACACAATAGCAGCATACTTGACTTCCCCTCTGGTTACAAACCCCCGCCCGCCCTTATCCCAAACGCCAAATTGGCGTTCACACCCACGCACTCCATCCCTTCCCACCTGTAGCAGTGTCACCGAGGAGACCGCAGGGTGTGTCGCCGCAAGCAGCCCCAGGGCCATGCTGCCATCCACCACCACCACCTCCGCGCCCGCATTGCCCCCGCTGCTGCTGCTGCTGCTACCGCTGACAGGTGCGGGCCCAGCCTCGGACAGCGCCGCTTGCAGAGCCGAACCAAAGGTAGTGAGACGGTTCGCGTCGCCCAACTGAAGCAGCGCCTGCATGGACACCAGAGCCAGCCAGATGGTTGTAGAGACGTAAGGACCGGACCAAGGGTCTTCTGCAAAACAGCTACCCGGTTATGAAGCCCTGGTATGCATGGGGCCCTGCAGCCGCCAACCGCCTACCTGCGGCCCCAGCCAGCTCAGCAGCGGCATCAGCTGCTGCCCCTCCGCCTCCGCCTGCAGCGCCGCTAGCACCTCCTTCGCGTTGCGGGGCGTCGCCCGCAGCCCGCCCTCCACGGCAGCTGCCGTTGCCGCCTCTGCTGCCGCAGCCGCCGGTGGTGCATCCGCCGCCCCATCCGCAACGGCTGCTGCGGACGCAGTTAGGCCGGGTGATGGCGGGCGCTGTGGCGGCAGCATCTTGGTGCGCATGTTAAGATCGTCGTGCTCGAAGCTCAGACGCAGCACGTCACCGCACAGCACGGCAGGTGCTTCATCCGCCAGCTGAGGGGCGTAAACAGGACATTAGAGCGCTTGAACCGGCAACGGAAATGGTTGGTTAGGACTGCTTTTTATCCATGTGCCGGTAGGGTGCAGCGTGCACCCTAACCAGGGCCCCGCACATGTTGCCCAGCGCTACCCCCCATGCTACCATGCATCTGCACAGATGCCCAGATCCCCCCCCATTCCCCAGTTGCTACCTACCTGCGCCCAGCATTGCTTCCAGTGGTCCCTCCAGCGCTGCTGCACCCCCTCCAGCGCCCCACCGTCCCCGCCCGCATCCACCCGCCCGCCCAACCAGCAAGGCGCAGTGCTCAGCAGCAACTGCTGCTGCTGCCGCTGCTGCTCCTGCTGCTGAGGGTGCAGATGGCCTAGGGACGCCCCGTCTTGGGCTGGGGAGGGTGACGGCTGCTGCTCTTGCTGAGGCTCCTGTCGTACTTCCCGCCCGGGTGCTGCTGCTGCTGCCGCCGGCCCAGTCGGCTGGAGCCGGAGGTCCTCAGGCGTCATGCCCAGCTGCCACCATAGCAGTACGGCATGTGCGGTGCCCTGCTGTACGACAGGGACCTGCAGCGTCGTACGGCGGCCTGAGGACGGCGGCGGGCGTAGCCAGTCGAAGTCAAAGACAAGGAAGGGCTCGCTGAGCGGTAGCAGCGGCGGGGCGGCGCCATCCGGCGATAGCTGCTGCTGTTGGGCTGCTAGGGGCGGTGATGACGACGATGACAGTGGCTCTCCTTGCTGTTGCTGTTGCGGGTCGCGATACAACAGGTCAACATGCATTTCCCGAACCTGCAGGGCAGGGCAGGACCGGACAGGATTGCCCGCAGAGGAGGGCAACACGGGCACCGGGGGTGTTTGCAAGTCACTAGACAACACGCCAGGAGGGCAGGTGGGAGACAAGGAAGCGTTGCTGCCCGACGTTTTCCACCTCCAACCATGAGGTTCAGGACAGAACGCACATTACAACCCAAGGCCTCCGGCAGGCCGATGTACGGCACACGCAGGGTACTACATAAGGCACGGCAATTACCTCGTACAGCTCATCTCCCTTGTAAGTGGTGGCGCGAGCTCGTGCGTCAAGCTCTCCAAGCACACCCAACACACGCGAGGCCGCTGCCTCGGCTCGACCGCTGCTGCTGGCGTCAGCTGCATCCCCATTCGACCAGGCGTTCTCGGTCGGGCTACCGTTGCTGCTGCTGGCAGCGGCGGATGAAGACGAGGTTGCGTCGGCCGTCCTGAGACCTACGTTTGGAATTGCCCCGGTCACAAGTGGTTGCAATGATACCGGTAACCGTGCACATGGAGTCAGGTGCGCGAGCAGCTTTGCCGTCCTGCAGCCAGTACGACCTGCCAACTGCTAACCGACTCACCGGTCATGTGGTGCATCAACGGACACTGGACGATCTGGCCGTACACTCGAGACGTGGCGGGGATGACGACACCGCCCTCCTGCGTGTCGATGTTTGAGGAGGGGTCATCACTCTTCAGCATCCTTACCGGTATGCACAAAACTGTATCACCCATAACCCCAGCCCACGCTAACCCACAGGAAATCGTGCTCACGTCCCCTGCGTACCCTGTATCTGGTTCCCTTAATCCTCACTCCTCAACCCCTCTTCAAGACACGTCTCCCTCACACCCTCACCACGCACACACCTTGAGCAGGTGCTGCACCGCGTGCCGCATGGTAGGTATCATGCCCTCCCCCAGCAGCTCAGAGTCAAAAATCTCCGTAACAATCACATCCGCACGCCCCGTCATGTCCGGCTCTGAAGAGCCCTCGCCCGCAGCCGCAGCCGCCAAGCGGGCACGAGCCCGAGCCATCGCAGCCGCATGTGCCGTATTGGCGGCGGCGGCGCTGCTGCCTTCCGTTGTTGCGGCGATGGATGAGGGCATTCGTACAACCATCTCGTCTGACCGTTTGTTGACGATGCGAACAACATTGTTGAGGCCGTTGGCAGCAACTACCCGACGTGCCAGGTTCTGCATGGGCGGGAACACCTCACACGCTACCACGGGAGCGCTCGGCGGTGCATCAGCACTCGGTGCGCTGGTCGCAGCTGTAGCACCGGCAGCAGCAGCAGCAGCGTCAAGGGCGGTGGTAGCGGCAGCAGCAGTAGCAGCTGCCTCGATGCCCAGTGCTCGCGCGGCCATCATGGCTAGGAGGCCGGTGCCCGTTCCAATGTCCAAGACGCGCACGGGCGGAACCGCACTGCTAATGCTGCTGCTGCTGCTGGCGGCGGCGGCTGTGTTCGCCGAGGGCGCAGGTGCCGTGTTTGGCTCGTTCACAGCAGCAGCTGCAGCGGTTGATAGAGTGGGAATGTTGCTAGGGGTCTGAGGCTGCGCGGCGGCGTTCTGCAGCTGCTTGGCTGGCAACACACGGCGGAGGGCGGCGTTGTATGCGACGTTGCGGCGACTGTCTGTGAGCATGTCTAGGTAGGAGGATGTGGCCACGAGGTCCGCGGAGGCATCGTCCTCATCGCCGAGACCTGTGAGGGAGAATGTGGAATGAGAGGATGTACGACAAGATGAGGACGAGCAAACATGGTAGCCGCATGGGGCAACTGGGTAGGCGGAGCTGAGGTGCGTTAGCCTCCCCTCATGGCGGATTTGACTTAGAAGTACAACGGCAGCACCACTAGGTATCACACAGTGTTACAGCGCTGGCAAAGGGCGGGTTACGGGGGGCACAGCGACTTCAGCTACGTGCCACGTTAACTGTCCGGGCGCTTCCCTCCAGAATACCCCATAACCCGGAGCCGCGCCCCCGGAGCCTCCGCCACACCTGGGTCATTCACAAGTACCCAGTCCGCCTCTCCAGTCAGTGGGTTGAGCTTTTGCACGAACATCCCTCTCGTCTGGATGAGCAAACGACTTGAGCGACTGGGGATTCGACTCGCATGCGCCGCGCTGACGGCGGCGGCAGAAGCTAGCGAAGCCTTAAGTGTGCGGCAACTATAACGACCAGCAAAGAGCATCACCCAACCCGAGATTGCGACAGGCCGTGATCGGTTGCTATGAAGGACGGACTCCGAAGACCATTACAGAGGCAAAAGAACGTTGGGACAATTACAACAAACGTCCTCGGGCCCCAAAGCAGTATAACCCTACACAATTTTCAGCGCATTTCGTCGGACTCAGATCTAGAAACTCTTGTGCCCTGTGATTCGGTTCGGCAGCGGTTGAGCACCGTACACCTAGTGCAGTTCCATCGAGTGTTCTAAATCCTGTGCGCGGATAGAGACAGTACCAATAGGAAGGCGATCGGCCTAGGAACTTGGAGTCATACTATATTATGGCATCGTCCGCCCCTCCTTCGTTGCCTGGAGAGTACATACGTCTTTATGACCTTCCCGCTCCATCAACACTACCCACAGAGCTACGTGGTAAAGTGCTTTTTACTAGGTCGGAATCCAAAGCTGTCGCTTTGTTTGGCATCTTTGCATCCGTCTTTTCCAGGAAAAGCAGACAAATAATTCCCGCATGTACGCACTGTACAGGAATAATTTTGTTCACGGGCAGCCTGGTGGCGGTGACAGCGGCTCAAAGCCTGGCCCAAGTGGTGGGCAACATGCCAGCGGCAATGAGCTGCTCAGGACCACTGGAAATGCAGGGGGCAGGGGAGCCGGGACGGGGTTCAACTTCTCGAAAGCACTGAAGGGGGCTCTCGATGGAGCCGGCTCCAGCGTTCACGGCCGGGGGGACGGCAAGTTTGCAGATGGGCGAGACTTCGCCGTCAGGTATGTCAACAGCACAAGTCAGGAGCGTCCCTCGAGAAATGCCAGTGCAATAGTAAATCGGCAGTGCTGAGGCGACCGTGAGGCAGAAGTGGCGTTCCTGAAAGACGCGCACCTAAGTCTCCCCACATAGCACATAGCACTCTTCCACTCTTGGGACCGAAAATAGTCAGTATGCACCATGCGCCTATGCCAGACTCGCCACCACTTAAACAGTCACAGAAACACCCGCAAAGCACTCCACACATTTCCTGACAACTGCAGTGATGCCCCGGGCGGACGAGCCAAGTTCGTACACCTGACGCCGGACGCACTGGCCCCTGACAACGCTGACAAAACGCTACAGGAGCTAGATCGGTTGCAGCAGCTTGCTAAGCCAGTCCCTAAGCCCTCCACCTCTTCCACGACAGCTGCCCCCACTGCACAGTCGCGGTCAACGCAGCTAAAGAACGCTGCGGCTCTGGCTGCGGCGGCGAAGGTACTGTATGACATAAGCGATGACGACGCGGCCACCACCAGCGGTACCTATACAGCTGCTGCCGCAAGTGCTGTTGCTGCTGGTCATGCAACACCCGCAGCAGCAGCCACGCCATCAGCTACTGCTGCGGCAACGGACACCGGAGCCTTACGAGTACCGGAGTACAGCTTGCGAGAAATTGCATCGTCAGACGGGCCCATGGGTCAGGGCCAAGCTGGATCCCAAGGCCAACTGGAGGTCTCGGTGCTGCTGCCGGACGTAGTGTCGCCGTCGGAGGTGGACGTATGGCTGGGTGGCAGCGGCTGCGAGCTCCAGGTGGCAGTGAGCGGCAAGTACCACTTGAAGGTACGTCGGGGATCCGCTGTGCATTTTGTCCCGCCGTTGTGCTAGACTACGGTCACCAAACCTGTGCTACATGTGCTCAATGTGACACACACCTACGGATTGCATTACTCATTCCCGCAGTTGGCTTTGCCATGCCGTGTGCTGGACGACACGTCGAAGGCGAAGTGGAGCAAGGTAAAGCGGCGCCTGACGCTGACGTTGACCAAGGATACTAGGGGGCGATGACTCACGGGCGGGGGCGGGCTTTGGGGGTGAGGGTCAGAGCAAGGACAGAGCGAGATTGCGTTCTGCAATTGAGCGCTTGTTGCATGTTGGTGGATGAGAGGCTGTCATTTGTGGGGAAATGGGCAGAAATGTTATCGGTCCAGCGTATGGATGGGAAATGTGATAATCACCTTGCTATGGCGCGGGGAAGGCGTTCCTCGATACGTTACAGTGTACTAAGAATGCCGCAACGTGATGAGGGTCGTTATGTTAACACCAGCAGAACGCAATGTGCGTGCACGCTGTGATGGTCCGTACGCCTTGTTGTCAGTAGCGCGCCCGTTGGCCACAGGCCAACTGAACCGCATGGTGCCCATCTTATTGCACGTCAACTGACAGACAAACCAAGTCTCGAAGAATTAAAACGTCCAAACACATCCGGTCTGACACATTGTTTCATAAGCCGAACCGCCTCATCCAACCACCAGATTCCGCCAAGCAGCGCTGTAAGCAGCGTCAAGGCATAATACACACAGAACACCTCACATACACACGACCCGTACGAAACCTCGACACTCCACCCGATTCCCGTTTAAGCAGAGTGCGCCCTGAAGACTGCGCACAAGCGCTTTGGCTCAAGGGTCGGAGACAACTACGCCGCCCGCCGCTGTGAGAAAGTTCGATAGCCAGTTTCATGGCCCACCAACCCAAAGCCTGTTCCGGCGCGCAAAAGAGACGCGCTGACGCAGGCGCCACATACACAACAAAATCTACACACCGAAATCAACCAAGCCCCATCCTGTCAACCCAAATATAGCTCGCGGCCAACCAGTATGCTGCTGCAGGTCGCGATCATCCACACATCCCACCGATACTTCACACCCACCGTCGCCCAGGAAGCCCAGAACCATACAAGGCAGGGTTCTTCATCATTCACGCTGCCGCAAATTGGCGGGCCACAAGGGCTGTCTACAACGCGACGACGGCCACAACATCGCAGCCGTCGACGACGCTCCTACGACCCCTTATGGGTAGCCGTACCCCAGGTCGAGAGCGTCGTTGACGAGCTTGGCCTGCTCCTGGGCATGCACCTGGCCGAAGCCAGTTGCGGTGGCGGCCATGGGCGGGCGGCCGGCGTACGGCATCCTGGGGGGTGGGGAAGCAATGGGAGACAGGCGTTAGCATCTCGTTTAGCGACGTGCAGACGTAACCAGCCATAAGGGAGTCCCGGTAGGCCTGTTAGCACTTTCCGGGTAAAGTTTCCTGACAGCCCCCGTACCAACCCTGTTTCCTCTTTCCCACACGAGCTGGCAAGAAAGACCCAAGTGCCTCACCTGCCCATCATTGGCCGGCCCTCCTCGCGCATGCACGTGTCGAAGCGCGGCTGCACGTGCAAGTAGGCGCCCATGTTCATGGGCTCCTCCTGGCACCACATGAACTGAGCGTTGGGGTAGCGGCGGACCTCGCGGCACACCAGGTCGAAGGGGAAGGGCGCCAGCTGCTCGACACGGACGATAGCGACCTGGCCCTCCTGTGGAAGGAGAAGGTAAACGCAGGAGGAAGACCGTCAGCAAAGGAGCATTCTAGGTGTTAAGGGAGATAGGCGGCAAGCAGCAAGGGACCTATGCGTGAGAGAAGTCGATCCTCAATTGATCCACAAATGGATTGCCGGCCCATGCAACGCACCTTGCCCTGCCTCTCGCGCTCGGCGTGCAGGTCGTAGAAGACCTTGCCCGAGCAGAAGACGACGCGCTTGACGTCGGGCTCCACAGGCGGGCGCGGACCGCGGTCCTTGGGCATGATGCCTGGAAGAACAGGGAACGGGAATGAAGGTAGAACAGGTTAGGGAAGAAGCCGTGCACTACATGCAGCAAACGGAACCAGCACAAGGGATAGGGAAGAGGTCTTCCGGGTGTCGTGTAACCACGGACTTCGGCTATCAACCAAACTCGCCAGGCCCCCCTATAGCACTCACCGGTGTCGTCCATGATGACACGCTTGAAGCGCACGCCCACAATGTTGGCATCGTCGGGCTGGTCGTCGAACTCGCGCAGGGGCGACTTGCACTGCGGGTGACGCAGCAGGTTCTTGGGGCTCATCACGATCAGCGGCTTGCGGAACTGGCGGTGAACCTGCACGGCAGTAAGGAAGGATGGGCGGGAGGAAGGTAAGCGCACGGGTAGCTACGACCAGGTGAGTCATGGGTGCAGGCCGGAAGCCTGGACACGGCAAGCACCAACTACACCGAGGCACGCAGCCACATAGTACAGGCGCGCACACGAACGTGAACCGAAGGCTTCCGAGCCCCTATAGCTCCCAAAGCTTCCTTACCTGGCGACGTAGCACGTGGAAGTAGTTGGCGGGGGTGGTGCAGTTGACCACCTGCCAGTTGGCACGCTGGATCTGGGTGCCCAGGTGGCCACCCGAGAACCACTGCGCCTCATCGTGGTGCGGCATGTCGTAGGGGTTCTCGTCGCACATCTGCAGGAAGCGCTCCAGGCGCGCGCTGCTGTGCTCGGGGCCCTGGCCGTCGTAGCCGTGGGGCAGCAGGCACACCAGGCCGCTCTGGCGCAGCCACTTGGCCTCACCCGACGACAGGAACTGGTCAAAGATGATCTGCGCGCCGTTGGAGAAGTCACCGAACTGCGCCTCCCACAGCACCAGGCTGTTGGGCGACTCCATGCTGTAGCCCAGCTCGAAGCCCAGCACACCGAACTCCGACAGGGAGGAGTTGCAGACGGTGAAGCTGTTGTTCGTCTGGCCGGGGAACACGTGGTTGAGCGGCACGTACTTGCTGCCGTCGCTCTGGTCGTGCAGCACGGCGTGGCGGTGGCTGAAGGTACCGCGCTCCACATCCTGGCCACTCAGGCGCACGTGGTTGCCCTCCGACAGCAGCGTGGCGAAAGCCAGCGCCTCGGCCATGGCCCAGTCCACACCATCCCCGCTCTCGACCATGGCGCGGCGCTGCTCGTACACCCTCTTGATCTGGCGGTGAGGGGTGAAGTCCTCGGGCAGAGCGGTGATGGCGCCACCCACGGAGCGCAGCAGCTCCATGGGCACACCCGTGTTCCGGATGCGAGAGAGCTGCGCGGGCGACATGAAGCCGTGCCAGTGGCTGGCCAGCCAGTCCTTCTTCTCGGGCTTGTAGTCCTTGGCGCCATCGAAAGCGGCGTTGAGGGTGGCCTGCACCTTGTCGTGCACGGCGCGGATCTCCTCCTGGGTGAAGGAGCCCTCCTTGAGCAGCTGCTCCGCGTACATCTCGTGGCTGTGCTTCTTGGCCTTGATCTTCTTGTACATGAGCGGCTGGGTGAACATGGGCTCGTCGATCTCGTTGTGGCCGTGCTTGCGGTAGCAAACCAGGTCGACCACCACATCGGACTTCCAGGCCTGAGGAAAAACGCGAGAGGAAGAGCGGGTGGATTCTCAGCACAGTATGGAGACGAAGAAGCATCCAAGCACAACGAGGTCCTTACGAAGTCCCACTTCATTTCCCCTCCCATCGGCCCGCAGCACCCATTCTCCCCCACCTGGCGCCATTCGGCCGCCAGCTGGCACACGCGCACGACGCTCTCCACATCATCGGCGTTGACGTGGAAGATGGGGCAGTTCAGGCTCTTGGCCACGTCCGTGCAGTAGGGCGAGGAGCGGCTGTCCTTGGGGTCGGTGGTGAAGGCGACCTGGTTGTTAACCACCAGGTGGATGGTGCCGCCCACGGTGTAGTCGGGCAGGCCGCTCATGTCCAGCGTCTCGTACACGATGCCCTGGCCGCTGAAGGCGCCATCACCGTGCAGCAGGATGGCCATGTTGTGGCTGCGCTCGTGGTCGTCGCTGCGGGGGATTGAAGGAAGGTTGGAAAGGAAGAGAGACTTGTTAAGATGGATCTTTGCCAAGATGTGAAAACCCCGTACTAAGCGAAAAACGGGATCATGAGCATGCCTGGAAGCGGATAAGGGTTCCGGCATACGACATATGTGGACATGACCGCAAGGGACTCTGCACCCGCTCCGCAACCAGCGTGCCAAGGGAACGTCCCGCTCCCCACCTGTAGTACTGCTTGGCGCGGGTCTTGCCCAGCACCACGGTGTTGACCGCCTCCAGATGCGAGGGGTTGGCCACCAGCGACAGGTGCACCATCTTGCCGTGCGAGGTGGGGCGGTTGTAGCTGGTACCCAGGTGGTACTTGACGTCACCGCTGCCGGTGTACTCACCATCGTGCGCGGCGGGCGACTTGCCGGCGAACTCGCTGAAGATCTGCGCCATGGGCTTGCGCACCACGTTGGCCAGCACGTTCAGACGGCCTGGGGGGTTGGAGTGGGCGGGGGCGGGGCAGAACAACGAGGGAGAGACAAAAAGCGTTACGTGGACGTTTCACGAGTGCTTTCCGTTTGACCCCTCCGTTCCAGCCACATGGTCAACGTTTCCTCGTTACCTCCATTCCCCCTGCGTACCGCGGTGGGGCATGCCGATCACGATGGACTGCACGCCCAGGTCGGCGGCGGTGTCGATGATGGTCTTCATGCCGGGAATGAGGCTCTCCGCGCCCTCCAGGCCGAAGCGCTTGGCAGCCGTGTACTTGTTGGCGAGGAAGGTCTCGAACATGTCCGACCAGGCCAGGCGGTCCAGCATGTGCAGCTTCTGGGCCTTGGTGAACGGCACCTGAGGGGAGACGCGGCAAGCAAGCAAAGGGGGAGCGTTTAGGCTTGGGAACGCAGAGAGGGGAGCAAGCAAAAGTGGTCTGCCCACAAGGGCACCTGACCATGGGACATGTGCACGGAATATGGTAGCTTTGTGAAAAGGCGCATGGCCAAAAAGTGGGCACGAGGCACCGATTTTAAGCAGGCCTTGCAACTTTGACAGCTATTGTGCATCAGGTGCAGAGAAGGCGCCGATCACGGCTCTCACCGCTTCGATGGTCTCAATGCGCTCACGGATCCAGTTGCACTTGTCGCGCTCCGGGATGTGCATGTACTGCAGGGAAGCGGGAGGCAGGGGCCAAGGGCTTTAGCGTAACAAGAGCGCACCAGAGGAGGATGGCAGCGCTATGGGTAGAACGACGAGCAGGAACATGCCGCTAGGGGTGAAATGAGCTGTTGGTATAGAACCTACAAACACGCTGTGAGCTGCTAAGAGGGTGTTTCGTGGCATGTCTGCACGTATTTTGGGGCGTGTGCAGACATGAGCAAGCAAGCGATAACGTTATATCCGGACTAACTGGATGTACTTGGTTCACTGCCACCGTACAGGCGCATGGCCACAACTTTGGCTGCCATGGCAACTGAACTTTCCATGGCAAACATGTCCACGCGCTGTGCTCTATAACTGACAGATAGGACAATACCGATACTGGTTCTGTAGGTTCTGGACGCCCCCAAATACTCGTGCTGCAACTGCCCCGCACGTGCAGATTTTAAGAAGCATCCGTGCCGGCCGACTGAGCTGCGCCTGTCCATGGGTTTGTCCCGTAGAGGATATGACATGCCAGGCGCCTACCTCGTAGCCAATGTTGTTGCAGTACGTCTCCTGCAGGCGGGTCAGCAGCTCCCGCAGAGTGCGGGTGGGGCGGCCCTCCGCGAGGAAACCTGCCTGGTTCCAGTTGCCCACGAAGAACCTGGTGTGGTAGGGAGTACACCCAGGAGGTGCGCTTAGATCAAGTGGAGTATGCGTGTGAAGTAGGGAGCTTACTAGACAGGGGGCGTCGTACTGGTTATGCTGGTGGTTAGCCCTGGAGTTGCCTGGTCTTCTCATATGCAGCGATGCATGCAAAGCTGCTTATGAGCACCCGAAAACTGGTACGTTAAGTTATCGCAAAGACCCGCCCATCCGAAACGACCGTTACTCACTCCCTATCCAGGTCAGTCTCCTTGAAGCCATAGAAGGCGGGATCAAGCTCAGGCGGGTGGGCATGGCCGCTAATGCCCAGCGGGTCCAGGTTAGCAGCGAAGTGCCCGAGGACCTACGAAAGCGTATTAAGCGTAAATAACGTTATATTATGAGCATGTCTATTCAAATAATGAAAAACTCGCAATCTTATTTCATACCTGGTAAGCACGAATCAGCAGCAGGAGCCGCATGCTCTCTTGAACCGTCTGCTGAGAAATGGCCGCAGCCGAGAATGGAGACATGTGCAGCTTGCCCTTCTCAAACGCGTCGAAAGCCTCGGCCATGGCCTCGCCCGTTACTCCCTGGTCCAGGTTGCGGAAGAACGCCTGCCAAGTCCGGTCCACCGAGGTTGGGTCCCGGTGGTACCGCTCCTCCAGCTCCTCAAGATACGTAATGCTGGTGCCCTCATTGAAGGAGTCCTTGAGCTTAGCAAGCGGGACCGCCTTAGGTTCCGCCGGATTGAGCGCGCTGGCAGTGGTGTGCAGACCTAGGCGGCTCCAGCGCAGTGAATAGATAAGCCCAGGGACACCTTCAGCCGCCGCGCGTCTAGCGGCGGCTGCGAGAGCCATGTTGCTGCCGGAACTAGTTCACTAGCTCCCGGAGGCTAAGCTACCCGTCGCAGAACCCGTAACGGAAACGGGGCACTATGTCGAGAGCTATAAACCTACTTTAAAGTGAAAGAGTTAAGTTCGACAGATGCTTGCAAGGTCCCAATGCGAAACGTACGGCATGACAGAGGCCATATCGATTCGCCGTATCGATACGCAATCAGCCATCAGCGCTTTCTGAGGATTACCGATGAACTTCGGGTCTTCACATCGGGGTAACACTGTAGGCTACAAGCGTGCATGGGGCTCTACATCACCGGCGTTCGGGTCAACGTTTGCGATTACGGCGGCGCAAACCTTGTAGATTTACTCCTAACTAGAATTGAAACATACGGTGTACAGTGTTTTTTGCATTCTTAACGTGTCCTCCTTGGCGCAAGCGTTAGAAGTACGGAAGATAGGTGTGAGATGACCGTCCTGAGCCTCCTGACCACCAATATCAGCCAGCCGGGAATACGATGCCACTCCTGGGGAAGCAAGGGTAATGCCACTAGGCATCCAGTGTGCTGAGCTTCCAGTGCAAATGAGTGTGCGGCGGGTTTGACCTTGAAAAGTGCTTGCCTATTATAATCAGCAGCTGATATCGCATGCAACGGGTTATCGTGCAAAAACCAGGGGGAGCCAGGGGGGAACAACAAGTGCTATGGCATTATGCTGTAAAACACCTGGGCTACAAAGCAAGTTATACCTGCAAATGCCACTGCATGACGCTACAGCAGAGTTGTATGCGCTGGGAAGCAAGGAGCAGAACGTGGGATGCATCATGCCATATAAGCAAGGGCTAGGGGTTCGAGTGGGATGCACTCGGGATCGCAGGCCCTGCCCACCGCATTGTGTTCTTGGAGACAAAATTGCTTCCTCCAGTACTAAAAGCAAAGCGCCCCTGCCAGAGTTGCTGCTGTGCTGCTGCGGCACACAGTGGGTGCGCTGCAGGGGCGAGGCCGGGGACGTGGGGAGTCGCATGGCCAGCAGCAGCCGCACCAGGTGCCGGAGATGGTGGAACCATTGTCGCTAGACCATGCATGTTGCTAAACCTTTGACCCGAACGAAGAAGGCTGAAGGTAGTGTTGTCTTTGTGTCGCTCAATGGCGCGGGCCACAGACGTGGTGTGCACATGGCTTGCAGTGTACCTAACGGGGAGTTGTATCGCAGGCAGGGCACCGGCGTGCGAGCAGAACGCCAACCCCCTCTCTCCCACACGCCGCCTATCCCGCAGCCGCCTCCACCCCATACCTACCTCTCCTTCCCGCACCCGCCCCCTACCTACCGTACCTCTCCTCTCCACACCCGCCCCACCTACCCACCCTCCTGCACCGGCCCCTTTTTACCCCTCCTTCCTGCACCCGGCCCCCACCTACCCCGCACCCGGCCCACCCCCCTGCACCCGGCCCCTACCTACCCGTCCTTCCCGCACCCACCCCTCACGCACCCGCCCCCCCGCCTACCTTTCCCCGCCTTCCTCCCCCACCTACCTTTCCCTGCTTCCTCCCCCACCTACCTTTCCCTGCTTCCTCCCCCACCTACCTCTCCCCGCCTTCCTCCCCCACCTATCTACCTTTCCCCGCCTTCCCCCCTTGTTTCCTCTTAACTCCCCAACCTAACACTTCCCGTCCGTTGAATCCCCTTCACATCTCTATCTATGGCTTTCCGTTCCCTTCTTCCCTTTCTTGCTATAGTAGTGACCCCCTTTTGTATGGCATAGGCTGCATCAAAATGGCTATATAGCTGTTGGCATAAACTGTTAAGGGGCTTCATTGTCTCGAAAGGCTGCCGGTAAAACTGTCACCGTACAATCTGGCTGCCGCTAACAACATCTGCGTACTCGCTGGCACATAAACGTACTAAGTATAAGTAAATTGGTATTTTGCAGTAGAAAAAGGCGATAGAGCATGGCGTCGCGAGGACTTATGGCCGGACTTTTGTTGCCGTATCCCCAGTAGCACTGTACGCCCAAACCCGGGGGGCCTAATGAAAGGTTACGGCAATGGAGTGATGACCAACGCAGAGGTATGTATAAGTAGCGAACGCAGACGCAATGAATGCCACAAACTTTACCTGGAGGTTCTAGGAAGCTAGATAGGTTAGTACCAATGGCACCAATTGCCACATAACGAGGACTCGCACATCTCGAAAACAGTACCCCAACTGTTCTGCTTTTATACATAAGTAGACTGACACTCGTTGTTCGTAAGCTAGGTAGCGTCACTGCCGGTGCGGACTCGGCGATTCCAATCGCTTGGCGACCCTACCACCAATAAGCGTAGACTTTAGCAAAACTACGCCCATCGTGTCGCCACCTAACACAATGCAATGCAGTGCGATAGCTAGCGACCCCCCTTGTGAGGCTTACGTCGTCAACCAGCTGCTAGCATAGCGCCCATGTCCAAGGCAACTTTCGCAGCAGAAGGACGCACCCTACATAAAGCCGTACACACTGCAACCATTCATACTTACGGCAGGACAAATACGCGCTGTACAATTGTTCACGCGCCGCCAACCCCACCAGTCCGTACAGTTAACCGTCCCTAACGGGTCCTACAACGGGTCCGGATAGCGCTCGTACGGGTTCAACCATCCATGCCGCAGCAACACACTACAACACGTCTTGGCGTTCTTAGTGCAGAACCTAGCCAAATGGCTCACACAAAAGTACTGCCTCTGACAAGCAATGCCAACGCGGCCCTCTGCTGTTGCAGCAGCAACCTATATATGCAGTACAATGCAAGCATCACATAATTAATCACCCTGCCGACTGAAACAAACACGTAACATGACATGAGTTCTCGCCAAGGGCAACGAACAGCCAGCTGATAAGGCCCCGAATGGTGGGAACCTCGTGGCAAGCCTGATGCTCTACACGGTTTGCCCCCTGCGATATCAGGAACCAATGCAAATACAACACCTGCAAGCCAGCCAATCTCACCCCGAAAGACAGCTAAACATCTGCAACAACGCCCAGTAACTCTACCAGCCTGGTCCATGGAGACGGAGCCGCGCATGAGAGGACATGCATCAGGGAAAGTTGAAATACGGAGAGCGGATGCCTGCGCCAACAACAACAGCCCTTCAACGGGCCTTCACAACAAAAGCAGCCCTTCATTTTACACGCATGCCGTCGCACAACACAAAACCCCATCAAACTTCAAAAGTTGTATTCGGTTGCGGCAATAATATTAGCTGCCCCAAGCTGCCCCAAGGAGCATGTCCTACACTCGACTAAAGCTGTACTCCCGCACGTCGGACAGCCGGATACGGCATTAAACCAACTGCGTCAGTATGAAGCAAACTTTTAACGCATCCCGCGCGCTGCTCTAGCTGCTTGCGCCCTGCCGTCCCCACCTCGCACCTCTAACCTTTCCGCTGGGCTTTCAGGACCGGGCACAGGGACTTATGGTACGGCCAGTGCTGCTTCTGGCAAGCAGCACCGCAGTACCTCACTGCCTTGCACCCCGCGCACTTGCACAGCCGCAACGCCCCCTCGCTGGGCCCCTCGAAATTGCCGCACCAAGGGTTGCAGCACGCCTTGAGCATGTCGGCAGCAGCCGGCTGGGGCCGCTCCTGCGCTCCCTGCTGTGGGTCCTCTAGCCCTGCGGCCTGCAGCGCCTGCCGACACCGGTGCTCCCGGATCGCCAGGTGGGACCCTGCCTCAGCGACCCCTGCCCCCGCCTGCTCCGCCAGTAGCAGCTCACGCAGGCAGCGCTGGCCGCACCTCCGCAAGGCCGCCCAGCGCTCCCCGCCTGGCTCCCGCACCGCCGCCGCGGACAGAGGGTCCTGCAGGCACCGCTGGCAGGCGCCCAGGCTGCGGAGGCCGGTGACGCGCGTGGACTGCAGCACACGCAGCACCTCCCCAAGCGTCACGCGCATCTGCAGGGCCGGGACCTCACCCGACGCGACCTCCTCATCCGCATCTTCCTCCTGCTGCTGCTGCCGCGATGCGCCCCTCCGCGCACTGGAATCCTCCTGGCCGCGTCCAGCCGCGCCGCCAGACCTGCTGCTTCCAGGTCGCTCGGCGTTGCCCCGGCGCCGAAGCCACTTGAGCACCAGCGGGGCCGTATCCTCCCGGGCTGCCAGGGTAGGCAGCGCCAGGCTGAGGCCAGCCACTGCGGCCTTCGCCAGCTCCACATCTGAAGATGCAGAGAGCTGCTCCACCACGGCAATTCTTGGGAACTGCTGCCTAAGCATCTGCATCCTTGCCTCCCGATGCAGCGTGTACTCGATATCGGCGTCCAGTGCCTTCAACCACGCAGCAAGCAGCTCACCGCAGCAGCACAGCAGCTCCTCAGGCTGCAACGACAGCACCTCTGGCAGGGGCATGTCGCTGGCGAGCAGGCAGACCAAGTAAGCAGGCGCGTGCGCAAGCACGTCAGGCAAGCACTCCTTCACCACCTCCTCCATCTGCTTGCGGCTGTGACCTATGTAGTCATCCCAACGCGCGTCTCGAAACATGCACACGTTCCTGGGCTGCCACAGCACCCGGTGCTCGTGCTCCAGACTCCGCACCAGCGCCAGCGCCGCTCGGAGCCACCCTCGCATGCAGAAAGTCGCTGCAGCCCGGACCCCCGGCCGGGCCGCGATGGCTGCCATGTCAGGCGATGATGGCGGCGGCACGGCCGGGCCAACGCTCTTGCACAGGCTGCCCAGCGTACGCAACGTCCGGGACAGCACAGCCCGCAGGACATGCAGGTCGCGGCGAACTTCCCCACTGCTGTAGGTACAGAAGCCCGCTGCTGTGGCCAGGGCAGTGGCCTCCTCCATCTTCGCAGCGGTGGTCCCGGCAAGCTTGGCAACGGACAGGTACAGGCCCAGATCCAGGCTGGGAGGCGGTGTAGGCTGCTGACCTGAGGCAGGCTGACTGCTGCTGCTGTTGCTACCGCCGACGGAGGCACTGCCGCTGGCCCCCGTGCCGCTTTGCGCCGCGGCCACTGCAGCGGAAGAGGAGATGGACGACGGTTCACCCAGCGGATGCTGGTGCTGCAGCAGCAGCAGTTGCGGGCCCAGGTTGCGTGTCACCTCGGATACCGCGGCCAGAGCAGTGTCGCACAGGACGGCTGGGTCGCTGTACGTTGCGAGGAGCCGGAGGGCGTGGTCTAGTGCGGGCAGCAAACCGGCGCGGGCAAGCCGGCGAGCCGCGTCCTGCTGCGCGTCCGAGCTCACTCCAGAGGTGCCTGTTGCGCGCCGGTAACGGAGGTGGGAGGTGAGCACTACGAGATACCGTAGATACGAGGCGACATACGATGTGAGCACTAAGAAATGCGGTGCAACCGTGTGCTGCACATCTTGCTAATTCGGCCGCAAAGCCTACATGCCGAGGGCGTGCTGTCGGTGCTAACAGTGCAGGAGTACATACCTGCTGACCTTGGATTAGGACTATGTCTACCAGTATCCAGAAGCACCTACAAACTTGCCCTATGACATCCAATATCCCTTTCAGGTGCCACGCCCCAGCTATACCATTTCGCGTGGCTTCGCTTGCCCGCGCCCCGCCTACCTTCAACCGGAAAGATGTTTGCCTGAACCTTGGTCGCTTCCACTAGGCGGTGCAGCCAGTGGTTGACATTCAAGTCCAGCTGTGTGGCGCGCTCCAGACCGGCACCCGCTTTCCCAGCCGCTCGCTGCTGCCGCTGCCCCGTCCGCCGCCCACCCGCACCCGCCCCACTCGCCTTGCCCAGTCGCTGCTGGTCCGACACCAGTTCCACAGAAGCCACCACCGCCCATGCCACCGCCTCCAGCTCTGTGGGCTTCGGATGCGCCTTAGGGCGGCCGTCCCTGTCCCTTCCAGTGGCAATGACAGCCAGCCGGTGCCTTCCAACGCAATCCAGGACGGGTATGAGGATCGCCTCCATTACCCGTATAGCGGCATCGGGAGCGGTGTCCTCGCTGCGCGCCTTGCTCAAGCGCACCGTGGCTTCCAGGGCGCCAGACAGCTGCGTGTCTAGGTCGGCGGGGAGCAGCGAGTGCAGCTGCGGCAGGCCGGCCGCAACACTCCAGGAGCACAACGCGGGCAGGGCGAGTGACAGCAGCGCCGACGAAGACACGCCCCCAAGCCGGTTGCCCTCTTCCACCACCTGCTCGCACAGGCGGAAGTCCAGCCGCATGGCATCCATGAACTCCCAGCCGCACCCGCTGCCACCGCTGTTGCTGCTCCCTGCGGGTGCTGTGGCTGCTGCGTTCAGGCAGAACCGCTTCAGCAGCACAACCTGCAAGCGACTGGTGGAAGGAAGGCAGAGCAGCCGGCCAACCCGCTCCTGCAGCGTTGCCTGCTGCCCAGCGGCCGGGGTGGCGCCGGCGGAGTCCTCGGCAGGTCCCCTCCCGATAGCGATGAAGTTGGGGTCCTTGCTCATCCAAGCCAGCGTGGAAATGGTGTTGGCCAGTGAGGATGTCGCAAACGCGATGTCGAATGTCAACGCCTCTAACTGCCGGATCGATGCTTGTGGTGGTAACGGCACATCAAGCAGTGCGGAGCATGCCACCTCGAGCAGTTGAGAGCGCTCTAGCGCGGTCACAAGCGAGGCGACCAATGGAGCTGACGCCTGTGGCTGCTCCTGTTCGACCATTTCGTTCACGTTGAATACGGCACTGTATAGGTAGTGGAGCACGCTGAAGAGGACTGCGACAGTGCTCATGGCCTCGGATAGCACGACCGGCTCTGGCGAGGACGAGGTTGCCGCTGCAGATTGCGCAGCCGCGTCCGTGCGAACTTTCCCAACTATGCGGATGGAGGCCGCAGCAGCCATCATGACATCCGTATGACACAGCTGCGCAAGTAATGTGCCAGCTATTGTCTTCGGAAGTACATTAGGCCTTGTTGCCGACGCCTTGCTGCCCCCGGCCGCGCTGTGAGCCCGACCGTGAGCGCCCGCTCGCCGAGCTGCCGACCGCTGCTGCTGTTGGCTCAAGCTACGGATTCCAGAGTTGAGCGCCTGTACCACATCTGCAGCTTTGCTGATCACTTCCACAGCGCTTTGGGCAATCGCCGAAGCGCCATGGTATCCCGCAGTTTGCAGGAGGTCACTCTTGAGACCCTGGGCGGCGGTTGCCAGCAAGCGCTTCTCAAGCAACCAGTTCCCGAGCTTTTGCGCTGTTGCAAATTCTCTCTCTCCAACTCCATAATAAATGCGCTGAACTGGAGGTGAAGCCCCTTGCTTCCTTCCCAGTTCGCCATTGCAAGCCAAACGCAAAGCCCCTCGAAGGCCACTGATATCTGATGTCGAACCAAAAGCGCGTCCGGTGTTTAAGGTGAGGCCTTCGCCGTCCGCAAGACAACGCCTAACCGCATCATGAAGTGCATCTTATTCTTGACACATAGTTGCTGTGTCTAATTAAAATGACACAACCGCATTCATGGGCAGCGAATGACTGGCCCTATTAATTTATGGGCTAACGTCGGTGGCCTATAACAAACAGACGAAATGCACGCGTCGACTCCATCGTACTTTTGGCTCGAGTAACTTGCATTCACCAAGGGCTTTCGCCGACCTTTGCCATTACCCCTCCCGGACCCCACCTGCCCCTCCCGCTAGTTTGGTACATCTGTACCCCTCCCTCCCGCCCACCCCCACCTTCCCCTCCTCCTCCTCCCTCCATCTCCCCACCGCCCCCACCTACCCCTCACATGGTCAGTTAGTTGTTTCCTCTTTACCCCTCCCTCTCACCCTCCCGCCCCCACCTACCCCTCCCTCTCCCGTCCCGCCCCTCCTACCCCTCCCTCCCCCCACCTGCCCCTCTCCCCACCCGCCCCTCTCCCCACCCGCCCCTCTCCCCACCCGGCCCCGCCTACCGCTCCCTCTCCCCTCCCGCCTTCACCTACCCCTCCCTTCCGCCCCCACCTACCCCTCCCTCCACCCCTACCTACCTGCTCCTTTCCCCCTCCCTCCCGCCCCACCTACCTACTCCGACCTTCTAAGCCCACTTACTTATCATCCCCGCCTTTTCTTTTGCAGCCTTTCCTTCTGCTGAACTAGAAACGTTTGGTGCAAACAATTTTTATACAAGGCGTATAATGCACCCTTGGTTGTTGTTTATCTCTAAACAACAGTCTATCGACTTGTACGACAATGTATAGAGATGTACGACAATGTACAAGTCGTGGACTGTCATGCATGCCGTTACTGCTTCATGCGTTGTCAACTGTCCTGTGGCGAGTACCGGTAATCGCCCTGTGCAAAACTCGTATGCCGAGGCACGCAACATTGAAGCACCATCTGTCGCTTGAGAGTGAATGCAATACATCGATACGTGAAGTGCGCGTGAGGAGGGCGACGGAGGCGGGAGCATTCCTTGGCGTGACGAGGGTGGGCCGCAGGCACCCCCCTGTCCGCCCCCAACATTCTTATCACAGTCGGATGTCGGGATGCAGTCGGCTACCACTGCTTTAAAAAGCTATCTGGTAGCCCGGTGAGCATGTTAGCCATTAGGCCAACCTGTGCTCGCTTGCTTGTCTACAGTAACATCCCGCAATCACCCAAACACCCCAGTGCAAATGGCCAGCTTGATACCTATCACGTACACCCCCGCACTGGTAGACCCAACTGGGTGGTCCTTCGCAAGCCAGGCCGCTGGTGTTTCGTTCTCCTTCACACCACACCATGTGACACCCCCTACACTTTCGTTTGTGTAACGTCATCTCGGACACCCAAACAACTCGGACACCCAAACCATGCGCCAACTTCCCGCATAAAGCCCAGCAGCTGTCTTCAGCCAGGTCTATGACGGAGTAGTTTGAAATGCGTAGACGGTGAAAGGAAGCGGAAACACTCTTCGTGTCCCCCTGCGTCCGTGCCTGCGTATGTGCTTAACGGCACACAACTACCGGTAGATAAGACTAGCTCAACCAAAACCTGCAGTTAACAGGCAGAAATTCCAAGGAAAAGAACTTTGCCTACATAGAGTTCTTGAGATCTTGACCTGCCTTTGAGTAAAACTACCGCGTCCTCAGCGGCCGCAACCCCTCTGATCGATACATCCAGGTAATCCAACCACATCCACCACACCGCACGCACCTACGCTCCACCTCACAGGACCGCTACCCCCTTGTCCATGTCGCCCTGCACTACTGCTCCCTCCGCCCCTCCCGCCCCTCCCGCCCCTGCCGCAGCCGCCGCTTCCTCCTCCAGCAGCTCCAGGACCGCCGGCAGCCGGCGCTGCAGGTTGCCCTTGTACCGCAGGGTCTCGTACGGCAGGTCCCGCAGCGCCCCCGCCAGCGACGCCGCCACGAGCGGCCTGCCTCGCACCGCCTGCCGCAGGGGCTGCAGGTAGGTGCGGATGGTGAACACCAGGCAGCCGCTGCGGGGCAGCCTGAGGGCGGGGCGTGCGGGGGTCAAAGACCATATCATACCATAGGAAGCCAAGGAGGGGGGGAGGGGCGGAGTGAAGCTGGGCTGGTGATGAGACACGCACCGGATGGCGGTGCGACATGCGACAAGTCCACCAGGGGCTTGGGGACCAACAGCGCGGGTTTTGTTCCGGCACGCTGTCGTACACTGCCGGCTTGGCTGGAGCTCGATCGGCGCACCTGTGGAAGTACTGTCGTTCCAGGCGCAGATGCATGCAGTCAGCCCCGGGGGTGGCAGAGGTGCTGGTGGCAGGGGCGGTACCGCCATTAGCAGGGGCAGCAGCGACGGCGGCAGGAGGCGGCTTGTAGAACCTGTGGGTAGGACGCAAGCCGACGACCACAAGCCTTGTTGGTTGGTCAAGGAAAGTCCTCACGCCGGCGCCTGAAACACACAAGCGCCTGAAATACACAAGCACAACACATTGGCTGCGTCTGTGTCCGCGTGAAAACTACAGGGATCGCTGCGGAAAAGAGAACCCCAGCAGACCTGCCAGACATTCCGTACAAACCCGCCGCTTGCACATGCTCCAACCCCCGCGGAGCACCCATGGTCATACCTGGACAAGTGCAGCTCTGCGGTTGGCGAAACCGCCCAGTTCCAGCGAACGAAGGGCTGCTGGGGCGTCAGGCGGGTAAGGAAGGCGTGTGCGGGAGCTGCCGCGTCAGATCTGCGCAGGTCGGGAGGCGGAACGGGGTGGCAAAGAGGGACTGCATTTCCCGGTAGCCAACCACAGCTGGGCGATCGGTGTGTCATCAGGATGTTCCCCCCGGCTGTCCCTCCAGGCCCCACTGCAGCCCTGCCTCGCGCCCCGGGTCGTGCACTCAGCCTCCCCACACACCTGCACACAGACCAGACCAGCAACCCAGCCCTGCTCCCCAGGCCCCGCCGCAGCCCTACTCCTAACCCCAGGTTGGGTTGCGCGGACCCGCCAGCCACCACTCCAGCTACCCCCAGCCCCACCCCACCCCACCCCGCTTCCCCGGGCCTCACCCCCATCTCGGCACCGGCTCGTGCACCTCCGCCAGCCCCAGCCCTAGCTTCTCTCGGATGCTCCAGTGCGCCGGGAAGCACACCACGCCGCCCAGCAGCCGGTAGCTGCCCGCGCCTGCGCCCGAGGAGGCAGCAGCAGCGGGGTCAGCGGCTAGCAGGCAGAAGTCCTCCTTCAGGGGGTGTGGGGGCGGGACGGGAGGAGGAAGGGGAGCAACAATGAGACCGCGCTTGCTGTAACCCCATGTGCCTTTGTGGCCGAGGGAGGAGAACAAGAGGTCCTCTCTCCCAACGTGAGTGCGGGGTATCTCTCGCTGGCCTTCCTCCACCTCTTCCTCCCTGCTGCCTCACCTGTAGGATGCGTCCGGCCACCTCCAGCGGGTCCACACCAGGGAGTGACGTGTCGTAGCGCTCACCTGCCGGCAAGGCAAGGCCAAGGGGGGAGTGCGACACAGCACGGGTCAACCCAGGCCACGCTGCTCATCCAGCAGCACCCACCCAGTGCCCTTTCCGACAGCCAGTGCTGCTCCCAGGTGGGCCGCGGCGCTGCAGTACCGGGAAGCCATGTTGCCCCCGCCTCACCGCGTCTGCCTCATCAACATACCTGTTAGCAGGTGGGTGATGACGGGGCCCTCCACCTGGAAATGACGCGGGAAGCTCGCGGGCAGCTCTTGCAGCAGCTGCTGCAGCAACTCCCAGCTGGCCTCGCGGGCGCGCGGCTGCAGGGCATCCGGCGTTTGAGGAACTCACATGCCGGTGGCAGCAGGGGCAGAGCCAGGGAGAATAGGGGTGGCAATAATAGCGGGATGCCGCTTGGAATGTAACAAAGCATGCCTTAGCAACCGTTCGCCTAATATCGACCATGCGCAGACACATGCAAATAGAAATGCATAGTTCAAGCGTTATTGCGTCAAGGGTTTGGTGCGAGCGATTCCTTCATGGCTGTATGCAACACCTACATCATCAACAAGCTGTATCACCGCGTCGCGACGCTCCTCGATGTGCTTTGCGCGCTGTCGCAACTGGTCAAGCAGGATACCGTCGTCCTCCTCAACGTCTAGCCAATCATATTGTGGTTTTCGCAACCCAAGAAGGAGTTTGTAGGGTTTGCTGGGCGGGAAGGGCTTGAATGGCAGGTCATCTATTGATGACGCTTCTAAGGTGCCTTTAAATGGACAAGCTTGAAGTTTAGTGCAGCGAAAACTTGCTCGGCCCGCTTGCCGCGGCTTTCCAACTCCAAAATGTCCGGCAAAGACGGGTGCAACACGCGGAAAGACTGACGGCGGTGCGACTGTACAGGACATGGGGCACAGATAAGCGAGTCATACACCGTTTAGGCGTTTCAGGGGCGTGGTCAATGGAAGGCGGTTGGAACCCCTCACAGGAGTACGACAACACAATTGTATCGACTGGTAAGGGGCAGACGTTACGTGCGCTCGTATACAACAAATCCAGTAGCCGCTGTTGGGCAACAGCCGTTATGTGCCGGCTCCCTGGCTCTGAAAGATTGGCAACCCCCATGGATATCCGATACCCACACGCAAGGCACTTCCAAGGCACCAACTATGGCGACCTTGTCCGCCAGCACCTGGCTAAGCCAGCCTGCACCCAATACCCAAGCAAAGCCCAGCACTGCCGTTGCACCTGAGGCTGTGCATGCCCATCTGCATATGCTGCGATGTGCTGCCGTGCCACAATCATGTCATCTGCCGTCTCCCTCTTATCACACGTCTTGCTGTTAGAGGGTAACAGTGGAAAGGCCAGCACCTGCTGCTATGTTTGCCATGCAGTGCTATGTGTACCCACATGAGACAGCGTAGCATACATATGGCAGTGGCGGAAGACAGTGCTGTAATGGGTGACCATACATCCGGTAGAGGGGTGGCCTGCAGAGCAGCGGGGGCATAAATGTTTGTCCGCGGGCCGCACCTGGAACTTTCTCGTAGGCGATATACATGTGTATGCAATGCAAGCGGCAACCGCGTACAGCGACCATAATGTTAAGATCACACTGAAATGTATACAGTATTATTATCATAACAGGAAACTGCTTTTGTGTTGCATCCATCCTACGATGGCTGCTCGTCCAAGGATCCGAAACACGGCCCGGCGGTGCGACTGCTTATATTTCCAGCCTAGCCAGCTAAGTTATTAAGAAGTTAAGCACATGCATCTCCAGCTTGCAGCCTGGTTGCTGGCAAGTTACCTTTTGCACTGATCGTAGACCCACTTGGGCGCTGCCCGGGCCCGCGGTGTAACGTTACCAAACGTGGTCCAGATAAGCGGGGGCCCTTGCGCCCTATTCTAGCGCCATGGAAGCAATGGCGGCGCAGGGGCGCCAGTTGATTGTAGACCACGCGTTGCCAGCGCTTGAGAAACTACGCCCGCTCGCGGCGCCGATCGTTTATGGGCACCACGTGTTCCAGGACCTCTTGTCTATTGAACACAATGCGATTCCGCACTTTGCCTGGGAGCTGGAGCTTTCACAAGCGACAGGGCTCAGCCCTTCGCAATTGCGGTTCACTCTAGCGCTTTTCGCTACAATTCCGCTAGCTGCTGGCGTCCGGCTATTCCGCAATCCGACGAGTGAGCAAACGGGGCATTACAGCTGCTGTTTATTTTCGCGATGCGGCGGCCAACAGTGTCGGCTGCCCGGCTTTTGGGTACCTTCGTATCCATAGGGCCATGTGCTGGCATGCAGTGCGCCACCTTTACGCGTTGGTGACGGGACTCCTCATCGTGTACTACCCCTTCGGCAGCGGTGTCATCCTCGTGCTGCCGATGGCGGTCGCCGCTTACCTCGCGCTTCTCCTGGCGCCTCGGCGGGCCGGGACAATAGCATGGGCTACCGTGTTCCCATACCTCATATACTTGTAAGTGCGATCGTCGTATTCTTTGAAGGGGGCTGTTGCTTTGTTTGCGTAACGCCAACGTAACGGTACAGCCGTGGTGAACACGATATGGGTTGGTACTAAATGCATGGTGTCTAAACGTTTCCGGTGCTGCCTGCAGACATGTAATTAACGCCAGCGGAGAGTCCTGGAAGACGGGAAACCTTGACTTCACAGGTAGGAAGGCGCAGTCTGCTAAGAAGTCATGGTTAGGAGGGCTAGCTTTGATGTCCCTTAATCCCTCGGTCTGGCGCTTTCCTACTGCCGATTGAGTTTCATGCGGGACGCACAGCACGTGCTGTTTACACAGCCGCGGGAGATTCGCTGACAACACGTAGCGGCAGCTTTGCCGCAATGAGTGTTTTCTGATAGTAGCTCTTGCGCATTTGCCACGTGGCTATGGGCCAATGTTTTTATTGTTTGCATGCAAAGTTCTTGCCCCTTAATCCCTCGGTCCGGCGCCTTGCCACTGCCGACTGAGTTTCATGCGGGGCGCACATCAAGGTCGCTTTGCGACCGCGGGAGATTCGCTGACAACACGCAGCGGCCTCCGGGCCGCAATGAGTGTTTTCTGATAGTAACTCTTGCACATAACCCGTTTCTCTCCCCAATTGCATCTCACTTAATCCAACGCCTTGTGGTGTTGCAAATCATCTTCAGCGGAACTCTCATCATGTTATCATCATTGTTGCCCACAACACTTGGCAAACCTCGAGTCATGGCATCGTCCACGGGTTGCTAACTTGCTGTACTCACCGCTTCCTCGCAGGTGGCGCCATGGTTGCTGTCCTGAAGCTGATCGCCATGTGCGTGTGCCGCCAGGACAGCTTCCGGAAGAACAAAGAGGTGCGCGCCCTTTGCTGCTGCATCCCTGAGTTACTGCTTGCATGCCTTGCTGCTTGCTGCTGCCTAGGCCTGCATGCCGCCCAGGCGTGCCTTCTAAGCCCTGTCCTCATACCTCGTTTCTTCCCTGTCAGCACCTCCACCCAGATCGCTTCCCTGCACTCCTTAACTGCCCTCCACAACCACCACCCCCAGGACCTCACCCCGTACCAAGCCGCCCACCAGCTGGTCGCCTCGCCCTCCCCCCTGGAGTTCCTGTCGTACCTCTTTGGCCTGGGCAACCTGGTGGCGGGGCCCTTCGTGGAGTTCAGCGAGTACAAGGCCTTCATCGAGCTCAAGGGGGTGAGTGGCGTGTGCATGTAGGAAACCGAGTCCGCCTGCATACCTGCGTGTGTGTCCGTTACAGCAGGTTGTGCATCCGCACCTGCATCACCGCATCGCACTAGCAGCATGGGGGTTCTTGGGCTAGGTAGCATCAATGAGTATTGGGTTTGACTTGTTACCGTTTGTGGATGACTCAGAGCACGCTCCAATTAACGTTACCCACACCCGCTGGCTTTCTTACGCGGGACGCGGGAGTAGTGAGAGCGCATAGCAGCTGAAACTCAGACCAAAACGGCACGGCTATCCCTTGAAGTGGGTCATAGCTAGCCCGTTTTACTGGGACAGTCCAATTGCGCTGTTAGGACACTGCGCAGAGCGAATGCAAGGACGTGCCCATGCATGGCGTAAAACCTCAGTTGAAGTAAGGTTCTGTGCAAGACACTGACTGCGTGACATTCTTGGTTGCTCCAGATAACGTTACCCGCGTCCGCTAGGTTTAAACGTGGTACGCGGGAGTAGTGAGAGCGCAAAGCAGCTTAAAAAGCTACTCAGACCAAAACGGCACGGCCGGCATTACACGTAGGCCGTAGCTAGCCCGTTCCACTGGGACATCCTCTCTTCCCTGCATCTCCTTCGCCGGATAATCACACACGACCCATGGGTCACATCACCCCTCTTTCCATCTCCTAAACAGTCCATCCGCGTCCGCCTACAACCATCAGCCCTTAGCACACTCCTCCTTGACACCGCCGCACCCTCCTTTCCCCCACCCGCCCACAGCCCTGGGACCCCAACGCCGCCCAGCGTATGCCCGACCCCGCCCTGCGCGGCTTCCTGTGCCTGCTGGAGGGCTACCTCTACATGGGCATGTACCTGGGCCTCACACTCAAGGGCTGGGACCTGCGACACTACCACAGCGACTGGTATTACGCGCAGCCGCTGCTTGTCAAGTGCGCCGCCTTCTGCTTGATCGGCCTGGTCTACCAGTTGAGGTACTACTTCAGCTGGAAGATCACGGAGTCGGCCTACGCGTTTGCCGGGCTAGACTACATGGGCCGAGACACAGTGACCGGCAAGGCGCTGTGGTGAGTTTGGGCGCCATGCTGTGCTGAGCTGCAGACGTTGTTGCGGTGCTTTAACTGATATTATGTGATTTTGATTGGCAGTGGAGGCGCATTTAGTTACGGCTCTGTCTGTGATCTTACATGCCCGACCCGGTTATTGTCCGGCGCACGTTATTGATCACCGCTGCTAGCCGACCTGTTAAACCTTGCTATCCTGACGTGTGTGCCTATGTTTGTGCTTGCTTGCGCAGGGGCCGCTGCCGCAACTGCAGCTTCCTGGGCGTGTGGCTGTCCGACAGCGCGCGCAACGTGCCGCTCAACTGGAACATCTGCACCGGCAACTTCCTGCGGAGGTGCGCGGCTCTTTCCCGTGATGTGCGTGTGCCTGCGTTTGCTGTAATGACCCATATGGTTTACTGAACCTTTGATCTCAGCTCACTTCACGAGCAGTGCTACAGAAGCTGCTTTTCCTTCAGGCGGCAACGATTCGTGTTGTTAACTGCAACTGTGTATTCATGCCCACCGTGCAGGTATGTGTACGAGCGGATAGCTCCCCGCAACCGGCGCCCCGGCTTCCAGTCGCTGTTGTTCACGCAGCTGGTCAGCGCTGTGTGGCACGGACTGTACCCCGGCTACCTGATGTTCTTCGTGGGTACGGCATTGTGGATCTACTTCTCACAGGTGCGTGCGGCATGCGAGGAGGCTGAGACTGGAGCCACGAATTGGCAAGGGTTGTGGGCTATGCGGAGGAGGGCTAGCTTTGATGTCCCTTAATCCCTCGGTCTGGCGCTTTCCTACTGCCGATTGAGTTTCATGCGGGACGCACAGCACGTGCTGTTTACACAGCCGCGGGAGATTCGCTGACAACACGTAGCGGCAGCTTTGCCGCAATGAGTGTTTTCTGATAGTAGCTCTTGCGCATCTAACACATCGCTATGGGCCAATGTTTTAATGTTTGCATGCAAAGTTCTTGCCCCTTAATCCCTCGGTCCGGCGCCTTGCCACTGCCGACTGAGTTTCATGCGGGGCGCACATTACGGTCGCTTTGCGGCCGCGGGAGATTCGCTGACAACACGCAGCGGCCTCCGGGCCGCAATGAGTGTTTTCTGATAGTAACTCTTGCACATCCGCTTGCACGTATTCCCTTACTGCATATGCTAACAATGCCCAACCTGACCAATGCTTCATTGAGCTAGTAATTGATGATGCTTGTGTCTTCTCCACGCAGGTGCTGTACAAGGCCGAGACGCACATGCCGAGCTCACTGCGCAACAGCCTGCCGTACCGGGCGGTTAAGATCATGTGGACGGGCTTCGTGCTGAACTACATGGCGTCTGCCTTCCAGGTAGGCCGTTGCTTGTTTGCTGCGTTGAACGGCTTGTTGTGAGGGACGGCAATCCAAACATCTGCAACTGATCTGCGTCATGCCGGTTAGCGGCTCTGCTCCATCCCATGTGTTATGTATTGTATTCATTGCTGTACATTCCTCGCTTCCTAACCGCTCTCGTGCAACCCTCTCGCCCCTTCTCCGCCCGACAGCTGCTGGATTTTAACTCGAGCAGCGAAGCGTACGCGTCCGTCCACTACTTCCCGTTCATCTTGATGCTGGTGGTTAATGTGCTCTTCTCGTTCGTCAAGGCAAAGCGGCCGCTCAAGCCGCCCACGGGACCTGGCGGCGCGACGCCACCCGAGAACGGCAACGGCGAGGGGAAGGGTCGCTCCATGAAGACGGAATAGCTCCTAAGGAGAACTGAATTGAAGAATTGAGAACGTTGTGCTCTAAATTGCGCTTTTGCCCGTTATTGAGATATACCGGTCCCCCGTCATGTTTGGAGTGGGGAATCCGTTGAAGTATTCATTGAGCAGTGTGACGCGTGTCGAGGAGCAATTGCAGGAGTTGAGTGAGCATGCTACGGCTTAGCCTACTATGCATCAGGGTTAAAGTTGTACAGTAGTAGTGCAGATCTATAGGAAGGAATATAGATTGGGCAGAATTATGGCAATTGCTAAACGCTTTTTAACGCCTCTGATTCTTACAGTTGTAACAACCGCGACCAGGAAGCATGTGTTTAATTAATAAACCCTTTGTGAACCCACTTTACTTCATACTCATAATCCACGTCCGTTTATATTGCGTGCAAGGCAACCCCAGCAACCAATGGCAAAACACAACCACACCACAAGTACTTCGCTATGTGCAAGGTCAAAACAAGAGGCGACGTACACAAGAAAGTGACCCACACAGTGACTCACCACACCACAACTTTACAGCAATGCATTCAGGGACACAAATAAGAAAATATCTGAACGTAGCGGCTTTTAGGTTGCGCCGCTGTCGCCAAATGGTGAGGAACGATGTCCTGCTTAACCCCCTCCAAAACCATCAACGAGCCCTTGCATCGTAAAACCCGTCCGTCAAAAGTCGTCACTTGTCCTAGCAGAGAAGCGAACAAAAAGCGCAAAAGCACGGTCCCGGCCAAAATCGGCCATAGTCTACTAAGCAAATTTGGTCTTTTGTCCAAGCCGCATAACGGCGTATGCGCCGCTACGCAATCAACGTTGCGGAGTTATCTGTAAATGGACAACGGAGAAGGGATGCAGTGATGAAAACAGGCCGTGGCACAGGATTAAAACCCTGCTTAGGTGCTATGAGGGACATATACAAGTTCATGCAAACCTCCGCCTACCCTCACAGGGTCAGTGTCATCATCAGGTAGGGGCTGCAAGAGAATTCAACAACGAAGAATCCCAGTCCCACAACGCTCTTGCAGAAGCCGTCCATACATCGGCTGCTTCCCTTCCGCGTCACACCCAGCACCCAACCCGCACAAAAACACGAATCCTAAGAGCATAGGTACAGAAACCACTCAACAGTACCGCCACGCTGCACGGCCTGACCCAAAGCAACCCTTAGCGCAACTCCATTCAGTACCCCGTTCAACCGTGCCCCCCTATGACCCCTCATGTCGGCGGCTGTTGAGGAGGCGCCATACCCTGCTGCTGGCCAGCCGCTTGCTGTTGCTGCTGCTGCAAATACATAGCCGCTGCAGCGTGCTGCGCATATAGGGCCTCCATGCCGCCCTGACCCTGCGCAGCCGCCGCCGCCGCTTGCTGCTGCTGCCACTGGTAAGCCGCCATGAGCGCAGCAGGGTCGCTTGCGGTGCCGTACGCACCAGGGTAGCCAGCGGCCGTTGCCGCCTGGCTGCCGTACGCGGCCATGTGGGCCGCCGCCGCTGCTGCCATTTGCGCCGCAGCATGCCCGCCGTATCCAGCCGCCGCGTAGCCCTGGCCCGCGGCCGCTGCTGCGGCCGCCGCCGCGTAAGCTGCTGGGTCATAACCGTACGGTGTCCTAGCTTGCGCTTGCGTCAAAGGTGCGGCAGAAGCAGCAGCGGTGATGCCGGGGGCTGACGAGGCGACGGCTGCTGCTTGCATGCTTGCAGCGTAAGGTAGGGTCATGGCGGCAATCTGCGCCGCATACTGCTGTTGGTACTGCTGCTGCTGGTACTGCAGTTGTTGCGCTTGGCTGCTTGCCGTGTCTTGTTGGGGCGCGGGGGGCGGTGATGCGTGTTGCTGTTGCTGCTGGGCAGCTGGTGCGGTGGCAAGCGAAGACGGGGCCTGCAGGTACTGCTGCTCGTACTGCTGTTGGTATTGATGGAACTGCTGTTGCTGCTGCTGGGCTTCCAACTGCAGCTCTTGGTGTTGTTGAGGATTAACAGCCGTGTCAGCCGGCGAGGCCACTCCCTGCTTCTGTCCCGCTTGAGCCGTTGGCATGGAGCTACTCTCATACTGCTGCTGCGGCTGCTGTTGCTGCACGTTGCCGGGCGAGGCCGCGTCCAGACCGTCTGCCGCCGCCGCCGAGGGCGCAACTACCTCGTGCACTGCTGCTGGGCCATCAACTGCAGCAACGCCGGCAGGAGCATTGTCCACCTGTTGCCCCTCGACCAACGCACCAGCAGGTGCCGTCGCATGCGCCTGCTCCATCAGCTGCTGTTGTCCTTGCTGCTGTGGTTGATTTAAGTCCAGACTGCTAGGCTGCTGTAACGAGTACCCGCCTCCCAACATCGCAGTTGCCAGGCCGTATGGTGCGGTTACATCGCCACATGCAGTGCCCGACTGCACATGCGACTGCTGGACATGAAGCCCTACCGCCTCCTCATGATGCTGCGGTTGCTGCTGCATCGCTCCTTCCGCTGCAGCAGCAACCGCAGCATCATGGACTGCGGCATCGTAGGCGGCTTGATGATGCTTTACCGCCGCAGCAGCCTGCTCCAAAGCCGCCTGCATCGCCGCCGCAGCGGCAGCAGTGTCGAGGACTGCAGCGGCGCTACCCCCGGCGGTGTCGGCATCACCGGCTGCCGGCGCTGTTGCGCTTACCGCCGTAGCCTCCTCCCCAGCAGGTGCGGCAGCAACTGCCGCAGGTGAGGTTGACGCCACCAGGGGCTCTGAAGCCTGTCCTTGCTGGCCTGGCGCAATATCGACGCCATGCACGGCTGGCAGTTGCGGCTGGAGTTGGACGTCCGCTTGCGAGGCGTAGCCCAGCTGCGAAAGCATTAATGCCTGGGGCTGCAGCACCTCCGCTTGGGGCGCCGACGCAGCCGCCCCGTGGGTCGTTTCCTGCGGTCCCTGACCGACATGCTGCGGCTGCAAAACCACCTGCTGTTGCTGCCCTTCCGCTTGCGCGAGCGGGTTCGGCGCGGGCGCCGCGGGTGTGGCAGAGGCAGCATGTTGCAGCACAAGTGTTGCGGGAAGCGCGGACGCTGCCTCAGCCACTTGGGACGGCTCCCCGGGTGCTGCCACTGCAGCAGCCTCAGTAAGGGGTCCCGCCGGGGCCGCTGCTACATGTTGCTGAAGATGCTGCTGTTGTTGGTGTAGGAGACCCTGTGTCGCCCCAGTTCCAGCTGCCGCCGCTGCAGTTGCCGCAGAAGCAACAGCAGCTGCTAGCCCATACGCTGCCGCAGCGGCCCCTGCGGTTGCAGCTCCGCCGCCACTACCGCTGCCGTACGACTGAGGCCGCGACGCTTGGAGTGCTGCCAGGGCCAAGGGCGGCTGCCCTGGAACTGGGCTTGTTCCTCTGCTTCGGGCGCTAGCTGCTGCCACAGCTGCAGCCACTGCCAGCCGCTGCTGAAGTGCCTCCTGCGTGGACGCGGCGGCACCCCCATGCGCCTGCCCGGCAGCTGAGGCCAGCAGTGTATGGAACTGCTGGTGCACAGTCGCGGCTAGGAGCTGCTGCTGCTGTTGAGCAGCTGCAGCCGGGTCCAAGGTGCCTGCGGGCGATGGCCCCCCGGCTAAGGCTTCCGTACCGGCAGGACCCGCACGTGCAACGTCAGTCGCCGGCGGCGAAGCACTGCCGCCGACAGTAGAGGACCGAGAGCGGGGCCATGCACCGGAGGCTACAGGCGCAGTGGATGCTCCCGGCGCAGTGGCGTCGTCAATGGCGGGCGTCGCCATGCCCGCGTTGGCCACGGGAGAGGTGTGGGCGCTGGCGGCAGCGGCGGGTGTCGCTTGACGGGACACGTTGGGCATGCCCGGCGGCGGTGGCCCCAACGCACGCTGCATGACGTGTGGTTGTTGCGCCAGAAGGTGTTGGTACGAGGATGTCGCTGCCGGCGGCATGGAGGCTGGATAGGTGCCGTAAGCGGTCCCCGCGCCGTACTGCTGCTGAGGCTGCTGCTCCTGGTGGCTAGCCGGCGCAGCCTGTGTGGAGCCCTGTTGAGGCTGCTGTTGCTGCGACTGCAGAGCCTGCTGCTGGGCATAGTGGGCCGCTCTCATGGGCGCCGCTCCGCCACCAGATGACGAGGTTGGCGACACGGACGCAGACGCAGCGCCGCCCTGGGAATTGGGGCCGCTGCTCGGCAGGGGCGGCCTGCCCGCGCTGCCGCCGCTAACCGAGCGCCGGGCTGCAGGCTGCTGCTGCAGCAGGGTTGCTCCGGTTGGCAGACCCGCTGCGACCACCGCCTGCAAAAGGTGCTGTTGCTGCTGCGGCGGTTGCTGCTGCGGATGCACCGCAGCTGGTGTAGCAGCTGCGGCAGGGGTAGCGCTTGGCGATGCAGCTTTGGCCGTGACGGCCGCACCCGTCGTCGCAATCTGGGCCGGACCGTTGGTTGTGGCGGCGCTTGCGGGTGTGGAAGCGCCAGGAGTAGGAGCACGATGGGAGGCGTTGCTAGCCACCGCGTTTGACGCTTGGGCCGCCGCCGCCGCTGCGGTTGCAGTTGCGTTGCTCTGCCCTGCTGCCACCATCAGCTGTTCCAGGTAGGCTTGAATGGGTCTTCCACCGCTAAGGGCGCTAAGTTGGTTTCGGAGGGGCTCAGGCAGCTGCTCCAGGGTAATGCGGTTGGTGACTAGGGCAGCCAAGATGTGCTCCAGGGTTGGGGTGGCGGCGGCGGCTGCCGCAGCGGCGGCGGCGAGAGTGGCCGCTGTACGAGGGTCGGACACCGCCGCCTGTTGCTGCGGTTGCTGTTGTGGTTGCGCTTGCAGCGGCTGCACTGAGGGGGACTGCGGCGCGGTGTGCGGCTGCTGCGCTTGAGGAGCAGCAGGCTGCTGGTGTTGCTGCAGCAACAGCTGTGTCTGCACCTGTGAAGGCTGGACTTGTGACGGCGCAGCCTGAGCCTGCTGCGCCTGCTGCGCATGGGCCTGCTGTACGGCTGGGCTGCTGCCGGCCTCCGTCATGACTGTGTCAGCGGCTGCTCCTGCAGCCGGCACAGCGGTGGCGGTCGCCGCCGCTGGTGCCGTTGCTGGCGCCGCGGCCTGAGCTCCGGTGGCTGCGTTTGTCCCACTGGCATCCAGCGATCCAAGCGCGCCGAGCCCCATCATGCTGGCGGCCGCCGCTGCTGCCGCAGAGCCGCCCGCCGCGCCCTGCATCGCCGCCGCTAGGGCTGCCAGGGCGGTTGCGGAATCCACCACGCCCAACAAACCTGAGGCCCCACTACCGCCAGCGGCCGCCGCAGCTGCTGCCGCGGCAGCGGCAGCGCCCTGAAGCTCCGCTGGGAGGCTTCCCTGCTGCTGTTGCGCGCCGGCGGCAGCGGCTACAGCCGCCACCGCAGCAGCGGTTTGCTGGTGATGTTGGCTGGCGTGAGCCTGCTGAGCGGTGCGCTGCAGGTGTTGCGCCATTTCCGACAGCCGCTGCACCGGGATCTGCGACTGCAGGTATTCGATGTAGATATTCATGCGCTGCGTGAGGGCTGCCTTGGCGTTCTGGTAGTCCCGGTTGGCGGTGTCGATTGCGCCCTGCGCCTTGCTGCGCACCTTCTCCATAAAGTCCTGGTACTCCTTCTGGATCTGCTGTACCTGTGGGCCACGATGAAAGTACCACAGCACGACGCAAAGTAAGAAACAAGAAATTATGTCAAAGTACGGTTAATACAGCAACTGGCAGTTACCGAAGAATATAAATATCAGCAAAGAGGAAGTCGAAGCTGCAGCAGACAACAAAGCGCGCGTGTGTGGGAACCCAGCGGCGTTGCCGTCCTCCCACCTTGATGCCGTGCGAGCGGTCCAGCACCACCAGGTTCTCCTGGCAGTCGCGAGTGCTCTTGAGAACGGTCTTCATGTTGGGGTCGTTGAGCACGCCCGCCATCTGCAGCAGCGGCATCAGCGTCGCCAGCGGCCCCAGCGGGATGTTCTCCGCGCTCACCTGCGCGTACACCAGCTGCAAGGGCGCAGAGGGCACAGAGGTAAGGCAGGGGTCATAGACACGTTTTCCGATAAGGCAGGCAGGAAAACACTGCAGCTCAGGGCGGAGGGAGGCAAGAGTGGGAGAGACTAAACAAGACGGGGCCAGTAATGGAGCCTACAATTTTCAGGAATGCTGGTTTCAGGAATGCTTTGGCTAACACCGGGCTTACCGGGTTTACGTCGGACGTTAGGATGGCCTGCAGGCGGTTCGAGAAGGAGTCCACCTCTGACACTACCACCTGTGCCGGCGCAGCGCCGCCGGCCGCACCGCCGCCGCTGGAGTCACCTGCGCCACCCTGCCGCCCGCCGGCACCTCCGGCCGCACCGCCCGCAGCTTCAGGGGCGCGGGCGCCGGTGGCGGCCAGCAGCGCCTCCGCCTCTGCGGGCGACAGGTTGCCCTCCGCCGCCAGCTGCGAGCTGCGCACGTGCAGCTCGCGGTAGTAGCTGAGCCGCGTCAGGATGTGCCAGAAGACCTGGAGAGAGAGTGGGATAATGGCACGTGAGCGAACAGGCTGTTGCGGAAACGGGCGGGCAGCATCTGTCGCCCGTCGCGTTGGCAGTCTACCAGCCCCAACCCCAGTATCCCTCCGACCCCGCCGCACCCTCACCTGGTCCAGCGCCGCGAGGTCGTGTCCGTATCGCTCGCCCAGGCGCCTGAGCCCGTAGTCCTCTCCCAGCGGCACCTTGACCAGGTGCGCTGCCACCGCGATGATGGCCACCAGCGTGTAGTCCTGGAAGTCGCTGGGCGCCTCCTCCTCCTGCCGCATCATCACCAGGATGTCCGCAACCTGCGTGCAAGACGGAGGCAAGAGTGGGTTCATGGGACAGAGTGCTAGAGAGGAAAGGGTTGAGAGGGTCTAAGGAGGGAGCAAGCATGGAGGCGCAGCAGTGAGTCGCTTCCTTTGCACGCTGCAAGGACCAACAGCAGCGGCACCCATACCTGGCATGCCATGTCGCTGATGGCCACCGCCGCCTCCGCATGCAGCTCCAGCTCCCCCGCCACCTCCTTCAGCCGCCCGTACGACCGCTGGGCCACCGCATACTCTGGTGACGTGGGGTCGCTAATCGCCTTCTTCACCGCCTCCATGCGCGCTACCTCACGCAGCAGCACCTCACGCACGCGAGCTGGCGTGGCGGCAACGTCGCCACCACCAGCGCCGCCGGCGCCATCCTCCGCCACGCCGTTGCCGCCGGCGCCAACGCCTCGACGGCGGCGTTTGAACGGCCGATCACGGTCCTCAAGCATGAAGCCAGCAACCTGGCCACCCGCAAGGGCGCCTGCAGCACCAGGACCGCCGTACAGGGCATCGTCAGCGTCATGATCGACACGGCGGCGGCCGCCGCGACCGCGACCGCCGCGGCCGCCAGCCATGAAGCCTCCGCGCCCGCGGCCACGGCCCCTGCCGCGGCCGCCGTGGCGCGGCCCTCCGGTGCCGTCGTCGTAGCTGTCTTGCATGGCTAGCGACATGCTGCCGGGGCCCCGGGTGGGCCGGTAGGTCTCGTCGTCTGCTTCGTCGTCCTCGGCGCCAATGTCAGCTAGGTCCTCGGCATCGTCCCTGAGGGTCGCCATGACGGCGTGATGCATACCGCATGAGTGAGTGGATGCACATAGTAGGGGGCCATGTACAACTGCATGCAGGGCCCGAGGTTATCCGAATGACTAGCTGTGCGCTGTTTCTCCCAAACTGTGATTGCTCCGAAAACAGCGTACCTCTCGTACTCCATGATGCCGCTTCGTCGTGGTCCCGCGCCCAGACCCGCATGATGGGCTTCGTCCATGTGCTGCTCCTCCTCCTTGCGCATAGACTCGTAACGCTCACGCAGCAGCGACGACCAAAACAAGGCGCTCGCCACGTTGTTGCCGCCGTCGTTGCGGCCCAGCAAGGCGGCGCTTGCTGCAGCTGAACCGAAGATGCTGTCGGGGGCAGCGATGTTGCCATAGGCGTCGACGGTGGTGCCCGCAGCGGCGGCAAGACCATGGTTATCCTCCTCCGCAGCGCCATCCAATTCCTCCATGTTCTTGTCCTCATCCTCATCGGCTTCGTCTGCGGGTTGTTGGAGAAACATATTGTCCTTTAACAGCATGTAATGCACCTCCAGCCTACAGGGGCGTGGCCTTGCCCAACGGGCGCCACATTGCGGTAAGCACCTCCCATGCCTTACGCCATGTAAGCAAGCAATGCAAACAGGTCTCCCCCTCGTGCAATCCCACCTCTTACTCTCTAAGGCTTACCGGAAACTGCAGGCAGATCGTCCTCCACGCGCTTGTCCACATCAGCCCACGTGCGCACCGTAACCAGCTCCAGCCCCGGACCCAACGGCACACCGCTGCCGCCGCCTCCGCCGCCACACCCGCCCTCTGCCTCAGCGGCTCCCACATGAGGCCCGCCCTCACCGCCGCTACTGCCGTCAGGAGACACACCTTCTGCCGTATCCGCCGCTGCCGCGGCAGCATCGGCAGCCTTCCCGGCTCCGCTGCTACCGTTGCAGCACGCAGCATGACCCAACTCCAGTAGCTCCGAAACCTTCTCGTCCGTGTAAACAGCACGCTCCTGGCGCGTCCCCGTGCATGTGCTCTTCGTACCCGCCAGCACGGATGCTGCATCCAGTTTCGCCTCTGGCGCCGCTGTGTCCATCTGCCGCGGCACCCCGTCGCCCACACTGCATCCCGCGAACCCGTCTGCGCCCTGGCCGGCACCACCTTCACCTCCTAGCGACTGCCGGAAGAGCTGCTGCGTACCCCACTTCAAAATCTCCTCGACCGCCTTAATGCCTCCGCCACCGGCAGCGCCGCTGCCGCCGGTACTGTTATCCCTGCCACTACCGCGGCCCGCTGCTGCTGCTGCGCCGACGCCCGCCTGGAACACCTGCTCCAGGCCCCTGCGCCGCTCTGCTAGCTGAAGCAACCGCTCCTCCACAGTTCCTCGGGTGTAAAGCCGGTACACGGAGAGCTGGCCCGGCTCGCCAACACGGTATGCGCGGCGGAGGGCCTGGAGGTCCAGGCGGGGGTGCCAGTCACTGTCGTACACAATGACGCTGCGAATGGCCGGTAGGTTGGTGCCTAGGCCAAAGGAGCGTGCAGTCATCAGGACGATGAAAGATGTGGTAGCGGGAGGCGCAGGAGAGGCTGCGGCGGAAGCGGATGCGGAGGAGTGGGGCGCAACAGGTGATGTTGCGGCGGAGGTGGAAGGAAGGGTGCTGGTGCCGTCCAGGGGAAGCTGCTGCTGCTGCTCGGGTGCAGGAGGCTGCGGTGCCGGACCGGAGGAGGGTGCGGCGCCGCCGTTGCTGGTGCTGCGTGGGGAAGCAGCTGCCGCAGCGGCGACGGCGGCGTTGAAGGAGTTCAGGGTTGAGTACCGTACAGCGGACGGCGTCGAGCTGTCGATACGTACGGCAGCCGTTGGTCCGAAGGCACGCTGAGCGTACGACTCAAGGATGTCCAGCGTCTGCGGAAAGAACAGCATAAGTCAATGGTCAACGTGGCGCGCTGCCAGCCACAGATTTCACCCAACACCAAACAGGGCCCCTAAAGCCCCCCCCCCTCGCGAGCAACCCTCCCACCCCCAAGCTCCTTCTTCCCTTCCTCCCAATCCCGGCCCACCGCCTGGCTCCCTGCCTACGCCCTACCTTAGCCGTCTGCGACAACACCAGCACGCAGCTCCCCTTGCGCTGCAGCACACGCAGCATCTTATCCAGCACTGCCAGCTTGCCACTGGCAGCCAGCAGCCCACCCTCAGCCGCGCCGGCACCGCCCCGGGAGGCCGTGTTGGTGCCGTGGCTGGCTCGCGGCTGCGGGGATGGCAGCGCCAAGCCCGCAGCAAGGGCGTCCTCCGCCGCGACGGGTCCCTCCGCCTTGCCACCTGTGGCCGCCTCCTCCAGCTCGGCGCGGAACTCCTCCAGCAGGTGCGGGTGGTGGCAGACCTACACAGCAAGCGGAGGGGACACGCAGCGTGAAGGCAAGGCTCCGGTACGGTATCGCTCATTGCATCCTCAGCCAAACGCCACTCTTTGTAAGACTCTTGCTGCCACACTCAATGCCATGTCCTCATAACCAACTACGCCAGGACATCCCTAAGACCATCGCACACACACTCACCTTCCGCAGCTCATTGCACACATGCTTCAGGCTCGCCGCGCGGTGGCCCCCGCCTCCGCCGCCGTTCCTCGCCGGCAGCGGCGGCGGCCGCAGGTCCGCCAGCACCTCATAGTTTCTTGCCAGCAGCGTGCGGTAGCACTCCGCCTGCGCCACCGTGAGCTCCACGGGCACCTGCACCTCCCGCCGTACACCCACCGCACGCGGCAGCTCGCGGCCCATGCGCCGGCAGCACACCGCCTCCAGCGCCTCCGCGAGACGGGTGCGAGCCGCCTCCGCGGCGCCCTCCCCTGCCAGGTAGTCTTCGGGGTCGTAGGCCTGCACGTCCGGCCGTACGAGCTGTGCCAGCCCCGCTACCTCCTCCAGGGAGGCGGTGGTGGGGTTGCTGTTGGTCAGCAGTACCCGCTGCCGACCGCCCAGCTCGGCTAACGCACCCGTGTTGCGGGCGCTCATGCCGCGGCAGCGCTGCCGCACGTCCACGACGACCACCTCCCAGGGAAGGGCCTGGACCACGGAAGGGTTAGGACCGGTACGATGAAGAAAGGGTACAAAACATGTCGAAAGGACGGAACACGGCATCATTATGTGTCAGTATGTGACAGTACGACCCCTTCCCTGCTTCGTGTAATCGATGATCGGGAGGAGAAGCCATGCGGCGCGGGACGCCCCCGTTGAATCCCACCACCCATCGACTCACCTTGAGCGCAGCAAGGTCGGACAGCACGTGCTCGTAGCCCGCAATGACGACATCGGCCTTCGGCACCTGCATGGAGTTTGAGCACTTATGATGTGGTGTCTGGGTCGGCATACAAGATGAGCGCTCAGGTGTAGCTGTTCCCTAAAGCCCCAGCCCACGCCCGCTGCCCTAGAGTCCCAGTCCAGACGTCCACCCACCTTGCTGGGGCAGTCTTCCCGGCCGCGAGCCATGGAACCCTTCCTGTCCAGCGACGAGGGCGCCAGCCACAGCTCCTGCTCATGCAGCAACGTGCGAACCGTTGCGTTGCCCGTGTAGACTACCACGTTGATGCCGCTGCTGGCACCGCTGGCATCCTTGCTGGCAGGGCCGCTGCCGCCCTGAGCACCATCGGCAGCGGCGGCGCTCGTGGGGCCGTTGGCTGGGGAGGCATGTGGGTCGGTGCTGGCTGCACCATTGGCCCAGAACTGCCACTCGCCTTCCCAGAAGTCCAGCATGGCCTGTGGATCCGGGGAATAAACGCAGCGGAGCGCGATGGTCAAGTTGTTGTCAGCGTGGTAACATCGGAGTTTGCCTGACAATCCTGTAGTGCTACGTTAAAAGAGGACGTGAACGCAATTGGCACCTCGAACCCACTCCCTGTGGGGAGTCCCCTGCCGCACCTGGGGTGCAACCACCAGCAGCGGACCCGTCACCTTGAAGTCATGGCTGTAGGCGGGTCCGGGCCAAAAGAAAAGATATTAGACAATGGCGTAAGCGCACAAGGGCACGGCAGCACAGTCGTTGCAATGGCCACGCGCGAACGGCCTCCCATTGCACAATCCGCCGCCTATATCCCTTCACTTTCTTACGTAGGACGCAGTTTCAAACGGTAGTCCATAACGTACACCCTTCCCACCCCGGCGCACCCTAGAACCCCATCCCTTTTCCGATCTGCCCACGCACATGAGGCCTTGCAGGAAAGCGGTGACGGTGGCTGTCTTGCCCAGGCCCATGTCATCCGCCAGGATGGCATGCTTGCCCTCCGCCCACATGTGCCGAAGCCAGCTAACAGTCTGCAGCTGATGGCTGTGGAGGCGGGCGCCAGCAACGTAGGCCGGCTGCTCCTGGACGTCCAGCAACGACGAGGCACCCTGCTGCGGCTGCTGACCCATGGGTCCGTTGCCGCACACTGCTGCGCGCGCCTCAGTGGCGGCTTCAGCAGCCGCACGAGAGGCCTTGTACAAGGCCCGTTTGCTTCGGGCCCACATGGCCGTGTGGAGGGCTACATATTCGGGTTGCAGCAGGAGTTTCGTGCCCTCGGCCTGCGGAACAGTGCGGAGCGGTTATTGGCGTTTTGCTAACCCAATCCTGCTTTTTCGCCCGTACTAGACCCCGTCTCCGCCCGGCCTTCAAGCCCAACTCCCCAGCTCACCTCCCAAGTGGCCTGATCGTAGCCCAGTCCCGCCCACTTGACCAGCACCTCCCAGCCAGGACCAGTGGGAGACGGCCGCCGAGACACAAAGCGCTCAGGTCGCGTCCACGCCTCTTCCACCATGTTGCACGGTCGGTCGCCATGCCGCTTCTTAAAGTTCAGGAGCTTCCGCCGCGCCAGCGCCATAAGGGTGCTTTCCTTGACCCACTCGTTGTGGATGTGGCTGCGATGCGCCCATTTGACCAAGTACTCAGGCTCCCGGTCAATGCCGGCTACGAGGCCGTTCAGCGCTGCGGCGCCGCTGCCATCGAGGCCCTCCAAGCCACTTAAAATGCCGGAAGCGGCGTTGGCCGCGGCTGCAGCAGCAGCAGCCGCGGCGGCAGCGGCCGCCTCGGCGTCCTCGCCGCCAAAGCCAAGCAAGGCAGCGGCGGCGTCGGCTTCGTCCGTGGCCATGCGGTCTGGGTAGTTGCCACCAGCGGCTGCCGCTACAGCAGCAGCAGCTTTGGCGGCGGCGGCAGCCGAGGCTGCAATTGCGTTTGCTGCCGCTACAGCGTTTGCAATGGCTTCCGGATTCGGCGAGCCAACGGCGCTACTTTTGCGCAGGCGGTCCAGGATGCGATGGCGTTCCATCTCCAACTGCCGCTGGCGATCCCTGTGAGGATGGGAAAAGGTGGGTGCGGTGTGACTCTGGCCATGTTTGAACCGTGACGCTATGACTCATTCCACGCATCCCAGCATACAACCCGTTCTCACCGTTCCTGTGCCTTCTCCTGCTCCGACAGAGGGAAGCGCCACCCGAAGATTGCCTCCACTACCGTCCTCTGGGGCGCCAATGCAGGCATGCCACCCAAAGCAAAGGGGTCTGCGGGCGCCACCAGCGGCTCCAGCGGCATCTCATCCAACACCTCGTCCTCCTCATCGCTGCCCCTGAGAGAGGAGCCGCGAAGAGAGCGTCAGACGAAGTACTGCACAGGCACATGACAACGGCAAACAGAACTGCAAGCTTAATTTCCACTTGCAAGTGGTCATCTTCCCGCCGCACCTCGCCGCAATGCCTCGCCCCCGGCCACGTCCGCGTCGTCCGCCGCGTCCACGACCCCTGCCTCGCCCCCTGCCGCCGCGTCCTCTGCCTCCCCGAAACCCTCGTGCGGCAGCAGCCTGGAAGTGCGCTGGTGCTCCCCAGCCGCCGTCCGAGTCGCTCTGAAAGTCCTCTTCAGCAGCACCCGCCCCGGACGCATCTCCAAGCAGGTCGTGCTCAGGGCCCACGCCCAAACCACCCTCCACCTTGGGGACAGTGCCGACATGCACGTTAGGACCCAGCATGTTTGTCGCATTTGCTGGCTGCTCGGAAAGGCGCATGGCAGCTTCCGCATGGGCGATGGAGGTCCGCAGGTTCGGGTCAATGATGGCCCCCACGTCGCCGGCGTTGCCGCTGACATCACCCACTTTGAAGGGCTTCAGGCAGTCCAGGGGCAACCAGGCGTACTCAGCCTCTTCGTCCTCCTCCTCCTCGCCACCTGTCATGGTTCCATGGAAGCGATAGCGTAAGAGGGTGCTACAAAAGCCTACAATTGGCATGCACTACACATGTTCGCTACCGCCTCACGCCCGGCCCGCTACGTTACTCCTTGGTGCGCGAAGAGAAACCCGTTCCCCATTAGAGGTGCATCACTGCCGTCGTGGTGGCAACCTCTCCCCGTAACTCACCCACACCCAGGGCGCGCATGCTGGCTGCCACAATGCCCTGCGCCGTGTCCAGCCGCTCCTCCACCTCGCCGGGGATGCCCTTGTTGGTAAAGAATACAACCGGGATGTACAGCAGCACAGAGCCGTGCCCACCCGGCGGCGGCCCAACCTAAGGGACAGGCAAAGGGGCAAGGCGGCAACACAATTCTCGAGAAGTTTCAACCTTAGCATGCCAGCGTCTCGGGACTTCGCGCAAGCCGCACCAAGGTATGGTATGCAAATGGAAGGCATGACGCACCTCACGAGGCACCGCGCGGCGTCGGACAATCTTAGCCGGCCACCAGTCGTGTCCCTCCACCTTGGCCCACACGACACGGCCCGGGCGCAGCGTGTCGCGCGGGTAGGGGAACTCCGGCCGCGGCAGCAGGACCTGCTCCGCTGGGTCCAGCATCATCATGGGAGCCAACTGCGAGGTCGATGGGCCGGAAGGTCAGCGAGAAGGTAATATGGAATACGACCTCCGCCCTAGCAACTGCCAGCTTCGCTGCAAGGAATACCCTAGCCCTCCTGGCCCAATCCAAGAAAGGGTTTTGTCTAGCAGTGAACACAGCAGGACCAAAGACCCCCTCCGCCATACCCCAAAATGCTCTGCCCCGTTCCCCATTAACCAGTGCTCACCTCGCCCTCATAGTAATCGCCTTCTCCCGCCACACCCATGCCCAACAGCGCCTCTGCCGCCTCGCTGACGCCGCGCACGCCACGACCAAACGCCCGACCACCGGGGCGGCTGCGCGCCAGGCCAGCGGCACTGCTGCGACCGCCACGGCCCCCGCGGCTGGCTCCCCGGCCGCCACGCCCACCCCGACCGCCACGAGGCGTCAGGCCACGACCCCGGGCCCCACCCACACGCCCGCCCCTGCCGCCACGCCGGCCGGGACTGGGAATGCTCGACGGCAGGATGTCCGACCCAGCCCGCTTGATTTTGGGCCTGTTAATGAACTTTGCGCGCATGCGCCTGGCCCCGTCAAGGTCGTCATCGGCTCCATCGCCGAGGTCGTCGTCATCGACGTAATCGTCCTCCCCCCTGCAACCGTGGGGCCATAGTATGTATACACGTTTTTTGGTGGCGTGGTTGCAGGTTCACGCGCAACACCCTTACCCGTCGCCTTCATAGTATTCCTGCTCAGCCTCCTCAAAGGGAGGCTCCTCATTGTAGTGAGCCTCATGTTGTTGCTGCTGCAAGTGCAGCTGTAGTAGCTGTTGCTGCTGCTGTAGGCGCTGCTGCTGCAATTCCTGTTGCTGTGCAGGGCGAGGGATGAAAATTTAAGAGCCAGCCCTCAGCACGGAACGTGTGAGCCCCAGCACAGCACGATGGGCCCATCACGACCGCTACACCAAAACATACCTGCAGCGCCAGGATTTCGTCAATTTCCTCGCTCGGCAGCGCTTGAGGCGTCGCGCAAGAAGAGTGGCGCGGGTCCCATACGTTGTGCTTGCACTCCCAGTCTTCGGGCAGCTCATCATCTTTTAGGTGAAAAGGCACCTGCTCATTTGTAACATCGATTTACATTGAATGTCCCGCAGAACACGGCTAGGAAGGCAACCGGTGAAGACTAACAGTAACAGTCAGGTATAGGCCTACCTTCCTCCATTTATGGCACTGGCTGCATTGAACCCATTTCTGCATCTCAGGGCGCAGTACAGAGTGTTGCTTGCCCTGTCCTGCAGGCTGGCTGTCCGGCGGGCCCAGGGTCGGTCGCTGCGGAGAACTCACTCGCATTTCTTCCCGGCTACGTAAGCAACGGAAGTACAGATGTCCATATATGTTAACAATTTGTAACGATAGCAAATCCCTTTCAGAGCGTGAGCATACACAGCCTGAACCCCACCTTGCCGCAGCCACTGACGCCAGCGCACCGAGCGCATCGGCAACATCCGCCATTTCATGCATTTCTTCATCGGCCTCAACGCCCGACATTGTACTTGGACTCCCTGGAAAAGAACAATGCGGGACATATCTCCAATAACGAGCAAGTCGATTCCCATGGAAATGATAAGTGTATTTTTTCATATGTTTAGCACTAACGGCAAGCAAGCACCGCTCAATTGCGTTGTATGTGTTCCTTGTACCAACTCAGCCACCAAGCATGTTCTCGCACCAAAGGCGTAACACTTAATCATTAACAATATGTTGCATCATAAGAAACACTAGACAGAAACCCGTTCGCCACGAGCAGTTGGGAGGGACAAGTCAATTGAGTTACAATATATTGCCTCCAGAAAAGCGAAACCAGCTCTCCAAAGCCCCTTTACAAACCCGGGAGGTAATACTCTAATAATAAATATGACTTCTTGCGGCTGGGATGCGTGCTAGCCAAATGGAAGCGATAATCGTCGACTGCGCACCTTTCAAGCTTTCTTGTCACAGGGGGACTCTCGAGCGGTCCATCGTCGATGTCTCCTCAGAACACGGTCAGCAATAAAGAAGTCTGAAGGTGGCTACCGTGGTGGTCAGCGCGTTGGATACAACTCCCTTAAAGTCATGTAGTATGTCAATCTCATATGGCATATTCTGTTATATCCATCAAACAAAAGAAGACGCTGTGATGCAGAGCATTGCGTAGACGGAAAACAGTCACGTACGGCCAAGTGGGCTTCATCATGGACGATTCCCGCATCGGCATGACACAACTTGTGTTTTGATAGGCCATCTTGCTATGTAACTGAATGCTCCCACAGATACGATGCAGCAAGGACACCCCGCTCAGCCATCTTTGGTCCTGAGCGCTGTGCCCTATAGAAGTAACGATAGGCCCGCCTCACAAAGGGCATGTGGACCGGAGGATCGTAAGGGTTAGACACAATGGAAGGATAGGGAGTTTGCTCCTCGGCTTGATGCACTTGGTGAATGCTTGCGGTTGCCAATGGGTGGCCGCCAGGCCGAAACCCTGCTCAACTGTCCTCACGAGCCGGGGGCCCGGCAACACTCACAAAAACAGAACCCCGCTCAGCTGGGACGTTGTAGTCGGCGTGGCGCCAACCAGTACCTTTACGGCCCTACTCGAGGCCAGCCAGCTCCTGAGTGTACAATAGGGGCGAACGGTACGATCAACTGGGCGGCGTGCGCGGAAGGGCTGGCTTGGTTAGGTGGAAGGGTAGCTATACTGAACGGGCTTGTCAGTTGGCTGAGGCGCAGCCCCAGCAACCAGCCTGTGACCGACAAGTCACTTGCTCACATTGCTCATTGCCGACATCCTATGCCACCCAACCCCAATCTACCGGTATGTACGGGGTAAAGGCGGACGCCGTATACTGCCACCCGCCGAGCTAGGTAAAGAGCAGGACCTTACAAGCTCGCATTCGGGGGCTTATCCAGGATAGGTTTGATTAGGTATGTTGGCCGCTTGGCCAAGACCTGCTGAGGTGAGGCCCCACCCAGATTATTAGGAAGCAACCCCACGGGAGCCCTGCACATCCCCCCAGTCCCAGCAGGGCCCCCCAGTCCAGCTGTGTACGACCACCCAGCTCACCCCTGCTGCTGGCACGCTGCGTATTCGCCTTGCAAACCATGTATTTTACATCCCGTTATGCCCCTCCATGCTTACTATGAAATCACCATTACCTCGAGACACTCCAAATACTGTAAACGCGAACATGCCGAGCGATGACACCGTTGCATGCAAACCACCCAAGGCACAACACAACACCTAGCTCGCTGGCAAGCTCCACGCTACCACCCGCGACGTGCCAGCTGAGCCAGCAAGGCGTCCCTGCGCTGCCTCAGCGCTGCAACCTCCTCTTCCCCTACCTGTGCCTGTGCACACACCTCTCCCAACCTCTCAACAAGAGACTCGCAATGCTGCCGTACTGCTGCCGCCTGCGCCCGAGCGCCAGCCGCCAGCGAACCCATCGGCGGCGCAGCCGCTGCGGCTGCCATCGCTGCAGCCCCGGTCAACCCCGCCGACGCCAGCCCGGCTGGTGAGGTTGCCGATGATAGCAGCCCGGAGGACAAGGGGTAGGCGGTGGTGGTGTTGAACTTCTGGTAGTCCGCTAGGCCGGTGTGTCCGCCCAGGTTGAGTGTTTGCAGCTCCAGGGGCTCTAGAAGGAGCTCACCGGAGGCAACTGCCTGTCGGGCCTGGAAGCACCTGCGTGTCGGAGGGCAGGGCGTTAGGGAGGGAAATGGGGCGAGGTAAGGGCGATGCGGATGGAAGGCAAGGACGGTGACGGGAGACCGTCGCTGCTATTGATACCGCTACTGCTGCTGCTCTCTCACCTGAATTGCCACGTCACCGTCGCCCCGTTATGGTCCCTCCCTGTGGTGACCAGCAGCAGCAACACTGCCTGCATGGGCCGCCCCTGCTGCTCCTGCGCGCCTGCGCCTCCATGCTGCCCCTGTCCGCCGCCGTACGCATGCCGGCCGCTTGCCGTACTGCTGCTGCTGCTGGCGTCCCTGTTGTTGCTGGCAAGCTGCAGCTGCCGCTGTAGCAGCGCCTGCGTCACAGCGCTTTCCCGCATGGAGGGCCGCAAGGGTACCGAGGTGCTGCTGCCGCCGCTACTGCTGCTGCCACCACCGCAATCAGCAACGGCGGGTCTGTAGGACAGCCAACCGAGCAGCGGCCCTGGTCGGTCTTTTAGCAGCGCTTGGAGCTTGGATTCTGCTTGGTGCGCAGGTTACCGATACAACACAAGTTCGGTTGTCATCGTTGGAAAGCTTAAAGACCTTTAACAAGTGCACTTGAGGTCCGCTGCATCATGCTCTATGGCGTTGCCGCGGGCCCTGCATGAGCGTCTCCGCCTTGTTGCAAGTCGGGTCCAAGTTGCAAGTCGCCTTAAACCCGGGACGGCTTGCCCAACCAATGGCCACCCTTCCAACGGTTTAACGCCCCAGACCCGCATCGCCACGCCACCGTTCCACTAGCTACCGGCAATGCATCTCTCTTAAACTGTCACTTACCCGCTATATCTCCCCCCCCATCGTAGAAGCTGCAAGTGGTGGCGCAGCACAGCGTGGAGCAGATGGCAGCCCGGGATTCGGTCATGGTGGCAGCATCTGGCCAACAGGGCAGAGCAGGGGCAGCGATTGGAGGAGGGGAGGGCGCGGGGCTCAGCGTGACAGGGTTGGGGTGCCGCCCGTGTGTGGGTGCTGGCCCTCCCATTCTCTTCCGGCCTTACCCCACGCGGCTCCATTCCCGAATTGCTAACATGTCATGCCAGCCCTCTTGTCAACATTCGACTCACCATCATCATCTTGCAGCTGGTGCGTTGTCGTGGAGATAGTGTTCCCTGTTGGACAGTTGGACCGGAGGAATAGGTGGAACCCATGGGTCCAGGAGGCTTCACCGACCAATTGACTTACCCTCATCCCGCTCGAGGTAGGGCATTCAGGGGGTATAATTCCTTGCGATGGGACAGCACCTACCAAACAACAAGCCATCGCACGGCGCTCCACCTGCCGTCACAGAGTACAGCGTGGTAGACAGGCTAGCTCCGGGAATCGTAACTTTTGACAACTTGGATGGTATAGCGTTTGTTGACATGTTGTGCCACCAGAGTATGGCTGGCAGGTAGGCAACCAGGACAGCCCAATGAGCAATGCACACCGTTGGAATTAGGAATTAGAGCCCAAGGGCGTCCCTGTGCTTGACAAAATTACAACATCAGGTAACAAAGTTCGGACGCCAAGTGCCGGAGTACAATGACCTATCATGCCAATCAAAGCACAAATGGCAGTTAAGCTGGCAAGTACGGGCGAGGTGTTCGGGTGTGTCGACAGGTCGCGTCAAACCACAGTGCAGACCCAACACGCCATCATAGGACCAATTGGTTCAAGACTCTTGTGGTAGAGCGGCTTGGCAATCCGAGGCACTTCCTTGCGTGCAACCAACGGTGCAACTCAACTTCCACGCTTTTGGTAGCGCTCACTTTGGCTGGCCGCTTAGGGTCCACAGTTTCAGCGCGTACGTATTGTAAGCATGGCTCGGATGCAGCCACCAGCTTGAACCCTAACGTCCAGCAGGCGCGCCCAAGAATGAGCTGCAGCGTAGCCGAGGATTTTGGGCCTCCGCAGGTAGGCATTATATCAGACACGTGTATATTAAGCTGGCTGCCATTTTCGCTTTGCCGTTTCTCCAGACCGGGGCTTGTGCCTTGCTGACGTTTACCTCGTTGGTCCGGCTCCTCCCATCTTGCGGCTTCTGCAGGTTCACCCGGGCACAATTCTTCGTGTCCAGGAAGGTCAAAACTGCGCTGTTCTATGCGCAGCAGATGAAGAGACGGGTGCTTTCTCGAGCCGAGCATCTAAGTAGGTGTTGCGAATCCCATGAGACTATAGCGGCGCCTACTTGCCTCTTGCCACGAAGTTATGTTATCTGCTTAAGTGCGCTATCTTCAGACCTCCGACCTCCGAGCTACCTCGCCACTTCACGCTTCCTTCCGTTTTCCTTGATTGCTTTCCGCATAACCTGCCCGCTTAAAACTTCGCTCTTCTCCCTCTCCTGCTCCATTGCAAGCTTTAACAGCTACAGAACCCCTTGGCGGCAGCGACAGCCACCAGACGCTTGTCACGGAACCAACAGCCCCACCTGCGCTGCCCACAGTGACTGCTCCCGAGCTCAGCAGCAGCAACAACAACACTCCCAGCAGCATCCCTACCACCCAGCCGGCAGTACTGGCGGCGCTAGCAGCGGCCGGAGCGGCGGCGGTGCCTTGGATGCAACCAGCGATGCCGACGCTGCCGCGGCAACTGCGGTGGTTTGCCTGGACGATGAGGAGGACGGCGATGGAGCTACTGCCACCGCTGGCGACGGCAGCAGCGCCCTCGTGGACGACGACGACACGGAGACATCGTTTTCGGAGCTGTCGGATCCAGGCGGCACCGAGGTTTGTACGGCGGTTATTGCACTACCGTTACGACTTGGCCGTACAGCGCTACTGCCGCCTTATAGCTACTGAGATACTGCTTACCCACCTCATATTCATCTCGTCAACCAGTGCCGTAGTCTCCTGCCTATGCGTCTCTTAGTCGCTACCTGCACCGATTTGTCTCCATCGCCACTCTTCACCAATACCGGTTTGTCTCCATCGCCGCTCCCCACCTACCTCAATGCCAATCCTGCGCCCCAGGTGGTGTTTGTCCGTGAGGGAGTGGCAGTGTGGCCGGGTGCCCGCTCGGAGCGCATCCTGGGCCGCCTGTCCCTGGTCAAGCAGTGCGGCGTGCTGTTCATGGCCTGGCTGCCGTACAGCCGAGGTGTACTGCAGGCGGACGGGACCTTCAGAGTCGTGGCCGCCGACGCGGATGCGGATGCACGCGATGCTCATGATGCGAAGATGGTGGTGGCGAAGGCGAGGGGCCGCGTTGTAAACGGCGGCGGCGCGGTGGGCGCGACGGGTACGGCAGCGGAGGCGGCGATGCCGCCGCCGCCGCCGACGATGGCCACATCCATGGATGGACAAGCAACGGCGACGGGGCACGGCAGTGGTAAGCTAGAAATGAGGATCTCAATTTATGGTATGAAAGGGCGAGGACTTGGTACTATTTTCGGGTCTACTAATTGGGGAGGCATGGCTGCGCGCCCCATGGCCCCCCTACTAAGGCCCTAAGCCCCTCTCTCACCCTCCCTGCAACCCCCATCCACTCCCCCTTCCTGTCCCCAGACCGCACGCTCTACGCGGTTCACCCCATCCCCCTCTCCGAGGTGCGTGCGCTGCGCCGCCGCACGCCGCCGCTGGGCCTGGGCTGTCCGCAGCTGCTGGTGGTGCTGACCAGCGGCGTGACGCTGCCGCCGCTGCACTTCACGCGGGGCGGGGTCAGGGCGCTCATCGCGACACTCAAGCAGGTGCGCGCGTGGCATTGAAGGCCTCCTTGATGACCTGATGAGGCGGGGCGGTTAATTGGCTGTGGGCATGTGCGGTCAGTGGGTTTGGCGAGGTAGAGGAGTTGCTGCAAGGCCCCGTAAGCTTGGCAGGGCAGTGACCCCAGGAGATCCGTGGTACTGGGCATACCGCGCGTCCCTTGCCTCCCACCGCGACGGCTTAACTTCTCTCTCCTCCCCCTGCTCATGGCCCCGCCCCATCCATCCTGCCCTTCCTCCCCTCCCCGCCCCCAGCACGTGTTCCTGCTCAAGTCCGCCTCCGAGCCCCAGACTTACCTGGTTAACGACACCGCTGACCCGCTCTGCCGCTCCCTATCCGCTCTGCAACTCGCGGACGTGCTCATTGGTGGGCCGCCGCCGGGCGCCTCAGCCACCTTCGAGCCGGGCGGCGCCGCCCTCTTCTCCTCCGCCACCGCCTTCTTCTCCTCCTCCTCCTCAGCAATGGCAGCAGCCACAGTGCCCTCTGAGATGCTTGCGACTGGGGCTGCTGTCGCGGGTGGGTCGGTTTCGCAGTCGCGCGCGGCGTGGGCTAGTCCTGCTACCGGACTGGGACTGGCGGCGGCGGCGGGGCTAGGTGGCGGAGGCGCGTGTGCCGCCGCCAGCGGTGGAGGTGCCGGCGGCGGCAGCGGGCGGGATGTGGGCGCGCTTCAATCCGGGGTGGCGTGGAGCTGGGCGGATCGGCCGGCGAGGAGGACTGAATCGGGGGACTTGGGCGGTTTCGAGGCGGTCGACGGCAGCTGCGGCGGCGGCGACGGTGACGGCGGCGGGGAGGGCAACAGTCAGGATTACGAGGATGGGAGCAGCGAGGGTTATCGAGGTGTCGTGGGCGGCGCCTGGGCGTCTAGCATTGTGGATGCGATTAACCGGTTCGTGCAGAACGTCAAGGGAACAGCGAGCGGCTGGATAGGTGCCTTGGATGAGCTGGAGGAGTCGGAGGGCGATCTGTTGTACGGCGGAGAGAGCGACTGCTACAACCTGCGGTGTACGGTTGATGTTGATGACAGGACCGGAGGGGAGAACCCAACCGCAGAGGAGAAGCTGGGGAGGTGCCAGGGCGGCATCGAGATGCAGCGCCGATGCGGCGGCATTGCTGACGGCGACGCCGTCAGTGGTGTTACTGGCAGCGGCAGCAGCGCCGCCGCCACTACCTCAACCGCTTGCCTTGCTAGCGGTACGGCGCAGAACAGCAACACCAGGGGCGAAGGTATACCTCCCAGTGCCGCCGACGCGGCAGCATCCGCCGCCGCTGGCACTTCAACAAGCGGCACCAATGCTACCAGAATAACGGGCCTTAATCCCAGGAATATCGGGAGCGGCGGCAACCTGGAGGAGGCCGGGGACATTACAACGGCGGTGGGGGATTTCGAGTTACTGGACGGCAGCGGCTGCTGGGGAGAGGCCTCGGCGCACCCGCTGCTCGTCAGACGCCGGCTGCGCCCGCCGCCGCTGTCGGCCGAGGAATGGGCGGCCATGTTCGACGCAGGTAGGCGCGGCTGTTGTTTGCTTGCGCGCGTGTGGGTTACCATTGTGGGTCTGTGGCCCCGGGAAGCCAACAGCAGCCGGGGCCGCGTACGGCGTACCGTCCCTGCCACTTCGCTCGATGATGTCACGTTCTGTCATGTTCGGCCCCCTCGTGCACTCCCAGGTGCCCCAGCCCACCCTCAGTATCCCCCTCCTGGCCCCCATCCCAAGTTCCCTCTTCCCCCACTTCCCCTCTCCTCCCCCCTCCTCAGAGGGTCGCCTGGTTGCGGAGGCCGCCCTGCGCGACCGCGTGTCCGCCTCCGGCTGCTGCCCCGAGCTGCGGCGGGAGGTGTGGAAGCACCTGTTGGCCATGTACCCGCGGGGCAGCACCGCGGCGGAGCGGAGGCGGGTGGCGCAGGTGTGGCAACCAAACTGGGGTTTCCCTGCTCCTTCCTCCCCCTCATTGCTCTCATTGCTCTCGTCCCCGTTCTCGCCCACCGCCCTTCCTTGCCCCTCTTCCAGTTACGCCTCACCCCTCTATCCCTCTCTCTTCCCTCCTGCTCCTTCATCCCCCATTCCTCCTTCCTCCTCCTGCCGTCTCCTATCCCCTTTGCTTTGCTCCTAATGAGGAATATGTATCCCATATGAACCCCTTTTGCTTTGCCCTTACCTGTGGCTTTCTATGGTATATGGTAAGGTCCTTGTCCCCCCATGCAGGCCTGGCAGCGCGACTACCTCACGCTGCGCTCCCAGTGGCAGTCCATGACGCCCGCGCAGGAGGCGCGCTGCACCGCCTGGCGGGCCGCGCGCACCGCAGTGGACAAGGACGTGCGGCGCACCGACAGGGGCCACCCCTTCTTCGCGCGCGAGGGCGGACCCGGGCTGCGGGCGCTGCGGCACGTGCTGCTGACGCATGTCATGTACGACCAGGACCTGGGGTACTGCCAGGTGCGTGCGTGCGGCGCGGAGGCGGATGAGGGGGGCACTGTGCGTGCGTTTTGGGAGCTGCAGAGGAGTCCTTCTGCGGCTCCCGCATCCGCCCGCGATTGTTTCCGGCTTGAGCTCCTTAATTCCCTGCAGTTGGTGTTTCTAGCTCCATTCCCATGCGGCCCACTCGATGCTGCTCAACCCGTGTCACACCGTGCAGCTCAACCCTTCCCGCCCGCCTGTCCGCACGCCTACCCGCCCCCGCCCTCTCCCCTCACCCAGGGCATGAGCGACATGGCTGCCCCGCTGCTGGTGGTGATGCGTGACGAGGCGGAGGCCTTCTGGGCGCTGGCGGCGCTGCTGGAGGGGCGCGGCATGCGGGGCAACTTTCACACCGACATGGAGGGGATGAACGCGCAGCTGGCGGCACTGCGGCGGCTGGTGCAGGTGAGGGGTGGGGGTGTGCGTGTCACGTTACGTATGCCCTGTGCCTCCTGGTGGGTGCGGTTAGAGGCGGTGAGAGGGCGCTGCCGATGTTTGCGTCTTGGCATGCTGCTCCACGCTGTGCATGAAGTCTTTGCTCCAATTTGCATACAATGTCAGCCAACCGACCCATGGGTCGCTCACGTCCTTCTGTGCCTGTCTGGCCCACCCGCTCCCTCTTACTTAAAGCTGCTGGACCCTCCGCTGCACGCCTACCTGGAGCGCCGTGACTGCCTCAGCTACTACTTCGCCTTCCGCTGGCTGCTCATCCACTTCAAGAGGGAGTTCAAGTGAGGAGTGGCTTGTGGGGGGGCGACTGGGGAGGTGGAAGAGCGGGATGCAGAGCTGGGACCTGGGAGAGGTATCCTCCTATCCTGCACATTACTGAAGGCCGATGCGAAGGATTGCTGCTGTTGCGACGACTGCGTTACGCTCGTTTGCATGCTATTGGCATTACGGCGACAGAATCCGACCTCGTTTGGTAGCGTACTATGAACCTGTCTCTATGCACCTTACGCCTGGCGTCTTCTCCCCTTTTGCGACCCCACCTTCCCTCCGTTCCTGTGGCCGCAGGTTTGAGGAGGTGTTGTCGCTGTGGGAGGCCTGCTGGGCGTGTCGCCGCACCCGCCACCTGCACCTCTACCTGGCGGCGGCGGTGCTGGTGCGACACAGGTGTGGCGGGGGGCTGCGTGAAACCAAACCCTTTCAAGTGAAGCCGCAAGTTAGGGCAAGGCAACATAGGGCAGCACAGGGGCAGCATCGGAGGTGTGATAATGCTGGCTGTTTTAACGCGCGAACAGCAGTCCTGTTGCTGCTCTCCCGCAAGCTGTCCCTCAACCATGGACTCCGCTCCTGTCACACGCACCCCCACCCATTAATCTCCCAACATTGCAAGCCCCGCAAACCCCGCTCCTTTCCACACATTGGGTATTCTCCTTTTCCCCCTCCTTCCTGCCCCCCCCAGGCGCGTCATCCTGTCCTCCGAGCTGGACCACGACGGGCTGCTGCGGCTGTGTCTGGGTCTGGGCGGGCGGCTGGAGCTGGGGCCGCTGCTGGAGACGGCGGAGGCGCTGGCGGGGTACGCGGGGGAGGCGGGCAGGGAGGTCACGCAGGGGCTGGCGTAGGCGCTGCCGGACTGGGGGTGATGGTGGCAGCAGTAGGAGCAGGGTAGGAGTAGGGCGCATGGGGCGCGGTGGTAGGAGGCCGCACACGGGATGAGGAGGTATCGGAGTGGGTAGGAGGGCAGAGCGGGGAAGGGAGTTAGCGACAATAGGAAGGGAGCTGCGAGCGAGCTGTGGCAGGATTAGCCGTGTTCTCCGGAGGCAGAATAATGCAGGGCATTAGCTGGAAGATAGGATGAGGGTGAGGTAGGATGGGATGCGCCACACATGCATCCCATCACTCGTTGTGGGGAGCAGGGGTGTACGCAAGAGTCTCAGGTATCAGGACGCGTTGACCTGCGTTGTGTTGCCGACATGTATGCTAGGACTTCGGAACGTGGATCAAATACTTGTACCAAGTTGCTGTTGTTACAGATGTTGTTGTATGATAGGCCAGTGTATACTAAACCTATAGGTACCTAGCGGAACTGGCCCTGGTTAGAGCTGTTTTGGGAAAAGTACACGGACTGGTTTCCAGGCAACCCGGTCGCGCAAGGACAGTTCGTCTTTCTGTCGGTTATCAAGTCGACGGGCGGTGTGTGGCTGAGTTGGCTGTTGTCGCAAGCGCTGAGCAGGTCTCGACGGGGGTCACTGGGGGCCCTATGGGTCGTTCCAACCAGTTTTGTAGGAGTCGCTGGACTAGGGGCAGGCAGGGTGCACATGTGGGAGATGAGGTCGTGCCTGGGTTTACCAAGTGCGTGTTGCTATTTAGCCGGGGATTCTCACAATTGATCATATTGCAGTTGTACCATGTTCCCCTGGCGGGCATGTGTTGGATGTCCTGGCTTGTATGCCATGTCAGCTTGTAGGAATGCAGGTCAGTACGGCCGAGGCAGCCTGTGGTGGTTAACAGTTGTTGCATGTATGGTTGATGTCTAGTGGCAGGCTTGGTCCAATGGTTTCAAAGGTGGTTGGGACAACGGGCTGTATAGCGAGACCGAACCCAAATCCTCCTGCAGGCCTACCGTATGGCGGTAGATGCGTCGGAGCTTTACTTGAGAGCCGGGAAGGGTCATGAAGTCTGAACTTCAACGAGATAATGTTTGTGCCACTGGAAGGTGCCACGTTAGTCCATGGGTTTGCTGCCGTCATGTTCTCATCCTTTCGAGCGTGCATCCTATGTACGGAAGTCCTTGCTGGAGTCTTGCCTTGCAACATCCCTGTCATCCCGCTTTGCAGACATAAGTGCGACATAAGCATGGCTACACATCAGTTGTCCGTAAGCAAGGGCCCATGCACGTGCGAATAGCTTCGCACAAAGCAGGACTGGCTTGAGTTACCTCTCGGTAACTGTGCTGCACGCTAATGTGCCCGAGGACCACTCCAGGTTATGCATCGAGTGAGGGTTCGGCTACTCGCCAGGGACACCATAACAGTGCCTGTGTCCTAGCTATCAGAAGCTTGCGGCCTTGCCCTGAACCAGGCCGTTTTATACCTAACGGGCGAGCCTTGGATATAATGCCTATGTCATTGAATGTTGTTGGAGGTGATTACACGCTTTATGCGAGCTTTTGCAGGCACTGAGAGGATACACCCTTGCATGTATGGGCGATTTGGCGAGATAGGAGTTCTGCTAGGTTATAAAAAAGACCCAATGGAAGGCATAGGCGCTTTGAGATATGCGTGAAACGCTGCACGTTTTTGATAACTGGAATGCACTTATTTCGGGCGTGTTGGTTTCGGCGCCGACCGAATGGGCCTTGCGCTCCCCAACCTGAATTGTTCCTCGCCCTCCAACACATTTCTCTTTCCTGCAGACTGGCACAATGTCGACCATCGTGCCAGAGCTCCTTGCCAAGAAGCGCAAGCGGGACGAGCAGGCCGCTGCCGACCGGGCAGTGGCTGCTCTGGAGTCTCGCAAGAAGGCCCGGGCCACTCGCAAGGACATCTTCAAGCGCGCGGAGAAGTATGTGTCCGAGTACCGCTCCCAGGTACAACTGGGCGCCGACGGCAACTCATTATAGGCAGCCGGTTATGGGTTCAGGGGCGAACGTGGCTTTGTAAGCAGCAACATGGGAGTATACACGGAGTTATACTTACCAGCAGCAAGCAGACAGCATGTGGAGCGCCAAGCGGCCCGGAGGCAGGAGCGGCAGCCGGCGGCTGGTTCAGCCGGCAGGACTGGGCGCAGCGCAGCGGCTAAAGCGGAGAAAATGCGCTATAAATCAATATATGGCAGAAGCACATTTCGCCTTGTCATATTAGCGATTAGCAGCGACCTCTTACCAACATTTGGCTGTGTTTAATTGCATGCACACAGGAGAAGGACATGGTCCGCCTGAAGCGCGATGCCAAGGCTAAGGGTGGCTTCTACGTGCCCCCTGAGGCCAAGGTCATCTTCGTGGTGCGCATTCGCGGTCTCAACAAGATTGCCCCCAAGGTGAGCGTGCTACTTGGCAAGTGCGCACGTTATAGCTATAACATATTTGCGAACAGTCTTATTGTAAGATTATAGTCGGGCGACAACTACTGTAAGAACGTTTTTGTCGGCGGCATTCGCATGTGCGGTGCTCCTGTCAGGCGACGTGTTCCAGCTAGTTACCAACAAAGTAGCAGCATTATACCCGCGTCCATTCAGTTATAGCTATCTATTGTCGTTACCCACCGCGGGAGCACATAGTGCTTAAGGTTTCCACCCTACTGCTTCTTACACACAGACGAAGAAGATCCTGCAGCTGCTGCGCCTGAAGCAGCTGAACATGGGCGTCTTCCTCAAGGTACGGAGGTTGGGCTGAGGGTACCATGCGCAATACCCCACCGTACGGGGCCTGAACCAACCCCTCGCTGCATCCCTTGCTCAGGTGAGCAAGCCCGTGCTGAACATGCTCCAGCGCGTGGAGCCCTACGTCGCCTTCGGCTACCCCAACCTGAAGTCGGTCCGGGAGCTGATCTACAAGCGTGGCTACGCCAAGGTATGTGGTTGTTTATGCAACCAAGTGACAAGAGTTTGTGTTTGCCCTTGTCCGGTAGACAGGAATGGCCGGCCAGCAGCACTGCGAAATACCCCATTTGCACACACCTATAGCATTACGCAACTTTGCCGGGGAAGGCACAGGATATGCGTGATGTTGCGATGGCCCCAGCCTCCAGGACAAAGTGTGTTAGCGCCCCCGCTAATCATCCCGGCTGGGCCCCACTTTTCCGCAGATCAAGGGCAACCGCATCCCCCTGACGGACAACCGGATCATTGAGGAGGTAAGATGAGATGATTTCGGGGGGAGGAAAGGGTACCGTGGGCAAGAGACATGGTTGGGCAAATCTGTGTCGCTGCCGTGGGTTTGGGATGTTGGTCCTCCGTACCCGCAGCTGGCTTGCACACGAGAGTTGAGAGCATGCTGTGGGATGGGACTAGCACTGGGCGGGACTTTCCACTGCGCAAGCGTGCATATCCTGTGCCGTTGAACCTCTGCCTAACTTCTGCTGTAACCCTACGTTCCTCTCCACGCCCCTTAGAACCTGGGCAAGCACGGGCTCATCTGCATGGAGGACCTGGTGCACGAGATCTACACGTGCGGCCCCAAGTTCAAGGAGGTCAGCACCTTCCTGTGGCCCTTCAAGCTGTCGTCGCCTAAGGGCGGCATGGACAAGAAGCGCCTGCACTACGTGGAGGGCGGCCAGGCCGGCAACCGCGAGGAGAAGATCAACGCTTTCATCCGCAAGATGAACTAAGCGCAGCGGTAGCAGCAGCAGAAGCAGCGCTACTTGCAGAGGCCGCATACGCAGCGCTGGCAGCAGCGGCCAATGCAGCAGCGGTGGAGACGGCAGCAGATAGTGGAGCGGAGCTAGGCTCTTGCTTTGCTGCGCCGTGATAGGATAGTGCTAGATGCCCCAAGGGCGCCGCACCTCCCAACCGCTTGCAGCTGCGAGTTGGTCTTCCTTGGTGGTTTCGCCCGGCTTTCGTCGGAAGGAGAGCGTGTAATGCGTATCTGTGCGTATGGCTTCGCCTCCTCTCTATTGCTGAGCATGGCCACAAACTCATGCACGTTAATCTAAACACATGGCTGGAGAGCAGCGGAAATAAGCCAGATGTTGCGTGGAAATGCTTTTTCCTAGAGGAGTGACCGAGTCAAGAATACTGCTTACATAGCATGCCGGCACGCGTTAAATGAATGCCCCCAGCCTCCAACATGCTCCAACGCACCCATGTCCAGCAAAGGGCTAGCCTTCTGCCATACAATACAGTATCAAACGAACGCCGATAGCTTGTCCGCGATTGTAGCAACCCAGCCGCGCTCACGCTCAGCCATAGCCCTGCAGCAGGAATGGAAGGGACGTTGAAACCATGCGAGTCAACACAATGCAGACTTGCCTATGACATAGATGCAGACGGTACAGTACAGCGTGCAAATGCCAAGCATTAGCCCGTCCCGCGTACCTCGGCCGCTCCGAAAACACCAGCAGCACTGCGGGTCGGCCGCTCTGTGCCGCTACGTGCTGAGCTAGGAGGCACTGCGCGCCCTCAGGCAGCACCGCAAGTGCCTGCATGCCTGCCCCACCGAAGTCTCCACGTTCTGGAAGCCACAGCTGCGACACGGCACCCGATGCCACCTCCGAGATCTTGCTGGTGCTGCAAACGCTAGTATAATCCTGCGGCAGGATCGGCATTGTTTGAAAGGATACGATACCATTCCATGCTGCATCCATGCCACACGCTCATATTCCAGCTCCCAGCCCCGCCATCCCCGTGTCCCTGTGACCGCATCGTGTGGGTTTGTGTCAGTCTGCCCCATGCCCCCCCTGTCGCCCCAGCCCTCACCCGCCCCACCTGCGACATGGCGGCCAGGGAGCGCTCCGCGTCCCCCGGCCTCACCAGCTGCGAGCCCAGCGCCCCGCGTGCCAGCAGCACCCGGTCGCCCGCCACCAGCAGCAATCCGCAGCAGTTGGTGTTCTTGAGCAGCGCGAAGGAGCACCACGCCAGCTCCTGAGACCAGCGGGCGCAAGCGAGATAGGTGGCGGCCCGGTACGAAGGTTGGGCGGGGGGGTACACGCATGCAGGCCCACGGGTGAGTTATCAAGCACGCCATAACGGCTCAATACCTTCTTCGTGCTTTCGGGTAGGGAGGGCTCCAGGAAGAAGCAGTTTGCGGCGCCCGGGATGGCTTCGGCGGTTTTTTGCCGCCCACGTCCCGGCATCGCCTCCCGCAGCCGCTCCTCTATCTCCGGCACCAGCACGCACATCACCGCCAGCAGCAGGCCCAGCCATTCGGATCGGAGCTGCGGGGAGAGGGAAGAGACAGGTTCTAAGGACGGCGCTTAGTGACACAATGCAATACAGGAGGACGCCTTGAATGGGTCACGTGAAGTGCGAGATCACGTGAAGTGCGAGGACGACTGGGTGTAGAGATAAGTGAAAGGGGAGAGGGGAACGGACCTGAGCGTCAGGTGTAGGCTGTGCCCCTGCGACGTGGTTCAGCGCGAGGAGAGCTGCGATGGCAAGTCCAACCACCCGTGGTATTAAGCGGTCGTCGAAACCCTTTATGCCAAGGGTAAAGCGAAAGACCGCGACGTCTATGTCCTCGTCCCCAAGTCCGCCTGTGTGCATTTCCATGGCGACGCGTCGTTCAGCATTCGCTCGCGATGAATTGGTTTAATATAAGGAGGCGTGGGGCGCTACCATTCTTCTGCGCTTCTATGCGCGTAAAAGTCGATCGGCTAAACGGCTTGCCATGCCATGCTGAAGCCGTTCGCGTCGTCCGGTGCAAGCGCTGACGAGCTACAGGGCAACGGTTAGGAATACCAAACGCTCTAGCTATAATTGTTGCTGACATTTAGGCAGCAAAAACAATTAGGAACTAGCTACTGGTAATAAGGGTCAAGGGCCAGTCGGTGCTGTAAGGAACGCAATCGGCAACCTGCCGCGGCGTTAAAGCGCTGTAGTATTACCCTACAGTAAACATCTCATGATCGTTGGTCAGGCCTGGTCACCGTAAATCTGGTCCTGTCTGTTTGTCGTACGGCACCAGCGGGTCGTCCCTTGGCGTCGCCCTGTACCCAGCAAGTGCCGTAGCACTTGGGGAAGAGAGAATGGCGATGGCGCTACGCTTGTCACTCCTTAGCATCCCAACCTGCAACGCTAAAAGCCATCTACACCCCTTGAGTGCAAGAACACTACCTCGTCAGGGGCAGTTAGGAATCGCAGGCACGCACCAGGCCGTGCAGGGTCCATATGCAAGACACGGGTGGCTTTGAAACACACGCACCGCTCCTCTGTCGCCGATGACAGGATAGTCATGGAAGTGAAACGGAAAGGCTTAGCACTGAACGCAACACCCGTCTGATGTTACGATGTTCCCCATACCATGTTACTATTAAAGTGATTGTTCTGGTGCAGTTCACCGATGGAAACTGGCCTTTGGTACCCCAGCATTCTAACTTGCACGTAACCCGGGTTGTCCACCTTTCTCTCCCTAGCACCACCAAACCGCACAGTGGCCCACACCAGCAATATGATAGTGCTCTTAACGAGAGTGAAAGCCATCATGCAACGCCCAAGGAGTCCAGGGTGTTGCGCATTCCTAGGTCAGCCTCCACAAGGGGCCGGGAGTACGGATTCCAGTTCTGGAGCAAGCGGTTTACAATGCCTGGGTTCAGGCTTACTCTTATTATTTTATAGGCTTGCCGGCCCATGTTTCTACGCTTGGTTGCATCTGCAGTTCGACGTAGCGCGCGAAACGTAGTTCAGGGCGCCGGGCGTGGCACTTTCGACTTACTTCGCGCTGGGCCGGCCCTACCGCGCGCTGCGATCCTTGCTCGAACTTTCTTTACATCACCTGCAATACAAATGCCGACGGTTGGAGTAAACCGTGACAAGCTTTTTGAGAAGCTGGGCCGTGTTTACAGTGAGTGACGGCGGCGGCATTCCTGGGCCATGCAAATTCATTTTAAAGTATAGTCTATATGACTGGGAGTAGATCTAGTCAACTTAGCAAAGCTGGAGGCGCATCCGCTAACTTGCATGCTGGCGTGTTGCACCCGAATCTGCAGCGGACGAGGAGTTCGACCACCTGTGCTTTGAGTATGGTATTGAGCTTGATGATGTGGTGAGTATGCCACGTGGGGTTGCCATGGAGAGGGTATAGTGCAAGTTAAGCCATTCAATCATTTTATCAAGTACTTGAGCCCATGCCCGTGCTGGATATATCCTACCACATGTGAACATGTATGCCCCAGTGGTTCAAAGGGTGGGTCGAGGAGTTAAACCACTGCACCCTAATCTTAGGCTAGTGCACAGTCCGTCACCTTATGCGAGCATCGGGGCTGCGGCATGGCGTCGTACAGGCCTAGGGTGTCTGGGGGTACACAAGGGCAGCAAGGATAGGCGACTTTGCCTCGCACCCCAGTCCAGATGCATGGGGTGCGGGACATGTAGCTGTCACTTTACACATGTACAGTACCCAATCCAGCATGGACACCTCGTCTAGAGCCCAACTTGCACAGCTCCGCATGCCGCCTGCCTTACTTGTACCCCGCTTGGAACCTCGGGTCCAACCCCTTCGCCGTCCTCCTTCCCTTCCCCTCCTTTGCTCCCTCCTAACCATCTGATCCTGCCGGCTCCTCCCACACCCCTGCAATCCCTGCTACTGCGCTCACTGCATGAGTCGGGACATGGGACTGTGCATCACTTCTGATTTCTTCATTACACCCCTGCAATCCCCTCTTATGCCCTCCCACCCCGTCCTGCTGCAGACCTCCGAGAAGGAGATGCTGCGCAAGGAGCTGGCCTCCGCGGTGGCCAAGGGCGGGGACAACAAGCTGGCAGCGGAGGCTGCTGCGGCCAGTGAGGAGGTCATCTACAAGATCGACATCCCCGCCAACCGCTACGACATGCTGTGCGTGGAGGTGAGGGGGGAGGAGAGGAGGGACAGGGAGGGAGGGGTGGGAATTAGGATTGGGGATGTGGGTCAATTTAGGACGGGACCTCTGGGAGATCCTCGCTACAGTACCGCATAGGCTGTGGGTCGTGAGCACGCTGCAGCAGCATTAACAGCAACGACCGGGTCATAGACATCGTTCCTGTTGACACCGGTTCGCATGGGGCGTGGGGCAGGCTGCTGTGCACCTTCATGACCATGGCCTGCTTGTCTCGCTTCCTCTTGCGCGAGCTCTCTTTCCCCTAGTCACATACCACTCGCCCCACTAACCGCTATTGCCCCCACCCACCCACCCCTCCTCAGGGCATTGCTCGCGCCCTCAACATCTTCCGCGGCACCGAGGCGGCGCCCGAGTACAAGCTGGCGGACATGACGGGTGCGGGGGTGAAATATTAGTTGACGGGTGCAGGGGTGGGGTGGGGTGCAGCTTTAAGGATGTCGATTCACGTACGGCTCAGCGTATGACGGGTTGGGCTGGAATGAGCGTGAGGTTCAGGGAAAGCCAGCGCAGCGAACAAAGAAATCCCAAAGGAATACCTTCCGGTGCTGGAAGGATGCCTGGCCAGCACCGGGTAGACAGGCACATGTGTGAAAGAAAGACAGCATGGAAACACAGGCCTTGGCAGAGCTAGGTCTGATGAGATCTTGCGGTGCCGAACAGCTATACACCTTCCCCAGTCCGAAGCATGTCCCTTCACGGCTCCACTCCGCCCCATCGCCTTCCCGCATGCGTGCGTGCAGGCAAGCAGATGCTACAGATGGTTGTGAAGCCGGAGACCTCGCTGGTGCGCCCCTTCGTGGTGTGCGCGGTGCTGCGGGGCGTGCGATTCGACCCCGCGCGGTACAACTCCTTCATTGACCTGCAGGTGCGGGATGGTGGGGGGGGGATGTTAGCATCCTGTGAGCTGTAGCGGAGGTGCTGCTGCTGCGGCCAGCCATATTTATATTCGCGATGTAGCGAAACCTAGCTTACTAACTCATTCCTACCCTGGTGCACTTCCAGCACGGTACGCCCGGAACCTCCCGCCCCGACCTCGCTCCCCTGCCCCCTTCCCTTGTTCCTCTCCTAAACCCGTCCTAACCTGTCCTAACCCTCCTAAACCACTCCTTCACCCCTTCACCACCCGCCCCCAGGACAAGCTGCACCAGAACCTGTGCCGGCAGCGCACGCTGGTCGCCATCGGCACCCACGACCTGGCCACCGTGCAGGGCCCCTTCACCTACGAGGCGCTGCCGCCCGAGGACATCAAGTTCGTGCCGCTCAAGCAGACCCGCGAGTTCAACGCCAAGGAGCTCATGCAGGTGGGTGGACAGAAGAGAGGGCACCAATGGATGGGCCGAAAGCACCGACCCCTGCAGGAAGGGGGTGAATCCAGTGAAAGAGACAGTATTATGGTGGGGTACGGGAGTGGCCGAGCCTCGTCCGGGGAAGGGAACGGGAAGGGCTTCGTACCCTGGCTTCATAACACCCAAGGACTTTGTATCCGGGTACCTTGGTACTCATCCTCTCCATCGCCTTGCCTTCACTTGTAACCTCCACCAGAGCAGCTTGGTTTGTCTCTGACCCGCACCCACGCGCCCCTGCCGCCTCACCCCCTCCCCCTTACCCCCCACCCCCGCAGTACTACCTGGACAACGACCAGAAGCTGAAGAAGTTCGTGCCCATCATCCAGTCCTCCGTGGTCTACCCCGTCATCTACGACGCCAACCGAACCGTGCTGTCGCTGCCGCCCATCATCAACGGAGCGCACTCGGCGGTGAGGGGGGGGTAGGGAGGGAGGGAGGAGGGAGGAGGAAGGGAGGAGGTGCAGAGTGGATGGGAGGGCGGGTTTAAGCGGAGGACGCTGCCATGCGTACTGCGCTGTGTCTCAGTTGCAGCTCGATCGGAGCTGTTTTCCCTGCGATAGTCGGTCCATGGCTGCTGTGCTGCACCACCCTGTCTTTAGCCCCTCCCCTCATGTTGCAACCCATGTTGACGCCTGATCCCTCAGTCAGTTAGTTGTTTCCTCTTAATCCCCTCACCCTTTCCTGCCCCTCAACCCCCTCCCCCCACCCCAGATCTCTCTGGACACTCGCGACGTGTTCATCGAGTGCACCGCCACCGACCTGACCAAGGCGCGCATCGTGCTCAACACCGTGGTGGCCATGTTTGCAGAGTACGCCGAGCGGCCCTTTGAGGTGGAGCCGGTGGAGGTGGTGGACGCGTTCGGGAATAAGACGGGTAGGAGCGGGAGCAGGAGGGCGGGGTGGGGCGGGATAGGACTGGGCGTGCTCTGGGATATGATGCTCCGCTTGTCCGTGTGGGTTTGGCTTGTTATGGTGTACACGCTAAGCCCCCCCCTTGGCAGTAAAGAGAATCCAGTCTGGGCGCCTGGATGCCCGCACCCGGCACCGCCTGTCTCCCCTGCCATCTCCCACCTCCCCCCCTGCCTTCCACGATGATCACAGTCACCGTTACGCCGCGGTTCATTTGGGTTCCCCTGCCTGCCCCTCCCGCTTCCTGCTGCAGTGTACCCCGACCTGGCCTACCGCTCGCTCAGCCTGACCACCGACTACGTGAACAGCCTGCTGGGGCTGCAGCTGCCGGGGCAGGACATCGCGACGCTGCTCAACAAGATGCAGGTGGGTAATTGGAGCGTAGGGAGGAGGGGCTGGGAGGTCGTTTGCACCGTAGAGAGGTATTGTGTTGGGTGCATGCATGACGGTGTCGTAAGATTGGGGATTGCGTTGTGCATGTTGAGTTGTAAGGCTCCACTGATGCACAGGAAAAATACCAAAAATGGCACTGACTTTTCAAGTCATGAGTGACAAACACACCTGCTGAGGAGCCCAATAAACAACAACCCATTGCACCGCATACCTCTTGCTTCTCTTCCGGCCGCACCCGCTAATGCATGGCCTGGGGATGGGTCTGCTGTTTTGGGGGGTTGCACTGTGAAATGCATGGGCGCGTGTCACGCCAGCGCACGCCTTCGAGTCCAAACCCGTTGTGCA